TCTGCTCTGCTGGGGACAGTGGATAGCACTTGGTAGAGGTCGGTTCCGCTCCGTCCAGTAGCTCAATGGCATGGTCCCATGGACGCGGCATGGGCAGTTCATCAAAGGACTCCTTTGCGAAGACGTCCTCGAATTCCTGGAGGAAGTCTGGGACTGCACTGTTCCGAGGATCGTGGGGTTTGTTGCGCTGGAAAGCCAATGCGAGGCGCTGCGAGACTGTCTCCGAAGCCCGGATATGTTCTTCCCAAAGACTCTGAAGGTACTCCGGAGTCGGAGGAGGAATAGCCACGAAGATACGGTCACCCCTCTCAAGTCCGGAGTCGTCTGGAGTTGTAGCATTGTCATCCACATCATCATCCTTGCAGTCCTGAAGCTCTGGGAGATCGTCCGAGTGCAGTTCCTCAACCCTTGGCATCGGACCCGTACGACACTCCCGGAGTTGCACGGACTCCTTGCGTCGGGTTAGCTTGTCATGGCGGAACTCCTTCCGACAGGTATCACATCTGGACGGACAACAGCTCATGGTCACCTCCTTTGTCTGCCAGTCAATCTCGGGGTTGTGCTTCCGAAGCCAGGTGTATCCGAGGATGATGTCCTGCCATCCGATGTTAGTGACTGCAAAAAGCATCTGTTCCGTGTGATCCTTGAACCGGAGTACAAGGTCCACGACTTCGGAGATAGATCCGTTCTCATTTGGTGATCTGTCAACGTTGAAGACCGGAATCGGAGCGGACAGCTTGCGTCGGGTGAAACCATGGGCATCAGCAAAGCGCGGATGCATGAAGACTCCGGTGGCTCCGCAGTCCACCAGGGCCTGCAGGGTGCATTGGTGTTGTGTATCCGTGCTCTGCACTTCAACAGGTATATCTAGCGAAAGCTTGCCGGGCAGCGCGGAGATCTTATAGCTACTGGGTAGCCGCCGTTCCCACTGCGGGCGAAACCTTCGGAGTGTGCGGATTGTAACCGGAGTTGCTTGCTTAGCGTCGGACGAATCATTGGAGTGATTGGAATCGTCTATTTTGTCTACGCTAAGACAAGCAAATTGGTTATTTACCAACGAGGTCGCACTGATCACTCGTTGGTCCGGACAAAATCCGCCATGTCCGATTCCTCAACCGGGGCCGTTCCCTCATCATCTACTCCTTCCGAAGTTCCCGTACTCTCTACAACATCGGCCGCGGTCAAAAGATCTTCAATGGCGGACATCCGCTCCTCGGTAGTCATGAACCGGACATCGTACCGGAGTGGGCACTCGCGGGACATGTGACTGGGCTTGCCGCATCGGTAGCAGAGCTGTGAGGTGGCAGGTCGGGAGCGGGTGTGGTCGACATCCATTGGGACACCGGGTGAGAGAGCCTTTGGAGGAGGCGGAGGTTGGAAACGGGGTTGCAGAGGCGGGAGCTGAGTCCGAGGCGCGGGAAGCACACCCGCAGGAGTCCGAGCGACTCCGGAGCTGGCTGCTGGTCGGACGAGGGATCCGGAGTGTCCGGAGTTTCCGGAGTGCACGCCAAAGTGGAAGGATTGGTTAGCAGCACGGTTGTCAGCAACCCGCTGTGCTGCCTTGTACAATTCCTCGAACCGGACAGTCTGCAGACTCGGCGACGCGGCTCTGGATGATGGAGTCCAATCCACGACGGAACTTCATCGTGATGTTGGAGCCCTCGGAGTATCCGGACTGGTCTACAAGGTCCCGGAACTCGTCGAGGTACTCCTGGAAAGTCCGACGGCCTTGGTGGTACCGGGTGGACTCCAGGTTTAGCATGGCAGCTTCGCGTTCCCGATCCGGAAGGAAGCGAGTCCGGAACTCGGTTGCGAAGGCGGCCCAGGATGCGAAGTACGGATCCTTTGGACTCCGGAGCACCATGTCCGCGTACTCCTTAGCTCGATCCTTCTGGAAAAAGGAGAGACACCAGAGGATTTTGGCCTGCTCGGTCGAAAAGTGGTTTGGACAGAGCTGGAAGTAGATAGAGCACGCATTGTAGAACATGCGACCATCCTTGCGGTTTCCGTCGAAGATCGGGGAGAGGTGGCCTTCAAGCGGGAACGCGGGGTGTTTTCGGATCGACTCGGGGCGTGCTGGGAGGCTTCGGTGCCCCTCAGCTCGGAGTCCGGAGTCATTTTCAGAGTAGTCGGACGGGGTGTTTGTAAGGGCAACCTCAAGATAGCCGCACAGTGCAAGCCTAGCAGAGGGAGAATCCAAAGATAATGAATAAGACTAACTACAATACATGAGAGGGCTGCTCACCTAGCAGAGGGAGAATCCAAAGAGAACAGGATGGGGATTCTCCATGCTAGGAAGCGAAGTATATACTGTAGTAGCGTGGGAGGAATGAAGGGTAACTGTACAGTACACCAGCCACAGGTACGAACGAATATCACAAGGTACGAGGGGGCATGTGATAATGAAGTGGAAGGGGAATGTACAGGAGTCGTGCCAGCGACCTGGGGAAGTGGGGACAAGGAGTAATGAAGTGGGAAAGGAGGATAGAGGTAGCCCAGACGAGCCCCGAAGTGTATCTACGAGTCCGAGCGAGTCCGAAGCGTCCAAGCGAGTCCGAGGTGAGTCCGAAGTGCGGGAAGACTTCAGAGTCACCGGACGGGGCTCGGATGCGAAGGGAGTGAACGGAAGGGAAGCGGAAAGGTAAGGGGACAAAAGGAAAGGAAAGGGGATGAAGGAAAGGGGAAAGGAACGAGGAGGAAGGGGGCGGGACAGGGGGAATAGGAGAAAATAGGAGTGTCCCCTTACAGTGTTAAGAGGAGTCCTTCAATTCGGGCGAGTGTATCCTGGATGGAGCTGATTTGGGTTTGGTGTTCGTACGTCTGAGCCCACAAGGTCTGCAAAGTCTCGGAGTCCGGTCCTGAAGCGGCTGGCTCGGATGGCGGGATCTGGCTGGAGGCGCCCGGCATTTCGGAGTCGTCAGGGGAGCGAGGGATGGAGTTCCTTGGGTCCTCAGAGGTGGGTGGGAGTAGCAGGAGAGCGTCTGGAATGTCTGCAAAACCGGAGAGACGTCGAGAACAAGTCCGGAGTGGCGCAGGACGTTTTCCGTAGGGCTCTGGTGCCAGGATGGGAGATCCTGTTCTGCTGTAAGGGCAACCTCAAGATGGCCGACAGCACAGGCCTAGCAGAGGGAGAATCCAAAGATAATGAATAAGGCTAACTACAATACATGAGAGGGCTGCTCACCTAGCAGAGGGAGAATCCAAAGAGAACAGGATAAGGATTCTCCATGCTAGGAAGCGAAGTATATACTGTAGTAGCGTGAGAGGAATGCAGGATAACTGTACAGTACACCAGCCACAAGTCCGAACAAATATCACAAGGTACAAGGAAACATGTGATAATGAAGTGGAGGGTAAATGCACAGGAGTCGTGCCAGCGACTTGGGGAAGTAAGGGCGAAGAGTAATGAAGTGGGGAAAGAGGATAGAGGTAACCCGGACGAGCCCCGAAGAGTATAGACGAGTCCGAGCAAGTCTGAAGTGTCCGAAACGAGTCCGAGCAAGTCCGAAGTGCCCGAAGTGCGGGAAGACTCCGGAGTCACCGGACACGGCTCGGATGCAAAAGGAGTAGGTGGAAATGAAGTGGAAAGGAAAGGGAGTGAAAAGAAACGAAGGGGAATGAAGGGAATGTAGGTAAGAGTCCATGGGATGAAGGAAAGGAGAGAAAATAGGAGTGTCCCCTTACAGTATGCCTGGCAACAAAGCTGGACCCAGGAACAGTTAGCGTCTACCTGCGCAACAACCTGGGTGAATATTGACGGCTACCTGGGCATGGGACGAGGCACAGTGGCTGTTGGTGAGCCGTTGGTGGAGGCCGCGTGTTGTAGTCGTACCATTTAATGTTTTTTCTTGTAGACAGTATTAATCAACCATATATGAACCGTATATGAACAGCTTCAAAGCCACGTTTATGATTCAACAAACAATTAACTACCCGATAGTATCCAAACAAAGACAGTAGTGCAACTGTCCCCATCTAAGCAACAGGGCGGCATCGTCCCCAACGTCCCCAGCAATGAGGACCAGAGGGGACAGAGGGGTGGGAACAGAAGTCAACCCACATGATCAACACATGATCTGATGTATCACCATCCAGCTCGTTTGGGATAACAAAGATGTATTCGTTGTTGCCACGAGCTCTCTTGTTCGGCGGCTGGTTTACAGACTGGGAACAAATGGGACCCGGTCGTGGAACACAGCCAAACTCCTGGAAAGGAGAAACCCCTGTAAGGGGGCCGAACTCAAGCCAGCCTAGGCGAAGTAGGGAGTACGTAGTTGTAGGTAGTCTATGTAGTAGATGTATATGTGAAGAGGGTAAGCAATATGGGTGGGGGAAAGAAGAAGAAGCCGCTTGATGTGCTATCAAGCGTGAATGTAAGAAGATGAAGAAGCGGTAAGCTAAATATAAGTTTACCTATCGAGCGTGAATGTAAGAAGATGAGGACCGTACATGGGACAGTGGTGCATATATATACATGCGTGCGAGACAAAGGCGCGAAGGTCAAAGGAAGTGATAGGGGACAGGGGTTCATGTGCACTCGCAGATGGACCGTGGATAAAGTTCCTCTGTCCTCACATACCCGCTGTCGCACTAACCCTCTAATCAGTGGGTTTCATGTATCACGGTCGTGTTCTGATTAGAGTATATGATATATTAACTCCCCATCTACAGGTGATGCAGTGTGGATCCTAAGCAGCAGTGAGTATCGCTCAATCACGATAACCTTGAACTAATCTGATTCTTTCGCAGCTAAAATGAAAGCTTGTATCTAACCTTTTTTATCCTTGCCGTAAGGAAGCTCTAGTTCACGGAGGTTATTTGTTATCCTTCAATGTCCAGCGATAGAAGCTATTCTGTTCTGTTGCGTGGCCACCTGCACCACATGCGAACCGTGGCTTCTCACCTTAAACTCAACTGCGCATTGTCGCTTAGATTGCTGTAGTTTCCTTTCTTGAGGCGAACCATTCTTGCCCAACTTGCTTCCAACATAATCCCTCACGATGTACACGAGTCGTTTTGCTCGACCTATCCCGGTCACTCTCAGCAATTCAGAAATCGTACAAGTTGCGGAGGCTGTGGTGTTCACGCTGCGGGCCCTGGGGTTTCAATGTGTTCTGGTGGGAGGAGCAGCCTGTGGCGCATTTGGAATCTCGCGGGTCGCTACGGTAGGGCTTGTCGTACATTGTGTATGCGAACTCCTCACGGATGCATGATCTACCTAGGATGTAGACGTTGTGGTTTTGACCACAGATGTTGGTCAAGAAGAGATCAAACGAAGGCTTGTTGCCAAAGACCCCAAGTTCATTCTCGTGGCCTCCAAGAACCCATACGCATCCTATAAAGTCTTGTGGTATGAGATACCTCCGTCCCCCTCATCCCCCTCATCCCTGTATGCGGCGTCCCGATCGTGCAAGGTCGACGTTCTCGTACCAGGGATAATGAGTATTCCTGACGTCCCACGCGGGTATTCGGTGGTCACTATCTCTGGGGAATGGAAAGGACTCCCCCTCATGCCATTCATTCCCCTGTTGATGCTGAAGCTCCAGGCATGGATGGATCACCGCCAAGCCGACAAACAATACCTGCGAGAGAAACAACACACAGATGTTCGCGATATCGGGGAGCTACTCGATATTGGAATGCGCCACAAATACACCTTGGCTGCAGAAAGAGCCTGGATACCTGCCAGCTTCATTCAGGCGGCTGAACGTCGAATTCCTGAATATCTCGTTTACTATCCGCTGACCGCCGATGAATGGAAGAAGATTGGGTTCACGTGGATATCTCGATCTTCTTCATCCCTCACGCATGCCAACTTATTGCGTTCCTTCAATTCCTTGTCTACATGAGGTTTGCTGTACCAGCCCCGTTAATCAGTCGAAGGACGCTTATGCTCCCCATGTCATTCCCGGCTCTTACAATACTCTAATTGATACCTCTGACTAACCATCGATCAATACTCTAAGTGGTTGCTTTACCTCCAACATGTGCCGCATACAGAGTTTCGCGAGTTACGACGGTGGGCTATAAGTCACTGAGCTCTGCTGTCCTCAGAGCCGCTGGCACAGGCTCTACCTAGGACATAGATGTTGTCGTTCTGGATGCACCAGTCGAACGTGAAGCGATCAAACGAAACCTTGTCGTGAAAGATCCCCGCTTTGTTCTCGAGTCACCGCGAGATCCTCATGCATCCCACACAGTCTTGTCGTATGAAATGCCCTCCACATCGCCGTCGACATACTTATGCCGACCTTGCATAATTAACATCCTGGTGCCGTGGATTAGAAACATACCAGACGTTCCGACCGACCGTATAATGTATGGTTCCCCTGGAGAATGGCAGGGGCTACCCCTCATGCATTTCATTCCTTTGCTTATCTTGCGGCTTCAAGACTGGACCGACCACCTCCACGCCAAGACGTCAGACTTACGAGATGAACGGCACACAGATGCCCGCGACATAACAGAGCTGCTCGAAATAGCAGTGCGCCAGGCATACAGCTTGGACGAAGACAGAGCCTGGTTGTCGGCCAGCCTTATAGAAGGCGCCGAACGCCGAATTCTTGAATATCTCATCATCCACCCCTTCACCTCCTACAAATGGGAGAAGATTGGGTTTAGTTGGACGACCTGATCGGCCAAAGCGTTGATTTGCTTTGTAGGGGACGGCAACTACTTCACGTATATGCAAAATACTATGTATGCACAATCACTCACCCGAACAATCGTCTGATCGTAGTGTGGAGGTTGTGCGGAGGCGACTAACTTACGTTTATATAGTCACCCAAAGCAAGGCCTACCCTTCCACAAACCTACTTCTTCTCATCATGCCGTTTTGCCAGAAATTAAACTTTGGTTCACAGAGGTTATTTGTATCCTCCAATGTGAAGCATCCATACAATCGCCGCATCATATACGAAGTTCGAAGCATGTTTTTTTAGAAATTTAAACTCTGCTGCGCTTCGTCCCAATATTACCTAGCCCTTGGCCCTCGAGAGCCCCAGGAACGAATCCCCTTTATCGAACATCAGCTCAAGCAACGCGACCTCCAGCGATGGACAGAAGTCGTCCTGTCCGACCGGTGACTCTGACTGGATCGGAAATCACACACGTTGCAACATTGGCGGTGAATGCACTGCGCGGATTGGATATCCGCTGCATTCTGGTGGGAGGAGCGGCTTGCAGTGCATTCGGAAGTTCGCGAGTCGCCCGGGTAGGGGTTGTCGTATACTCTGCGGGGCGTACTCCGAGCTGATGCCCGATCTGTCCTCATAGAATGTAGACATCGTGGTTTTGTCCACCGACGTTGGTCGGGAGGAGATCAAACAGAGGATGGCTGCTAGAGACAGCAGCTTCTTCCTCGCGTCGCCCGAAAACCCACACGCAGCGTACAAGGTCTTGTGGTACGACATACCCCCCACGGCGGTCCCCCGGAGCCGCCACCTGCCACCGATCATCCGTCCGTGCAGGGTCAACATCCTCGCGCCAGGCGTAATGAACATCCCCGACGTTCCTCAGGGATGCGCCGCGGAGATCAGGGGTCTCCCCCTCATGCCGCTCATACCCTTGTTGATGTTGAGACTTCAAGACTGGACGGAACACCGGAAGCTGGGGGTTGGATCCAGACGATCTTTCCAGCAAGGAAATGATGATTTCCTTACCATAGGGGACCTCCTCGATATTGGGGTGCGTCGGGGATACACCCTGGATGCCTGCAGAGCGTGGCTACCTGTCAGTCTTTTGGAAACAGCCGAGCAGCAGATTCCTACGTATAATAACTACCATCCGATGAAGGCAGGTCATTGGCAGAGGCTGGGATTTTCTGCCGCTTCAGCACAGGGCTGGCTTCCAAACGGGGTATTCAGTGCTGCTCAAACCTCCCAGATGTTTGAATCACTCGCGAAGATGAATATATAACTACCGAAACACTGTGTACTACATATGCCTACAATGGAATGTCCTCCGTCTCCCCAACATCGTCATCGCCCTCGTCCACCGATCCACTAAGTGATCTCTCCTTCTCAACAGGAGGAGGCGGAGGTACTTCAATGCTTGACGGAGTCATCACTGCAGGACCCGTCGCAGCCGATGATAGTGAAGTGCTGACTGATCTATCATGCGCATCCACAACTGGCGATGATGCCGGAGATGGGAACTTGAAGTCTTTGTTCATCGTCCCGGCTCTGCTCTTTCGCTTGCCTGCGTCCGGAGACGACGATTGCAGGTCTTCGACTTCTGCTTCCTCTGGCGTCGCTTCAAAGCCTGACGACGATCCCTGGCTGACAATGTTGTCGCTGCGGGCAGGCGGCGGCATCGATGCACGCTGGCTCGTCGGCGTGTTCTGTCTGTTCGGCGGAGGACTGCTTGCCGTGCGAGTCAACGACGCCTGCGACATCGACTGCGGGCGCGTGAACCCTGCCGAGTGCGCTGGAGCCACGGCATTGGCCCCTAGATAAAACGAAGCAATAGGAACCATTCTGTTGCCATGTTAGCACCAATTCAGCGCGCATAGGGACCGTACAGCGTACTTCTTCTCGATATGGCATGCCATTATCCAGTGCGGCTGCACGACGGGAATGCTGAGCTGGAGTGCGCGCTGGTATTCGACGCCGGGCGCATTCGTCGCGTTTCCTGCGGCCTGGGCACCCGACGGCGTGGCAGCGGGCGTAGTGCAGACAAAGTGCGTCGTGTCGATCTGGATCTTGTCGCTCCAATCCGCCTTCATCTCCTTCAATGCCAGCTTGGCGTTTTCCAGCAGAACAGAGTCCTGGACGTTCCCGAAGCACACGCGTATACCAGAAGTATCGGTCATCGTATGTGTGCGGACGCGTAGTATGTTGGATGAGTGCGTGCCTGCGGTGGTGCGGAGAACGAGGCGGAAAGAGTAGTCGGTGTTTATGTCCAATCCAGAGAGCTTTGTTGATGTGTTTGTTGAGGGTGAAGGGATTGCAGCGAGACGTTGCTCGTTTCGGTATATGTCGAGGGACCGAATCTTCGCTTTGGCGACTTTAATCGGAGGCCATTGCAGTGTGACCGACGTTTGGGTGACATTTCGGAGCTAATGTCCATGATTTCGAGGTTCACGAGGACTCTAAAGCTCACTCACTTGTAGTTGTGGTGGTTCTGGAGATTCCTTCCCAAACTCGTTCATAATCTCTTCTTGCAAGTCCCAGAATTCGCGGTCGCGTCGCTTCTCTTCAGCGTGATTCTGGTGTACGGCGATGTTCACAATTGATCCCGTCGTGGCTCCAGGAGGTAACAGAACAGATGGAAATTCAATGAGGTGTGCTCGTTCGCCTAATAGAATCTGGGAGACCGTGAGCCATAGTCACAGTCTGGCTTGCTCGACTCACAGCCATGCCCGCATCTATTACGAGGCCGTCAGAAAGAGTGAGAGTCCGTACGTTATGGACATACCTAGCTTCCCGACTGTAAAAGTAAAGCTTTCCATTGATTTCTCCATCTTGTAGTAAGTTTAATGGGTTCCGGTTAAGTTCTGAGCCACAGTAATTGCTGGGGGTATGCATTATCCCACGGTCAATATGTTCTTCGCACGGTCAGTTTGGTTCAATGAGTGCTGCTCGCGATCGCTGAGGCAACCCACCTGCATATGCATGGCCTCGTCGACCTCTCAGGACAGTGTCGGGGTCGCTGAGAAGGATCCAACAAGAGCTCTGACTGCGAGCCCGACCCAATTTACCGATAGCGAAGACGACCCGGTCACCAATGGCCACACCAACATCCCACAGGCAGGAAGTGACCACGACGGCACGGACGAGGGAGAGAGCTACGATGGTTCAGATGGGGAAGAAGAAGAAGACGACTACGACGAAGACGACGAAGACGACGATGAAGAACCTGCTCTCAAATACGAACGAATAGGTGGTTCCGTGCCCGACTTATTCAGAAAGGATTCTGCCTCCTCCCTGGCCGTCGCGAACAAGCTTATGGTGAGTACGATTCACGCTTTGATCTTTGTCGACTAATTATGTAGGCTCTTGGCACCCATAATGGCATAGTGCATATCCTCGACTTGAGTGGTAATCGAATCAAGTCGTACAAACCACACATGGCATCTGTGGTCGACATTTGCATGGATTCATTGGCTGAGTTCGTGGCTACTGCTTCTATCGACGGTAAATGACACATTATGCGGTGCATAGTCGCGTCGCTCACGCCTTATACTAGGACAGGTAGTGATTCATTCACTGTCCTCGAAGGAATCTTATGCGTTCGACATGAAACGGCCGATGCGTACCATTGCTCTTGAGCCCAACTTCGCGAAGAGTAGTTACAGGTCTTTTGTCTGCGGAGGACTAGCCGGCACCCTCGTCTTACATGAAAAGGGGTGGCTAGGGCACAAGGAAACTGTTCTGCACTCGGGGGAGGGGCCGATAGGGCAAGTTAGATGGAGAGGAAGGCTGATCGCCTGGGCAAACGACTTGGGTGTCAAAATCTACGACACAACGTCACAGACGCGTATTACATTCATCGATCGGCCGGCCGACAGCCCGCGCGCGGACCTGTTCAAGTGCACCCTCCATTGGCAGGACGACTCGACACTCATAATCGCCTGGGCAGACTACATCAAAGTCGCTCGCGTCCGCGCTCGCCCTCCTACAAATGAAGCTTCCTCCAAAGCTGGCCTTCCTCCTCTTATCGTTGAAATTACCGCTGCGCTTCAACTGGAATGCATGATATCCGGCATCGTACCACACGAAGTCCTACACACGGCGCCGACCCCCTTGCCAGAATTAGGGACAGACAAACTCACCGTGCACCGATCCATGTCGTTAACATCTTTCCTCATCTTGGCATACACCCCGCCGGACACGTCATTCACGGATGAAATGACAGAGGATCGAGCGCAGCAGGCGAAGAAAGCTGCCGAGCGCCCCGAACTCCAGATCATCTCTCGAACCGGAGAAGAGTTGGCTACGGATGCGCTAACTGTATCTGACTACCACAGGTGGGGTTGTAATGACTACGTCCTCGCGGATGTCCTGGACACTGCAAATCCTACAGCCGACGTTGGAGTAGGCAAGAGCTATGTTGTGATGAGCCCTAAGGATATAGTCTTGGTCAAGCCTCGAGATAGGCGTGATCACGTTGCTTGGTTGGTTGAGCGGAAGAGGTACGAAGAAGCACTGGAGGCTGTCGAGCAGATCGAGGCTAGCGGTGAGGCGATTACCGACAAGGTAGAGGACGCGGTTACTACATCATCGATAGGGCAGAGGTACATTGAACATCTGATGCACGAGGGTAAGTGAAGCGAAGTCGTCTCCGAGTGGGAATGTCGGGCTTAGCATTACTAGGCGAATTCACGAAAGCCGCGAAGCTATGTCCAAAGGTTTGCGGGCAGGACGTGCATCGCTGGGAGAACTGGATACTCCTCTTCGCAGACAAGGAAGAACTCCAGGTACGCATTACCGACGGTGGACAAAGTGTCATTTGCTCAGGACGTTCCTTCAGGCCGTGATCCCGTATGTGCCTACAGACTCCCCCAGATTGAGCCACTTGGTATACGAGATGATGCTAGCGTATTTCATCAAGCACGACAGACAGGTAATCTATCAAACATATGGATGGCACTGTCAGTTGGCTGACATATTTTGGTAGGCTTTACTTCAAACCGTGAGGGATTGGCCAAAGGACATCTACAACCTCACCGCTGTAATCGTAGCCATTCACTCGGAGCTCGACTCTTCGGCTAGTACTTCCACCTTCAAATCGTCTACACAAGAGACGACGCTACTCATGGAGTGTTTGGCGGAGCTGTAAGTATCTCGTTATTCACGACGACTTGTAATAACAACGTCAACTATAGATACACGGCAAACCGCCAACCTGGCAAAGCTCTGCCTTTCTATTTGCGCCTGCGACGGCCCAATGTCTTCGACCTCATTCGGGAGCATAATCTCTTTACTGATGTCCGGGACCAAGCTTTGCTGCTAGTTGAATTCGACCAAGAGCTCGTTGAACAGCGTAGAAAGAACGGAGAGATTGTCAACGACAAAGAGAGCCCGGCGATCACGTTGCTCGTAGATCATATCCATTCAATACCTGTGGGTGCATCTCTTCTTATTCCTGACTAGGATCAGTGAAACCTAATGCTTCGATAGATTGGTAGAGTCGTTCAGCAGCTCCAAAGCCGCCCCTACTATCTTTTCCTGTATCTCGACGCACTGTTCGAGAAGGACCCTTATCTCACGGCCGACTTTGCTGACATTCAGGTCAAACTGTACGCCGAATATGCGACTCTTCGGCTGATTGACTTCCTACGTGCAAGTAATTACTACAACCTAGAGAATGTGCGTGATCGTGGTCTCTTCTAACCTACGTCCCCAGTCAAAAAGCTAACATATGGCATACCTTCAAGGCATATCATATCTGCAAAGACCGCGACTTAGTCACGGAGATGGTGTTCCTCTTGGGTCGCATGGGCAATAACAAACAAGCTTTGACGCTCATTATCGAACGGCTAGGCGACGTCAATAGGGTAAAAGCGGGTTTACAGTCCAGTCCGCCAATGTCTAATACTCTGTTCGTCAGGCTATTGATTTTGCGAAGGAACAAGCAGATGATGATCTATGGGAAGACCTCTTGAAATATTCCGAAACGCGGCCCAGTGCGTCTACATGTTCCTGCCCTGTAACCAAGACTTACCAGGTATAGCTTTCATCCGCGGCCTACTCGAGAATGTCGGCGCGGAAATCGACCCTATCCGTCTTATACGACGTATCAAGAATGGATTAGAGATTCCTGGTCTCAAGGACGCTTTGATCAAGATCTTGCACGACTTCCATCTGCAGATATCCTTACTGGAGGGCTGTCAGACAGTTTTGAATGGCGACAGCTCGGATTTAGCGGGAAAACTACACAGATACCAGAATTCAGGGTTCTTCCTTGCTGGTATGTCTCATTTTGCTGTGACCACTGTACGAGGCTGAGGTACGACTCGCAATAGGGAAAACGACATGTCCGATCTGTTCAAGATCACTGCATGGGCCACCACAAGAGCTCTTGCTCCTTTTCCTCTGCCGACACGCTGTCCATGCCTCATGCGTCGAAGGCGGAGACGACTTACCTTCGCACTCCGAATTGGGCATACGTAACCTTTCCCTGAATGGGTCAATAGACCGTATAATAAGCAACAAATTGGCATTGTGAGTTATCACACTTACGGTGGCGCACACCTGTATTGACTCTGCACTAGTGCTTCGTCAGTTCGTGCTCATGTGCGGCAGGGATGCCCAGTTTGTCGTTCCAAGAGCGAAGGGAAGAGGGCGTAGGGGATGATCTCATTATATCTTCCTTCGTCTTGTTCTATTATGTTTTTTACACCTGTTTTCGTTTCCCTTCTCGCGTTGCTAGGTTTATATCAGGCTGCTGGACCCTTTTCATTACACATGATAGCAGCAAGGATAGCAAAACTAATTATACACATTACAAGACTCTCCTCCATCTCACTACTCCATCTTCTCCGCCACTAACAAATCCAGCCCCCTTCCCGTGCTCGGAAGGTTTCGGTCTCCACGAGAGAGACCATACTTCACCCGTTTCAGAGATGGTAGACACGGCAGCACGGGCAGCTATATCCCATACTTTGATTGTCTTGTCGGCCGACCTGATCTCAAATATATATGAAGACAGGGGAAGCTTAAGGAGACGTGCTTACCCAGATAATGCCAATCGACCGTCAGGAGAGATATCCGAACTGAGGACCCAAGATGAATGGCCAGTGAATGTTGCGGCTGCACCTCCTGCTGCTTTCGTCGGCGCTCGAACGTCGTGCAAGATCAGTCTCTTATCGTCCGACCCGCTTAGTAGATACTAAGTGAGAAAGTGAGGGAGAAAGCATGAGAGAATCGGTCGGAACATTAGACCATCGAACTCACACCGTTGTCCCAGGACCACGACATTGTTCTAACGGCCATGGCATGGGACGTATAAGTAGCACCGAGAGAACCTGTCTCGAGGTCAAATATGAATATTTGCCCTGATTCACTTGATAGCGCAACTCGAGAGCCATCAGGGGACTTCATAGGTACTTTCAGTTAGTCGCAAATATTGCACAGAATACCATCCAAACGTACATGGGAGCAACACATGCCAAACTTCGTTCGACCGCTAGTAAGGGTTGAGAGACGTTCGCCGAAGTTATTGGGCTGCGAGGAATGGATGGTGACGTTGCCAGAGCTTCCAGAGGAAGCATAGGTCTCCCCCTTTGGATTCAGCGAAACAGACCAGGCTGTATGTTGGTGTACATCAGTCATTTCCGAGTGCTTGATGGAAGCTGAACTTACATGGTTCCGCCCCTTCACCTGTACGGACATAGCTCTCGAACTTGCCCACAATTTCGCCATTGGATAGATCCATCATAGCTGTCGTCCCCTCCAGGCTATTGTACAGTACCCTCTGTCCATCTGGCGATACGGAGAGCGAGATCAAACCTAGTGTATGCGGTGGTGGTTTATTGACATCTGCAGGATGTGGTGTCCCGTTATCAGACGACCATTGCCGGATTGAGCCATCTGCAGAGACCGAGACAACGCTTTCAGTGGCCGTCCACTTCACACCCCATACGGCTTCAGTGTGCGCTGTTGAAAAACAAGGCAGCGTCAAATCCCAGGCCTCAGACACGCGACGTGAACGGCAGGCGTACGCTCTGAGCAGGCATGAACTTCGGTTACTGCTAAGCTCTGGTCCAGGAAGATTGAGTTCTCAATTTTGTGCCTCAAAGCAGTCTCATACCATTTCGACGTCAAATTCTTCCAAGGGTTCGACGCGTTCAGGCGACGCGCTATGATCAAGAAGAGGACCGGACTTTTCCGAGCGGAGCGTTAACTCAGTCAGCATAAAGTAGCAGTCCTGAACTCTATATTTCCCCACATCAACGAACGCGGACGACGACATCAAATATTTCTGTTGTATTTTCCTGATTAAATTCTAAAAGTAAGGGATTGTTCTGCGTGTTCAGGATGCTCAATAACATATCTCAAGGATGTCTGACGCTGGAGATGACATTCAAGTCGACGCCCCCGCCGAGGTCGAGGTTGCCGCCGAGGCACCGAAGGGAAAATTGTCTGTTGAGGACGCGCTCAAAGTGCGTATTACCTAGATGGTAGTTTGTCTGATACCGACAATCGCCTCCAGCAAGTCCTGAAGAACGCCCTTGTTCACGACGGCCTTGCTCGTGGTCTCCGTGAGGCTGCAAAGGCCCTGGACAAGCGACAGGCCCATCTTTGCGTCCTCGTCGAAACCTGCACGGAGGCAGAGTACATTAAGCTCATCGAGGCCCTCTGTGCCGAGCACAAGATCAACCTCATCAAGGTCGGTGACGCCAAGCTCCTTGGACAATGGGCTGGTCTCTGCAAGATCGACCGGGAGGGCAACCCTCGCAAAGTCGTTGGCTGCAGCTGCGTTGTCGTCAAGGACTACGGAGTTGAGAGCGAGGGTCTCAATGTTCTGCTGGACTACTTCAAGAACCGTTAAAGTGAGTTTCGAGATTGGTAATCTTTTGTAAGATGACATACAGACTCCCTCTACCGAGGCTCGTCCTTTGGGGATAAAAGTCTATCCGGAATCATTATATTTTGTCTGATTCTTTCTAATTCCGAACGTGTCGAGATGAATGTGCTGACATGCTTTCTTTTGACAGAACTGCGTACTTTCTATCAGCGCGTTACTTTTTCAGTACAAAAATGAAATCTCTTGAAACACTTGAATTTTGTGTCTGGAGTTCGCCCATGTACAACCTGAAGGTTTGTTTCTAGGCTCTCGACCAGCCCTTAACGTTGGGTGTGATCCCCTATCAACCGTTCGAATGTTTAGAACAGAAGCCTCATCTCGCACCTTCCCTCTGTCCCGCCTAGCCTCACGGCCTCCAGTTCGATGAGTTTCAAAGCAGGACCTTTATCTGAAACACTGATTATGACTCAATGTTCGTTGGATGATTTCTATCGTGGTCGCTCCTAGAACTGCGGCACCTTCGAATTTGTTATCATGGTATGCAATAGGAAGCGCAGCTGGGATCTTTGCTGCCAGAAGTGCGTTTATCTGACAGAGGTGTTCATTGAAGTCGTGTCACATGTCTCCCATCTGTCCTTTGTCAATGTCGCAGAGACTTTGGGTGTCGTAGCCGTGTCGTATTTTTGTGTCGCCCGAGGCCAACATCCTCATCTTTCTCTTCATCATTTTGCTTTCTTCACTGACCCACTGCCATGTTTTGTTGGACGTCTATTTTCAGTCCCCCGACGTCGTGCTGGCCTCACTGGCCGATCGCCGATTCATTCAGGCTTTCTCGGCGACGAGGCTGTTAAGCGACCCGACGAGAATTGATATTTGGAGTACCGTCTTTGGAACCATATCACTACGAGGGCGACCTGGCGAACAGAATCAGTAATCGCTAGGTAAATCCCACAACTGACCAACGGCGCCACGAGACCAATACAACCTACTTGTGCAACGATATAGACGATATAGAATCGACGGAATCGACCGCCATTAGGGATGAATACTACGTCTACAGTCTGGCGCGCTCGTAACCTCCCGATATCGCATAGATTTCCGTTGATCACATGGCCAGGTTACTGTTTAGCTACTGTTTAGCGACTCCTCTTTGATCTCAGACAATCAAAAACCTGCTTCTTGATGAGAAGGAGATCAAAGACCCTTCGAAACCAACTAGCAACGCTTTCCGTCCACAGATTTGGATGGTGAGTGCGACGATGCGCTATTCTAAACATCTTCCTATCTGATAGGAAATACGAAGGAATTATACAATGCCGCATGCTTCTGTGATCAGCCTATACGCGCCCGCCGGACATGCTCCTCACTACCCACTATCCGACTACGCTACCTTGGTCCCGCCAGCCGGAAAGAGACAACTAACTCGGAGCGCCACGTCGCGGGGCAGGTTCCACCGGCGAGAGCATCCTTGATCGAAGCTGGTAGAAAATCTAGTCCTCATGCAAACTTTGGGTTCGATTCTCATTTCACACGACACCCCGCCGCGTAAACATACACGGCAATGCGTCGTTTCGCAGATTGATCTCTGGCATATGGCTACATCGTCATGGTCTGCATAGCCCCTCCCGCTGCTGTGGGGATGGCTTTGCGGCTTTGTTCGCTGCGATTCAAGTGACGGACATCATTATCGAGGGATTCATGCAACAGCGGAAACATGCGGCACCCACACAACACCGCTGACCGACTTGACAGCCTGGGTACTTTGACAGCCTGGGTCCTATGTCTCGCTTAGATGAGTGGTAATCTATTTTTACGTTGGTAGACATGGATTCCAGTAAAGGACTCCCACCCAGTTATAAGCTCTAGCACCGAGAGCCACGACGTCGATTACCTTCCCCCAAGAGTATGGCTGATGTAGGGAGAACTCTCGGTCTCGTCGAAATTGGCATCTCTGTGTCTCTGTTCCTCTTCGGGGTGTCTACAATTCAAGTCCAGACTTATCGTTCACGCTTCCCCGATGATTCGTTACGACTAAAGGCTTTTGTGAGTGCTTTAATATCCCCCCTGCCAGACCCCTGTTTTACGATGGGGTTACATTCTAGGTATATTTTGTGTGGTGCGGGGAGCCGTTCGACAAAATATTCTCCGGCCTGATTTGCGAGTACATAGGTTGATGAGCCTCGGCCACATTATTTGCACCCTTCATTACTTCTGGACCACTTCTCTCGCTATCATCCAAACTCACCAACCCAATCTGATGCTTGGAAAACCACCTGCAAGCGTGCCAGCGCTTTTCTTCCTAACTGGATGCATAGCTACGGCGGTTCAGGTATGTATAGTCAAGTACGCATGTCCACAAGGCTGACGTGGATGTCGTGCAGGTCTACTTTGTGGAGCGAGTGAGGCGGGTGTCCGAGAAACTGTTCTTTCCCGTCATTTGCTGGTCCATTTCCCTCGTCCGCTTTGCCCTCGCCGTGGTCATGAGCGCCGTTGTTTCTACAACAACTCTTCATGACTTCGAAATCCGTTGGGAGTGGCTAGTGACAGCAAACTGGGTTACCAGTGCGTTCGTGGACACGATGATAACGGTGCTACTATTCTATACTCTGGCAAGAAAAAGGAGGGTCGCATTTAAGGGGTCAGTAAAGCTGCCTGCGCTCGTACTGGACCTGACGCAGAATTAATCAGGACCATCAAGCTAATTGATCGTCTTATTCTGACCACGATTGGTGAGTGCACATCGGATGTGCTAATGGCTCTACGTTGATGCCTTCCGCAGAGACTGGTTTGATGACGAGGTTTGCTTTCGACACTAGTGCCCCCCTTCGGTTTGTTGATTTCAGTTTCAGTTTGTTGACACTCACCGCTGGATTATGCGTAAGTTAACCCTGTCCATATATTCTCGACGTCCTAGGCTAATATCCTGAAACATGATAGTTTCAGTTCATTGATCACTCTTGTACGTATCTAATTCGCTCTCAGAAGTACGGATGCCTATGTAAGTCTCATAGTCGCTTGGCTGGGACTTTATCTTTGCGTTGCAAGAGGTAAGTTACAAATCCAGTTTGCCAAGTCTTTTCTGATGCTCCTTAGTTTTCACTAACTCCTTGCTGGCTACGTGGGTCGTTCCCTATTGTGTATTCCTTCGGTCTCGCTGACAGCTGCTATCAGGCTCAACGCTCGGTTGACCGCGCGGCGATTGGCAGTCAATTTACATTCCGTTGATCTTGCCCATCAGGAAAATGAGCACGCATTGACATCCAACGGTACCAAGGTAGGACATCATCTCCCCATGTTGTCGTCCGAGCTGACGTGTCCTGGCAGGCGCACATGGCGATTCCTATGGAGTTGATAGCAATAGGAACCTCTAGTCAAACTCAACGACCAACTGGCGTGATTTTCTGAAATTCGTCGACAGACTTGCGACTGTTTATGCCCTTGTTAGAAAAGATTGAGCATCTTGGGATGCCTGAGCTGTATACCAGTAGTCTCGGATCTGTATGTGATAAATTATGTGTATAATTATTCTTTTAATCAACTTCGGTTGCCCCTTTGAGCCCCTTTGTCTCAGCGCCTGTTGGGTATGGGCGGCATTCCTCTGCCAACGAAGTTTCTGAATGTCTCTCACTCATCAGAATTTCCCCATAGAAACCACCCTGCACAAATGTTAGTAGTAAGTATCCTCGGAGGGACTGGTAGGGATATTCGCAACGATAATTTTTACGTTTCTATCTATTGTCACTAACTCCCCCCAAGGTCTCAGGATCTCACCCACGATGATAAATGGGCACCGGGTGCTGATTACGGCGCTCTCATGATTGATATCAACCAGTCCCTTGGTGCAGCCAGACTCGCTGCACTATAGACGAATGTATTCGAATTTTCTCATGGCTGAAAACGACAGCACTCCGACCCATACTGGCAGCGCTCTTTGTGATCCTCAAAGATGGCGTATGCGGCTGCAGATCCGCCAGAGATCTCTTTCGCGCTCCCAACGTCGGTTGTATGGAACGGCCGCCATAATGAAGGTGAGACAATACTTGCCCTCACGATGTCAGTGATGAGTAAAAATACTGCTTAAGATCTGATAGCTCGTTTGCCAGTGCTCGGGCGTTGAGGTGCTGTGATTCATGTGAAAACGTTACTAGCTGGAGCTTTGAGTGGGAGATTGTTATGAACCGGCACTGTGTCTCCTTCGATAGTGCCATATATAAGGACGTCACCCACCATTCACTCGACCATTCACTTTCTCTAAGGGACACCCCGCATGTCGAACGTAGCAGTGACGCTCGGAATTATTGAAATCGGCGTTTCCGTCTCTGTTTTCCTCTTCGGCTTGTCAAGCCTCCAAGTCTACTCTTATCATTCGCGGTTCCCAAATGACCCCATCCAGCTCAAAGCATTTGTGCGTTTTAAGTCCCTTCGTTTTGTACAACTGACCTATTTTTGCCACTGTGTAGGTGTACCTTGTGTGGTATGCAAGGTATCTGTCAGCGGGGTATTCACGAATTGATACCCTCAATGCAGGCTACTGGAACTAGGTCATGTCATCTGCACTCTAGACTACTTCTGGGTGGTTTCTATCGTTCAATATGGCCATCCAGAGATGATCCTCGGTAAAGCGCCGCCAAGCATGCCGGCACTATTCATATTAACGGGTTGTGTGGCTACATCTGTTCAAGTAAGTGACATTCAGTGAAGTTATTCACGATGCCAAACACGTTGCAACGTACGTCTATCTCGCAGATGTTTTTCGCAGATAGAGTGCGGCGCGTTTCCGGAAAGTTCTTCTGGGTCCTGATCTGCTGGGGGCTTTCGATCCTCCGGTTTGCTCTTTCAGTCACCATCTGCGTGGTGTTAACCCGAGTAAGCCTCGCAGATTTCGCTGCGGACTGGAAGTGGTTAGTTACTTCCAGCTGGGTCAGTGGAGCAGCTGTGGACACTTTGATCACGGTGCTCCTGTTTTACGACCTCTTCAAGAAACGGAAGTTGGCGTTTCGAAAGTAAGGTCATATCTCTCAACGATTCTGTGATGGTTCCTGGATCGGAGCCCATTACTAGAACAGCAAAGCTGATTGACCGCCTCATCTTGACTACAATCGGTATGTCGGATACGCCCAAATGTTTGGCCTGAGTTCACAACTGATAATTCGATGCGGAACCCTCGTCAGAGACTGGCCTTTTAACAAGGTATGTACGCTATTTTTGTTTGTGGGGACATAGGCTGATTCCTCAGTACAGCGTGCTTACGCTCGTATCTGGATTGAGCGTGAGTGCATCTGCTATCTCCTGGCGATTGTTCCCACATCCAAGTTCGTAGTTCGAGGTTGTCAGTGGAACGTGTATGTCCGCTGTCTTGGGCTATGACGATTGAGCTAAGGGGTCGTTTCCACGCAGTTGCTTGGTTCGCGCTGTATCTCTGCATCGCCCGAGGTACGCTAGACTAAATTCGGATCCCCTTGCTTCGCTCATATCTGAACCCCAGTCTTCTCGAATTCGTTGCTCGCTACGTAAGATCTCATCTCTCTACGCTCCATTAGATCTCAACGCCCTTAGCTGAACATCTTTTAGTCTCAACGCTCGTATGACCATTCGCCAAATGTCGGTATCTAATGTACACTCTGTCGACTTTATTTCCCGCAACATTGAAGACGTGCCAAGTGATGCATCGAAGGTGGGATAGTTGTATTTGTGCAGTGCTCGCCTTTACTAAATGGGGTGGAACAGACACGGAGGCTGCAGCCGATCGAGTTAGATTCCGTTGGTGGAGTGAGTCAAGCTAAAGAACCAACTGGGATGCTGGATACAAAGGCTTGAAATCACGTCGGAAATACCTACAGGTTTGTTGCCACTTCGCCCAGACTTCGTCCCCCTGGTGTATCTTGGACGTTTAGTGGGATGTCCTTCGATTTATTTATGCAGTTTTGGTCTAGCATACGTAAATACGTATGCCCCCTGGAGATGGTTTTATGCATGCAGTAACTGCAGTACGTGAACGTACGTGCAGAACAGCTGCCGTCACCAAAGTTACCTAGTAGGTAGCCCCAGCTTATGCACGAATGCAGTTCAAATCGTTAGGCGTAAGATATAAACCACCTTGTCGAGGAGTCTTGTGCAAATAAAGTACAAGTCATATTCATACAACGATCAGAGGGTGCTAGCTCCCGATGATGCTAGTGAGGATAGCCTGGGCGCTAAACCATGTTATGTAGGAATCTGCTCCTGGGCTGTTTCCAAAAGGATGGGTAACCAAGCTCTGTATGCGTCCAAAGTATATCCCTGACGCACCCCAACATCGAGGAAGTCCCTTATGCCAAGGAAATCGTCATTTTGTTGAGTTTGCACGGATCTTCTAACCCCCGCCTTGCGGTGAACCATTCAGTCTCGGAGCTTCAGCATCAACAAGGGGATGAGAAGCATGAGGGGCTGGCCGACAACCAGGCTCTGTCTTCGTCCAAGCTGTACGCCTGGCACACTGCTATTTCGAGCAGCTCTGCTATGTCGCGGGCATCTGTGTGCCGCTCGTCTCGTAAGTCTGGTGTCTTGGCGGGAGGTTGTCGGTCCAGTCTTGAAGCCGCAAGATAAGCAAAGGAATGAAAGGCGTGAGGGGCAGCCCCTGCCATTCTCCAGGGGAACTGGTATGTCTCGAATCCGTGGCATGAGGATGTTAGTCATGCAGAGCCGGCATGAGTATGTCGACGGCGACGCGGAGGGCAGTGACTCGAGAACAAAGCGGGGATTTTTCACGACAAGGTTTCGTTTGATCGCTTCACGGTCGACTGGTCCAGAATGACAACATCCATATTCTAGGTAGATTCTGCCAGTGTGTCAGTGGCTCTAAGGACAGCACACCCCAGCGAGTATCGCGAAACTCCGTGCGCCGCACAAGCAGCCCCTCCCATTAAAATACGTAGATAACCCGGTGCGTTGAGGGCGTCGACCACCAACTTTGCGAGTGGATATTATTCCTGAGGTTGCTCGAGGTGCAGAATTCAAATATCCCACTCGGAGAAGTTAGCCGTTTCCCTCCCGACACGCTGATACACCAAATACAATCGGATACAACGAACACACTGACCGGCTTCGCCCGCTCGCCATCATCTATCTTTGCAACAAATAAACCAGAGCTTTCAGTATTCATTTGCAGCATAGTTGACGAAGGTTTGCCGTGGCGCTGCCGGTTCGTTGCGGCCCGGAATCACTTGTCGCGGCGATTACGACTTCCATCAGGTTTACTTTCTACTCTGAACGTCCTTCTTCTCTAACAAGCTTGCCCAAACGTTTCGCGTCCGATGTCAAGGACGAGCGAGAATCAGCCCCCCGTCAGCCCGAGCAGGCTCGTTACTGCTCAAGAGCAGGATGCAGGAATATTCGTCACTTTTCGACCTTATGCTCATTCCAAGTTCAGTGATTCCCGCTCCGGATACAATGCCACCTTAACTTCTGGATAGAGCTCCCATGTACCTCTTAAGCTCGCTGTGTGAGTCGTTTCCGTTGTGTCGTTCCGAGAAAATTCATCGAATGTTGCTCAGTTGGCGTTAGTGCACTGCTACCACCAGGCCTCTTCCGACCACAGGCCAATATTCCAAATTTCTTGTTTCGAGCAGGCTTCGCAGCGATATATGGTGGAGCTGGTTATGTCTTGGCCACCGGGGACACGCGGAACGGGAGTGGTATCTCGACAGGTGCGTTTTGAAACCACACCCATGCCATCTACGTACTGAGGGCCCTCAGCGTGGTGTCTCGCATACCTGATGCTCAATGCTCGCAAAACACTGACGGCACCGAGGCACCCGCTTGGTCTTCTGCTTACAGGTAGTGTCGCAGCGTGCACTGCTCTCTACGGAACCGAATACTTTGTGTATCAAGACTAATAATAATACATTTCGTTGCATTCTTCTATAGCCCTATGTTTTCACGTCAATCCCTGCAATCGAGTTACATGGAACGAAGAGCGTACCGTTCGGTGCAAAGCCCATTCGCCTGTTTCCAATGTCCCAGACGCTGTAGTAATGCTTCAAAACTGATCCACCGACCAAATCAAGTCCACTATCAAAATCAGGTAAGCTTCATTCAATCCGTATCGCTCGCATACTCACTCGAAGGCGTTGATCAAGGTTTGGCACAACGTCGGATCGTTGGCAAATGGACCGACGTTCAACTCGGTGCTGGGGATGGTCAAGTTGAAGGGTTGACCATTCTGGGCTGTGAACCCAATATCAATGACGGCGGGTAGCGTGTTGATGCGATTGCAGGCAATGCCGTATGCGCCAGGCTCAGCAGGGTTGGGTTTGATATCGGGGGAGATGAGGGCGTAAATGGCCTGTCAGCGTGCAACGTGAGTGTTACGATCCATGATCTAAACAAGGCTGACTGACCTCCGTTGTTGCGGTGGAGAAAAGGATGTTGCTGGTGCCGCTGTCGAAAATGACAGTTCGGCGCTGTCTCAACGTTGTGGTGGTTCTGCCGTTGACTGATATCTGTGGAGAGGGGAGTTCCCATAGACGTCCAGAGGTGCTTGGGAGAGACGCGAAGGTTAGAGGGCCTGATGCCACTCGTAAGTCGCATTTCTAACGTCAAACGTCAGAATCTTCCTTAAACTCACCTTGGAATTTCGTATTGTCTATCCCCCCAAAAGTGAGTTCTGCTTCTCCTACCGCATTGGGCGTAAGGAACATGCTGAATAAAGCTGTAACGATGATCAATAATCGGCCGTTGCGCGCGATGAACCAAATCTTACACGGAAGTCCCTGGTTGACGAGACCGCCAAAGACGTTCACTGCCGTGGCTCCCATCCCTGATGCCGTCATCAACGCCCCAACTATTGGATATCAGGGCTGCCACACACCTAGGATGCCGCTGAACGGATCGATGGCGAATTTGGGAGTCTGGTCTGTGACGAGGGACAAATCTACTGTGCCTGCAGATAGCCCGCCAACAGAAACGACGTCGCGGCCACTTCTCAGCGTTAATCGGTAATTCGCTCCGACGACTGGGTCTACACCGACACCAGTCGAGAACGTGATCGAGCTTGTCCTGCCGCCGTCGACAAAGGTTCTGCTCTTTGTCGGATCGAATTTGATTTGATTGCTGCACGCTGCTCCGCATAGCGTGCTGGTGAATTCCAGAGTGACGCTTCCTGTGTCGAAGACAACCTATACCTCTCGGTCAGCCTCCGGCCATGGATGCATACTGGAACACTCACGGATACGGGTTGCGGTGGGGTGCCAACTACGATTCGCGTGAGTTGCGTGAGTTCAAATCATTGGTAACGTTTCCAATTTGCATACCGGAGATGTTCCCAAACCATCTACGTTATACTTGTTGGTGAAGTTCACTTCGAAGGACAAGGTGACCCACTGTAAATCTGTACCCAAGAAGAAATCTGCAAGGGGTATAGTGGTGGGTGGTAGCTGCCTTGATTTCAAAGATCGTCTCTTCGGCGCCATCCGAGAAGTTAGTTGGATCGTTTGGGGTACTGCACGTTTAATTTCCTCCCCAAGCACCGCAGTTGCGAGGGTCAAGAAAAGGAAAGCCTTTGACCACATATCGAAAGGAATAGTTTTGCTGTGGTGCGAGTGTAGTTTCTATGCTCATCACCTGGACTACTTATATGCCTCCGCTGCATGGTGAGCACGCTGCATAGAATACACCGCCTGGCGTATGACTAACTGTATACCCTCAGCTTGCGGGGTGATCATATGGGCAGTGGTGGTTCTTACCGAGGAAGTGCTTTCTTCTCTATGGATACTCAGGCTAATACAGGTATTCGCGTGGGCATGCATAGGGTGTGCTGATACCGTTGCTCGGAGCGTTTCCATCTCCATATGCGATTATGCCGGCGTGAGACCAGGAAGGCGACGACACGACTATTTATACATCGGGCACTATTTACCCGTTTCGGGTTCTCATGATCTATGGTATAACGTGCGTGGTGCGAACATTTTCTGAGTCTGTCGTGCCATACATCTGTTATGAGAAGCCGATTTCTGTATTCTTAGAGCTGTTGCTTCCGATGGACGCAACTCGCCCATGTGGTCGACGGTGTGGCGAGCCTCCAGCTAATTATATACTTGCCTGGATCAATCATGGCGGTGCAATACGTGATGCGAGGACAGCACGAATGCCACTCACCCTGCTCTGAACGATTCTTCTCGCACATTTTTCGCTCGAGTGTCCTGATTAAGGAGATTGCTAGGCCTCAACAGTCGAGCTATATTAGATACGTGATATGTGAGTTTGCACGCCGTAAACATATCTGACTTTGACTTTGACTGCCGTCTATCGAAGTCTCATGGACTGTCAATGCAACTATCACTTGAGCAAGCTAATTAGCCAGGCCTGTTTGGACCTTCTGCCACAAATTTCCACTCACATAAATGCGTAACAAGACGATTGGCGGGTCCTAATATCCGAAAGGTTGCTAGAAGAGCAGATATCACTCCCTCACTTCTGATGTATCAAGTCACCACATCACCTTAAAGATGGGCGTCGCTGCTTACATGTCGTCCATGGCGAAGCCAGCTCAACCCAACCTGCCCTCAGTTAACTGGTGGGCAACTAGAAGGTGTCTGTTGTAGTTTATTTCTTTGCTCAAACCTCACCGGTTGCAAGCATAGTGGGAGACATGGTAGCTCACCAGACCACCGAGGATGATGAACGATGTACGGAACAACCCATCATATATTTATGCTTGACACTGACTGCAACTTGTGTCAATACGCTCTGGCGATCGTTGATTAGACGGCAATACCAAGGGAGTGTCGTATAAAGCGAACCGTGGATCATCTGTTCAAGCTTGTCTAGTTTCTATTCATCGTACTCCTGCACCCACCGGGTAGCCCTTGCTATGGATAACACCCTCCAAACCTCGGCTGTAGCAATAATGGAAGTTGGGACCACGTTGTCTACTTTCCTGTTTGGAATCTCATCGTTGCAGGTGACCAAAATCACCATTTACACGCTTCTGTATACTGAACGAGAGCCATCATTGAAGGCTTATACTTACTATCTGAGATTCCCGAAGGATCGACCACGACTAAAAACACTGGCTAGTAATATCACTTCCTATAGGAGGTAATGTCCGCTGATAATCGTTGTGCGATAGGCTTTAGGTGTCTGGTAGGTACTCGTAAAGTGAATTTCCGAGCGCTGCTCAAGACCGAGCTGCAGGGCTATGGAACTCGGACATATGGTCGCAATTCTTCACTACTTCTATACATTGTCTATCTTTCAATTTGGCCGCATTGACTTCATGGAGCAGCGGGCCCCTCCGAGTCTGTCCGTGGCTGCTTTCTTAGACGGATTCCTTGCTGTCTTAGTCTCGGTGAGTCACATCGACTTTGGGCCCAGGCAGGATTCTTAAATTCTCGATATCATAGGGTTTCTTCATACACCGTGTGCAGAAGTTAACTGGGAACAATGCTTTGGTGGCCTTCTGTATCTTACTCTCTTTCCTGCGGTTGGTGGGAGTCATAGCCATTGCTACAGTGGGCTCGTTACAAACCCAGAACGAATTTCTGGCTCAGAGGAAGTGGATGGTAATCACTACTGCATCCATCGGGGCTGCAAACGATATCCTTATCGCGGGTGCACTGTCTTTTAATCTATATCACAGAAAGAAAGATCATGCGGACATCTCCGTCTCTGAGAGGTGCGCCGCCATTTCGAATGTGAACGAAGCTCGCTAACGCGCATGTCTACTCAGAACACTCAAACTCCTCGATAAGTTGATCGTCGATACACTTAGTGAGTTTACCGCCCCCTGTTTCCCTATGGGGCTCACTCCTAGCCGTACCTGACAGGAACGGGCTTGGTTAGCAGGTACACACTAACTCCTCTTAAATACGTGCTTCTTTGACTCAATATGCAGTCTAGTGTGCTCAGCGCGTCCCTTGCACTTTTTGTAAGTTCTTCCATTGAGAAGGGGTAACATACTGAATGTCATTTACGCCCATGAAGCTCATATTCATGACTGACAATCGTAAGATCACAACATTAAAAATGACCACCGACTAAAATCTTGATAGTTGTCTGGATTGCTATATTTGTATGCCAAGCAAGAGGTAGGTCTACCTCATCTTCATTGAACACTCACTAGTAATTATGCTTCTTAGCGTTTACAAATTCTTTTTTCGGAACGTGAGTTGGTACACTCTTTCGTGATAGTACGACGGCTCGCTGACAATACGGCAGGCTCAACGGTAGAGCAAGTTTTCGGTCGTCACGTCTTGCTATTCGAAAGAGTAACCCACTGCATTCTATCCATTTTGCAAACACCGTAGCGAGTAGTAGCCAAAGCGCAAGTGCTCGACTAACCTTCCTGGTGGGTCGGTCAGATATCTTGGAACGGTGCGAAATATTGACAACTGTTAGTCTACTGTCCCCGAAGACAATCACGTCAGTCGTGGCCGCGCAAATACCTTCAATGGCAGCCGAGCATAGGTCCCGCCCTATTTGTACCTGTATTATGATATGGACAGGACTATCTCTAAAGAACGAAATTTGTGGCTAGACTCGATGACACTAATGCATGCTAACTTTCAGAAGTATGGTTTGGAATGGGGTACTACACAGACCTTATGAAGTCATCGACATTCTGTTTTAAAGAGTCTGATACTCGATTCTTGAGCACGTCACATACAGTCTTGATGGTATCTCCAGCGATGCGAGCTAGATCCCTAAATTCTGTTTTGTTCTGCTTGATCTCCTGACAGAAATCGCCATTGCGTGAGCACTCCGTCCCAAAGGAGTGGAGGGTGATTGTGTTCCGGGCGAAAGAAGGCACAATGTGCTTAATTTCTTTTAGGATAGCCTATTTGGCAGGAGGTCCCTTTGACCGCGAGTAGCAGACGCGTAGCTACAGCGTTGAAACCTCTTCCCAGAATACTAGGTGCACGGGCGAAATTCGTGTCAGCTAGTACGCAGGCGCTAAGATATGAGCTATTGAGATTCTGGTACAGCATGTACCTATCTCTTAGCTGGTTAATCTCACAACCACTAGATGATCAGACGGATATAGTACCCCAGACGGCCCACAACATCAAAGAACACTGCGCCCATGGTGACTCCTTTGTACTCTTGTTGTACTTTTGTGCTTTTCAAGAAAGGCACTGCTCATCAGCGCTCTCTCCGTATAAAGCAACATGCATATAAAACACACTTCCGATATCTCAACTCCCCACTGCTCCCCACTATCGCAATCGCAAACGTACTCGCATAACAGCTGCAAAATCCCTGGTTCTTACGCCACACCTACTCATCCCGAAGAAAATACCATGTCTGCTAGAGCATCGCCCCTTCCCCCTCCTCGCTCCCCCGTAGTGCACGAAGGCCTCGGCCAGCACTTTCACGGTGATTTCTACGCTGCCTCCCAAATGGGAGGGACCGCGGGCGGTCATGGGAACACCAACACCACTTTCAATGGAGGCGAAGGTGCGTCCATCTGCTGACACGTCACAATGATGCACCATGTACTTATCCATCCTGGTATCCCTTCCCTTACTCTTATTCCAGAGACGCACAAAGTCCAAATCGAGAAGATCAAAGCGAAGCTGGACGCCAACATCATGGACGACGCGGATCACTATCTGTCGCTCGGACAGCTGTCAAAGATTACTAAGGAGCTGAACGGGCTCCTCAGCCAAGTGGGTGAGCTGCAGGGGAGGATCCGGGAGAAAGGTAGCTATTTGACTTCGCGGTGAAGAGTCTACTTACAATTGACTTTCTAGCGGGTCTGTGAAGATCTGTGACATGTCGAAGCTTCAGCTTACAGCAATATGGCTCCAGCCTCTAGGCCCTTATATGTATCTTTCGCGCGTGCTAGGATAATCTCTATGTATCCGGGTCGTTAAATGTATTACCTCTGACCAAGGGACGTATAATACTCGAATTCGGCATAATTGTAGATCGCACATCTACAAATGTCGTGAAGTGGTATACCAATGGGTAGGCCAACCGTAGTCCACTCACTCGACGCAACTAATCGTTCTTGGAGTTCCCATTTCACTTCTCTTGTGGGTCCATGTGGGTCCGTATTCAGTAGTTACGCTGTACTTGTCAAGCGGTTGCTGTCAGAAGTCAGAATCCTGAGATGGGCATGTGGTCTTATGCATTATGTAGTACACTCTTCTACATGTCAAACGAGAGAGAGAACAAGAGAGTATATAAATAAGCGTTCAGTCCTCGTTCCAAGTTGTAAACAGTCATTCCCACGATGTCAAAGTGTCTGAAAAAAGAATAAGGCAAAGCTCCTTCGGTGGTCAATTAAGCTCAACGAACAAGGACTCGAGGAGAACCTCACGACGCTGGATTAGGGAACAATGATCGCCCTTATCGCACCTTTTCAGCTTTGCTCCCTTTCTCCGCATTCAGCACCCCCTGACTCTGTTGTACTCAGTTCAAACGCCACATCGACCATAGTGAGTCTGCGGTATTTCAATCTATACACCGGTTTACTTGAAGTACAACAACTTGACAGGTGTGCACAAAGTTCATTCAATTAATTGCGACCAGGAACTCAAGCTCGATGAGATGCGCTCCGGGCTGCCAGTGGGCAGAGGTGTCAAGCTTAAAGCTATAAGTACGCCGCTCGAGTAAGGACCGCATCGGCCTGCTCCCGCTCCTCCATTGCACATATTTTCCGATTCCAATGCTCAATTCTGATTCCCGCCGGCGTGGTGCATCGGAGTCACTGAAAAGACACGCTTTTCCGGTCATCCAAGCAAAATCCACCAAAAAAGAGTCAATCTTGCCAGATATCATCTACACGGCCCTGAAAGCGATATCCAAGGTATCGGAGGGGTGTCCGTTCCCGCCAATCGTGTTCGCCGCACAGCTGGCTGTGGATATTTGGGACAAAGTCGTCGTGAGTTCGCTACTCATTAGTCATTATTAACATTGTGCTGATACTAATACAAACTTCGGACGGACCCTATCAGGAGATCAAACAGAACAAAGCGGGGTTCAGGAATTTAGCGTATGCAGCAGGCGATACTATCAAAACTATATGGGATGAACTCGAGCGGCAAGTCGACAAATCCGGAACGAAGATATCGGACTCTTTCGCGCAGAGTGTCGACGACTTATCAAGGTTCGATCTTCGCCCGAGTCCCTCCTTTTATCCAGCCGACATGACATGTATTAGGGTCGTTTCGTCGATCCACGACCTTGTGTGCGACTACGCGGGGCGCGGGTTCTTCCAGAGGCTGTTTTGCGCCAACAATGATCTGGGATCCATCGCGGGGTTTCAGCAAGATTTAGAACAGGCGCGAAAAAACTTCGAGGTGAGTATTGTATAGGTACTACATACTTCGCTGCTTCGACGGATTGCTCATACGCATACGCACGGTGCATCGCAGCTAGTGGCGATGGTCGGCATCCGAGCCACAGTCGAGCGCATCGAACATAATCAGCACCACCCGTCTGGCTCCTCGCCGGCCCAAGGACCCTTTGCCAACATGACCGTGCATAACACAGGTGGAGGCACGTTCAACAATGTCGTCGGCAACCAGTACAACGATTTTGCGACAGCTATATCGTCACGGGGGAACCATACGAATCCGAATCCGAATCTACGGGCTAACTCAGGCTCCGCGTATGGCAATGGCGCGAATTGGCGGCGGCGGGGCGAGGCTATGAGGGTGAAAGGTGGGCTGTACGCCTTCCCTCTTAGTAACACGTTCGGAAAACTGACCATATATGACTTTGACAGTACAAAGAAAGCACGCTCGATATAGTAGCACACGCAGACAAATAGGCACCGAGTATTATTAGGTGATTCGTCGCATGAGTCGTATGCGTAACCGTTACCACCGGCTTCCGTGGTATTTGTAGATGGGAAGAAGGCCAAAGGGAGGGTGTACCTCTTATATCTTTATCGCCAGTAGGGAGTTCCCTTAGGTCCTATACGAGGAAACCGCTACGGGAATGTCAGTTGTGCAGCGGCGAGGCAATACAAGCAGAGAAACATGAATATTGTAGAGCAATGTAGCGAGAATCATGCACAAAGCCTTCGGCGTCGGTCCGATGAATCCTCGAGACTGAGCTCATGCATGGAAAGAATAGTAAGTAGGCGAATGAGAATTGCAGGATCTGTTTAGAACCAGAGCCACGATTCACGCTTCGTGGATGAGTGGGCTGTTGCGGCATTGCTGGGTCTCTTGAATCAATGTCATGGAAGAGATATCGTTGATAGATTAGCCCACTATCGAGAGGTGCTAAAGCTATGTTTGACAATGCACCCGCCGCCCAATACTGGTAGCCAAAGCACTCGTCTATGTTTGGCTAGGCATCAACAGACATACTATCTGAGATATCTCGGGGCCAACGGTACAGATCTGCTGTGCAAAAAAGACTTCGCCTTTCCAAGGATGCCTTTGGGTAGGCAGGATGCGGATTTCGTGGTGCTGCTAGGTTTGGTAGGGGCCGCTCGCTTTGAAAACGCTAGTGAGCGATTGGACACGCCAGTTTCCTCAAGGGAGCGGCGGGTTTGCCTGCCACAGAACCCTCTACAGAGGAATATAAGTATGTACAGTGATCGAGAGGGGGCGGTGACAAAGACTTACCTCAGACAGATCCCATTGGTGCGTGAAGAGATCCAAGGGAGCCGACACTGACGGAGTCCAGCCGATCCACTTGTGGAGCCACGCCCATGTAGCGTTAGCTTCGACGCCAGCCTTTACTTTGACGTACAACTGGGCGCAATAGTTTAGCTCGACATCCGTATTTTCTGTATCGTCGATTTGACGAATGGTAGTTGATTCAGGAAAGAGAACAGCAGGGCTGGTACAGGAGGCGGCGGCGAGATAGCTACATGAGACAGCGATCCGGCAGTTAGAGAAGCGACTCCGGAGTCAAAGCCAACGGCCTGTGTTGCTTGCGCCGATAATGACATCCCGACCTCCACGCCAGGCCACGCATCAGCACGCGCTGAGCCACCGGAGGACGCGACCCCAGCCATCAGCATCGGAGTTATACTACCAGTCGTGCCAACCAAAGCGGACGCTTCACCAGAGAATAGACCATCGATAGCTACAGATAAACAATAAACATATAAGTCAACTCAAGGAGCCAGTTTCGCACAGGTGGAGTTGAAATAGGGCGTCAGGATGGTGTCTCTCTTTGGTGGGATCGTGGTCGATACTGAATGGGGATAGTATATGATAAGACGAGATAAGGGCGGGGTAGGATTGACATAGTGTTGAAGACCATACTGGACGGTGCTGGTGACTTTGGCTTCAGCATTGGCATTGACCGTCATGGCGACCTTGACTCCTCCCATGAGGCCAAGTTGGACTACCCTGTCGACGGTATTTAGAGGAAGTCATCTCAAAGATTCAGAGCCGAGCATACCCTAGGTGAAGAGCAGTGGCCTCGGGGATACTGACCGGAGGCGCGTCGTACTCCCATTGGAACTCCCCCTACGGTCGAACGATAAGCAGCGGCTCAAAACAACGAATCAATACGAGGCTCGACGCACTGAGAGTCCAGCGGACACAGTGTAGACGTGTTTCACGTTCATGTCGAAGTCTATAGCATGGTGTTAGTCGTGCAATAAATCAGAGGATAAAGGGCGAGTATGACCTTCCAGGAATCCGAGGATTGCATCAACCACCCCATTTACACCACTGACAGCGCCGCCCCATTTTCCAGTTCCCCACAAGTACGTATCGATATTCAAGGCGACAGATAACGATGCCGTTGTCGTGAAACCATGGGCACTGGACTCACAAGTCTTGGGGTCGGACTCCAGCCTGAGCGGCAGGAGGGGTCTCAAGGAGCTTCCTATTCTCACTGTATTACTCTCGCTCTTTGTCGAGTCGCTGGGAAGGTCGATTGCAGGTGTGGCAGAAAGTGGACCCTAAAGAATCCGGGCGCGCGCATCCCTCAAACCTGCCTGGAGTTCTGCCGACGAGGTCAGTGATCCTCGAATGAGACATGAACAACAGAGTGCGGCACCTTCAACGGCACTAGAAAGGAATGTTTGACGAACTCAAGGTCAGAAACATCCCCAAATTCGCACTAAATTTGACGTTGGGAGAGTTACATCCACGCGGAATCGAGTGCAAATAGTGGGAATGTTCGACCGTAGCGACTTCCACTGCCGATTTGAAGTGGAGATTGGCGAGCGTGACATACGGATCGAGCAGAGCGCTGAACAGACATTGGGACTGCTCAACATCAAGCGACGCGAGGGAAATGATTGGGGTAAGGGGGCCAAAGGTCAAAGGAGGGGGCGATCCGAGAGGCCTGAAAGAAACCAACTTAGTGAGTGGCCTTTGTGGAAGCAACAAAGAGTACGCGGCCGGCCTCACAATTGTCGCCCTCAAGACTACGACCACGCCAACCAATCCCAGATGCCCTAGGTCTCACCGCGATCCCCATCGAGTCGAGGTTTGAACGTTATTTACGACAGGAAGTGGATGTCCGGATACGTGGATGCCGACATTACCATTGGGGCCCATTAATATAGAGAACAGCCAGTGCCCACCCCGTCCCTTTCGCAGGTTTATGTTGAGTTGACGTTGAACGTAGATGGTCTCACTTCGGGGTCTGCCTCAGTTCCTCTCGACGCGAACAGTTTGGAAAAGAAAGACGAAAGATGTGGTACACTGGGGAGTCCTCTGGACAGTGAGTCCGTGACTGGCAAAGCATAAGCGCCCTCTGCGACCAAAAAGGAAATACAGGGAGGATGCAAACATCAGGGAATCCGCGGCACTCTGGCACGGCCTTGCAATACACTAGCAATCCCTTAGAAGGGGCACCATGCCCACAAGGCGTACAAGATTCTCAGCGATGTTTATAAGGCCATAGTAGGCCAAGTACTTATAGTGAAGTTAGACTAGTGTTCGACTAGCGTTGCGGAATTCCGCAAGTTGCACTATGTGTCGTGGCTATCACATAAGGCATTTTGAGATTGCTGGTGAGGTTGGGTGATAACGGAAGGTGTGATATGGAATACAAGCTCTTGTACCCATGGCAGATAGATAGTATGCATATGCAAGTGTGTCGCAAATATCAGACAAGGAAGCGGATAATAGGGAATATATTTGTATCATAACCTCAACACTACGATACATCATCTAGCAGCTGTGGTATATGAGTCCAATTGAACAGGGCAGCTCAGCGGTGTTTGGGTCGGTGGCACATCAGGTTGCACGTTGGGCTGCAGCAGCAGCGGCCGCCGCGAGTCGGGCAGCTTTGATAGCATTGCGGGATCCATTTCCGTTACCGTGTATGGCTGTGTCCTCACATCGGAAAATGCGTCTATACAGAAGATTTAGTGTTAGTAAAACACGGCTGAAGCAGGAGTCAACACTGACTTATCCCACCACTTCAACAGTTCCTTCGTCTCCAAGGCATTCTCAGGATCGCGTAGGTAAGCAATGATACTATTATAGAATGTCACGGAATCGAGAGAGCGAGTGTTGCGGGAGAAGGTTGTGTTTGAAGATAATGCGAAGGACACCTAGAACCAGAAGTAAGTTGATTGATGACTACAAATGAGTGGCAGCCGCACCTGTGTTGCGATGTATGCGATGGATCCTGTGGTGACCTTAGTCATCCCATGCAGCTGTGCATTGCCTGATCGAGTTGAGGAACCAGTATCAGTGACATTCTCATCAACTTGCGCTGATGACGGTGATGTGAATACATGACGGAAGGCCTACATGGCGGTAGTCAGTTGCAGATAGCCGCAGAAGGCCAGAGGTACACATACCTTTACAAGAAGCGGTCCCTGGAATACGCCAACCCAAGGCATGCTTGGATCATATGGGATTGCGTACAAGAAGTTGTGCCAGTCACCACCGTTAACAAGACGACCATCTATGGTGGCAGTGCCCTCGCGAAGCTTTTGCTTGATTCTACAAAAAGCATTAGTTGAATGTCATCCGAGATGATGTAAACAAATGGGTATACTCAGGATCGCCCCAGTTCAAGGCAACGGGGCAGAGTAGTTGACCAGTGATGTCATTGTTGAAGCCACGAGCTGTCTTTGTCTTTGGGATCGGGGGGCTCTCTGGTGAGAGTATGGACCACCACGTAGGTATATTAGTCTTGATACCTGATGTATCAATGGATTTTGCGCTGCTTGAACCCTGCTGGAGCTAAAAGATGTAGTCAGTCCGAAGACAATTGGCAAACAACAGGTAAGCAGACAGTGCTTACTAGTTTCCCGACTTCAGATGCTGCGCTGGCACCTGCGTCGAGCCGGCGATCAACGCAAGAACTCATCTCGATGAGCTTGCCATATGCATACCAGCATTGGTTCTCGCTGGTGTTGAGTAAATAGAAGTATCATCGGTAGTATGAGTGAGCGGTACTTACAAGTCACTATAGTTAATGTCATCGTCAAGTTCATTGGCACGTATCAATCCTTTTTCGATGAGGACGGAGGGCAGAATAAATGCCTCAACGGTGCGCATGAAGTGATAACCAACGTGGATAATAGGGTCTTGTTGTTGTTTCTTAGTCAGTGGTGTGTCGTTTTCGGTGGGTGCAGAGCGCTTGTTAGAGTTACGAAGAGGAGTAGTGGGGGTGTCCATGTCGGGGAAGAATGGGAGATTCAAAGTGTATCGTCGAGTATGCTTTATACGAACCAGTCCCTATATTACAACTCCGAGTCAGAGTTGAATATCAACAATGGCTTGTTGATCACATGTGCGTGACAAGACACGACTGACCTTATCAATTGCAAATGGCGGGTACTCAGTGAGCGGGACATCCAGGCCCATCTGACCCCCATAAGTGCCCTGCCACGCCCCTAGCTTTCAAGTTCGGAATCTTCAGAGTCGTCGTCAGTGTCGTTGTGCTCATCTTCCGAAGTATTGGAGGTATGTCCCTGAGAGGCATCATGGTCGTTACTTGCTTCTTGTAGTATTCGTGGGTGCGCTGCCTCAATTGACATAGCTGTACGATGCCCGACTGCACCCCCGACATGCCGCATAAGAAGGTCTCGGTCAGCAAAACTACACGAATAGTCAACCAGTGCTGTGCGCTAACGAGATTAATCTTACCAATTTACATAGAAGGTATCCCAATCAGAGTCTTCAGCACCCTTTCCTCTCGCCAACCATGAACGGCCAAGTAAGCGGTGTGTACGGCCATTCTTGAAAACAGGAATAAGGTGTCCAGCTCGGATAACATTATTTGGATCAACAAAACCAAATGCATTTCCATCGAAAGCAGGAATAAAGCCGACTCGCTCGAGGCGGAGATGTTCAAATCCACTGGTCCACTCTGGCTCACACCCCATCCACCTTACAAAAAGGAACTCCATGCGTTGAGGAACACAGATGGGGGCGCTCAAGTCCACGACATTGACGTGATATATTCCCAACACGCGGGCGAACCAATATGAGTGAAACATATCATTTGGGGTGGGAGTTTGTGCAAGTAGCATGATATCCTGACGAGGACCGGCGGATTTGACTAGATCTTGCTCCCGGCGGACATCGTAAGTTGTGTAGTTTATGTGAAAAGTTTGGTGAGGATACATCCGGTTATTGTGAAAGACGATTGCCGCTCGTTGTTCCTCATGGAACATGAATCCATCACCAGAATGAGGTTGGCCACGTATGCGAGCTAATAAGTGGTCTTGTAGACGAGGGAAGAAATCCTAAGCTTAAGTTGATCAGTTGCCGCGATTGAGTTTAGATGATCTCATACCTTTACTGCAGGGTCACCTTGATTCTGTAGCAGCCACCGACCTATATCAATATAATCTCGCTGGCTAACACCAATGACGTGGTGTGCGTCGAGTTTTGAATAAGCTTCTTCATCAGGTTTGTTGCCAGTGTCAGCGCTTGAAGATCGGTGTGAGTTCTGTTGCGCATCTTGAAGGTGGAGCTGATGTTCTATATCACGTATGCGCTGATCGCGGATATCCATTGCAGCCATTTGCTCTTCAAATTGTTTCTTGCTTGTCCGCATATATCGTCCTGTCTTTGCTCGACGATGTTCAACTTCTCCCTGTCCAAGTAATAAATAAATAAGCTCATGATTATCAATGAGAGACATACCAATTGCGTTGTGTATGAGTCAGTCGTTCCATACTCATGAATTGCATCTGCATAGTGACCGCCGGCTGAGTGAAGCTTGTAGGTAGACAAGCTGAATGCTCGCATATTGGAGGAAGTGCTAGAAGAGGGTACTTGAGTAGTGTCAGCGTTGGATGGCAATGCGGCGGTGGAAGTAGAAGTGGTGGTTGTCGACAGGGGTTGCCTTGTATTGCCAGAAGTGTTGTCCGACGATACTTGAGTCTTCCGTGCTAAACGCCGCATACGAGCAGCAGTTTCTTTGGGTAGTTCGGTAGTGCTGAATGCAGCACATGTCACTTCTGCGAACTTCCGGACATGTTTACCAAATTCGATGGTTGCAATATCAAGGAGCCGCAATGTATCAGTCGTGTGCATGCGAAGCATACAAAGGCCATGTGTGTATGCAGTCATGAATAGAAGGTCCAATATAATGCTATTGTGAGGTTCGGGGAGTAGGCCTTCAACAACGGGTATAATACACTAGCTGTCTGATCAGATCACGTCTTGTAACCATCATTTGACTCACCTGTATGATATCCTCCCAGTTACGGGCAGCAAATTTCTTCATGCCAGAGACATTATCACCAAAATACCGAATGGCGTCACGTCCAAATGGAGGGACCTGCGAGAATCGGCTGTCAAACTCAATTAAGAGCTGTTTGTCGTGTGCTTGAAGGATGCGTAGAATATGCATGATGATCTGACGAAGAACCCCAAGGGGCCACTCGTGAAGAGCGTCTGGAAGAAACATGGTGAATACGTCTAAGCCGCAGTCACCAAGACGAACGGAGAACGCATTCTGAAAACCACATCTTAGCAAAATCATTGCAACTAAAACGAGCAGAAATACCTCCGTTGGGACTAGAGACTCCGATTTGAGTAGATCATCCACAAGCTTGCTGTTGACGGTGTAGCCTTGCTTGTATATAAGTTTACGGGCTTTGGAGACCTTGGCATGAAGGATCTTGCTATCGACTCGCTTGCCATTGTGCCGTTGACTGATATCGGCCGGAGTTCCTAGAGCACGGATAGCAGACTTCTTTACTAGGCATCGTGGGCAAGGGCAGTTACCCATATCACGGATGAGCAGAAGAAGGACCTTCTCGGGATAGTCGGCAGAATAAGTGAAGAAGCGTGGATACATTCGCCGACGGAAGCCATCACTGCAATCGACAACAATACCATGCATATAGGCCTCCCGGAATTCATCATCCAATAGCAGCCGCCATATTGCGTGCATCAGCTCCCGTTTGCAATGTGTAACCAAAGGCTTCGAGGCAGCCTTTCCAGTAAACTCTCGGATGAACTGTTGTACACTTTGAGGAAGCTATCAAGGTAGATGTTAGCCATATTCGTATCACCGTAGAGAACAACTCACATGCTGTATATAAGCAATATGATCGAAGGCATTGGAGGATGGTCGACCGCGTTCGTATTTTGACTGGTTCCCATATTGCAGATAGAACGGCCAAAGTGATGCGGAGCCGAAGTCTGTAAGATGCGTGGCATCAGACCAAAGCATAAGAGCGGCAATATTCCGTGGAAGGGTGCATTCGGGCTCAGGTGGTGATGCCTGAAGTTCTGCATGTGCCGTTAAGAATGCGGGTGAGTTATATAGTTCGCCAGAAACAAGTTGCTCGCAGCCCGGGTTTGGGGCCCATATGAGCTTGTAGGGGATGTAGTGAAAGTTGAGCGAGGAATGACTTTGAAATTTGGCTCGTATAACTTCAACCAGAGATTTGACGAAGATTCGGTTGACAGTGAATTCAGCGGCAGGCACATTTTTCTTGCCTGACGGGATCTCAATGGTTACAGCGCGTGTCAGCCAGCCAGCAGCATTGTCAAAGACTGCACTCGAGCTATCCCCGGTTTCGCGATTGATTTTGGCCCAATTAATACCAGCCAGGTCATTGGCCGTAAAGTTCTCTGCGGTGATGATGCGAATAAGGGCCTCGAAATCAGCCTGGGATTTATTGGGCTGAGACCAGTACCATTTGCCGATGTCAAATGCGGCTTTGTTGGGAAAGGGAGAGTAAATGTTAGGTACTGGGATAGGAGGCTGACCACCTTCGGGAGGCTCGACACCAGAACCGGACCTTTCATTTGCGCTGATGCGTGATGCGAGCTCCTCGATGGTTATATTATCCTCGGGGTCACGGAGTGGGAGATCTCCGGTGTACTCGCGGATGAGACCAAAGACGTTTGGAGCGGTGCGAGTGACATGAGGGATAAGCGGAGGGACTGGTTGTTCTTCGGAGCCGCTGCGTTCATATCCAGATGGCTCATCCAGGTCAAGAGGCAAAGTGGCCTCAGCAACGAAGTCCGTGAAGCGTCCCGGCAGGATGCCTCGAGTCGAACGAACCCTGGTGGACTCTGGCGGAGGAGAGGGGTTTTGTACAGCAGCTGGACTGTTATCATCAACGAATGGGAGAGGTAGTGATGTTGGGAAGGATTGTGGTTGCTGCATTGAGGTATCGATGTCTTCATTGGTCTAGGATTAGACAAGTTAACCATGTCGTTCGAGAGTATCTGAGGTTGTTGCTTACCGCGGTTGATGTGGTGGCACCTGGGAATTCCAGTTCCTGTTCGTGCGAGGAAGCTTGTCGGCGTCGTTTACGAGGTCGCCGGTTCAACGAGAGCGCATCAAGATGGGCGAGATAAAGCTTGCATCTCGCCTGATGGCGTTGGAATGAGCCATCGTCGACAGTGGTCTTTCGACAGATGCACACCGGCATAGGTGACGGTGGGGATAAACTTGGACTTGTATCGAGAGTCCGCGGACGAGTCAGTCGTGGTCACTGCCAGCCATGTGCGACAAGGTACCGGGCAATGGATTGTAACGGGAATTTCGCCAAGCGACGCCCTTGTCGGTGTTCCGCCCATGAGAAATTTGAATTGCAGGGCCTGGCTTGACAAAGCAAGACTTCGCGTTCATTGAAATTGCGGGCCATGGTCGTTATCGTTGGCGGTGCTCTGACAAGGTGGGAACAACACGTTATTTGGTCTTGCTTTTTTCGTGTTGTATTGCAAACCCTACAGTATTATACAATTATGGCGGCGTTTTCCTGATGAACGCGATCGCTTCCTTCGCTTCCTTGTACTTACCATACTTGAATCTACCACTGGAATTTAGCGCAGCACGGGAAGCTGCAGTGCCGGAGTCCTGCTGATCGTCCTTGTCAATGTTTCAGATAGGCGAATCCCTGAACATCCCCTAAGCCCCGAGTGCTAGGATGTGATAGGACGAGAGCAGCTACAAGAGCCGACGCGCGCCTGGCGTGCGCGAACGCGCCAAGGTACGTCGTTTCTAACTTATGGTGTCAGGGCTCTGCCTCAGGACGCCCGCGACTGCATATCAACAATCGGACGACGTGTACCAGGCTCCCATCTTCCAGCTTCAAACCCCTGTGGCCACTGTGTCACTGAACAGAAAGAAACCTCAGAAATCTCCCGCCCCATATCTGTGCATCCGACCCGCCAACAATATCGCCTCGAAACTCGAAGGAAGGGTCTCAGCCCCGACTCCCGCGCAGCTCTCGTCCAAGTAGACAACTGACGCTGAGTGACGCTTCAACGCGCTCCCTCGTCCGAAACTCGAGCGTGAAAAACGGAAAACGAAACCTAAGATGTCCTGAACACTGACTCTGCTGGGGTGGCAAGGACTGAGAGCCTGGTGGTGATGCTACTAGTAGTTGTAGTGGTGGTTGATATGTATATCCACGATCGTACGTCTTCCCACCTGCCGCTGGCAACTGTTCTACAGTGCCTCTTCTTGCTCAGCATGTCTGTTATTTATCAGCCCGCCGACACATTCAACTCATTTGACTCGCGCAGCCCCGTCCGATACAAGCCCTACGTAAGGCCTGAAGAACGCCCCGCAACGATCAACGGGCGGCCTGGAGTGCTCGTTGGGTGTTTGAACAGCACCAACCAGTCTACTAGCAGTGTCCTCGATCAATACGCCAGAACAGGCGGCCAGGCTAAGAGTCGCCATATTTGAGCCCGTCCACCCGCCCCCCAATGCCACCACACAACATTAGTGATCTGATTAGGTGCAATCAAGTTCTTTTCTGCTTCACCGGTACGACGCCTAGAGCCTTATAAATCTTCATTTGTTGCTCGCCTCGCGAAACCGATTGAGACCCAGACTTGAAAATATTCGCCCTCCACGCTCCGTGAGTGTCTATTGGACGTCTCCTCGACCCCTTCTTGAGAATCCAATTTCTCGTATTCGACGTCCTCGCATGCAAGCACGCACGCGAGGCCCTCTTACCCTCCTATCTTCAACATCATGGTCTGCTCCCCGACGTCTGGCGCGCATGAGCTACGCCCATTGATATCCCGATTCTCAGGGCATATTCGCCGCACGACAGCCGACAGCGACTTCACTCAAGACATCGAGGATCTGAGTATTCTTGCCTGCCCATTTATGCACGTAAGCTCTGAAGACAACGAGCCGCCCTTTACCAAACATGACAAACGCTCATATCATTAAAGCCAAGGGTGTCGGGGAAACACAGTGGTACCAACTGAGTTACGGCAAGCATGGCAATAAGCGACCTTGCCTTCCCAGCTGAAACTGTGATTAATAGCTCGCAATCTCTTCCGTATATCTATTGCTAATGTACAACCCACAAGGGACGTCATCTCCGCTTTACTCCTTGATCAGGTCGCAGATCTGAAATTGAAGATGCTAGATCAACTGCTGGTTCATCACTTGTCTCCGCATCCTATGGCGAGGGTGTTTAGCTTGCGATGCACAAAGATCAGTCCCTGGATGGCGCAGCCTCGAGGCCATGATCTCGCTTCGCTGATGCCACTCCGCGGCGTATGTATCGCCCCATGTGTTTTTGTTCTGCGACGCTCTGAAAGCGATGGGCCCTGCTCGACAAGTATCAGACTCGAGGAGACGACTATATGATATCGGAGAATCATACACTGTCGCCCTCCCGTGGTCGTTGTAGCGAGATCATTGTATTGGTTTCCGACGACATTATTGAACACGCCTCCCCCAGTATTGCTCATGGTCACGGTTGATGCAGTCGGTGAGCCTGCCCCTCCAATATGACGTTGATTTTGTTCAATACGCTCAACTGTGGCTCGGACGTTAATTATTGTAACCAGCTGCGATATATATCAGTATTAATACAAACAAGGGCCAGCCACACTCACCTCAAAATTCCTTTTGGCTTGGTCCAGCTGCTGCTGAAATTCTGCGATGCACCCCAGATCGCTCTCGGAGCAGAAGAATCTTCGGAAGAATCCACGGCCTGCGTAGGCGCAAACGAGTGCGTGAATTCCCTCGACAATCCTAATGCGTGTCGACTCAGCAAAGTGCTGGACCTCGGGATATAAGAGCAGAGGCGAACCTCGATAATTCTTCGACACTCTTTTTGAAAGAATCTGATATTTTCACCCCGGATTCCAGGATCTGGTCATGGATCTCATCCCACACTGTTTTCACTGTGTTACCAGCCATGTAAGCTAGATTCCTAAACTCTGCCTTATTCTTCCGTATTGCCTGAAATGTTCTGCATTGGTTATCTATCACGCGGTGAAAAATAAGCAAAGAGCCTACCATAGTTTTATCCCAGATATCCACAGCTAGGTTTACGGCAACGACGACAGGGGGGAACGGGCACGCCTGCGACGATAGAGCTATCACTTTAAGGGCTGAGTAGACGACGCTTGGTATGATTGATCCTTGGTCAAATTGCGAACAAACCACCTCCCTTGCGCTCGATGCACTGTTCTTTCTAGGTTGCAACATGAGAGCGATTGGGCCTTGCGAGGAGGCTGAAGTGGGGTTTACGCCGCGAGCTGCTCATAAGTCGGCCCCGGTCATTTGCATAGACGCCCCCGGACCGATGGACCAGGTCATTAGATCGGGAAGTTGATATATGGTGGTGAACATGGCGTATGGCCCATGGAGTATTCCAGTCAGGTGCAGCCAGTTGACATCTCTTTGCAGCATTTAGAAGCATTGCTATCTTTGATCGTTTCAGCTGCGGGCGTGGAGGGAACGCGGATGCCACCATCGTTCTCAGGCGAGCATAAAATAGAGAGCTGTTGTCCCTCAAGCATTGAACGTTGAGGCCTAGCCGCCTGAGGAAGGAGGGTGTAGTTGAACATGGATCAAACTCCGTTCACAGGCGAATATGGGGTACGAACTTTGCTGCAACGATTAGTTGAGGTCGGCGATGGCCTCGGACTCATGATCCATACAGAATTAGAACTTCGGCCAGAGGCATGGAAGTTGAGATATACTAAGTATTAATGATTGACGCCTCGCGACTTCGTGCCCCCGTTTTTGCTGAAGCTGTTCAAGAACTTCTCATCAGTTGACCAGCAATGTAGGTTGTGCGTGATTGACTTACGAGAATATCATAAGAGCTAACATGCGGATTGCATGCGGAGAACGCGTGCTGACTCAAGTTGTGGCGAAGCTACTCAGATGGGCGCCAGAACTTCGCGCTAATCGTGGTATCGTGCATTGGCTGTGCATTGAGAACCGGCCCAGTGCACTCGTGGTCTTGCCTTCCATGACTTCTGCACGATAAGCCCGGTTTGAACTATGAGATATCGTTGTATTTACAGCTCAGAAAGGTGCTCACCATCGATTCAGCGCTTATACTATAAACAGAAACAACTACAACGTACGACTTGCATTCTGATACCTGCACCATACCACACCTTCTCAGGGCACCAACGCAGTGGCCACTCCAGACAACCTCAATACTGCATTGAAGGATGTCATCAGGAAGCAGGGCTTGCGTGGTGACTTCTTTGCAGCCTCGCAGCTGGGAGGGATCGCCGGCGGCCATAGGAATATCAAAACCACTATCAATGGGGGTGAAGGTGGGGGGTGAAGGTGAGGGCGCCCGGCAACACATCTGGGGCATAGGCCTCTGATTCATCGTTCCTCTCGCAGAGACTATGAAAGTCAAACTTGCGAGAATGGATGCTCTGAGCTCTATAAATCGTTTGGGCAACTGGAGGAGATGAGGATGACACTGGAAGGGATCGTGCAGAACGTGGACGATATGATAAAAGATTTGGAAGAGAAACTCCACGTACGATAGGAGAAAACTGCTGTTCTTGTATCTGAGTGTTAGCAGCGTCGCGCCCCTCAATTATGGGTCGACACGGCTTTCTGGTACTGAGCCGCACTGTACTTAGCAAATGGATCTGTGGGACGTACTGGTACACTGGCCTCGAAGTTGGAGTCGCCATTCTCGCTCAGGCGTGAACGCTTCGCTCCTCTAGGTGACCCTTTGCCTTGATAGTTTTCACCGTCGTCTTTATTCTCACCTTCTTCGCCTCGCTTGTTTTGATCTGCAGTATTGTCTTCGGCATGCAATTCAGCCTCAACGTCTACGCGCGACCGATGTGTTCTCTCTTCCCTGGACCGGACGTCATGGGCCTGTTTGGGCATTGAATACGAGGTGTTGTCAGGCGTACAGGGAAATTCCCTGCAGCGAATACCCACGGAGGTAAGGCAAGTCGCAAAGCAAAGAACAATCAAGCAAGACCCAACTAGCCTTTCGATGCAGAATTCCCACCCCTGTGCTTGATCGAGGGTGTGTGTTCCCATAGGAGGGGTTATTGGTGTCTCTCAGCGTATAGGACGACTTCGCTACATAACTGCTTCGTATAATGATCTTGTACGGATGTACACCACCCATGGGGTCAAATAATGTATTGTGACATACTTGTCATGACGAGGTTGGCGGGAAAGCAATGCTATCGACAGGTGATGAAGTCGAGGTCGAGATCAAGGTCAACTATTAGATGGTATGACTTGCAAAAGGAGTTGTTGGCTGTCTCTGGCGGAAATCGACGGGTATTTCTTGATGCTAGCCGGTCGCGGTAGGAGCTGACCTTAGTGGACCTGTAGTTGGCGCAAGGTCAGAGACTAAAGCAGTTATACAATCCAACACGTTACCATCGGAAAGTATTGACATCGGATGCACCGAGCGTTTTACGCTAGCTCAAGGCACGATCTCAGAGATTGTGCAAATCCCAATATAATGACTTCGAGTAAACTAGCCGTTGGTAGCATTCAATCGCAACGCATTACGATGGGGACAGTACATTTGAGGTATCAAGTTTTATCTAGAGGAGCCGAGTACAACGTGAGTAGTCCACGACGACACGACGCGTAACATGCGAAGTTTCTTACCTCCGTCTGGGTCCAAACCCTGCCATTGCCAAGCGCTGTCTAGATGCTCGGTTGCTATTGGTGAGGTTCTATCACTCACCATCTAGTGTCATTTCTCTGATGGATCATACTAGGATGCTCCCAGAGGCCTTAGGCAAGCCGAAGTTTACACTGAGAGGCCCACAGAGCGCCTCTTTCGGAGCCCCACAGAAGCCGTGCCATAGGGCTTTACCGGTCGACACTTCCGACGCTTGTTAGCCCTCCGAAGCGGTCAGCCTCAATGCTATACTCTTGTTGTGATAGATGAGAACTCACTACCACAAGACTATGGACTTACCCCTGAAGGCACAACGCCCTCTCTCCTCGACGCATAGGAGCTTCTGCCCACGTACATCGTAACTGGAATCAACCCTACAAGTTTGTCTGGTTGCAGTATAAGGCATGTCCCTGGGGTTTCATCGTGGATTTTATGACCAGATGCCACATTTTCTTCCTCACTTGAGGACTCGCCGGTAGTAGGTACCCTCCATGACCACCGGTGAGCCTTGAGGCCTTGAGGCTTTATGATTTGTAGCTTTCAAGGCTCTGAGCGTCGATGTTCTAACAATTCCCCAAATAGGAATGCTTCCAAACTCTCGCAAACAAGCTCATTAAATCATCCCCCCTCCTGTTAGCAATTGTCAACCTCTTCTTCTCTCACCACGATGATCTCCTTGCGGATGAACTCATGCCTCGCCCCATGTGCCCTCTCTCCTTCGCTCAGGCCGCCCGCTCAACTTCAAAACGCGTTATACGAACTCGCTTTCTGTTCTGGGCGCGACGCTACTATGATTTCCTCCGCTGATGGCAAGTGACCGCCTAAGGGAGTATTAGCTGGAAACTATCTACGAAGATGTCTTTGGTGATTCCCTGGATCCGAGCTCATCTCAGCCCTGGTACAAGGATTTCGGGACGCGTTAGCTCTGGTTTTCTGGCATTCGCAGCGCATATATGTACCTTGGGGCCTTCCTCCACGGACGAGTCGATTGGCTGTCTACCCGTACTTCGGTTCCTTGGGCGACGGTAACACCTTGCCTCATCTCAGCTTCGCTTGCCCTGCGTTTGGCTAGTCGGCGCAGCTTCCCTTCTTCTGATTACGACTCTAAGGTCTCGTGTTCGGTGGTGTCTCCCAAATAGTTCGACCTGTCTCTTATCCACCCGTCGAGCCCGATTCGGCGCGTCAGTATCCGTGGATTGGCCATGGCTGGAGCAAACTTTGCCTGGGACCTGCTACTTCCGGGACCTTCAAACCCTTCATGGCTCTTTGGGAGGCTCGCACGGCCTGTTAATTAAATCATGGACGGGGGAAGAACATTGCTTTGACCCCGACCCTATATAAACAACTTACCCACCGATTATTAAGGCCGGAAGATGTCGTCAAACGTCAAACCTCCTGGAGTAGCCAGCTGTACCACTAAGGAACCTCTGCTTTTGCCAAACGATCCGTGACTCTGGCTTACTCCTTCGAATCAACCACAGCGCACCTGTGGCACTGCATCAGAATTATGGAAAACATCGCGTGTTGCCTCCGCAAAAGGTAAACGGACGACAATTAACATCGAAATTCCGTAACTCGGTGACAAAACCGTGTGAGGTTCAAAGGCTTGAACGTGAACATTTGATGGCGGAGCAATCATGAATATCCAGGCTAAAATGAACTGCCGGACGAAGGTACGAATGGTAGGCAGAATTTGCAGAGGCTGTAAGCTGCAAATTTAGAGCCTAGAGGACATGCAGAGGTGTAAACCGATGCCGGCGGCTGAACAAGGCTGTGTGGGAGCAGTAATACGGCTAGAGTACGTAAACGACGCCCTTATTCTCCCCCGTGTTCCAGACCTTTTTAACTTTTGACACCTTCAATTCCTCCAGCTTCGCCTCGGATTGCCGTCTTTCCTTTCTTAGTACGAAGTCCCAACCTCTTCGGCTATGTAAGTTTGATCGCTGACTGGGATAGGTATATTAACAACTAAACATAGCAGCTACCAATGATTTCTCCGAGTGTCGAAGCAGATTTGGCGCCATCCTTGACCTTTTTAGGTTTTGAAATCAGAAAATGCCAGCACCTCCATTCCGTGCCACACAAACGGACGATCTGGTTTATATCCGTCTGATCATATGGAAACTACACAACTGGTGCTAATACGACTACGTGCTCTTGGCAGTACTCTCTGCCTTTGCTCGGACTTGCCACTTCCACGGACAAGATGGTTTATTCCTACTGCTCAGGGACTCAACGGTGGCCTATTTATGCAGTGTTACGCTCATTATAGACTCTTCGTCAACTCTTTTCGAACGCCAGATCCGTACATTTGTTACTTCCTTTTCGATGCTCTGCATTTGGGATCACAGACTTCTAATGCCACACCGTAGACGCCGGTTATCCGTCCTATCGGAAGTCCTCAAACGCCTTCCGGTCGGATGATAAGAATGGTCCTCATCAATCAACGCGAATCCACCATCGGCTGTACTTCTAATACTTGATGGGCCCGTTATATAAGTACGATCGTCAATGCAAAGGCACCTCCGACCGACCATGTCTGATCCCACCCTTGGAGCCCTTCAAATTTCAACCGGCATATCGGGTTTCTTGCTCGGATGTCTCGTCCTCCAAACCTACATGTACTTTACCAATTACCCACGCGATTCAGTATGGATTAAATCACTGGTGAGTCCTGCCTTGGCCCGCCGGCCAACTGTGGTTTCGAAAATGTTGATTTCCGTCTATAGGTCGTGCTCATTTTGTATGTGTGCGCGTTAACCTACGAGATGATGAAGGGCTCACATTCCTTAGCGCGTTGGAATTCGCTTTGCATGTCAGCCTGACAGAGCTAAGCTACAATATATCGATTATCAATGCCGGCAACATATTTGTTTTGTTTCACCTGCCAACTTGGCCAATATCGCCATTCATCAGCATATTTGCCATGCCCATCACGGAGGTGCGACACTTCTGCACCGTCTTCGATACCTTTGACTAATATCTTTCAATCTTTAGATCTTCTACCTTTGGAGGATCTACAGGCTTTTGAATAAAATGTGGCCCAGCCTCGTCGGCACTGCCATCTCTTTATTTCGCACCTCCTGCTGGATTTACTATTTCTCCCGGGCCGTCAGAATTGGGCTTCCAGCGCTAGCAGTCGATACCGAACGACGATGGCTTGTCATCCTTCTTCTATCACTCGCCTTTTTCCTCAACGTATCCATTGTGCTCGTCATGACGATCTATTTAGCGCGTCACCGACATACAACAGCAGCGAAGTGCGTAAATCTTTACTTATCTGACATCGACTGACGTTCCTGGGAAGGACGAGGAAATTAGTCGATCGACTGATCATGTGGACTATCTGTATGTATCTTTGAACGTCGATTGCATTCGATAGTATTGACTTCCGTACGAAGCGACTGGTATGATTGCAATGTATGCTCCCCCTTTGCGCCTTTGTTGTCCCAAGTTCATATCTTCTTCTCTAGGGTCCCCCACGTCACGTCCTTGGTTTTGGTTGGTTCCATCTTCCTTTCGAGCTGGAAAGAGGGTCTGACGTTTTCACTCTCTCCAAGTTCTTGACAATGAAAAACACTTGTGAGTCGTCCTCTCATATGAAACCGTATAGCAGACTGATTAGTATACAGTGGTTTGGATGTGTCTTATACCAATTTCCACGAAGGGTAAGTCATCAATTGGTAACAATGCCCATACGTCACCGGGCTTACCATCCCCCCGCAGTCTTCGCAAACTGTCTCATATCGACGTATGTTCTCCGTGATGATTTTGACAACAATCTCATTGAAGATAATTAGGCTGAACACCAGACCGCCGCACACAGATGTCCACCACCCTCGCCCCACTTCCAAGAAGGTGGCCGCGGGAGACGTATCCACGGCGAGTCCGCTTTTTCTCACCCAAGCATTGGTGCTTATGTTCGTGCGTACACCCGAATAGATTCCTACTTTTGATGTCTCTATGACTGAGCCTGCATTTGCGAGAGCGGCATTGGGCACTGAAAGCAGTACTACTAATTACAGTGATAAGGTATAGCGAAGACAATCTGCATTATCAAAGGATATCTATAAAGTAGCCTTCTGCATGAGGTATAGAACACCGCAGTGCTATTTTCTCTGAAAACCTTTACATACTGTTTCAGTTGATTTCATATCACCAATCTGTTCAAATTTATGCCGTCGTATGCGTACTCAGATTAGAGTCTAGCGGTCAACCACAGCCGACACTTCCAAAGAGTGTAACAACGAGGGATTGCATTTGCAGTAGTCAAGCTTTGTCTTGCCAGAATCATCCGTACGGCGGGTAGTGCAGGCACGGAACAAGATGAAAAAGTAGGTCCTACCCCGGACAAAGATCAATGTCTCCTTCGGTAAGTTTCATCACCTATTATTATTCTCTACTGAACATACAGGTTCGGCGCAATATTTCCTTCCTGAATGGGCTCCGCACTCCATACAGGGTTGGGGCACGATTAATTGAACAGCTCAGGGGCGTTCAACCTCAGATGGTCCAGCAGCATGTCCTCGTGAAATTTCACTGGGGTTGAAAACACTGCGGCGTGTCTGTTTGCCGGTCGTGTGGTCCACTCCTCGTTATTCCCCCACAAATCGAGGAACGTCTTGTACTGCTCGCTTTCAGTACCATAAACGAGCACCAAGATCTCCTTGACCGCACGCCAAGCACTATCGAGGGCACCAACAACCCATCTAATGGCAAAGGATCATCACATTGCGACAGCAGAAGTGATTAAGAGAACATACGCGTGTCGAACACTCAGTGCTTCTCCAGCAAAGTGGAAACGACCGTTTGGTGTAGGGAGAGTGAGATGTTTATAAACTTCAGAGAACATGCCTGGACCGAAGAACGCGAAAGCACCTAAGGAGCATCAAGCATATAAGTACCTGTTAGTAGCGATGCAAAGAAAGCTTACCCGTTGTCAAAGGGTCATGGCTCCAGTCCCAAGGGTACATATCAACGAACTCGCCCACAAGGAAACTGATATCGAGGTTATGTACAGTAGCGAGATCCCGAAGAACGAGTTCCTTGAGTTGGCCTGTGTAGGTGTCTTTTCCAGTACCAATGAGGGCACCAAGGCGCTCAGCGTCGTTAGTCCAGCAATAGCTTGCGATGAGGACGGTGCTAGGGGTGTCGGGGAGACCGTACGATGGATAGACGATGGTTCGAATCGGTCTATCGGTAACTGATTGCCCACCGACGATGTCCAATGGATTACCGTCTTTGTCTTTAGCCGTCGACCACCACGCAGTCTGGAACTTGATGCCAATCTTGATCGACGGGCCGTATGTCAATTGCCGCAAGGCGTTGGATTGACGAAGGGTAAGACCACATTGGGAGAGGTCGAGAGCGCGCAGGCACGGAACAGGCAAAGTCGAGATAACGTGAGGGTAAGATTTAGCCTCGGCATGGCCGTCAATGGAGACATGCATTTCGCTGTTTCCCGCAGCGACGCCAGTGACTCTCGAGTTGAAAGCAATGGAGCCGGAGGTACGGGTTTTCAGATAATTTTCCATGATGGCTGCAAGAGTCTGAGAGCCTCCACTGAATAAAATGACAAGAATGAGAATCGATTAGGCGCATCCTTAAGATCAAACATACTCAATTAACTTCCAAGGCCCTTGGAGATTGAAAGCCATATCTTCGAGCACTGTCTCCGCCAGCGACCTATCATACCAGCCTGTTGACTTATCAAAAGTCTCGCACCAATTGACGACGGCAGTGGGCGGACTATAGGGCGGAAGGCCCAAGCTAGGGCTCGGGATATATTTCGTGGACATATACGTTCGCGTCGAATAGGCATCGAATTTCATCAGCTGATCCCAGCCCGTGGTACTACCTGTATCGAGGTCTCGTAGAAGTTCGTTTGAAAATGGAGTGATAACGTCCTGCATGATATCTTCAACACCAGCTTTAAGGTAATCGTGACCAACGCCCAGTTCGGACCAGAGAAAGTCATCACCAGAGGGAGCAGAGTTTCGGCGTTTACGGACATCGTTGTAGTATAGTAGGCTGTTGCCTTTAATGTCGTCGAAATAGTAGTCTTTGAGTTGACCGGAGAGATGAAAGTCGCCGACATTGAGGGGGCCGTAATTAAAGAGGTGGAATAAACGGGCCATGACGACTGTAGCGGGAAAGCGCATTGCTCCGACATCCTACGCAAGAGTCAGCAATAACAATTGAAGGATGGAATCAGTTCTTGCGTACGTAGTAGTCGTATTTGTCTCCATCACTACCGTCCGGCCTCTTGAACCTGTGAGTGTAAAGGCGGCCGCCAGTGCGCTCAGAGGCCTCAATGATCTCGTATTTGATGTCAAGCGAGTCCAGGATCAGCGCGGCGTACAGCCCGCCGACTCCAGCACCGAGAATTCCGACTTTAAAATCTTCCCTAGCTGCATCTTGCGACACCGTGGATGGTGGAAGAGGGAAGCCATCGCGAGGGAGCCCAATGACGGTTCCCTTTTTCTCGCTGATCTCCTTTCTGAGGGCGATGATATGCTCGTTGATCAAGTTCCTGCCGTAGTGGGCGAACACATCGTATTTGGATTCGTAGATTGTAGCCATAGGAGACGTCGAATTGCTGGTGAGGAGTTAGTTACCACCTTGAAGTGTGCATTAAATATATTGTCCCAATGTCCCAACATAGCCAAGTATTTATAGGCCTTCCGGTGATATACAAGTTGCTGAACCAAAGCATGCCACCCGGGTGACAGGACCATGCGGATGTGGCGAATCGGAACGCTTCGAGAATTTGCTTTTCGTACAGCAAGAATGGAATCAACTCGTTGGCGGTGTCTGGGTAAGCGAACGGATCGTGGATTAATTCATCATCCCGCGACTTCACGTAAATGCGTCACGACAAGTGATCATGGGTCTCGTCATAACGGCAAACGTTGGATGGGGTGTGGCCCGGGGCATGTTTTCCACGAAGAGGAACAATCCGAGAATGGCAGAAGCCCCAGACAGTTTGTGGCTTGCGAATTGGAAGCGAGTGGGAGGAGAACAGGGTGGAAGGATGTATATCAAGTTCTGTAATCCGAAGAATGGACTGGCATCGTGCATGTTGTTTGTAAACATTTGGGATAATGTACCTGAGCCCCCAAGATGATTAGATGATCGTCTGAAGAATCCGTTTACTGCGAGTGGGAATAGCAGAAGGGCTGAGAATACTAGGAGATGTTCTCTAAATCCTGCACGGGGAACGGCCGGCCATCTGCTCGCTGAAGGGAACGGGCACTACGGATAGTGCTCGACACGCGTGACTGTGACCGACTAATGCTTCAGGTTCTGCAGCCTGGCCACGAAAGGCACGCTCGGAGAGATAGATGGCGCGTCGTGTGCCAGGAAGGGGGCTGACGCCTCCCGGAGACCGAAGTCACCACCACGAGGGTTCCAACGAAATGTACGTGCAGAGGTTGATGCCATCCAGTTGCGACTTCCGGCACGCAACCCTGCCAGGGGACTCGTGGAGATTTGAGTACCGAGGCGGCCGTAGGCCGCAATGTATTCGTCTTCGTTGCGGTAGTCCGAAACAAATATGACCTGATCGCGACGTCCATATCGTTGACAACGACAATCAGCAATAGGCCGCTTCAAGTCCTGATATATGCGCCTTTACGTATTTTGGAATCCTTCCAAGATGCGTCGCAGGAACTCCTAAGAACAGTTGGCCGAAGCGGTACAACCAGAACGAGGGCGTTTTGAACTGAAGGTCCGATGGAAGGGATCGCCAAAAGGGGAAGCGCCAGGCCGGTCAGATGCTGAGCATGCCCAAGCGACCTCAAGCGGGTGCTGGGTATGCGTCACAGACCGCGTCACAGACCGCGTCCAACGGCCATCTTCGCAGCACCTATTATCCTTAGGCGGGATGGCGGGAGAGGGGCAAGAAACAGCCCGGGAGAGAAAAGTTCAATCCACGTGTGCGCACCAAAGCAGCGTCTTAACAACGCCATGAATACCACGCCCGAGTATGAAAGCCTCGATATCCTATGGCGAGAGGGCGGCGGGCGGGGTGAAAGGTGCGGGAGAGATCATTGTGGTACGAGAAGAAGAGTTCTATACGGCGGCGGGGTGTTAGTTATAACCAGTAGATTTACCGATGTTTGGTCTCTGGACTCGTCCAACTGACGTCGGAATTGGGAAATGTAGCACAATATGATCATCGGCAGGAGTTGTTTTTCAATGAGAATCGAACGGGACGAATATGAGTAACGTGGAAGGCCTTGAGAGTGAAGTTACAACAAGGTATCGGCATCGAGTTTAGGAATGCATACATACTCGTACAGATTCTAGTCGAAAGGGAAGAGGAGCTAAGGTCCTCGGCCGGATTGGGGGGGCAAAGAATCGATGGCGATTCGAAGAGCTGAGGCCTGGAGGAGGCTGACAACTGGTCTGGAGGTTTTAATCCCTCGAACTAATCGCCTCGTCTAATTTTTGAAGAAGTTGACGACGAGCTACTTCTGCTTTCATGACAGGAGTTTGATAGGCAAACGTCAAAGACAGAGCTTTGATAGAGGAGTTCGCTGCGCGAAGTCATGTCTTGATCGCCACCGTATATTGTCGCCATTCGGTTGTGCAGTGGTGTGGAGGCTGGAAATTGTCCCCTTGAACTCTTCTCCGCCTGCCCGTACAAGAGACCGTAGGCGACCAAAACTGAGCGGCACAAACGGTTACCATGAAGAGTCAAAGGCGATTCAAGGACTTGGTCGGTTCCAAGTAATTCGCGCCTGTGGGGCGGCGGTCGTGGGCGGGTCCGCGTCGGCCGTCGGGTCGTCCACGAGCGCCATGCGGGCTTGGAGTTGCATGATGAACGTCGCAGGCGATGTTGACCGTCCTTGGTGACAATGAGCAGGTGTCATCACGTGGTATCCTGAAATGTGATAATTTAAGTTTTGGGGGAGTTCGGCGGCGTTCCGGTCACTCACCCTGCCCATATATATGGGCCTCTAGCCACAAATTGCCAATAGCCTTCCCCACTGTCCCGCAAACGCGGGGAACCACCGAAATGGACTCGCAGGCACCTTCCCCGCCCTACCTGGACGAACCCGCGAACAGCGACAGCAATGGATCTCGCACGCCATATCTGTCTTTCACGCCGAAGCGCTCCATTGCGTCGTTCGAGAACTTAGTTGCTTTGGCCAACTACCAGGAGCGACTGAAGGATGCGCGGAAAATGGTATGGCGCGATAGAGGGCAGCCAGTGACAGACTTGCCCGATCTAAAAGCATGTCTTGAGCACGCGGCCACTGGGGGACTTAGTGAGGATGCCTTCGTTGCTGGTCAGAGGCGGCTACTCATAATTGAAGGTTTCAGGATCAGCTACGCTTGCTTTTGGCATTCGAGCGGGGTTAAACGTCGTACTCGCCATGATTCGTATGCGTAGGATGCCAAGGTGCGTGATTCTTGCAGACTTACGGTGGCAGGCATACCGAACGAGTCCTTTGCCCTTAGATCGCTCTGGTTCTCCCTTGTGCGACACGCAATCTTCGGATTCGATACGCTTAGATTCGGCGCAATGCTGGGCACATTTACAGCCGTCTACAAATTCCTAATCAACGCGTTGCCGATCCTCGTTCCGGCCGTGAACCCCAGACGCTACAGTTCCTCCGCGGTCGATGATGAAGAAACCGACATAGACATGCTTGAATCGGGGCGTAACACATCGCGTTTGACGGTCGAAGTCCCTTTGGCTGAACGCCGAGCGCGCCTGTCTCTCAGCACACACGCTCAAATGATGATCGTGCGCAAGAAGACGAGGAGGTGGCATGCAGCGTTGGCCGGTGCCGTCGCTGGTGCGCTGGCTATTGTATGGGAGAAGCGAAATAGAAGGGGAGTAATTGCTCAACAGATGTTTGTTCGGTATGTCAAGTTCGAAATCGGGATTACGCGTATATCTCATGCGACTCTCCAGTGGCCTTCAAGGGTCATACAACTCTTTTGCCTCGAGGCACAATATACACGTCCCTCACGGCGCAGTACTAGTATTCTCTGTCGCGTAAGGACTTTCTCCTACATCATACATCCTGCTCAAACTACCTGTAGCTGCGGGCAAATCCTGTACGCATTCCTCTTGAGACCAGATACTCTTCCTCGTTCATACTCTTCCTGGTGAGCGATATCTTGATCTCATCACCTTCGAGTCTTACTGACCACCTTTCCAGGATCGGGCAAGCCGCTAAAGTGCCGGCAGAGTGCGTTCGCATGAACAAGGACCTCGTCCGAGAAGGAACCTTCGACATAGCGGACGTCGATAAACTCTCCTGGCGGCCTGTAAGTCCTCACAATCCCTATTGTCGTACCCAATATCTAACAAATTCAAGGACATCACACCTTCCAACCTCGTGAAACTCCTCGAGCTCCGCGACCGCGCGACCGCGCCAACCCCCTCCTTCGGCCCTCGTCACGTCTCGTGCGCGGCGGTGCATCCTGCAATAGACTCTTGCTTGTCGGTCCCCTTCGACCGCTTTTTCGAAGTTTTCAAGTGGATGCTCCCCATCTACGGCGCGCTTCACTTCATACCCGCCATTCTGTTTAAACGGAAGGAATTTTTCAGACAGCCGCTTAAGATGCTGCTGAAGGCTGGCTGGGGGACTACCCGCAGCTCGGCCTTCCTTGGTACATTCGTCATTATATACCAAAGTACGTCCACTGATTACTCACCTCTTTGAGTCCCACTGACAGGGACATGCAGCCGCGTTCTGTTATAAGCATTACTTGTATGATCGATTGAGCTCGCCAAAGAACTTGCCAACAGTGCAACGACTCGTCGAGCTCCTCATCTCCAGAGCATCGTTTTGGATACCTGGATTCTTATGCGGGCTGTCTCTCTTTGTCGAGGCCCCCAGAAGGCGAGCGGAGTTGGCGATGTACGTCTTGCCTAAAGGGCTCGAAAGTGCTTGGATTATGGCTAGAGGTAAAGGTCTCGTTTTCAAGACCGGTAAATATGGCGACGTCATGGTGAGTCTTCAACCTCTTCCAAAGTTATGATAGATTAAATGCTTGGCTTGATTTCAGCTCACTGCGATAGGCATGGGCATGTTCATGAGTACATACCAGAATGACCCCCACCATCTGTCTGGGTTGGTCAGGCGTATCATGTACCAATTTATAGGTCCAAATTGAGTGCTTTTAAGAACAGTTGTTGCGTCGATGGGGTCTGTCCATGTGAGCCAAGACTCAGATATATGAGACCCTGTCGTACTTCCAAGAACACGGAAACGCTAATTGGGCAACCGGATTCTTTGGTAATTACGCGATCACATGTCACAACTCAACCTACTGATGTCTGCACAGAGTATGGTCAGTCCACGCTTTAAACGGTGAAATATATGTACATACAGTCTGTAGATTTGGTGCCCTTCGTCAGGTTCAGCCAAGACATCGAATTCATTGTTGGGCACGGGCTCAAGCCTTGCCCTCTGGCTTTCTTCCGCCCTTTTGCGAGCCCTCAGGCCCTTCCCCCGCTTGGCTGGTTTCTCCCATTTTCTCATTCATGCCACCGTACCTCTGATCTTTCCCGCTCATTTCATATGGCTTGTTGCTACTGACACTATCATAGGCACCACGCTCCGTTGATGCCTTCATATATGAGCGGCCTTGAACACGTTAAATGCAAGCGCCGTGCTCACATCGCCCTGTTTTGCCTGAGGAGGTAAATCTAGAGGTTTATGAGGCTCATGAGGCTTCTGAGCAGCAGCATTTTGAGGGTCGACGCGGTGAATCTTGTCGTCTGCAGGCGGGGTGGTGTCAACTTCTTTCGAGTACGTGTCCTTTGTATGCGGCTGCTTCAATTGCGAAGAAGTATGCAGCGGACGCGTCTTCAAAGAGCGTGAAGAAAACGCGGTAAGGCGCGCGCGAAGAACGTTCATGATAAAGAGGGAAATGTGGGGAATTTTCAGGATTGGGCATTCGCCTACTTATATACGGAGGGCAGGAGCATGATGTCATCGATGGGCATGAAGGACAGGGGCAGAAACTCCAATATTCCAAACGAAACAAAGGTCTGCCCCATAAAAGGGAAGAGTAGATACGAGCACATTCGTAGAGTATGGAAAAGAGGCCCCGGATAGAAACATGTAACGATCTAATATAGTCCATGGTGCTAAAAGGTCGTCGTTCTCTAACGAAGTGGTGCATTCTCCTCATCGCGTCGCTTGTCACGTCCAAGCCGTTCGAACGGGATTGAGGTATGCGGAAGATTTTGCTTCGTGATAGGTGTGTCACTGATGAAACGACCTGGCCAGAATGGAACGAAGACGGCGACGGCGATGAAAAGAGGAAGGGTATCGAGAGCGTAGAACATTGTCTCCGATGTAGAGAGCGGCCCGCCAAATCCTTCTGCTTTCTCGGCCGTTCGGAAGACGGAACGAATCTGATTATGGTGGTGAGTAGATGTTTATCGGGGTGAAGAGAGGACGTACCAGGATCCCAATACAAGTAACCGTGAATGCAACGGTTAGAGTACGCCAGTCATTCCACCACGATTTATGGGAGTCGATTGTCCAAATGTCTGGGCGACGAGTGTACACCCGGAATAAGAACCAGAATAGGATCAAAGAGAAGATTATAAAGGAGATGAGCTGGAGGATTAAGCCGCCGAGGAACATCTGTATTTTGGCATGGTCATTTCCTGTCAGCAGGCAAGGAATGGAAGGCGGCCCACGTTGTTGCCCAGGTCAATCGTCTTGGGTTCACGGCTCGAGGCCAATACGCCTCCGCCGCCGGCCTGGATCAAGAAGGTGACAACATCCGAAGTAACGAAAGCGATGGTGATGCGGCTGGGGCGGACAAGGGGCAGGAGGTCGCCGCAATCCAAGTAGGTGGCCAGATGTCCCAGTAGGGCATACGTCGAGGCAATGAATGCACAAGGCTGGGATGATGTCAGTCGACACATTGTACCAAGGTGAGCTTTACTGACCGAAAGCAATACAAACAGAGATTGTGCAATATATAGGTTCAACGCGTGTGGGTCATTGTGCACTCCCACGCGTAGCCCGATACCAAGCGCAAAGGCTGTCAACAAATAAGTTAACCACATAACTGCGAATCTAGTTACTTACTGAAACACCCAATGACCATTGCGAGCATAAACTTAGCCCCGTGTTTGAACGTGAGCCATGTCTGGAGCAGTCCGACTGAAACAAGGAGGACTGAGAGACTTTAGTATCCCGATAGAAAAATCACAGGACATAGCTAGCTTACTTGCAGCGATTACCGCGATGGGAATCCCTGGTATATACCGTAAAGGGTTGCATTCATCATTCTTTGGGTCGAGGTATGGATCTGGGCATGGTCCCTTGGCTGCCGCGACGGAAGTGGGTTGAAGAAAAAGAGCTAATGCAAAGATGGTGGGGAAGGATGGAAGAATAAATGCAGGCATTGAGAAATAATTAACGAGATGTATGATAGAGGGCACTCACTCAAAGTTGGTATAAGTATACCTAGGGGCGGACTTGCCGGCGGAAGGACCGCTCCGCCAACAAAGGTGGTGTGTGACCTGGGCCTTCCACAGCTCGTATCTACAGCGTTTTCTCCGTCACAGGATCAATGCGCAGTTCTCATGTATCTTTGCTTTTGCAACACGACTGCGGTCAACAACGTTGAAAACCTGTGTCCCTGTTTGCTCACCGACCAATGAAAAAAAGCGAGTGAGCACGCTCCACTAAGATTATGACACCGCGATTGTAGTATGGTGCGCAGAGAGGCCTTTCTCTTGCACGAAATGAATGCGATAGGAGTGCCGGGCTGTTTACAAAACAGCGCAGACGACTGTAGCGAAAATCGGATAGAGCAATCGACAGATACTTGACATAGGGGATTCGACGCCAGTCGCGTGAATAAGAACGACAGTTGGAAAAATACTGAGGAGTCGATAAGTGCCTGCCGCTAAAGACCCTTCAAGGAAAGTTTACCGATTAATAGTGAGATCGCGCTGAGTCGTAGCGACAATCGGCACGGCCCCAACCGTACCACCTCGAATGGGAATATTATGCAACGCGCTGGGCGAGGGCGAAGCGGTCAGTCCCTCCCGCTTGGGAAGAACCAAAGTAGGCGTGATCGAACCTGAGGAAGGTAGATGCGGAGATACGGCCAAGATCACGTATTCGAATGACAACGGCCCAGTGAGAACTCAGGTCGTTGCGTAGCCTTGAAGAAGGCTAACGGAACGGGCGCCGCGAACAAAGCGGGGAAGATCCCAGGCCTCAGGGTTTTCCATATATGGCTCCGACATGCTGATAATGGCCGCCGATCCAAGTATTGCTCAAGCTCAAGCTATGGGTAAGGGACCGCTGGGATTTTGGAGGTGCGCGTTTGTATGATGGCAAATTCAGTATCGGCAATTGGCAACGATAGGAGCTAAAACCTGAGGTATATTCGGAATCGTGTCACCGGGTTGAATACCCAAGCATCGTGCAGATCATATGGAAAGGCTGTCGAAGTCATGTAAGCGCCTTCGATCAACGATAAGTGGGAAATACCAGACGCTGTGTCTGGTTTGTGTTCTACCGTCACAGCGCCATAAGCAAGAAGGGATATGCCACAGCGTGGGACTAGATTCTCCAGAAAAAGCTGCCGGCGACGAACATTAGAGCATCCAATACCAGTATTCACGGATCATCCTACGACGGCGATAAATATCGCAAAATGGGTGACGAATAACGTCGGGTGTCCGTAAGCTCGGAGTTGCAGCGGGCGCCAGATCAGCGGGCATGTTAGTTGTATTCGAGTAGTCCATATGCGGGGGAGAGGGTGTGTGCCATGCTAAAGGATAATGGTGGAGAGAGATATTTTGCTGTAATTTGTTTGAGTCGAGAGTGCGCGTGTGTGAGGTCTGAGTGTTGTGGTGAGAGATGAGCTCCAGAGAAGTAGGTAGCTGGAGGCGTGTGCAGTGTTTGCTGTGTTTGAATAGCTGACATTTTCCCGACGCCTGAGGCTCATGTGCAAGCGCCAAGGAGTATCCCCGTCGCTTTTAGAGTAGGGGACCGAAGAACCTCACGCCAGCGCAATTATTCGCGTTGAGTACAAGAACGTGATAGCCTGAGACTAAGCAGTACGTTGGTCAGTGAGGTATGATCTAGGCCACTGCAGTAACTACATATTCCGAATCACATACACTATCATCTCGAAAGGCAATTGCCCGGCTTCTGCTCTCCTGTTTGTCTTCATAGACATTTGGCTGAGTGAGCAATAAATTAAATGACTCCAGCCCCTCTGGAGTGACCCACCAGCACGCATTGCCGCATTCGAACCACAGTATCCTCATTGAGGTCAGATGGAGGCAGGGAAAAGTGCATTATGTCGGAGAGAGTCAGAGTGGGTGCTTCTAGCGTAGTCGAGCTGGTTGAAGCCGTTCCAGAAGGCTCCTTGTCCGAGTCCATCATGAGCGACGGCGAGGAGGTTCAGAGCGATCGCAGCTAATAAGTAACCATTTTGAATTTTGAATAAGGTTTAGAGAAACCTAATGGAAACCCAGAAGGGCCGCAAGCTTGAACCACTGGTGGAATGCATGGAAATCCGTATTCAGTTAAAGTTCCAAAAGCACAATTCGACACTTCGAATCCCCAACGGAAGCCACTTGCAAAGGAAAATTTCACAAACCTTCAAATGAACCACGACATACATTGAGCTGCTTTCAACGAAAGCTCAACTTATTTTTGTCTGGCGGCCTACAATGGTGCTTGGGCTTCTTTTTGCGCTCGTTTGGTGAGTGTGATACTTGTCGTGGTGGGTAAGGATGGCTGCCGTATGTGCCTAGTGCTTCTTAGCCTTAAAAGTATCCTCGAAGTGAGCAAGTCTTCCTTGACTTCGATTCATTGCTCCGTGACTAGAAGGTTGCCACTATAAAGATGGCTCGCTCCCATGGGGTCACACTGAGGCGAACAACTAAGCCTCTTCCTCTTGGTACTTTGCATGGGTCTCCAAATTGCCAAAGCACTCCCCTTCGCCAACCTGCCAATTTTCTGCGGGTTGGCTGGCGTAGGACTAGTCTGGTTGTGGCTTCGCACCCTGCATTTCAATCGACGATACGCTCCTGGACCACCTAGTTGGCCTATCATCGGGAATTTGCTTCACTTTCCATTGATGCACCCCTGGTTAGGCCTTACTGAGTGGAAGAGGGCGTACGGTATGTCCCCATGGATGCCACCGTTCAATCACTGGCCTCACGTATTCTCTTATCCTAGGTGACGTGGTGTACTTACACGGCTTGGGAAACTCAGTCGTTGTATTGAATGATCTCAAGGCGGTCAACGAACTATTGGACAGAAAAGGTGTAATATACTCGCACAGGCCGCTATTCGCAGTCATCGGAGAACTAGTGGAGCTTGACAAGGTCAGATGTGCTTACTTCGGAACCATGGGCATACTCTAACCGCCTGACTAAACATTTGAAACAGAGTACGCCGCTGCTTCCTTGCGACGATGTCTGGAAGCTTCACAGGAAGCTGGCGCGTACTGCGCTGAGTCCTGATGCTATAAAGAAGTATCACATCGTACAGGAAGATATCGCTGCGTTACTCAACAAGTCGCTATGCGATGACCCCGACGATTTCCGTCAAACCTTTCGACTGTTTGTCGTGCTCCTTTCCTTCGAGACATGTCTTACTGATTCCCAGTCGATTTGTAGGGCGGCTGGTCGCATCATCCTCTCGGTCACTTATGGTATCCATGCACAATCGTACGACGATGATGTATGTCTCGACACAATTTGAACCCATGTCCATAATAATCAACTCCTAATCCTAGTATATCCGCATGGCCGAGCAAGCTCTAGAGTTTATAACCAAGTCCATGATTCCAGGGGCGCATCTGGCAGATTCTTTCCCTATCCGTAAGTCTGTTTGTCCTTCATGGTATCTACACACCAACAGAATAGCTTCAGTCAAGCCGCTTCATGCATTGTTCTTTGCCAAGAAAGTTCAGCACGACGTAGATATGGTTCAACATCTACTGAACAAACCCCTGCAACATGTCAAGACCCAAATGGTAAGTCGTATCGGCTCGCCTGATCATTAAACTACCCAGTTCCCGCCCACTGATCCACCTCCTTACGTGCAGGCGTTAGGAAATGCGCCGCCGTCGCTAACTCACCACTTACTGGCCTCCTTCGGCGATGATGGCGAGTTTTCTAGCAGGGACGAGTACGAAGAGACTATCAGATGGATGGCAGGATCCCTCTTTGGCGGTGGGACATGTTCCTCCAAACATCTTTCCAAACGCCCTCGCTCATCCCAGTTTTACAGCTGGTGCTGAAACGGTGAGTAGTTGTCTCAACAACACATAGCAGTAATGCAGTGATTGATTAGGTTATGCACGGCCAAGACGTATTCCGTCGTCTTGACAGGGGTGGTTGCGATGATTATGTACCCAGATGCACAAGCCCGCGCGCAGAGCGAGATTGATACTGCTATCGGGGAGCATAGGTTACCTACCATGAAAGATAAGGGGTCTTTGCCGTACGTGGAGGCATTTATCAAGGAGATTATGCGATGGTCCCCCGCCCTGCCTCTAAGTAAGTTACACAAAACACAGATCTTTTATTTTTTCTGCTCGCCGATACTCACTCTGGCTAGGTATCGCTCGGCGGACCGCACAAGACGACACATACGAAGGTCTTCTACTTCTGGTCGTAGAAACGTCTCTCATGCTGAATCCCATTATCATTCCATCAGGCTATCATATACCGAAAGGTACAACTGTCCTACCCAATGTCTGGTGATATCCTTCGCTCCTGTAATGTCGAACACGCACATGCTTATCTTGACCAAGGGCTATCTCGAACGACTGTGACCCGAAATACCCTCCGCGGGATTTCATCCCAGAAAGGTTCCTAGATCCCAATTCCGCCGTTGACCCAGCGACTTACGCATTCGGATTTGGACGAAGGTAGGAATTTATTTCTCTCGACTCGACACATACTGTAACACCATCTATCTACCGACTTACTGATATGGTGCCACTCCTCTTCGATATCGTAGGATATGCCCAGGAAGATACCTCGCCGAAAACTCCATATTCATCATTGTCTCGACGCTTCTGGCGGCATTTGAACTGTCTCCTGAGCTAGACGGTCAGGATGCGCCCCGCCCGTTTCAGCCCCGCTTCGTCTCGGGCCTCGTTAGGTTGGTTGATGAAAATGAACCTACATAATTACTTACCCCATCGTACTTTACAGTTCCCCAGAGAGCTTCAAATGCACAATTCGCCCACGCTCAGAGGAGAGGCGTAAGCAAGTCCTAGATCGAGCGTCGGCCGTGACGTTATGATTGAGAGCCTTGGAATTGGGCCTCTGTTCCACCTTCAAATGGTCGAGTTACTGGTTTTGCATCGTACGAGACTATCTCTAGACGATCCTGCAAAGTTATCTTGTGAACGGACGCTATCGTTGCAAACAAGAGTGCCCGCACTACGCCAGTCTCGTTATCGAATTACTCCGTGAACACAGCGAACTACTAGATGCGAGGGCCATCAAGAACTGACTCCTGCAGACTCCTACTTTAACGCGTGATCGTGAGACAGCGCCCGGCGCCCCTAGTCTAGTGGTACCACACACTTCGGTTGTGACAGTACGGCGTCCGCGCTCGAACTTCCTCCAAGCAGTCCCAATGTGCTCGAGTGCGCAGAACTAAAGACTATTTGTCACCTGTAACATAACCCCTTCACCTGGATACCCCAAATCGTCAAATATCTGATGGTTTCACTCGCGAACGGCCCATTTCAATGCCTCACCCTCTCACTGCTCATATTGCCACCTATCCTCCTTACGACCTACTTCTTGGCTGCGTTTCCAAGTCCCCCAGAACCATTGGTCATATACCCGTCGCTGGAATCGCTGCCAAAGGCCCATTCGTCATGGGAGATATACCCAGAGGACTTTTATCAAGGTGGCGCTTATGCCCGCTTTCCCTACGGCAAGGTGAGTTACAGCTTCAGAGGCAGTGCGTGGACTTAAAGTGCCTATCTAGGTTAGATACTGGTTGATCGGTCCAGAGGATGGCAAGAAGGTGGGTATGCCTAATCTGTTCCAACGAGCACGATAGTTGAACTGCACCATAGGTTGTATTGATTCACGGCTTATCTATTCCGGCCATGGTATGGAAGGACGTGGCACCAGCGCTCGCATCAAGGGGTTATCGCGTTCTTCTATATGGTATGTCCCCCTTCCCAATTCGCTGGCAATCTATCAATAGCCACGCAGATCTCTACGGCCGCGGGTACTCCGACGCGCCTTCAACGACCTATTCGACGGCACTCTACACTGCGCAGCTCGCCCTTCTGATGCAGCACATAAAGTGGGACAAGGCACATGTAGTCGGCGTGTCGATGGTACGTGCTTTGCGCGTAAATGTAGTAGAATATTAATAATCAGAAACCCTTAGGGCGGCGCCATCGCTGCTGCGTTCACATCCCAGTTCCCCCATCTTGTGGAAGACCGCGTCGTGCTAATCGCTTGTGCGGGCATGATGGATTCCTCCGATCTCCCAAGGACGGCGAAATTCATGTCTAGTCCCCTCGTCCAAACACTCACGGGAAGCAGCCTTGTGCGCGTGAGTGTCACTTTCGTTGCGTGTCGCAGACTGAAGCTCACAGCGCATGCACAGTCGTACCTTCAGCACTTGATCAGCTCGAAGGGAAATACTTCTCTCATGGTCTCCGCACATGTCGCAACAGAAGCGGACAACCCGGAGCAGCACCCTCTCACTGGCGGAGGCGAGGCCGAGGCGACCGACCCAGCCAAAGTCTTCACAACGAAGGAAGCTGGAGACGGAAGGATACAAGAGGTGGGTATCGCGTCAAGTGATAGGACGCCGTTCGCTGACTACCTGCTCAGATCGTCCGTATTCAATCCGCACATCTCCCAGGATACAATGCTGCAGTGGCATCGTCTCTGCGCGATGGCCCAATACGCGGTCTAACGTCCGCATTCGCTGATGGCGATGCGTGGAACAACAAGCGCGTGGTCGTCATCCACGGGACGAAAGACAACACGGTCCCGTACAAATATGCCGCGAGGATCAAAGAAACAATCGAACGTGCTGTTGGGGAGAGAAATGCTGGCGCCGTGAACGTGACGGTCGTGACAGTCGAGGGGGGCAAACACGATCTCACAGTAAGTCATCCGAAACTGGTGGTTGATGAAATCTCGGAGCTGTTCTCGTGAGCGCAAGGCGAGGAATGATATCTGGACTGCCGCTTTCTTTGTTCCCATCCTACTTTTGCTATCTTTGTCTGTTGTTCTCTACCAGCACGCTTCGTAGATTAGATATATGTACTACTTTGTTGCTCCGTTAGTTTACTCTGTATTAAAAACGTGCGCCAGATCAACATAGTTGTGCGACCTGAACGGTTTTATCCTGAACCCAGTCGTCCGTACCCAACACTCCACACTCCATACGAGAAATAAAACTTTGAGCTTACACAACGAAGACATGTTCCTCCGGTAGACTATCTCTATCAAACATCCGGGGCAGGAGGGGCTACAGGAACAAATGAGATAAAACAGACTTGGAAGAAGGATTCTACATACGGCAACAAACATTTTCCTTCGTGCATTTCTCATCGGGAGGGCACAGAATCAGGCAGGAAGTCTCCGCACTGGCCTAGAGGCGAAACCATCCTGAGTCGGGAGCGCTTCCGCGTCATCACGAGCATATTCAGCACTTACGTTTACGTTATTGAGGTGTTCTTCGGGGACCATTCGAAGGGGGTGATACTCTGGTTGTATGGTGCTCGAGTGGATGCCGTGATGGTGCAGCACTTCTCTGATATTCACCGCGACGGGCATGAACTGGTGCTCGGTGGATGTCAAGACGTGGACCGAAGCAACGATCTTGCTTTCCGAAAGCTGCCAGATGTGCAGCTCGTGGAGCGACAGGACGCCTTCGACGCCCAATATCGCCGCCCGAACCCGCTCAATCGAAATGGTAGAAGGTGCTCGTTGGAGAAGAACGAACGACGTGCTCCGCACTGCATGAATACCAGTAATAAGTATACCATCGACGACGAGAAAAATCAACGAACCCAATGGGAGAGCGGTGGAGAATATGATGGTTGCGATTACCAAGCTGATTATGGGGTCGAAGTAGAATTTAAAGCTCCAGTTGGTGAGCCAGATGATGAGGCCTGTAACAATGACGCCGACGTTACCGAGGGCATCACCGAGGACGTGAAGCAGCAAAGCACGCATGTTCATCGAGCCCGCGTGCGAATGTCCGCCATGCTCATGCTGATAACCGGCGTCAATGGTCTCGGGGTCGAGTATCCGAGTCGCGGGGGCAGCTAAACTGTTCCCGTTATTCTGCGTGTCATCGGTCAGTGATAACGCAGTGCGCTGCGCGCCTTCGGCTTCAAGCGAAAGGCCACTCCGCGACGTGTACGCGAGATCGTTTGCGAACTGGACCAAAGATGCGCGAGTGGCCGCTGGATGACCGGACAGAGACTCGGAGGAGTGGGATTCCGTGCGCGAACGAGCGTGCCTGAGCTGTGGCGCTTCTTCGAGAGCAACATGAGCAGGCCTCGCTGGTGTGGAAGGAGTGGAGTGACTGTGTGAATGCCCATGTTCTAGATGAAATAGTCAGAGTGAGTTGGTGGCTTCGCTACAGTGAGTATTTACCGTGGAATAGGAACAATCCAAAAATGTTCGACGCTAGGCCGAGAGAGCCGACGATAACTATAAGGCGGGGGTTGGAGATTTCTAGTTTAAGGCATCATGCATTAGGCCTCATGATCATTTACTCATCGATGTGAGAAAGGTGACTTTACTTGGGATTGAGAAGAAGCGTTCTATAGCCTCCAGGGAAATGGAGAAGCACAGTGCAAGGAGGAAAACCCCATTAATCAAAGCGGCGAGGATCTCTGCGCGGTGCCACCCATAGGAATATCGTGAGTCCTTCGGTGATCCCTGTGCAGTCAGCTGTGGGTAAACATTAGTGCACGCAGTCCTTGGGATTGAGGGGCGGGAAGGGTGTACCCTGATTGCATAGAGTGCGACCACCAGGCTAATCACGTCGCTGCAACGGCCCGGGGGCGTCAAAGGCGTTCTCGAAATACAGCGCATGGGAAGACGAACTTAAGCATGTGGAAGCTGTCAGCCACAAGTGCGAGGGAACCAACCACATAACCTGCATGGATTTAGAAGAGGCAAGTGGTGTCCACAGAGTTGCTCACCAACGATAAGTTCGACCCAGAAGAAGATAACGTCGATGAGGAGGAGGAGGGATATCCTTGCTGAGCGTGACATTCCCATTGTAGAGGAGACGCTTTTGCTGTGTCGCGAGTGTCTCGGGCGCGGTATACTCGGAAGCCTGAGGCAATGAATGGCACTAGTTACTGAACTGATACATGGTGCTTGAGCGAGTGTGGGTTTATATACCGTGTAGATGATGGGTATCGTGTTTTGGCCTCATGGCCGGTTCTTCTATGAAGTCGTCGCGGCTCGCTCGTGTCGATAACCGTCTCCTTTCTGAGGTTCGTAGATCGGCTATCAGCCCAAATATAAATGGGGACACATCGGTATGTGTATCTTAGGCTTTCCCGGATTCCGAATCTCAAGCGCGCTGATGACTCCTTCTTCAAAGTTGGCTTCAGCTTCAACAGCACACACACATTTGCGCGATCACGACCAAGGCCCCGTATCTGGGATCGAGAACGCAAACAAAAAGAACAAAAGAGCAAACCTAAGATCGAACAAAACCGTTCTGGAGACTCACACGCAGACGCAGTATCCCATCTGTGTTCTAGGCTCGATTCCAGCGTTCTTGTAGGTTTTGAAAGACGAATACACTTGCCTCTCGTATTCCATTTCCCATTTCGCGCTAAGGAACTACGTACCGACGTCGACGAAATCGAGTCTATCTGCGTTCTTCCGCAAGCCCTGAAACCAAGCCAAACGCGCCACGGGAAAAATGAAGAAGAAATATAGATTGCGCCACTCACGCCCATCCAACTGGACTCGCCTACAGTCAAGAGCGCCGACGCAAGTGTCGTAGAAGAGAACCCAGACGTAGTCAGCAGGCGCGAACGTTGAAGTGTGCAGAGATGATTCCCACGCTCAAACTCATACCGCAACTGGGGACTCGTTGATCTGCGACGGGAGCTCGGCGCTCATCGTCTGGTTGACGCTGAATCGTCCTCACATACTATTGCTGGAGTGTCGATACGAGATTTCAGGTCCATTTGGTTCACCCTTTGTACCGACGTACCTAGAGCTACATTCTGTATCATGAGCGCGACCCCGGGACCTTCTTGAAGGGCCGTTGGTCGGTGGTGCATGCCGACCCTACAGGGGTATTATGTCTAAACGATGTCCGCCGAGCTACCCTTTCATGACATCTGGGTCAGCGGTAAGTGCATTCAAGTCGTTCTTGGCCAAGTTATACACTCGCGACACTTCGGCCTCCTCGCCCCTCGCCACAGCTAGTTTCTGATAGCTTGTAGAAGTTCAAGTTCATCAAATATTGTTGGGATACCGACCACCTTGAACGGCCTACGATGCAGATGGCAATATCGAGACTATGAGCTCGAAATCTTGCACGCTACTTGGGATACATTAAGGCATTACACCTAGCGACGAGCTTCAACTCCACCCCGCGTGTGAAAAGGTCGTAATCTACAATGTATTCAGGTGAATCCGCAAACGTCTACTTACATCCCAGAGAAGAGATACATATTGAAGGAAAGAGAAAAGGAAGAGTAGTTGAGAGTGCATCATCTTGCAACCCTAATGATGTGGCAAGGTCTTTTTCTCCATGCTTTGCGATTCCACGTCGTCTGTCATGGAGTCCGAGCTGTTATCATCCTCCTCTTGTTCTTGAGGAAGGAGGACGTTGAGAAGGGACGCCACAACGCCGGCAGACAAGACTGATTAATCACAAGTATCTCAGTGGGAGATAGACAATAATCACTGAAAGCAGAGAAACTCACAAGGCGTTTCCAAGATGATAGTGATGGAATCAAATAGCCCTCGCAGTCCGGAGTTGGGGTTTTCCACGCCGTCAAAGAGATGCGTGAATATTTCTGGCATAAGGAGATCCCCAAAGCCGAACGAGAGTGCTGCGGCGAGGATAAAGCGATCCCTACGCGTGAATTTGTTGTACGATAACACGCGAACGCCCGATACAGCAACACTTGCGAAGAGGAAGGTGGTTACACCACCAAGCACGGGATTGGGAACTGTATGGGGTCGAGTTGAGTGGACAAGTCAGCGAACGTATGATATGGGTGCTTACTGGCTAAGAAAACGCCTGCAATTTTACCAATGACACCAAAGAGAATAAGGAAGAAGCAGCACCATCGGCCTGCAGTTCGGTTGGCGCATCGTGTGATAGCGATAACACCGTTGTTCTGGGGTAATCATTTCATAGACGGTCAAAAGGCGAGAAGGGAACATGCTAACCTGAGCGAAAATAGAGAGAGGGGTCACCGTGAAGAGAGCAGAAAAGAATCCGCCGATGCCATCAGCCTGTGCGTGAGGGGAGGTTAGCTCGAGCCTCCGTGCGCCAGAGGTAGATTGCGTACCAATACACCACCTTGAATGCGAGAGTCAAAGACATCGCCAGAGACCTCTTGGCGTGAAACTTCGGCGGAAGCTGTAGTATCTCCAATGGCTTCCATCGCCAGCGAAACTAAAACAAGAAAGTTGAGCAGGAGTAGGAGAACATGGAACGTAACGACGTACTATAAACGGCAAGCATAGGAAGTATAGCTGGGGGGTAAACGTCGAGTTTGAAGCGGTGAACCCTGTCCGAAAGTTAAAAATAGTAGACTATGCACGAGAATAATGCGTCTTACCAAAGGAACGTTATGGCTGGCGCGCTGTCGATCGTAGCACGGGAGATGTATCCACAAGCGCCAGAAACGATACATCCTACGACCAAGCCAACTATGATAGAGATATTCTTCATGAAAGGCGATCCGAACAATTCAGTAAGGACGATAGACGAGAACGAGAGGAAGCCGAGGCCAATGAATTCGGGGGAACCCCATCTGCACGGCCAAGTAAGTATCAGCGTGAATCAAGGCAGACGAGATTAACGTACGGCAATGGTCGAGGGGCATTGATTGTAGGGCAGAGTTGGAAGATGCCTGTTTCCGGACGGCCTTTGCAGTCGTTTGATCCTCCTCCCCAGTTTGGAATGCCGGACTCCCCAACGAGCGATGCACCGATCATGAGGATGACGGTGCCTGGGCCAAGCAAATAATTAGGCAATGCGACCTCACAAGTTCGAACTTACTTACCGGTAACTAAAGGCGGGAAAATCTTCTTTAAGGCACGCGGAGAAGCAAACGAAAGTGCGATCTCAAGGAATGCGCAAATGAGAGAAGTACCTAGATGGGGCAAGTTAGTCATCCTTCTACGAAAGAGAATTGAACCGTACCAAGAACCATTCCGTACGCATCAGGGCAGGGGCCACGAGTGACAGTCCCATCCGCTGCAGTAGTGGTAGGGCATGTGCCATCTGCGTACATGGCATTGAAAATCTAGACTGAGTGGTCAATGACGTGGTAAGCTTAGACTAAAAACACATACAGCGCTAGCCGTGCTCAAAGTCGCAAAACTGGTGCCGACGACGGTAATAAGGCCTGTTCCGAGGTAGAACCTACCCCATAGATGAAACCTTGACATTTGAACCAAACTAAGAATGCCTGGTAAATTTCGTCACTGAGTTACTGAGAAAGGTTGAGTGTATAACGAGTACGGACCGCAACCAATCAACGAAGCAGAGATCATATAAGCCGAGGTCTCTGCATCCAAGCGAAGACTGCTGGCAAAGATGATGGGAGGCGTAATGAGACCGGCAAGCATGGCGAGGCAATGCTGTAAGCCATTCGCAATAGCGAGGAGAAGGGGGAGTTCGTCATGTAGGCCGTAGAACGGAGGAAGACGCTTCTTTTGCTTCATGAATGGTATGTATGGCATGCACAGGTACCCATAGTCGTAGTCGCCGAACCATCCTTCCTTCGTTGTCGCTTTTCGCTTGTATTGGCCGAGCCTTGACTTTATTGCTGAGCCCCGGGATGGGCGTTCGGGAGTGCTGAGAGGGGGCTCGGAGTTGACACGCAGCTCCGGGATCGGATCAGGCTGTTCTTTGTGGATAGACATGGATGAAGTACTGAAGTCGTGTGAGTCGATGGTGTGATGGTAGGTCAAGAGCCTTCACCCCACTGTTTAAATGGATTCTGTGCGCCCAGAGTCGGGTTCCTCATCCCCGATTGTCGACCCGCTTGGCTGGCATGGTGGATATCCATTTGACAGTGGCTGGAGGAGAGATAAGGAAGATAAGCAATGTCCTCTGAAATATATATTCCGAATGGGGCTGGAGCACCCCTGATTCTAGAGTGATCGTGATCGCAAGTGTGCCTCCGTGCCCTCAAAACTTGCTCAGAGCACACGATAAGAATATCGTACATCTCGTATGCACCGTCTGCCAGCCATACACCTGAGGGCAGGAACTGGCACAAGGCATCAAGACGACAAGTTAGCATTCGTTCAATTGTGCAACTAAATAGTACGGATACTCTCTTAACTAGTACTCTGTACTGACATCCTGGTACACTCGCCAATCAATTTGCAGCAATATTGATTTGACCACCGATAAGAAGCACATGAACATACACCTTAATTTCTCGGAGGGAGCGGAGTAACGATGATAGTACAGGAATCTACACCAAAGATGTTTGAAATTGAGGCGCTGAAAGCCGAGATTTGTTGACTGGACTACGGATTTGGATCCATCTCGTCCCACTCCCTGTCTTCATCCATATTCACATCTTCGATGCCTCGTCCCCCGCGTCCCATTGCTTCAGTCACGGCCACCTTCCTTCCGCCAGGGTTTAGGACTCGAAGGGGGTCTCTACTGTGCATGGACTCTGCCGGGGCCGTAGGGTATACGTGGTCCCAACTTGTCGAGGCTTGGAAGAATCTACGTTTGGCCTTGCGATTCGAAGGCCCCCCATAATCGTAGTGGCTGAAGCCGTCCTCTTGTCCTGGTACATCATAGTATTGATTAGTGATCAACGACATTCGCTTCTTTGGAGCCCGACGTTCTGCAGCACGGTGAGCGCTTCGTGTGTATCGTCGACTTGCAGATGAATCTTCCGAGTCCTCCTCGGAGTCGGGTTGGTCCTCCTCAGAAGACGTGGCATCCGATTCTTGAAGCTGGTAAACATATCTAGCGTGCTCTATCGCTGGGCATAAGCCATACATTATTCATGGGGTGTTGGCGCACTCACGGGCTAATTTTTTGTCCAATTCATCCTCTTCTTTGCGGAGCCCGAGATGTTCCCCTACACTTTCGGAAGGGACGTCATGCATGCCTACCGACGGAGCGCACGGAAGACCCTGCAACTGTTCTAGGGCAGTGATTCTAACCGACGGTTTAACCTCAGATTAAGCGTTATTTACGACAGTTCTCAGACTCACCGAACTTTCTCGAGAGAACCGTCTTTGACGTTGCAGTCATCCATGTTATTCGCCATTACTTCCAACCTGTACCGAGGGCCGAACCATTCAAAGTATTCATTCCAAGGGAGATTGGGGTCGATATCATCCTCTATACCTAAGGCACATGCAGTTTCATAGGTCCATGCTCGAGCAACGTTCTTCACGGTGTAACCACCCCCACCAAGTAAGATCAGGGGAATGTTCTGTTTCCGAAGGAATTGCACACAATGGGCGTGCCCATGCATTGTGATATTGAAGCATCCTAGTTTGTCCCCTGATAGGGAGTCCGCGCCACATTGCAGCACCACGGCCGACGGTCTAAATACTTCAAGGATCTTGGCAATGACCTGACCAATCATCAAGCGCCGAAATGAAACACGATACACGGCACTACTCACTGGCTCGAAGACGCTTTTGAAGCTTTCGTCCGTTATCCCGTCTTTCAACGGTACATTCACCGCGTAACCTTTCCCCTTTCCCCTTCCTTTGTCGTCTTGGGTCCCAGTCCCCGGGAAGTATTCGCCAAATTTATGGAAACTACACGTCATAACGCGATCCGTCGTGTAGAAGGCCTCCTCGACGCCATCGCCATGGTGGCAGTCGATGTCGATGTAGAGAACACGGGGATACGTGCGCAGCAGTTCCAGGATACCCAGGACTATGTCATTGATATAGCAGAATCCGGACGCTTCTCGTTTCTTCGCGTGATGCAGTCCACCAGCCCAGTTAATCGCGATGTCTGCTGCCCCTGAAGCTATTCTTTGGGCAGCCCCTGCATGCTCCTTCTTTAACGTACATCCTGTGGAAGAGGGGCAGAATGCACACACCTAGGGTCCCCCCTGCTGATATCGAGCAAAATTCGAACAGTCCCTCGAACGCTGGGTTGTCCTCGCCAATTAAGACTACTCACAGCAAGTTACTCCCGCAAAGAGACGTGAACGACGTGTTACTCACACCTTGTTCCATGATAAGTGAGCTCCTCCGCCGTCTCAGGCGTCACCCTGTTCAAAAAATGAACATATTCGTCCGTGTGGAATGCGGTCATGGCCTCTGACGTCGCTCTTTTCGGTCTCTGCAGTTGTTTTGGTGGGGTCTTCGAAGTTGGCAAGGGTAAGTGCGCACCAAAATATGCATTTTGTCCATCATATCGTACGCAGAGACGAGATCGTGGGTGAGCTTGATGCGATGGGGTTTCATTGGGTGTCCTAGGCCATATGTATAGGCCCCGACGTCGCCTGCAGTAACGGTGAAAGAGGCGACTTGATAGGTGGTTGTAGTACTTACTATCGTAGTAGTAGGCGACTCGCCGCTTCGACATTGTGGTTTGATTCAACCGACCAAGAGGCCAGAAGTTAAGAACTCGAGAGGAGCGCTAATCTCCAGAGGACAACGTGACTACGGCAATGACCGTCATCTCCACGTGGGTCTAGCCCCATCCCCGCCGCCTCACCCCAATATGGAAGTGAAGGCGGACGGAACGAAAATGTTCGTGACAGTTGATAACTGATAAGTCCTGGATAGACCAGAAATAAATATAGATGTATTTCTACGGTGCCCTTGATAAAGCTAAGGATTAAAGCCCTGTCAGTGAACCCGTGGCTAGTCACTGGTGAACAACAAATGCGTTCAAAAAGACGAAGCAGGATAAGTAATATATAGGATATATATATGCGGTCTAGGTGATACAAAGCCCATAGAAATATAAATAAGTACTTAAATAACCATGGCATAGCGAAAGTGAAGATGCTACATTACTCCGAAAGAGATTGACATAAATTACTCGTGAGATAGGAAAGACGCTGCTTAGTCTATATTGCGCCCAGATAATAGTAATATGGTTGAGACGACGGCCGCTTCAGTTAAGCCCCCTTGGATGGCATATGTCGTCAGGTCCAATGTCACTCGTGTCTGACCATTGGTGATTTTACCGAGTAGTTCTGGCGTACCGGAGGATGTATCAAATAACTAGAAAATATACGTCGGTCAAGTATTATTTGGGGAGATGCAACAACACGTACGCAGATCACACCGTCGCCTGGAGCCCAAACGTATTGCTTGCTAGCTACTTGCATGTGCCTAGCGCTAGAAAGCCATCCACACCCAGGTCAACGTGGTTGTTTTAGTAGGCGCAAAATAAACTTACTTTCGCTGCGACGACAAGGATAGCCACTGACAAGCATATTGCTTGGGTACAATGCCTCGTATCTCAATTATAGGATGATTTTGCCACTCAATCACTACAACTGGGTTGCCTTGAGCATCGTGCACGAATGTAAATCCTGGCGTTGGTTTGTCGGTTGCGATGCGATAATATATCTTATTGTGCGGGCCAGTAACAGTGCAGCTCAAGATTGAGGGATTGAAGGAGAACGTAAAGGTAACCATGGGCGCCTTGGCCGCCGACGAAGAGTAGGGTAAAGCACCAAAAACTGACGGAGGAGGAGCGCCACCAGGGAAGTTTGAGCCTTTCGTCCAAGCCGAGTAAGGATTGTTGGTATACATAGATGACTTGCGAAGAGTGCGAAAGAGCTTGTTGATGAGTTTTCTATGTAGCCTATGGTGCTCCCTATATACTCCCGCTTCGCCATTCAGAGATGCATAGCTAATTGTATGAAGCGAGAGGACTCGCGTCTCAGTACGGACGTTCATTACTCTGAGACTCGACTGGGTTCTGTGTCAAGGCGGGGGAGAGGTCCAGCACGACGACGAGAGGTGATGGCGGTACATTCCAGCGATATCGCGCGGTGATGGACTTCTCGGGATAGCGGGAAACAAGCTCGAGCATTCCTCCGAAGTCCGAAAATGGGCATAGCGATCCCCGACATAAACGAGAGCGTCGTGCCAAGCCTTTTCAGTCAAGTTGAAGCATATGACACCGGCCACAATGAATGTGAGAAGTAATTGGGTAGGGGAACGGTGCAGTGCCTCTCAACGAGTCATCCCCCCACGGACACGGAAGCATAGTCCAACAGTGGCGCTGCGCGCATGATCCCCTTCGAGGTGAATGGTGTTACTTCTTCCCAAGTTCGACATTCTCTACCAGCACCGGCAACCAGGCAGTGTTAACGTTTGAGAATTGATCGAGAACAAGCTCGGCGGCCGATCTTGCAGATCGACAACATCGGAGACCAGAGTCGTCGATAGCAGGTTCGAAATTCAAATGTTAATGTCAATTGAGAGGAAGTTGGAAAACGAGTTCCGCGCTCGCCCACAAAATGATGCCAAACCAGGTCAGGACCGCTTGATGCGTACACTGAGGCGGTCGATGGATTAGGCGTTTTCGTTCGATAGTACTTGCACCGCTCTGGGTTCATGCAGTGACTGGATTGCGCACAGCTTCGGGCGAGAAAGATACTTCCAGTGGCCAGGTGCAACTGGAAAAACCGGGCGGGGCAATACCAGAAACGTCTGACTTCTAAGCTTATTGTAGATAGCCCTCGAGCTGCCAGTAGAGATATTGTTGGAGGTAACGAACTATCTGAGTTTGAATTAGTGGGCACTCATGACCAAATAGGCGCCGATAGGTATCATCGGTTCAATACCACCATCAACGAAGTTATATGTTCAACGCCAGTGCCTGCTACAAGCTCCTCGTGGCCGCTCACTAGTCCTTTCATATATCAAATAGAGACCCTAGGAAATGAGTTCTCCGTCCTCACGTATGCCCATGCTATCTGTTGACTTACGATAGTTCGCTCAAAATGGGTGCCCCTGCTACCACTCTTAGTTCATTAGCTGCTGCCTTTCTTTCACAATAAGGAGGGATAAATGGGGGATACCGAGTTTGATAGTCGGGAATTTTATTAGGTGTTGGCGGGTGCGGCCGCACCAAATGTTGTTCTCTGAGTCTGTATTTGAAGCCCACCTTCCTTATTTAACGTGATTCCGCTTTTAGTTTATACACAGCCTCGACGTCTCAGCTTCACTGCTTCGGCGCTCATGAGATCCCTCATTCTACAATGTTGAAAGTCACCATCCCAGCTTCGAGGACGTCACGCACGCCGTCCCCAAAGACCTCCCTGAATGACATGACTACCATAGGTCATGTCGCCTTCACAGGTCTTCAGTCCACTCTCTGCGTCATCAAGGATATGGCAGGGAATGTCGGAATTCCCGGACTGTACGCTGGTATCGCAGGCCTGGAGATTATTGTTTCTGTTAGCCAGGTGCGCATAGAATATCACCAGCGTGCGAAGCAACACGGCTCATCATGGTACCGTTCATAAGCAATTCTTGGCCAATGATGAACGGATATCACGTCTATTGGAGAGGATTATGGGACTTGATATCATGTTGCAAGGCTTCCAAGCTGGCGGGCCACTGCCGCAGCAGATATATCAACGCGTAGCGAAGCTCGTGCTGTACGGTTCTTGGATTCTACGCCTTTCTTCTGGCGCTCATCAATCACGGTATCATTGCAGTTCATGGGAAAATGAAGCTACCAAGATTTCTGAGCTTCGCGATCGCGGTGGTGTTATAAAGTGGTTCACAGCCAAAAGAGATGGGGTCATGCTTGAAGAGATTCTGGACTCGATCAATCAGTCCATTCAGGATTTCCTAGTGAGTGATGCGTCAAGCCCACGATATGTAGTTGACCACCACATGCTCTGCTAGTTAGAATGTGCTTTCAATACTGAGATAGGCGTACATCGCTTACAACATGATATCAGCGTAATTCGGGTCTCTTCTTTATCCCCCTGGCGCTCGATTAATCCAGTATTCTGTATCGTAGGAGTTGAAAAGGTTGACCAAGCACAACCTGACGCTGCTACAAGCAAGTAAGAGTACCGGGCCGTCAATGTCTAGCCCAAACGTATGTCATCGCTCATATCAAAACTCAATTGTATGACAAGCGATCGTGCAGACCGCCACGTCGGGGGAAAATGTCGGTTCACTATGGAGCTAGTTGGTCGCGATCCTTATTCTGACTACTAAGCACGCATAGATAATGAAACGGCTTGAGCCAAACGACCCAGTCTTCCTGGAAGGTGCGTAGCCCCACTCTCGATGGGACCGTCCACGCCTTCATTCGGCCAGTAAAGTGCATTCGTACTTCAACGATAGGTGGCTGCGTGACCCGGAGCTCAAACGGCCTACCATCAAAGCGATTTACCAGGTCTCTTCCTGGAGTGACAGGGGGTCTGGTCATTTGCAGAAATACTCTGCGTATAGATCTGAGCTTCGCAAAGCGCTCCCTAATAACCGCCTCATTGAGGAACCTCTGTTCCACACCCACCACGCCACTCGTCAATGTGCCCTCGGAGACGACTTGTCCGAAACGATCTCGCCTTGCTACAAGTCATCTTGTTCTCTGTGCCACATACTACGCTGCGATTTTCGTGACGATCTTGTGCGCAAATCTAGCAAGTCCATGTGGGGCTCGGGGTTCTACCTAACGACAGCATCAAATAGTATGTCACCAAATTCTATGGGGGTTGCTCCTCATTTATGTGCCTCCTTAGAAGCGAGCTACTACTCAAGAAACGGAGACAATCACTCTCCGAACCAGGCTGCTCTATTAAGTAAAGTCTTGGTAGGGATACCAAAATTAGTATCCGCGCGAGATTCAAGTTTAAGGGCTCCGCCGCCTGGAACACACTCGGTAAACCTCGTTATCACTCAGGCTTCAGACGAAGGTACTGATGTGGACAATCAGATCAAAGCTATCACCAAGGATCAGGGAGGGGAGGTCATATATTCTGAACGAGTTGTCTACCGAGCAGATGCTATCTGCCCTTGGGTTCTGATCTTATACCAGTTCTAATAAAATTTTAAAGTGACGAATGTTCCATTATATGAAAATTTTAGGTAATTACATGGGTGAACCAGTCATTCTACTCGCGGGCCGTCATCGCGCTGAACCGTCGTACGATCAAAGGGAATACTCCGATGCCCCATCCTAACAGTCCACGGCGAGGTGGGTAGTGGGGTAGCTATGGTGGAAAGTTGAGAGATAATCATCTGCATCGTTGGCCGCTTGCGATGATCAACCTCCCAGCAGTCCCCAGCAAGCTTCCAGATATCGCCCAACTGGTTTGGGGGTATGGGAGGACGAAACGTAGCAACCGTATAGTTTTTCAGAAGAGACCGAAACTTCTTCATATCATCACAGGGGTCATAGAATGGTGCTTCGTTGGTCATAATCTATATCAAACCGGTCTAACAAGCACGCATCACAGATAATGGTAGAACAAGTACCTGGTACACCACACGTCCAAATGCGTAGATATCGGTGGCAAACGTTTCCGATGGACGAGATTTGCCATCGGTGCGTTCAAACCAAAGAATCGGGTCAGCCCATCGGCAATCCTCGTCATAGGTTTCTGACATCTTAGAAGGCTCGGTGTGCCGATAGAGAATAGGCATGATCCCAAAATTGCTGAGCTTAGCCTCTCCGTCATCGGTAATGAGTATATTCCACTGAGGTAGCAATGTGTTCAATTCATACTGCCGATGAACGCCTGAAAGCACGCACCCCAGTCATTCCCCCGTGGACAAGGCCCGTAGAGTGGACTATTCGCAGACTTAAGCAGTCATAGGGTAGTACAGATCTGAGACACGTACGGTGGGACAAGGCGCTGGCAATTTGTCGAAGCTATAAGTAGAAACATCAGTCTCTTTTCCGTATCCCGCGAACAAGATTACACACAAGGACAAGCTTCCGAGAAACGGGAACATAGGTGTTTGGTAGGTACGAACAGAGATTAAAAGTGGAAAGCCATGGCATCACAACACCTGGAAAACCATCATACTCCGTCGTAGCGACATAGGCAAGAAGATGGTCATGTTCTATTTGTCCGATATTTTGCATTTCCTAGAGGGAGTAAGCACCGAGGTGCTAAGGGTCGATTCGCACAACAAACCTGCAGAGCCGCGCCTTTCTCTAGGGTTGACCAAGGTAACCTGAACATCTTGACAGCGACCTGAGATGTGGCCCATCAGTCAAGGCACTCAAATGCGTAAGATCGTCAACTTACAACCCTATCTTCGTAATGAGCTGTCCATGACTCCATCTTTCGTCCATGTGAGAGGTTGATCATAGAGTCCCGATGGAGACCAGTTATATGGGCCAGTGCAGGTGGGGCTGGGCGGAATATTCTTTCTGGGCCCTCAAGGCATTCAGCGACGGCCTCTAGCGTGGGTCGGCGTAATGGGTCGCGCTCCCAACAAGCACACAACAATCCCCAGCGTGCTTCTGTGACAATCGGGTCTTGCGGCCGGCGTGGATGTACACCTCGCGATAACTCTATGAGTACCTGGCCATCTGTTCTCATATAATGGTAGGGTATCACCCCGGTCAGCGTCTACTCATATACTCAGAGGCCAAGTATGGTAAGTGTGGAGAAAGCACACCTGAAGTATTACGCTGCCAAGTGAGTAGATGTCACTGCGCGCAGTGGGGAATGTCCTAATATCGTCGTCGCCGACTTCATACAACTCAGGGGCCGCGAAGCGGACGTTTCCACCAATGGATGAAGTAAAGGTGGAGACACCTTGCAGATCCGAAATAATAGTTGACAGACCGAAGTCACTTAAACACGCATCCCCGTCGCCATTGATGAGCACGTTGCACTAAATGAAATTAGCGAGTGTAACAAGAGAGAACGGATGGTGGGCATACACCTGTAAGATCTCCATGTACCACTGAGCGGGAGTGTACTATCAAAAAGCGTTAATCATAGTTCGCTCGACAAGGGGTGAGCACTCACGATAGGCCAGTCCAGCGCAGACTTGGCTCAGCTCCGAGTCTCGTGTTAACAGATGGATGACTCGCGGAATCGGCTGAACCTACAATCTTGTATCGACCTTCTACATTGAGCGATTGACCATCGCCACTAAGATAATTGTTTAGATTTCCTCTATCCATCCACGGGCAGACCATAGATGGATAGGGCCCAAAGTCCGATACAATACCGTAAAGTGGCAATACTTGGGGATGCTTGAGCTTCAGCCAGACCGCAAGCTCCCGCCGAAGTCTCTAGTGTACTGGGTCCATTTGTTGAGTTCCGCGAGACAAGCAGATTTTCTGCGGACCTTTTCGTGCTTATCCTCGTCATTAAATGCCCCACCAAGTGAGCGAAGGACTTTCACGGCGACCTAGGTAAATGATGGGCACGTAAATAGTCGCAACGCATAATCAATCACCTACGTGTTGTGTAATCGATGGATATGCTTCATTGCTCAACGTGCACATCCATATGTCTGCGAAACCACCGTGTGCCGCTGGATATGCGCCTTTCTTCGTCACGTAGGGAGTAAGATCAGGGATCGTGGAGAGAAGGAGTGACATCAAAATATTTGTGTCGTAGCCTGGGATAATGCGAAGCCATTACAGCGCTCGGTGCACACCAAGCGCCTGATGTCTAATGATTAGTGATGTAGTCATATATGTGCATGCGATTCACAATTGCAGCTTCTAGCTTACTTATGTTTCTGTTAGTTTGAAAGCATAATCTAGGAACTAGCTGAACATAGCTTCTTACTGTTGCAGAGCCATTGATTAAGTCGCTATAATACAATCCGTCTAAGCAGCATCTACTAGAACCCCATCATCCGTGCCAGATGATGACTGTCTCTCGCGCGGTTCGTCTAGATTACAATATAACTAAGCCGCCGAGTTCGCAAATAGTGAATACTCACCTGAGCCGCTTTGTTTTTCCTTCCCCAATGCGTCTTCCCAACCCTCCTCAAACAAATCGGCATGTTTGCTCGGATGCGCGACTGAAGCTGCAATTTTAGGTCGGCCTTTGGCCTTGAGATCGGCATGCCATGCGTCTACTGCGACCGGCGCGTAGCTTGGGAGATACGTTCGAGCGAAAAGGGCAGCTTCTGGCGCGCGCTGAGTCTTAGCCAGCAAGTCGACACACGCCTTCGCATCCCCGAGCTGCAAGAGTATCGCAAACGCAAGATTATTTTGGCCTTTCTCCTCTAGAAATTCCGCACGAATGCGTCCAATCAGCCTGTCGAAGCAAATCATGCGTGGAACTTGATCACCCACCTGCTGAAACAGCCAGTTTACTCAATCCGTCCCTATCGCCGGTAGATAATAGCAACAGCATCAACGCGCTCAGATCCCCTGCCTTTTCGAAGCATTCACGGGCAAGGTCAAATCGCCAAACCGTAAGCGCCCGGTCTCCCAATGATTTCCACTTTGCTTCGGCTTCGGCTTCTGGCACCGTCCTAGCAATCTGGACGGCACTGTCGAGGTCATCGAGCTGCAGCGAGAGGTCGAACTTGTGATCAGGATCAGTTGTCACCTGAAGCGCCAGCTCCTTGAGGTCTAGAAACCAATTGTGTTATAGTTCCGTACATCGCTACTGGTGGACAACATCGTACCTCGGCTTTCAAGGAAGCGGGCAACTTTGTTGAGCTGCTCCTTGGGGAGTGTTGGTAATATTTCTGTGGCAGACTCCATGTCACCTCGAAGTATTGCCGTCTGGTATTCCACCATGCTAAGAGAGAGCGAATAACTGAATACATTGACGTCCTTGTCGGCGAGGTATACACGGTTATGGGCCGGAATGTAGCCCATAAGGTACAATGGGCTATAGATTGTCAAGTCTTTCAGTTTACCAGCCGTCACATAATAGAGCGGACGTACGTGTCGAAAGGGCTGATGGTGTAGGATTCACTGCCAACGAAGTAACACAGTCGGTTTGTCGTCGTTGTATATATGAAGCAATCGCCTATCCATTTAGCCGTTCGAACGCTAGAATGGAGGAGGTGTTCACGAATGGGCCGGGACAGAAAGATAATTTGATTTACCTTTCGGGGACATCGGCTATGACCTCGAAGGCCTCCTCAACACCCTCGTCCGTTATCTGTGCGCCCTCTTCTAGCTTCTCATTATATGCGTCTCGATCGAAGCGCAGGATGTAAAACGAGTCTTCGGCCGCGATGGCTACCAACGAACCGGTGCCGGACCAATACACCTTCAAAAAATCATTGAAAATCCTCAAGTTAGCGTAAATGTAATACTCACCTGCTTGGCGTCAACGTCTATTCGGCGAACAATTTCCCCGCTGTCCCAATCCCAGAACATAACAAATCCTGCGCCCCGCGCACCAAGCAGAGTTCCTCCGTGTAGGGCATCCATAGACCAGCTTCCAACACCTTTCATTCCAACGCCCCCTCGCTCCTTGAAGTTCTTGTATACCTTCAACTTAACCTTGCTTTCGAGAACCGCGTATGTATTTGAGTCTGGCGCCCACGCAAACGATATGCCATTCCCGAAGGACTTGTTGCGCCACGCCAATGCTGTGTACGTGATATACTCTCCGTCGCCGACGACGGTCACGAACCGACCGTTGGGTGAATGGATGAGGGATGTGGGAAAGACTTCAGTGGTCCCGATCTCCTTGACTGGGATGGGGATGCGGGCGCCCTCCGTCACCGACTCGTCCGAGATCAACTGGAGGTTACCAGACATGACCTCGTTGTTGCGCGTATAGATGAGTTTGCCTGAATGGTCCATGCTGAAGGTCGGTTCATCGCGACCCAGTTTGACGATTACGACGCCCTCGTCGAACCCAACGGCGACTTCATTTGCGCTCTTCCGCAACGATACACACCAGGCGCGTTCCAATGCGTAGCTCAGCGTGTTTTCGATGCGATACGTCCCACTATTCCATATTTTGACCGTACCATCTTCACTACCGGATATTATGATGGGGAGGTTGGGGTGGAATACGGCGAATGAAACGTTATTGGTGTGGCCTTCCATCGTCTGAACGCAACTCTTGCTCAAATAGTCCCAGACTTTGACTGTCTTATCATCACCAGTGGTAACAAGGTAGGGTTTGTCGGCGCCGGGGTAGAATTCGACGTAATTCACCCCCTTCTCATGGGCCTCCATCGTGAAATTCGGGGTGGGGGAGCCAATAGACCACATTTTGACAGTTCGGTCAAGACACGCTGAGGCGAATGTGTTCGTGTCTTTCGGGTTGAAGGCAAGGTTCATGATATAATGCGTATGGCCTTCATAGATCTGATCCTCGTTGACATTCTGACCGACATCCTGGGATCAATACTCACCTGGATATTCTTCCAGCCTTTCTCCCAGTCCCATGCCTTGATCGTCATATCATCACTTCCCGTTATCACTATGCTCGCCGACGGGTGAACGGCGAGACACCGTATGTAATCCGGGTGCGCTTCGAATGTCGTGACTTTCTCGTGTGTGTTGTAATTGAAAACGCGAAGCTGGAAGTCATCCGATCCCGCGACAAACCAGTTCTTGCGGGCGATGAATTTTACGCAGCGCACCGGAACCTCTGCGACTTCAAATGTCTTGATGAGGGCGCCGGTTTCGTGGTTGTAGATGTTAACCGTTCCATTATACAGCCCGGTGAGCAGCCATGGCTCTGTGGGATGGAAATCAACTCCCTTGACGCGGTCTGACCGCGAGAAAAGTTTCCGCTGGGAGCATGCTTCAGTTCAAAAACAATACTTCACGATTCGTACTCACGGAGACTTCAAACAGCATGGAGGACGAGGAAATGGGATACGTGTTAAGCGCCAAATGCCCGTCAAACGATCATGCCCTGTTTGGCTACAGCCCTGATTCCAAGCTACCTAACTACCCCGAGCGCTTATTCACTCCAAACTTGGAATAGCATTGCAGGTCGGTCATTGCTGAAGTCGAACCATCCCGAAGTCAATCTGAAGTCGCCGAGAAAACTTCCTGAACATGAAATACTCGCAGGATTCCTCGTTTCTCGAATCAAAAATCAATACTTGCTGGATATCGTGAAAGGGTATTACTGCGACTTGCCAACTCAGTCAGTGTCACCTCCACGGTGGCTACATTCCTGGACATTGGTGGGTAAACCATGGTACAGGGCACGATCCTTCATGCAGGAAGACGTGCGGCAACTGCGTCTCCTGTGCCTCTGTGATCCCTGACTTCTTATATTGTCCACTGAACTTTTACGAACGTCAAGTCAACCGCAAGGGCTGTCAAACCCTACTCGGAGCGCCGAACAAGTCTTCAAATGGCTCGTGAGTGTCCCCTTGGCCCTCACCTCATGCTGTGTGACGTGAACGGTCTACTCGATATAAGCAAAGTGATACATATATATAGCGCCGCAGACGAGTCAAGTGTGCAGACATGAGGAGTCGATGTGTTTTCGTGCAGTGTCAACAGCACTATATGTGGGTTCTCCGAAGCACAAGGAAACAAACTGTACTGATTCATTGTCCTATTATGGCAGGTTCCGCAGGACTCGAACTGGAAGTGCTACATCAGTGTGAATTTCCGACTTAGACAGGCCACGCCTATACGTGCTGCTTTGCATGCACGAACGTCGCAGCCCCAAAAAGATACCGATAGGCTGCGCTCTCTGCATAAAATCCAGCCAAATCCTGGTTTCGTCTGCTGTCTCTGTTAATTTCGTGACTCACAATGTCTCATACCAACACGAACGGTGCCCCTGTTTCGTCCGTTTTCTCTGAACTCTCGACAGTTCCTTCGCCGGGAGGAGAGGCGCCTCCTGTAACAGACCTCATCCGCCTGCTTCTGCAAGTCGTCGCGCAAGATGTCTGCTCGTCAAAGCGCAACACGATGAGCCTCTACTCGCTGCTCAGCAGGTCGAGGGACATCTGTGGCGAACTCCACACTCTCATCCAAAAGGTGGATGAGACTGGGGATTGGGAAAGCTATGAGTCTTACTCATCAAAAGTGCAACCCTTAGAAGAGTGAGTTGGCTTGGCCTCGCGATTTTTGTTGGCTGCTCAGTGCTGACTCTGAGTTAGGTTGCTCTATAAGCTATTCGAGTTAACGGGCGACGAGTCTACCAAGGACTGGCCTAGCGACCGCAACGTCATGACTCATCTTTCTTATGCAAACACCTGGGAGAAGAATAGAGTTCTACTCCACGAGGATCTTAACGAGATTGGAGGCGAGACGTTCAAGGCATGACCTAGCTCATGTTTCTTCAATCTTCCGTTCTGACTCACTAGTATAGGGACTCGTCGAGGTGCAGCCATCCGATAACTTCGATTGGGTCAAGAAACATGATGATCTTGCACTGTTCCATACCATTCTTGAAGGCGTGGATAAACAGTTTGCTGCATTTGCAACTGTGTTCGTAAACCTTTCCGTTCTTTCTTATCCCACAGTGCATACTCTCTGACCTCGCACTGCACTTCAAGGGTCACACCTTCTTTCATCACATCGGAGGCATACACCACTGTTCGAGCCAAGATTAATGGATTCGAAAGCCAATTTGCCAGCGATACAGGGGTAAACTCGAGTTTGAATTCTTGCGTCGTGTGTGACTGAGCCTCCGAAACAGGCCCAGTCATTTGTCATTGCCACTAAATTTGTAGTGGTCATGGACGGATTGCTGGGGTTCGTCGCAGACAAGAGCCAGGCACTCGAAAAGCGAAGAGATCTACTTGGAAAGGAATTATGGAAAGCTGCCAAAGAGTACGCCGTCTTGCACATCTTCCCCGACACTTGGCTAATCACTTGTGTAGCGTTGTCGAAAAGCTTGATCAGCCTTCATGGGATGAATTCGTTAGGCTTTTATCGGTCAGAAACCTCCCTTACTTGCGCTCATAGTACCTTCTAACGTTTCCTGTATCAGAATGCCGCACCGTCAGATATTGAGGATCTGGTAAAGCTAGTCAAGCGGATTCGAAGGCCGTTCCATTCCCAGTCCATGGTGCTCGTTAAATACTGCTATCAAATTCTCAATAAGGTCAAAGCAGAGAAGAAAGAGCCCGGCGTATTGAAGAGGTCGACCTATAACTGAAATCTCTGCTTTTATAGAGCTAACTTGGGTTTTAGTGCTCTTGCTGCAACCGAGGAGGCCCTGTCCGCGGCAGCTGATGTCGTGAAGAACAATAATGATCTATTGAAGTTCGAAATAGATGCAGCCAAGAAAACAGCGGCCGAAACCAAGTTTACCGCTGCAACAGCCAAGATAACAGATTGCATCACTACCTACACTGTCAGTTGCTCTTCCATCCGTATTATGCAGTCCTTGACTCGACTTCCCAGTTGGCGGGGTCAGTCCCCTTTGATAATTTCTCAGCGGACACAACCGCCGCACAAGCATTGGATAAGAAGTGGATGGATGAGCTAATGTCCATAATCACGGCGAGTCCCCTTCTTGATCCACTAAATTCAATGTTGTGATACAATTACACACTCAGGGTAAACATACTAGTGTAGCCACAGATCTCGCCACTGTGAAAGTGACAATAACAAACCCGCCTGCGGGCCTCAATACCAGCAATCAGACGTGTACGTTCTCGCCGTCTTGATAGCTTTGCGCCTGATATATCCCCGTGTTCATTAGTTACCGTTGAGAAGAACTGCTCGGCCAGCACGCTCTTGTCCCATTCGCTGATGCAACTACGGAAGGATTTCAGAGGCACATTACCACATCGATGCCATCTCGCAGATCCGAGCAAGAACAACGAGGTCATCGCAGGTACCACCCTGGTGAATGCTATCCCAGGTGCAATTACTCTTGTGTTCAAGGTTTGTGCGCTTTCCCTCTCTTTGACCCGCCTTTACTGACGAAGTATTAGATGTGATTATGAACGGATAAACGACCGCACCAATGTATCCTTGTTGTTGAGCGTCAAGGAAAATATGGCCTTATCTTCCTTAGTTTCGTACTTTGTTTTACAGTGTACATACCACTGGACTCTGTTATCCGCTTCTCATCCAGATGGACCTTGGGCAAATGCTGAGTACCACGTATCGATCATGGGTAGCGCTCAGTAAAAGGCCCGCGTTGTCTAATGGCTATGACGTCAGACTTCTATCGAGTAAGAGCATCTGGAGGTTGCGGGTTCGAGTCCCGCCGTGGGTTTGTATTTTGCACCAGTTACTTCCAAGTACCATAGGAGCGCCCTGTGTTGAATAGGAGGTGCATCTTTCGCAGTCCCCAACCCTAACTCCAGCTCTTCGGAGACATTCAACGAATAACCGCTGGGAAGGCCTTCTGGCCATGTATTGCCTTATGTTTTCCTCATGTCAAAACCGCGGCACTGTATATAAACCGCAAGGCCACAGCTTTGCCTCCTTGTCCCCTCGCCTTCCTTGAACTACTTCGCAAGATGGCTGCAGCCGCCAAATTCTATGAAACGGTACAGCCAGAATGGCCTTCTCCACGAGTATCAGTTCTTGTGCAATACACTGCCACAATCCTCGAAGACGACTGCTTCGAGGAGTACTATCCTCGCTTTAAACACGAGGCGAAGGGGTACGCATCAGCCTCTTTATGCTATCTCACCAGACTGAACGAGAGTGTAAAGTCTACTGGACGACGTCGTCAACCTATGCAGAAGTCGACGCAAGCCAGATATTACGAAGCTAGCAAGGGTCTGCGATGACGCTCAAATACGTCTCGAGTCATTGTTGGAGCCGGTGAGTTGAACTACGACAGGCTTGAATCCTCGTGTAAGTTAATACTAACAACAACTAGCTCGGTACCGATTTACGCAAAGATTTCCAAGCAGACTATGCTACTGCAGTGGCCGAGGACGCAAGCACTGAAGGGTGGAGCCCTTTAAGCCTGTTCAGCAAGGTATGCTTAGACGTTTCGCTGAATTGTTATTACGGAACGATGATAATCCACCCCAGAGTTCGCGAAAAGAGCTCGGAGGGAAGTTTAAGAATGTTCGAACTATTCATTGCGCAAAAGGATCACTTGATGACGAAAGTGATTGGGAGAATAGCTTCGGTAAGCTCGTTTGTAAACCGATCGCTCACCATCCGTGCTAATCACTTTTGGAGTAGCCGACTACTACGCGCTTGACCCGGTGTTTCTCGTCCTTTGGCAGTCGATGCTCCTAAGATCCGTCAAGGTGCACTTGAATCCGCGTATATACGGATATTCCAAGACGTCGGGGAAATGGATGCAGCTGTCCTTTCGACAGACCATTCAGAATGTCGGCGCTGGCCCGTTCTACATTCTCTGCGACAGACAATTGCCGATCACCTTCGGCGGTCAGCTATACGGCAACATTTTTCAGCAACAGAATGGACAATCTCAATATTTGTTGAAACGTGGGCCACAAGTTCTCTTTTGTTCAATCACTACTTAATCTCTGAGTTATTAGGACCTTCGGGACAGCTTGTGAGAGTCTACGCTCCATCAGTAGGCAATGTGACGGCGAAATGGAACAAGGATTCGAAGACCAGTGTTCTACCAGACTACGTGCCCGTATTCCCTTCGATCCTGCACGAAGTCGATAAAAGTTGGACCGTTGAACACACCGACATATCTGGTCTCATTCCCGAGGACGATAGGTTCCAAGAAACATCGAAACCATCCAAAGTATTCGAGCCGATTCGGATGCATGAGCCAAATCAGGGCCGCAAAGATACCCTATCCACACTCTGTGATTCGTCACTCGCTCCTGACCCCAACGACATGCCCGTACCAACTCTTCGTCCTCCCCCAACGAGGGTGGGGACGGACGATACTTTGGTCGACGCAGCCATACTGCCCATAATTCGACTCAACCAAAAACATACAGAACGTGCCATGCCTCCACATATCAGTATCCCACTCCGAAAAGATATATCTAAATTCTCTCCATCCACCCCTGTTTCGACTCCCTTGTTAACCCCTCAATCGGCACTGGCTGGGATGATGATGTCCGCCGTTAACCTTGCTGCTGTTGGTGGAGGTCGTGGCCTCCCGATGCACACCCCCGTATCGCCTGAATCTGCGGGAAAGAAGGTAGGCTAACTTATTACAGTAGCTGAACACTGATAACCTCTAGGTGTTTTAGCACTGGTATTCACGACAACTAAAGTCCCTTAGTCCTGGAGTATGATAAGCGGGGTTCATTGCGATACCACATGTCTGGAGGCGCTGGCGGGTCTGCGCATAATCGTTAATCGTGTACTTTGTGTTACATGTAGTTTGTACAAGTGTCAGCTGAAGCCTATGCTTTCTTTCTCGGCTACTATGGGGCGGCCTTCTTCACAGGATGAAGGTTGATCTTAAGCGACTTCAGCGAGGTTACTGCATCAGTAATGCTTTTCGGGACGTCGCTCCCAAACTTAGCCACCACAGCGTCCGCCAAAGCCTGGATCTCCACAAGAGGATCTCCTTCCGCGTAATCAAAGTAGTTGAATCCCGGCCCCGCAAACGTCCCATCGCCCAGTGGTTGAGTCACCAGCCATTCGCAGAGGGGCTTCAGTGCGCCTGTCATGATAGGGAAGATACTCCCGACGAACTCGTCACGGCGATCGTCTTTGCGGGAATGTTTCCAGCAATTTTCAATCGTCAATAAGAGCAAGCAGTACGTAGCATCCGATAGCCCGGCCACCTAATAAGGGTGAGTGCCATCTGGGGGCCATACGGGGCAAGACGTACGGCGGCTATCTTCGGGTCCTTGTAATCTGGCGTCTTTGGGTTATCGATGGTCTTGATGACAGCGGGTGGTGGGGCTTGTAAGAGCTTCGCGAACTGGAAGAAATGGGCTAGTTCACTGGGATCTTCATCATGGGACGAGCCCCCCGCGCCTTCTCCTTGCTCAATGATAGTATCGAACGCTGCGGCGGCAGTCTTGATATCTACTACCTGTATAATGCCCCCAGATGGACGTGTACGGTAGATTTTATCGTCCGACGAGAATTGAAAATCGGCGGATGTGGGGTCAATAAGATCAGGAATCTTCGGCAAGAGATTATTCATCGCTGTGGGGGGAAACTAAGCTACATGACCGTCGGTCATGGCTCTCATTGGACCCACCGATCTTGATTGCATCATAGAATTGACCGAGACTGTGATATTGCTCTGATTCCGGTGCAGAACCACTGACCTCCGGGAGCTCGACCTATGTACACTTCATTGTCAATATGGATGCCCAAGTATGTGAAGTACTGCGGACGAACGTGGAGATATGAGAGGACCTGGTAAAGGTCGGGCCTGCGAAGGGCGAGAACAACGGGCGGGTCTGCGTGCCCTGCCATGTGCATGGGGTATTTGGGGAAATACTCCAAGTGTCCTTTCTTAGGGTACAGGGTGGGACTTCCACCAATGGCCTTCAGCGCATTACCAGCGAGCACTAAATGCAGCATCTCCTGAATGACGACGGCTACGGGCCGCGAGCATCAGAGCTGATAACCGTAGAAGCTGGGTACGGAACCTTACAGAATAACGCGGTGCGGGCATTTGTTTTATCGTTGGCTTGATCGACGGAGTACATGCCGTACAGATATGTGGGGATTGTGCTGAGCTCGACCATTATCGCCAGCTGCAAATGCTCCTGCAGAGTCTTGACATCGTCGATATGCGCGACGCCGTCTTCGACTCTATCGGGCTTGGGCAAGGTGAATGAACCGAAACGGGGCAGCCAAGTCGGGTGTTGGCCGAGGACAACGTTTCCATAGCGTTCTCCGGACATTTTGTATGGCGGGTAGGTGAGCAGTATGAAGATGCGACTCCTTGAACGATGCTGGGTATTTATAACGGCAGGACGTAGAATGTCGCAGAATGCATCTGAGATCTATGTCGTACCTGGGGGGGGGTTCATTGACCTATCAGAATCGTCGAGGGTGTAATACGAGACAGCACGAACACTTTCTAGACGTCCAAACTCCACACGATCGAACTCATGGATCATATTATCAGACCGCAATTATGCCAATGTCTATGGCGGTGTCGACTAGAAGCCTCGGACCCTTGCGTACGAGATCCATACCGATCCATATAGGAGCGAAGGCGATAGGCGAAGAGATAATGATAATCAGATGCTATTTCTGGAATAAAATGGCTTGCGGATGGCGAGTAATTCCACTTACTCCCCCGGGCGTTTGCCTGCGATCATAAGCGTCAGTATATGATTCGAAATATAGAAGCAGAGAAGGTCGTATCATCCCCCAGTAACATGGGTCATGCCAGGATACAGGTACTTGGTCTTGTCAGAAGTCGGCGCGCAACGATTATCCCGCAGTAGACACGATAAGACGAAGCAACCTGTGGAGACGACTCATGACTGATCTTCGACGTTTCATTGGCTGGAAGTAAATGAGTCCAGATTATTCAAGCTAGGGTCTTGGGGCGGAGGAGCCAAGGGATCGGGGATATAGATCTACCTATTTGCGAGCTATTGAGAGCAGCATTCCGCCTGTTCGTGGCAAAAATGGTGTGGGGCCCAGTCGGATTCAGAATCTAGGGTACGGGTATCATACAAGAAGTATTGGGGCCTACAAAGGAACGCACAATTACAAACGAATCTAGAGTTTTTAGTAGAGTCACTTTACAGAACAAAGACAGACGAGGCAGCACCAACGAGTGCCAGACTTGTGAAAATCAAGAAGCCACTTGGAAGGGAGTGAGGCAAGGCGCTGTTGTTGTTCGTATTGCCTCCAGACGTATCAGAAGTGGAGTTGCCAGAACCTGCGGCACCACCAGAGCCCGGGCCAGAGGTTCCGGAAAATGTGGGAGCGGAACCCGACGAAACCGTAGTAGGAGTTGCAGCAGCGTCCGCATTATAAACCCGGATGTAAGGAATTTCGAAGTACGCCTCGTTGTAGTTGCTTCCGTCGCCAAGCACGTTATCCTCGTACTACGACCAAGAAATATCAGGGATGCGGCGGTGGTGCTGGGGAACAAGGACTTACGCAATTCTTCGTGGGCGGGGGACATGTCTGGTTGTAGACAGGAGTGGCGCTGTGCGATGGATGGATGAGAAGCTAGTAGCATGAAGAGACGGAGAGGGTCTTACAAGTCGCCACAAAGTGTGAGGTCCAAGATGATTTGTTGCGGGGTGAAATGGTCTTCAATCTTGCAGCTGGACGACGGCCACGCGGCTGAAGGCGTGCCCCAAGAAGAAGTATCGAGCGATGAAGACGCCGTGGCACTTCGCAGATTCTCTGGTAGGTCAGGGCGCTATTATCAACGGTCATTAAAATCTCCGAGGTAAAGCAGACGCGAGGACGCACACTGAAGAACCATATAAATATCCCAGACACGTCGATTTGGGTAGCAAACACTCCGCCCCCAGCGGCATTGAAGGCGGTGCCATAGCTGGCTGGCTTTTGTTCCTGGACAACGCAGCCGGGGACTCCTTGCTGAGTTGAACAATCCGTGATCGTCGATTTCCCCGTCTGCGTCGCATTGGCGGCCTGAACACAGCCGGGAGTCGTATGCAGGGCCATTTGGTTGAAAGTTCGTCGGTTCACGCCTTCGATAATATCGATTTCTCCTACATCAGGCCACTTGCCGTTCGTACCTCGTGTCCAGAATGCTGGCCAGACCTGTAACCAATGAGTCTCTGTTCCTTGCCGGGAAAATAGACACTAACAGAGCATCCAAAGGGCATGTGGACGATATCGATTATTATTAGACTGCCAACACCATAGGCCTCATTGCCCTCGAGCCGAATCTACGGAGGCGCGCTTAGCTCCCACTGTTTCGTTCCCTCAACCCGGAGAGCTCACCGAATTCCGTTTGTTTGGCCAAACGACGGTAGACGAGTTGTCCACCTTGATAATTGTATTACCAGCGCCGTTCGTGAATGCCAGTCGTTGCGAAGTAGCGGCTGATTGTCCCAAGAATTGAACATCGCCTGAAAAGCAGCCACTGGCTGTGAAAATGCTTGTCTTAACAGAACGAATGTTCGTACCGTTCGTTAACCCAGCATCTGTCTGGTCGAAAAAAGTCCAGTGATCAAAAAAGGTCGAACCGCTGTAGTCCCGAATCGGAGAATATGCGGCGTATGCCCCTAAAATTGCTTGCAAGACGCAGACTCTTCGTAGCCAGCGCCCTGCAGCCATTACTATGAGAGGTTCGGAAGAGACGATAAATTCGAAGTGAGTCAAACACGCTACGATCCCTTTATATTATTCGCGGGAAAATCAAACGCTAGCAAAGATAGAATACAAGTGATTTGTAGTTCTTTCACGTTGGATCTTCACAGGGCGGAATATGATGCCCGCACGATGCAGATGGCGAAAAAATTGATTCTGACCTCACATTCATCAACACTGAGCCAGGCGTTGTTTCTGTCGATACTACTAGTCATACTAGACAAAAGTTTAACCGCTTTACCTGTCAGTGTTCCATTGGCACGTCTGTATGGACCGTGACGCTACTAGATGCATAATAATAAAGCGAATGTACGATTATAACGGTAAACCCGGGCGTCCACATTAACTACTACATAAGATGTCCGAAATGAGCGATGCGATGCAATACGATGAGGGGAAAACAAGTGCTCGGTCCATGATAAAAAGGATAGTAATATGTCTATGATTCCGAGAGAATCTGGTCTATGGAACGGTTCAAGAAATCCTTGCGTGAGCTCAGGTCAGCCTTCGGGAACTTGGTTGCCATGGCGTCTCTGGTAGTTCTGAAAGTACGTCAGTTACATTACCCACTTCAAGAATCGACTAAACCTCACTTCTTCGTAACAGTCATCAAGTCTTGAGTACTGAGATAATTTCGGAGGGCGGTGAATAATTCTTCGTCCGTTGGATTCGGGTTCAGACTCGGACCGGCAAACGGATTAGCTGTTGTGGCCATGGAGAACGTCGATATTGGCCGTTGTGCTGCCCCGAGGCCTGGAGGCGGCATGAAAGCACCGGACTGACCAGACTGTGACCCACCAAAGGACCCGCCGAACATATTCATGCCAGGCATCATACCCGGCCCCATCATCCCATAGGCACTGCCTCCAGTATTCTGATACGGTATAGGACCCATGCCCATGCCCATGCCCATCGCGGTAGGTCCGCCGTAGTCAGATCCACCGGCGACGGAGCCTGGGCCGCCGCCAAAAGGCATGATGGGTAGCTGAGGCATTGAGCCATACTGAGACATCGGAGGCTGTCTTTGACCAGCATGGATGGACATGTTGCTGTGGGATTGCTGACTACCACTGTTACCATTGCGATTCGAGACAGTGAGGTTGGTATCGCGGTAATAGTCACCAGCCTGCGAAGCTTGGTGATACGAATGCGGTGACTCCTCGCGTGATCCAGGAATCCGAGATCTTGGTTTACTGTAGCCTGTCTCGCCCGAGTGTTGGGAACCTCTCTCCCAAGCTTCTGCCTCATATTCTGCGAATGATAAGAAAGGTGCAAATGACGAAGAAACGGGGGAGCTGACCGCTAAACTTCTTGAGGGGAATCATAGACTCATCGAACTTGTCATCCTCGTTTACAATGACCTTCTTCTCCTTGCCTTCACCAATCACAAGACGGGTGTTTCCCCAACCGAATTCATCCATGCACCAGAACGAGTATACGGGAAGGAAGAAGCTGTACACTGGATACCTGCGGGCAAGGTTAGATACGGAATGGAGTAAGAAAGTACTGGGAACCTCGGACGTACGAGAGGATGTAGACCACCATCCATCCTATTAGCATGAATTCCCGTTTGATGAGGAAGATGAGAGCCTAACAAAGTTTAGTAGTCGGATACCCCCGTTAAGGTGAAGTACTTACCTGCAAACCATAAACTGCAGCGATCATGATAATGGAAAGGGTTGGGACGGGTGCATGTTGGGTAGTGACGATCACAATGAGATAAACCAACTGCGTAGGGAAGTCAGTTCACAAGAATTCAATAAGAGTAGTTATAGTTATACGTACATAGACGACGGTAGCAGGCAAGATCTGTGTATTTATTTCATCAGTATTACAAGGATTCACTTAAAGCGGCAAGGCTCACCAAAGTACTCAGCAAATCGAGGAAGACGAAGAAGCGCATGGAGAAGCAACAAAAGCCAAAGAGCTCAGGGAGGAGGACCAATTCGCACAGATTGTGGATGGTAGAGTTGATCCATCTACGACGTTGAGAGAACAGGATGCGCCAGGATTCCGGAGCCATAGTATGAGCGAGAGCATCTGCACAGAATTTCGTCTTGAAGGTGGGGAAATGCTTCATCATCAGCGTTGTCAAAAACCGATCTTCACCGAGGGAGAACAAGTTCTTCTTGTGCAGTGTGTCGACGTTCGGTTCCGAGTACTCCTCAATGATGCGATTGGAAATGATGATGGGCCTGCCCTTGTCGGCAGTCCGGATGCGGTAGAGAGAGAAACAACCGGGCAAGCAGGTGACTGAGCCGAACAAACTCTCGAAAGACTTGCTCAAATGATGGGAGATATAGTATTCGTAAACTTGAATCATAGTCCACCAAGAGCCTTCCTCGTTTTCGAGTTTGGTTTCACCACAGATACCAATGATACTGGAGTCATCGGCGCAGGAGGCAACCAAACGATTAACGGAGTCGGGGGTAACCGTCTGAAGAGCACTGTTAACAGAGGCGACACTAGTGGTACTGGGATACTCACTGTATCGGCATCGACGGTGAAGATATACTCATAGAAGGCAGGGTCAATTCCGATAACATTTCTCATTTGGTGGTAAATTTCGAGCTCTAGTGGTGACATAGGCGCATCGAAATGAACGCGGTTGAGGTAGTGCATGAGGAGGATTTGACTGTCACGTTTGCCGCGATTGCCAGGCTTCGATCGCTCCGTTGGTTTTCCAACCTTGACAACGACCATGTACCTAGTCAAATAATCTTGAGCTAAATTGTCATCGAGGTGCAAGGTGAAGAACTTACGGAACAACATGACCTTCAAACTCGTACAACCCAGAGTATACCTTGCCGTAGTTGAGGGCCCTCGACCCTTCGCCAACAGACTTAAACAACAACGGCTCAGGATCGAGCTTCGGGTCGACGCCGAGGATATCGAGAACAATTCTTGGGGTTGTACGATCGTTCCCGCTGCCAATAATGTTGCCGTCGCAGATGATGAAGATTAGCTTGCGTTTGTCATCGTAGTTGAGAGCTGCCAAGGAGTCGATAGTCCTTCGAAGCGAGTCCTCTCCTTCCGTATAGCAAGGAACTTGACAAAGCACGAATTTGTCTTGTAGTTCGGGGGAACGCCGGCCACCAAGTTGGAGAGCAGCCAGAAACTTGAGAACCATGGACGCCATAATGATGATAGACACTGCGAGGAGGACGTAGTTTTGAACTAAGCATCTAGCCGACTTCCTGAAGTCCACTTCACCCGCGTAGAAGAGGTTGTTCAAGCAATTAACGTTCCTAGACGCCGTCTGAGGATCCAGCGAAGCGAGGACTCTGTTCAGAGACTCTGTAACGTCTTTTCCAGCTTGTCGTTTGAAGACATCAGTAATATCTTGGTTCACAAACTGGAAGCTATCCACGGTAGCAGGATTGGATGATTGACTGTTGATGTAATCGGTGAAGTCGTAGAGCTTGTTTTCCCAAACTGCCCATATCCTGGAGCGGCATCGCAGAATTAGCAAAGCGTAAGTAAGTTACGGATTGCTTACTTCTGAATGTCATCGTCGGATGCTTGAGCTTCGATATCCTTCCTTTCAAAAACTACAGGACCTTTGCGAAATTGTTTTATCGTCGGTAGGAACCGCGAAGTATACCAATCGTTCTGTTGCAGGGCAGCCGACGGGAGACTAGCAATGCTGCCACTCTTGTGCATCGCCGTTGGCGCGATATTCGTGAAGTTCTTGACGGTAAGTTCAAGCAACGGATCCGTAACGAGATCCGGACAAGCCAACGTCAGTGGTGGAGGGAAATAGTTCGAGAGGTCCTGTCCAGCCACCGCCTCCAAGGTATCCCTCCCATTGCTAACCATGCCTTGGATGTTGGCATGATCTCCGTGGACGAACTTGGTGACATCATATACGAACCCGTGGATCGCGACGTAGAAGTCGTTGTCGCCTGTATGCTGTGCCACTTCGTTGAGAGACCAAACTTTGTCTGCATTCGGGCACAGGAGCCGTCCAAAGAAGACGATATAGAAGATGACAGTAGCGTTGAGAAGGAAGATGAGGAGGAAGATCGCAAGTTTTTCTCGCCAAGCGAGTCGAATATCAGGGCGTTTCATCCTCCCAAGATGGGTAAGTAAGAACGATGGGATCCAGCCAGTCAACCCCCACACTACCCATAACCAGATTCGTCTTGTCCGACTAGTAGGGAGTTCCTCGACAGCATTGGGAGCGGCATTAACGACCATAGCGTCCGCTTCCTTGGAGACAGAGTAAGGAGGAGCTGACGGCGAGCTCGGTTCCTTTGAATCACTTCCCCAAGCCCCGTTATCATCTTCGCCGCCCAGTCCGCCCCTCATAGTATGCCCAAGGTTAGGCGTCTGCAGACCTCCCGATCCATATCCACCATTGTTACGATCGTCGAACAGATTCCCCTCACCGCCGCGAGCGAGTAAATTGTCGGCGCTCTCGTTGTAATAGCCTGTTGGCGCAGATAGACCATTGTCATGAGTGTACTCCGTGTTATCGTCTGGCATTACACTCTCGTCATCCTCAACTCCTCCATCCTTCGCCATTTTCCGCATCTCCCTCTCGACGGCTCGGATTCCATCTTCAACGGTCTTCCAAGCGCCGTACGACAGCCATACAGACCGATGACCTATGACAAAATCCTCTCCTTCTTTCCACCCGTTAGCCCTCGCGCATTGCGTTATCCTCTCAATGTCGGAGCCACGCATTGTGGGCACGTAACGCTCGCAGAACGCGGAGTGCTCATAGTCAACAGCGAACTCCATGCTTCGTCGAGATGCAATGTCAGGAAGGAGCATAGACCGAATTTGGGATTTCACGCGGCGCTTGTCGAAGGAGTTTGGAGAGCCAGAGTCATTGGGACGGATGCAAGAGACCGTCCAAAGCTTCATTTGATCGAGGGTGGCGAAAATCTCAGAGAGGGTGAAGTTGAGTTGAGTCGTTATGGGATAGACTTTGCTTGGGTCGAGCCGTGGGTGGGGCTCTATCTGCGGAGGGGATCCATCGGGCCCACAGACGGGGGTGGGGGGACGGAGGGGCCGCGACGATACTTGCGCCTGGACAATGATGTTCTCGTCTTTGCTGTGCTTCTCCGTGGCCATACTCGGGCCAGAGACCAACTTCGATACAAAGCTATCTGTAGAATTGCGAAGGAGGGAGACGAAAGCAGAGTCCAATATATCGGAATCCTTCTCAACGAAGGAGGAGACGTCATAAGAGACGGATCCAGCGTAGTGATTGATACCAAACAGGTTGCGATCTTGGTTGCCACCGATGTTCGGGCTAGCTACAAACGAAGCGTGAACACCGAACTTCGAAACCAAGTCCTGCAATAGATCATCGTTCATATGCTCGCCGGCCTTGCCCGACTTGAACGACGAGCACGCCTTATTCAGTGCCCCCAAAACACCTCCCGGTTTGCGCTGCGATCGCTCGTCAAGCGAAGCGCCTCTAAGCAATTCAACGCAGGCACCGTTGTCCATCGTGGATATGGCCGGCAGCGTAATGCCATCACCCGAAATTTGTGAGTTAAAACCAATGGAATCTTCGAAAGTATGGCGCAGGACATATGACTGAAGTATCTCGTCAGAGAAGTTGATGGCGAACTCCTCGAAGGCGTTTTGCCCGTACGCAGAGACTAGAGGCATCGCGCCGGACAAAGACATCGATCCTGTTCCAGTGGGTCCACGGGTCTGATAGCCGGGCTGATCGAAGAGGACAATCTGAGTGGGAGGAGGGGGGTCGTTGACGCTTGGGGCTACCCGATGATTGGACGTTTCAACGATGTAAGCAAATAGAATTGCATAGAGGTCGCGAACAAGCTGGTCACGTTGGCGGGAACTTTGCTGAGCGTTGAGAAGGACGGTGTATAACTCCTTGCGGACATAGCTCGTCTTGTTGGTGAGAGTCTGACTAAGATCTTCTGATGACACGCCGAGTAGGCGCGCAGCATTTTCAAGGACTAGAAGATTCGAAACGTAGGCAGATACATCGTGCGCGTCGCCGTCCTGAAACTGGATGTTGCCTAGGGTTAGAATAGCAACGAGGAGGCTAAAGATCGAGGACATGTGCTTGGGTTTGAAGGACAATGTCCGCAAGGCAGCACGCAAGTCCGACATGGCGATGGAGTCGTCACTGAAGGGACCTGAAGGAAGGCGATAGCACCCCGAGGATGCAAGGAGGGCGTAGTCCGAGGGATCCTCCAGATTGAACTGATCACGTTCTGTAGAGGTTGCACCGGCTAGGAATTGGTAAAATACGTGGTAAGTGCGCTCTTCGTGTGTAAGCCTCGTGAGGCGGGACTTGTCTAGTCCGTACGCAAGGACCTTCGCAGAGCTTATACGCCCTCGGTCGTTGAAGTGAAGTTCGAAGTACCGGCCATGCCGCGAAGCATTGGGGTTCATAAGGGTTTTAGCGTTCCCGAAGGAGTCTAGGACAGTAGCAAAGGCTTTGACCTGCTCCGCTACTCTAGCCTCCTTCTTCGAGTGTGTAGACAATCGCAAAATCTGATTCATGAAGAGGCGCAAGCTTGAGGTTTTTCCCGAACCTGTAATCCCTCTGCCCGAGCGTTGGAAAGTATTGCAAACAAAAAGCGGACAACGTACCTAGCAAGCACCCCTTGCGACTCGTTCCGCCGTCGCATCAGTAGATATACTCGGGCTGCCAAATCATATAGATGCGGCTGCAGCGGTTTCGGAGAATCTACCATGGGCATGCTGGTATCCTTGTAACACCGTTCTTCGTAGTCCTTAGCGCTGACATCGTTAACGTTGGCAAGTGTCTTGTAAGGGTTTACGGCGACGAGATGGGTAGCCCCAATCCTTGTGTATGGTAAGTCAGCGCGGAAACGAGCTTGGAGGACGCCAAGGATGGCGTCGTCAGATGGATAAATGGTGGCCGCGCCAGAAGAAGAGACGAGGTCGACAAGATCGCCAGAAGCAATGGCTTGTGTTGCATGGTTCGAGGCCATGTCCTACGAAGGGAGAAGAAGAAGGAAAAGAGAGAAAACAGCGCCTTCGCTGTAGAGAACGTTGAGGAAGAAAATAGGTGAGGTGGTGGCCAAGGAGACTGTGAGAATCAGAATAGGGCTCGAAACGCCGTTTCCTCAGGTTAAGGTTTGTGGGAATGTTTTATTGACTGTGGTAATATGCACGTGCTCTGGGATGGTAGATGGCAATCCGCAAAGCTATGATATCTACGGAACCCTAATCCTACGTCGAGCGATGCTGCTTCTGTCCGAGAGTTGGTTCCTTGGGCCGTGTACTGAGCGCTGCGATCTTGGAAGTTCAAGGAAGTTAACAAATATCTTGCGCTTGGGTAGATCTAGATAAGCGCAATGATGCTGGCGTGGCCTGCAGGCGTTCAGCCAGATGCGGCGTGGCACCAGCAAACTTCAAGTGACTAGAGGAAGTTCAACATACAAATTGACGTAAGTAGTTTTTCAATCGATACGCCCCTCATTCGGTGAGTTTGACTGCATTCAGTTTTGCATTATATCTGACTAGTCTTCATCGTGCAAGATACCATGCCCATTCACTCACTTTGGGCCCCATGTATAGCCCATGTGGATAGAATGTTCTTATCAAGGTTACTCGTTCTCATGCACCACGGCTCTGAAGTGCTTGAAAGTCAATATTTTGAGGAAAATTTTGAAACTTTGAGAAAAGAAGTTGCCACGTACGTCCTTGTTCAATTCTTTATGTGCAGTCCTCAGAATGCTCGCCGCCCCAAGGGTATTTCAGGACATGGTGAAAACCATGAGGGGCAAACCCAAATTAGAGGAGTTAGGGAAGGCGTGTGACAACGCTCGCGCCCAGATGACGAGGTTGTTAGCCACAATTGTAAGTACGTGCATGCTCATTTAGTCTATTTCTTGGAGCTTCAGGAATATACTAGCACGGCGGTAAATCTGCTTCAAACTTCGAAGAAAAGTACCAGGTCGCAGCTGAGGATGACGGAAAAGCACATGCACGGCGTAAGACAGTCCTAGCCGCACTAAAGATCGTATGTCTTTTCCTATTGCTCCATCCAGAACTAGTCAATTCAAGATTAGGCGCAGTCTGGGGAGACTACTCCTAAAAAAAGTAAGAAGTTATGGGTCTCCGTCGTGAAGAAGCACATAGACAATGAAGAGGAGTGGCATCATATAGCTGGTTAGAACTTCCCCATTTCATATCGGGAAGCTCATTCGTGCTGGACACAGAAACTGGCTATCATACAACAGATCGCCTAGACTGGGTTCTCTGGCAACTAATCCGTCGGCATTCTATCGAGCTGCGCTTGAATCCTCGACTATACATGTACAAGAACTCGGAGTCAAACATGGAAGTAGTTCCATTTAATGAGGTCCTGGGTCTGGAAACTCGTCCTCTTTATGTTCTGCTCGACAGAGAGAAGACCATCTCGGTGGGCGATCAACTCTACGGCAATATATTTGGCTGTCTCCAAAAGCGAAGCCAAGTGGGCTTTATGCTGAAGCGTACGCCGCCCCACTTCCGCTGTCACGCTGATACTGAATATGACGGGATAGGACCATCGGGACATCTTGTGTCTATCTGTCATCCAAATAAACTGACCCTAAAGGCCCGTTGGAACGACGGCGTCACAGAGTCTGAATTTCAGGCGAAGCCGGATGAACTTGGTCAGCTTCTCCGTCGCATTGCAACGGACGAACAAAGCAAGTGGATGGTAACGTTCGACGGCTCAGGCCGTGTTGCGGATGTCCTTGTGGGCGACCCCAGGTTTCGGGTAGATCCTCCGGCCACAGGGGATGGCCTGTTGGACCCCACAGGTCCGTCAACGACTGGCTTGCCACTCCCCAAAGAATTCGATATTATGCCATCGGGTCTTGTTCACACAGAGGCGTCAGTGTCAAATACATCGACGGTACCGACTTCCATCCCCGAAGCCCCTAGCATTCCCTTCGCGAAAGAACCAACATTAATGAGTTCTTCTTCGAGAGGATCCCTCGTGACTGTCGCAATAGATATAACTAAACGGCATATCGAGAATCAAGGTGCATCGAGAATACCTGGGCCTCGATCGAGCCACGGTATAGCACCAACTTCCCCACTTCCGCCCCAGGCTTCGTACGCAACGCAGCCACCCCAACCAGTTTCCCGCTTTGGGTCGCTCTATACCACGAGCCACGGCTCCGCCGTACCCCGCAGCTCGGGCTTGAAGGAAGAACCAGTCGTGACTCCTTCTACTCGTATCGATATACCAACACAGGCTCTACCGAGAAGTGATGCTAAATCTCCTGCCATTAATCATGATACAGCTCTCTCGTCCCAGAAAATGGAAACAGTCGATCCCGGTTCCTCAACGGTTCCACAAATCATAACGAGCGGGCGCCAGTCCAGGGCTTCCGAATCTTCTGGGTTCAGTAGAATCATCCCATCCAGTCTTCAAGATACGAAGGTAATGGTCTTATACGGTTTCCTCATGTTCCATCTACTGACCTGTGCGCCTATCCGCTTAGCGGCGAGGCCCTAATACGGCAAATATGCAGGCTGACAAAAAGGACGGTTACAAAGGAACCATTCCGACCCACCGTCCGATGCCCCAAGTTCGAGATGGTCAAGAAGCTATAAAACGAGACACTGCTGATCCGCCGCTGGGGAAAGTCACTGGTGTCTCCTCAAATCCTAGCTCTGATCCATCCGTTCCCCCTTCCAAAGTTTCGAATCGTGCTGAAACCAAGGTAGAGATGTATTTCTTCAGATCCTGATAAGTATACTGACTTGTACGTCGCAGAAGGAAGGTTGGTTTCAACGAAGAGTGATCAAGCCCTTTAAACGAACCTTTGGAGTATGATGGATCTTGACGTATCTGTTACTAGCTCTTTCCTGCCTCTGATGCATACCGTCAGTAGATAATCTACGTTAGCGACAGACTGAATTCAAGGACGCTGTGCTTCGATAATACCATACTTGCCGTGGCCCTTTATACATAGATAAATACTGAATACATATGATAGATATGTGTCCGTTGCACTGTGTCCGAACGCCAACCAAAATTGCTACAACCTCGGTCGACATCATACGACCGCGCAGACAACGGTGCTTGTTGTCCTGGGCCGGTTTTGAGGAAGCAGCGGTGTGCTGTCATGGGGGAAAAACGCTCTGTAGGGCAAGAAGCAAAGGAGCGGCAGGATCCCGAAGACTGCTACACAGACGACTGTGATACTGACGGCAGCATCTGTGTGGACCCAAGTCATCAGGACTAATGCAGCCCAGAAAGAAGGAATCCCGATGAGCATGGAAGCGAACCCTGCGATTCAGAATTCCTGAGTTAGTGGCGACGTTGGGGTGACAGAAGACACTTACAATGGTAAAAGACATACATCCAAGAACGACCAGCCCCGTAAAGCCGCAATAGCGACTTTGCATTCGCGTTGACCCACCCTGCGGTGGGAAGCGATTCCATGGGGCGCGAAGACGAGTTGAAGTCTAGCTCCCCAATACGGTCAATGAGAACAATGGAGGCAGTGGAAGCACTGGAGTTGAGGATCAGCGATATATATGCGAGGATTTGAAAGGCAGTGTCTCCGGGCGAATCGATGGTTCCCATGAGCTGGCTTCCTTGCAGTAATAACTGCATGCTGAGGAGGGCAAAGATGGCTGACTGAGCGAATGCAGTAAAGTAAATACACATTGATTGGATGCAAGGGCATAGGTACTTACAACGAACGCTGAAGTGCGAAACAGTACCAGCCAACCTTGCTGAAGCGCCTTTACTATAGGCGGTAGCTCGTCTAGCGGCGCCATGGTCAACGGGTTGTCAGCAGCAGGGTACTGATTGGTGTAGCAATGGCGTACATTGTAGCTTGATTTCATGGGAGCTTACACTTGACATGTTGGGAGCGTTCGATTCGACTGTTCAATATATGGGGTATTGCAGGAGCGCACGACACGGCGCCGCTTTTCAACCAACGTAGTAAGCTGTGCGACAGCGAAGAAAGGTAAGAACATTCATAGGCGACTCTCGGTCATGAAGTCCTGCCTGAGTCCCTTGTACAGTTGAAACCATTACCAACTACATCAAATACGCGAACGAGGATGGACGTTTTGAACGAGTTGTGCACTCCTGGACTCACTCGGCTGGTACGCTCAAGGCGAACCACGTGGTAGACATACTGCCAACTCACAGCAAATATCGGCCTTGATCTATTAAAAGGCGAGGGATATAATCTGATTCATCGGGCCCTATTAGTACGTATAGTTCACGACGCAAAAATCACAAAGCGGAATTGATCCTGAATCGATACTAGTGCTCGAGGCGGGATCTTCCTGGGAGGAAGTACAAGAACGGGGGAAGGCAGACTATGATGATCACAACGAAGAGGGTAATCTCGACCCATTTAACTTCCACAGTGGCGATGAACAGAAGGATTTCTGCGACGGTGATGACGAACCCGCTAACAAACAATACAAGCCCTATTGTGAAGTATTATCAATATGTTGAGCGAGATTTAAAAACGACGAACAATATATGAGGAAGAATCTCCACGAGTAGATACCCTTGGGGGCACCAAATCCTTGTAGTATCTGCATCATGTGCTCGGTCGTTGTACCCCTTTCCACCGCGGACCTTTTCAATCGGCAACGCTGACAAGAGGACTTGTAACAGAGATCGCTAATCATGTCGGTGACGACCATGGCAGTAACAGTCGCGCAACTATTAGTCACGACGGAGATATACGCCAAAATCAGAAGCGATGGGGGGCAGACACCAGCGGGAATGTCAGAGAAATTATCTTTATCTTTGAATAGGATCAGGAGGTTGATCGCGTTGGCAGCAAGGAGGGCAGACTTGTCGCGGCGCGAAAGACGTCCCGTAAGTTCAGTATTAGCCATAATATCGGAAATGCGACGTACGACGACTGCCCCTGATTGGAATGTTGTTGTCCAGGATTGTTGGAGTGATCCCACTAACGGAGGCAAGGTGTCTTACGCGTCCATGAGATCGCAGGAAAATGGAAGTAGCTGCGGCACCGAACTTACAGTCGAGCGAGAATTGGTGATTAGTATCTTGATCGGTAGACTGTAAATGTAGTTGAGGACAGACTGAAACAGACAGCGACTGCACTTACCGCCATTATGCAGGAGGTTTCACCTTTGTGCTGCAAGCCAATGTCTCCCAGATGTGACTGAGGTGAGTCTGCTTTTGTCGTATCTGTAGCCAATGAATCCCTATAAGGACCTTCTTCTTGTTCGGTAGCGCGCTGCATTGCACGGAGCTTCGGAAGTAAGGAAAAGAACCGCCACAGAAAGCATAAGACGTGAAGTTATGATATATGGCCTAAACAAATGATGCAAGCCGTTGCAATGCCACAGAATCGTCTTCAGCGGTCGGGTCCGCCTTAGAACCGCGAATGCCACCAGCATAAGGGCAGGAAGACGCGTCCTGCTAACATGCTCCTATGTGACGATCTCGGAGAGTAGTGAAGAGTCAACCTCAACGTTGTCTCAACATTCCTTCGAACTGTGTTGATGCATGAGTTCAATCGTGACACGAAGGGAAGGGTAGACCTGGGACACACCAATAGAAGCCGTTGCCTCACCTTTGCATCGAGGTGGCACAAACTACAACCGCTGTCATCCGTTCGCCTGGGTGGGCTATAAAGGCCGAGCAGCCTCAAGGTTTGTTAGTGCTTCATGTACATACTCGTTCTTGGACACATTGCTTGACCTGTGCCGATCAAAAGTTATCTCGCGCGTGGAGGAGTTGTTCTGACCATACTAGTAGATGGGCGCCTAGAGAAGGCGATGTACTGTGATGTGTTGGTGAGTGACATAGGCGACAGCGGCGAAGGGCATGGTGGTGTGTAATTCATATCATGAGGTTATCTCCATAAAATAAAAAGATCGAACAAGTCCGGTCTAGGCAAGGGCATAGGTATGTAGTGATACAAGGTACGAACGTGTGAAAGCCGATAGCAAGGACGAAGAAGTATGATGTACGATGATGGGATGCAAGGGTTGAGAAATGGGTATTAACAAGGCGTATAATGAAGTCATTGTCCATCCCAGAAGAGTTGACGGTGTATATCGATGGAAGATAGTATGATAAATCAATCGTGATGCAAAGACAGGCCACGCACGAAGTTAGACATAAAGAAGGTCCTAGGGCAGTAGTGCAGGCTCGAAGACCTTGTCAGGCGATCCAGGATCTGACAAGCGATCCACGGAAAGAAATTCGCCATCTGGGTCGAAATTTGCAGGTGCCATGTACATTCCGGGGAGTATTGTGGTCTGGCGGGATTGTATTGACGGAGAAAGTCCGTCGGAATTGACATCATCGTCGACTAACCGATATCCACCAATCGTATCACGCCAGAACTCATCTCTAGTTTCCCGCTCTTCTCGAGGTAGGTCCTCAAGATCCGAGTACGATTGAGGTGATGCGGTGAGGAATCTATCGAATATCGTAGCGCCCTCGTTGTCGTTTGGGGTAAGCGTGGCGGTGGATCCCACGTCAACGTGTGGCGACGAGGACCGTAGTTTGGAACGCTGGGGGAATGTGTATTCAGGGAAGGATGAGACGGCATCGGAGAAAAAGGTGTAGATGTACGATAAATGAGTCGATGAGCGCCAAATTCTCGGACCTTCTAAGCGACCATATGATGAACAAAGGATGCTACTTGCTGCGCTTTTGCATGGTCTATGCCGTGTACCCAGTGGATTTCCGCTGCATCGTCAGACCCAATGAGGTCAATTTCAATAATCAAATAAAGAGATAGGACTTACCAGGCAGCACATCCAACCCCTTCACGGATGCAACCACAACTACTACGCACGTACTTTGCTAGCGCTGGCCTGTCAAAATACTGTGCTTCCATACCCACAACAGCGTCGGTGGCTGCACCCTTTGCCTGCCAAACTCCGAGCTCGGGCTTTGGACTGCCATGTACGTGGAGAAGCGCCCCACAGCCGTTCAATCGTCTCGACTGTCTCTTGCCAGCTCGATCTGACGAAGAGACCGGTAACGCGGTGACCTTGAAAGGGGTAACATCCTCTATTGACGCATCGTCGAATCCCCCACAGAATACTGAGTACCGGTACATGTCCGTGCTAGTCCTCGATGATGGCCTCTCTCGGGGAGGCCGTCTCCTGTGTACTGCGCCTGCTCCGAGTGGCTCACGGTCGTGATCTGGAAATGAACCAAGCACAGGGCTGGTATCTACCACGATCACTGGAGGACTTGCAGGCCGGTGTAGGTGAGGTGCATGGTCCAGCCGCATCGCTCCCCGACGTCGCAAACGAGACGCTTCCCCCGTTCGTACAAGTCCGGAAAGGATGATGCTGTCATCATGGTCTATCGATTCGGCAAATGATTCGGATTCTGAGAATGATTCGCCATTAGAATGTCGTCGTCTGTAATCCCTAGGCATATTGAATATCGGAGGGGTGAGGAGGATGACTTATGTAATGGCCGGAGCAGTGCTTTGGGTTTGACTATGCGTGGGAATCTTAGACTTAGAGGCGTCCGGTATGTACCTCCCGGCATGTCTCGGCATCCTACACCTCCCAAAAATCCTCGACTCAAGGTTCTGACCGTCGAATTGTCGTAGCTCCGCTGCATGACACCGATGTATTATAGCTGAGGCTGCCATGGTCAACTCCTGTTCAGAAAGCATTGGTATTGTGCGCTGATGGAACGAGAGTTGACGAAAATGAGGGTTGTAATTCGGGGGAACATTCACCATCATGTTTAAAGTCAGGGCAACATACGCGGGGCTCTTACTTGCAGATGCCTTTAGCGATGCAGAAATATGCGGGCTCAGCTCACATCTGAAGTCGAAGCTACAGCCTACAGCAGTACCTGCCGTGATCCCCCTGATACTAATTTACCTAGGAAACATGTTCACCCAGAGCCAATCCCCGCAACCCACGTAGTTGAAAAACTTCAAGCTTTAGATATGCATCACTTCTGCTGCTTCGTCGAGCTCTGTGGTTGGGCGCGGCACGATGGGAATCGTCTCATGTCACGGCTGCGAGCGCATGGAAGCCATGTAGAAGGCGAAGAGGCACAGCAGAAGCCCCGAGTGCCCCTTGAAGTCTGGACGCGATGGCACTGTCAGCTTACATCAAAATAGATGTGATGCCGCTTTCTGGGGCCTACACCCGTCGCTCTGAACGATGAAGCTTCAGGAGCTTGTTCGAGGTCAGTGCGCTTATCGTCTTGGCCCCAGAGGTAGACGTCAGTGCTGATGCCCTTGCTGCTTTCAGTTAGAGTTCCCGCGCGGCGGGGGGCGCCGCCGCCGTTTGTTCGTTCGGTTGCGATCTATCACGACATGGATATCAATACCATGCGCTTGACATTCGGGAAGCAAGGATGGTTCCTTTTTTTCAATCGCTTCATGCGGCGCAAGGAAGGCTCGTAATTCATTAATCAAAGTATGTCGAGATATTTAAGAGCTCGTCGAAGATACTCAGCTAGCAGGGTCTCGGACTTGCACAACTCTCCCCCGCATCCGACCAATGATGAAGAACATATTCGCTTCGCTCGCCTTGTTCGCTTATTTCTATGTCCGCCCGACCTTGGCTGCGACGTACGGCTTGACCGACAGCTGGACGGGTTCGGCCTTCTTCAGCGAATTCACCTGGGAGAATATCCCCGATCCTACCAACGGACGAGTGTAAGCTTTAGCGCAGAGCATCGTGTTGCCCTGCTCATTCATGAGAACACTTTAGAAATTACCTCGATCAAGCCACTTCGCGCTCCCTCGGCCTCGCAACTGTGGACGGCGAAGATCTCATTCTGCGTTCCGACCATACGACCGTCCTGACTCCTGGCGGACCTGGCCGTAACTCCTTTAGGATCAGGTCCAACAAAGTCTTCACTACCCATGTCGCGGTGTAAGTACTTGATCGTCGAGGCACGACAAGGCCAAGCAGCTCATGGTTTGTCCAGGTTCAACATCAAGCATATGCCTCAAGGCTGCGGTACATGGCCTGCGGTACGTAGCGACCCCTTCGTAGAAGACTTCCGTACCGACGTTTTTTAGGTTTGGGAAGTAACGAAGAACACATGGCCCGATGGGGTTTGTTAATTATCCGCTCCTTACTTCCACGACCGCCTAATTCCTTCTCACAGGGCGAGATCGACATCTTAGAAGGTGTAAACGATCAAGGCCCCAATGTCGTATCCTTGCACACTAGCCCCGGTGCGTATGGAATCAGGCTATATATGTCTAGCCAATCAATAAAACGAAGCCCTAACGTGCCGGTCTAGGCTGCACGATGCCTGCGAATCGCGTCGAGCTTGGGTATGTCAAACGCTGTCATCTCACGGTTTATCTATTGAACTTCGGCCACAGGGAAGATGCCACGTTTGACTGCAACATCTTCGCCAATAGCAACTCAGGTTGCGGAACTAGAGTCACAGATCCTCGCGGCTACGGCCCAGAATTCAATGCCAACGGTGGGGGATGGTCAGTCGTTCTATATCTTATCAGAGCCAGTCATAACCCTTGCCGCCTATCAGGTATGCCATCGAAAGAACGCCGGCTTTCATCAAAGTGTGGTTCTGGTCGAACAGCGACCTCGTTCCTAACGATGTACGCAACTCGGGTATCACTGTGAACACTGATGGCTGGGTTAGCTTTCTTTGTCCTTGTCTGGGACGACCACTTATCTTGTTCGTAGGGAACACCATGGGCGTTCTTCCCCAACACCCAATGCAACCTTGAGGAGCACTTTGATGAACATTTCATCGTGGTCAATCTCACATTCTGTGAGTACCGTACGCTGTTGCTGCATTACGATCCTGACTGAATCGCTTAGGCGGCGATTTCGCGGGTGCGGTATACCCTTTCTCGGGCTGCCCGTCCACCTGTAATGGTTGGTGGTCTTCTACGCATTCGTTAGCGACGCGACTAACAAACCCCAAGATTTCGTCGAAAACAATCCTAATGCGTTCAACGAGGCCTTCTTCACTCTTGGAGGGATCAGAGTATTCGGAACGCAGTAGCTTTCAGGTCAAACCTATATATTTCTTCTATTATTCGCTCTGTTCAGTTGACATACCCCGCACGCCGACTATTACCCAAACTGTACAGCAGTCCATAAAAGCAATCTTGTATTTCCTCCCGTCACTGTTTCCGGCGGGTTACATGTACATGTTATCAATGTTCCGATACGAAAAGCTTCCTCGCGTCGCGTGCAAGATGCTGCAAGAGCAGGTCCTTCTTGGGCGACGCGACGTGGGGGCTGATAGTGCCTTCTTCGTCTGTACCCTTAACAGTGCCAAACACTGCAGATTGCAGTGGTTCGATCTCAGCGTCTTTCTCAACCCACTCTTCGTTGTAGCCCCAGACGCGGTGGAATTCCTTGTATTGGGGACTTCGGTCGCCAAAGGTCAGAACAATGGCCTCTTTTACAGCTCGCCATGCGCTATCGAGCGCCCCGACCACCCATCTAATGTGCAAGTTATTAGGATGTCAATTGGAACCTGTTTGTCATACTCACGCGTGGCGAACACTGAGCGCCTCACCAGCAAAGTGCAAACGACCTTGGCCGGCGGGCACCGTCAAAGAATCATAGGCCTCCGAAAACATCCCAGGGCCGTAAAACGCAAACGCACCTATTCTTTGTCGTCAACCATTGTGCATCAGGTCCAATATGAAAGGAAATGGACTTACCCATCGTCCAACGGCTTTGACTCCAATCCCAGGCATGCATATTTTCGAACTCGCCTTCGAGGACACTGATGTCGAGGTTGTGCACGACGGCAAGGTCCCGAAGCACCAACTCCTTCAGTTGATTGTCGTATCCCTCTGCACGAGTGTCGATGAGCGCCCCAAGTCGCTCGGCATCACTGGTCCAACAATAGCTAGCAATAAGGACTGTGCTTGGAGTCTTTGGGAGCCCTTGCGACGGATATACAATCGTGCGCGAAGGCCGATCGGTTGCCGACTGCCCGCCAACGATGTCCAGAGGTCTGCCGTCTTTATCCTTCATCGTCGACCACCACGCCGTCCTGAACTTGATGCCGACCTTGATGGAAGGCCCGTATGTTAGCTGGCGCAAAGCATTGGTTTGGCGATGTGTCAGCTTGCACTGCGAGAGGTCGATGGTGCGGAGGCATGGGAGTGGAAGAGTAGAGATGACGTGCGGGTAGCTTTTCGGCGGCTGTCCCTCTATGGAAACTTCGACAAGCGAATGGTCCGCATTAAGCGCGACGCCGGTGACCCTGGAATTCAAGGCAATACAACCATTACCACGAGTTTCCAGATATTTGACTAAGAGGTCTGCCAAACCCTCCGCGCCGCCACTAACAGAGACAATGGTCAGTACCTCGTATTTTCGACAATTGCCACGCGAACTTACTCAATTAACTTCCACTGTGGGGCGTTGAAGCATAGTTCCTCGAGGATGCTCTCTGCCCACGCGCGATCAAACGAGGATGTCGAGTTGCTGAATGTCTCGCACCAGTTCACTATCGATGTAGCAAGAGGCTCGCGCGGGATTCCCAAGTTGGGGCTGGGGATGTACTTGGTACTGAGATATGCGCGAGTCGAATAGGCGTCGACTTCCATCAACAAGTCCCACCCATCGGATCCGCCATCGACCATGTCCCTCTTGAGTGCGTCTACAAAAGGTCCGAACGCGTCATTCATAATTTCGGTCACCCCTACTTTGAGGTATTCCTCCCCGACACCAAGATCGGACCACTTGAAGTCATCACCGCCCGTTCCTCCTCGCTTACGCCGGGTGTCATTGAAGTACAAGAGGTTGTTGTTTTTCAGGTCCTCGAAATGGTAATCACGCAATTTCGCGTGAAGCTGGAAATCGCCGGTGTTGAGAGGTTCGTAGTTGAAGAGATGGAACAGCCGTCTCATGACTTCGTTATCAGGAAACCGCATCGCCCCGACATCCTGTCAAGCCAAGGCTTACATCAATGACCACATTCAAATATGCGAACAAATGGACACGCACGTAGTAATCATATTCGTCTCCGGGGGACCCATCTTGCTTCTTGAACTTATGGGTGTACAGGCGACCTCCGCTTCGGCCGGTAGCTTCGATTATCTCATACTTGATCTTGAGGGAGTCGAGTATCAAGGCCGCGTACAAGCCCCCAATCCCGGCCCCAAGGATCCCCACCACGAATTCGGGGTCTTTGCCGCCTTCGGAAACCTTGGAGGTGGGAAGATGACCACTCTCGAAGAGCATGTCCAACGCGTTGGACACTGACATCTCCCCTTCCAGCGTTTCTTGCACACCTTCGTGCCCTCCAGTTGCGTGGAGAGCCTTGCGCATCAAGCGTCGGCCATAGTAAGCGTAGGCGTCTCGAGTTCCCATGTTGCTAATAGGTGTTGAGATTGAAAACAAAACGTATTTCGGGCTGTCTACTTATGCTTCTCAACTTGTGAGTATGTTCGTGTCATGTGGAGTATCTTTTGGCTTATCAAGGAAACATCGAAGGACCGGCTTCTCGCCTTCGCACTTCCAAGATCAATATATTTGATGGAACCACCAATGCGATGCTTCAATGTGTTCTGTCCCCCTTGGATCGCTTCGAAGTGGAAACCGCTGGAATTCCTTCGCTAGTCTCCTAGTAAATCTCCATTTCTGTTCGCTTCCTAACACGAGCATCAGGGCGAAATACCCAGAGTGTACGTCTGCGGCGGACACAATGTCATATGCCGCGTGGAGTCCGTTCTGCATTTGCCGCAATGAAGAAACCCATGATCTCTCTTTGTTCCTAGAACCAAGGCCGATGAGGAGATAATCTGATTCGCTTATCAACGGGCGCAACTAACGTATTGATTTCATTGTCACAACTTCGGAGGAGTTCTTCAAGCGTGTCAAGTTGTATGCGGAGCATGGAGTTCCTGTCACTCGCAATGTAAATGTACCTTGCTTTGGTTCAGCAACTTGGATATCGCCGGAACGTCTAGAAAGTCTTGACTATATCGAGCACCAGGCCGACGTATATAATACAAGCTGAGTGGTACCAAGCAACTACAGTCGTCGTCGATCCAACATTTGAGCCCATGGCTACTGAAACATACCAATCCACCTACGACATCTTCGCCCATTATGGCAGGAACTTGATCAACGAACATATCAAAGCTCGCAAGAAGCAGATCCACGACATCAAGCATCGCTTGATTGCGCTTCCTCGCGACGGTTCTCCTCTTCCGGCTTCCAAGGTCTCTTCAGACGCAACTCGGGAAGACTTGAAGGTTGGAATCCTCGGCGCCGGTGTCGGTGGTTTGTACGCTGCATTGATCCTGGACTCCCTCGACATCAAGTACGAGATCATTGAGGCCTCTGAACGTACCGGTGGCCGCCTTTACACCCACAGATTCAAAAAAGAAGACGGTAGCGAAGGGGACAAATATGACTACTATGTACGTGATCTCTTTTCCGAGTCTTTCAATTTTTTATTCTGTTACAGGATGTGGGAGCAATGCGTTTCCCGGATACAGTCATTATGACTCGTCTATTCCATCTCTTCCGATACGGACCCCTAAATACTGGCGACTTCCAGCTTGCCAGCAAACTCAAGGATTATCATTTCAAAGACACCAAAGGCAACAACCTTCTATACTACAACGATGTCCGTAAACGCCGAAACTCTAAACCCTCGGGTGACGACTTTCTGTGGTCTGATCTGGGTGTCGGTCACGACTACCTAAAAGCCGGCGTCGAAGATATCATGCAGGATGTCATCACTCCCTTTTCTAACGAGCTTGTACGAGACCTCGATACGGGAAGCACCAAGGGCTGGGATCAGCTGATGGAATTTGATGCCTATTCGACGCGGGCGTACATGTCCACCAAATACATCCCAAGCCCTAATTTGGGCCTTCCGCCCCATAGCCCGTCTACTGCGGTCGTCAACTGGTGTGAGACTTTCGACAAGTCGACAGGCTGGTATGATCGGTCACTAGCGGAGACGGTGCTCGAAGACATGGCCTTCGGTCTTCCAGGCCCCTGGAAGTTGATCGAGTAAGCTATGATCCCCCAACTTGAGTAGATCGACCCTCATGTCATTTATCTAGTGGCGGTTCTCAAACTCTCGCAACACTTATGGAAGATTATTTGAAGACCCGCCCCTCCGGCTCAATTGCTTTCAACTCGCGAGTAACTAGGGTCGCTGCGGGGGACAACGAAATGCATGTCTACGTTAATGGCCAGCCCAACGCCAAAACCTATCCACATGTCATTTCGACTCTACCACTTCCATGCTTACGCGCCCTCGACCTCTCGCAGTGTCGCCTCACTCGTCGCCAATCCAACGCTCTACGCCAATTGACATACGGTCCGTCTATCAAGATTGGCATTAAGTTCAAAACGGCATGGTGGTCGACGGCTAAAGACAAAGACGGCAACCCGCTGGACATTGTTGGTGGGCAGTCAACCACTGACAGACCCGTTCGCACCATCGTCTATCCGTCATACGGCCTCCCAGACACCCCAAGCACCGTCCTGATCGCAAGCTATTGCTGGACGAACGATGCTGAGCGCCTCGGCGCCCTCATTGGTACGGGGAAAGACACGTACAACGACCAACTCAAGGAACTCGTTCTTCGCGATCTCGCCGTCGTACACAACCTCGATATTAGCTTCTTCGATGGAGAGTTCCTTGAGATGTATCCTTGGGACTGGAGCCACGACCCTTTGACAATGGGTAAGCTTTCTTTTCATCACTATCAACGATTACTTATATACTCAAATCTTGATTGACTCTAGGTGCTTTCGCGTTCTTTGGACCAGGCATGTTCTCTGAGGTGTATAAATATCTGACTATCCCTACACCAAACGGCCGTTTCCACTTTGCTGGAGAGGCGCTGAGCGTTCGACACGCGTATGTTCTCGTTACCTCTCCTGGCTTTACAATATGATAACCTTCTGTCATTAGATGGGTCGTTGGTGCCCTCGATAGTGCTTGGCGTGCGGTCAAGGAGATTTTGGTTCTGGTATATGGGATTGAAAGCGAGCAGTATAAGAAGTTCATCCAAATTTGGGGCAATAACGAAGAGTGGACCACGCGAAAGGTGACAAGAGGTACATTATTTTTCTCTACGCCTGTGGAGTCGAACGAGGACATGTTGTTAGACCACCTGAAGTTAGATGCCCCCCATCTCTTTGACTAGTAGCCAGTAACAGACCAATGTACCTACACAACTCAGTGAAGCAGTGTTCATGCATCAGAGCGCGCCAAATACTCGTTACCTCGCTTTCATGTAGCCCCCTGTTTTACGATATCATAGAGCCTATCTGGGAATAGCCTAAGTTAAGCATCACGAAGCTCGCCGCACACAACGAGCATGGCATCAGGCGCTTGCTCTGTTACTATTGAACTATTCCAGGCTGCGACAAAAATACATCGATGGAACTCTCTCTCTCCACAATCCCCGATCTTACAGCGTATGTTACGAAGCAAGGTGCATATCCTGCGGCACACGGTGGCTTTGCGGACATATGGATGTGCACGCTAAATAACGAGGCATATCCGTCAATTGCACAAAACGTAGGTCGCTGGTTTGTGGCGTCAACGTACTCATTGTTTCACTTTGACTACTAGGTCGCTGTCAAAGTCCTTCGCTCACTTGGGAGCGGATTCAATAACGAGGGCAAACCCAAGAAGGTCCGAAAAGACACTGTTTGCTTCACTAGAGTCAGCGATGGATCTAATGTGTTAGAGACTGCGGCGGGAACTTGCGGTCTGGCTGGAGCTGCAGCACCCTCAAGTGTTACCGCTTTATGGTATTGTTTTGGATTTTGGGCCCTATCCATCTATGGTCTGTCCGTGGATGGATAAAGGAAATCTGAGCAATTATCTCAGCGGCGATGGCGAGTCGCTTGATGTTGAAGGTCGATACAAGATTGTAAGTTCTATTGATTTGGGTCACTATCTATTTGTTGACGCGAGACTTGGAGCTGCGTCAAGTCTGCTCTGGGCTAGCCTATTGTGAGCGCGTTTCCATTGTTGATGAACGGTTGCCAACGCTTTTTGGCAGTACACTCCCGCTCAGTGGTGCACGGAGATCTGACAGGTGTATGCCACCATCCTTTTTCTCTTATTCCGCTCGCTGATTTATGCCAGTGCAATGTTCTCATCAGTGGTGACGGAGATGCATGTCTAAGTGACTTCGGCCTATCGACTATTATCTCGGATCTGCAAGGTGTCTCCACCTTCACTTCGTCCATTAGTGGGAACGTCCGATTTGCTGCGCCAGAGCTGTATCAAGTAGGCGATGACGACGTCAGGACATTGCCCACTACGCACAGTGACATTTACTCACTTGGCAGCATAATACTTCAGGCAAGCAGCTTTCTCTACCCTCACTGTATCTATCTGCCCTCTTATCGTAGACTTAGACGCTAACTGGAGAAGTACCGTATCACTATATGAAAACGGACGGCCAAGTGCTCATTGAGTTGTCGCGAGGTGTGCATCCTCGGCGGCCTCAGGATCCGATTGTCACAGAAGCACGCTGGAGGTTACTATGTGCTTGTTGGCAACGGGGTCCATCGCATCGACCTACGCTAGAAGCCGTCGTTGAATATCTTCAGGATCCGGATGGAACATTCCGCCCGCTCCCCCATCCACTTCCCCATCTAACTGACATTCATCCAGACAACATGGTCAACATATCACACGGCTTGAAGATGGAATTCTGGACGGCTCCTGGTGAGGGTGGCAGGGCAGTGAGTTAGCGGCCTTTTGCATCTGAATGAATACCTTAGTTGGTTGATGAAATACTTTTAAGGTCGCTCTCAAGATGTTTAGGTTGCCTTTGTTGGTATCAGACAAAGACGCGGTTCTACAGGTATGTCATACCATCCATCCATGGAACACCTCGACGCTCACTTCGCGTAGGAAATGCGTGACATCGGCGAAGTAGGACACTATAACTTACTGTCCTACGCTGGTACCACAATGTATGACGGCTTGCCAAGCATCGTGATGCCATGGGTGCCCGGCCACAATCTCCGCGCACACTTACAGACATCTGTTTCCGTCTCTCAGAAGCTCACTCTCGTACGTTATCACCTCGATTGTATAGCAGGAAAGTAACTACTTTGCCTGTAGCTTCGGCAGATTGCCAGTGGCTTATTGCATCGTTCGTGAAACAAACGTTCCGCTGTAGTGATTGTCATTGAGCCCCGCTTCGATAGTACACTCCATTGATATTGTTCACGGGGGACTGACAGGCGTACGTACACTCAAGAACTTTCACTATTGATATAAACTGAACTATGTACTCCTCCAGTGGAACATATTCGTTACTGAGGATGGGGAAGCCATACTCACTAACTTTGGCCTCATGCCTATCCTGTATCGGCGCGTTGGGTCTTCCGAAATTCTGGAAACATACGATGAGGATTGCCGGTGGGCTGACCCAGTTCTTTGGTTTGGATTCACCGACGGTCAAGCTCGGCCACCAGAGACGTCTGCCACCGATGTCTACGCATTTGGACGTGTGGTGTACCAGGTACGTGTCCTGTATCCTCCCATAATAAGTTTTCACAAATGAGTTTTCACGAACTGGAATCACATTTCATAGATCATGACCAATGCAGATCCATTTCATGGGCTCTGGGATCATTTGGGGGAACTTCGGTCTCTTCTGGAGAAGTACACGCCTGCCACATTTCGCCCTCCTCGACCCTTGAAGCGGCTGGCTGTAAATGATATATGGGAACTCGCAGAGAGTTGCTGGGAGGTCGACCATTCCAAGCGGCCGAGAATGCAAGTGATTATGTCCAAACTTCTTGCTTTACCTTCCCTGTACAGTGTGCCGCGGACTGGATATAGATCGCATCAACGTGTACGTATGCCGTATTAGATCTTGATGAACTGTGAATCCATACGTGTATTGACGAATATGTAATTTGGATTTACAACCGTTTTGCGAACACGGATGTGAGAGCATAAGGAAGGTTGACGTTACTGTCTCGAGCCTTATTTGGAAGTGTAACTTAGCCCTTGCTTTTCAAGCAAGGTAACTGCTGAACTGAAGACGACCACATGGTGGCGGCTGCTCGACATGGTGTACTCGAGCCACGATGGGAGATAGAAGCGACCCATGGCTTGGTCTCGGATTTCCACGGTTACGCGGACGCTTCGATATCGCAACCTCTTCTATTCAAGGACGTTGCAAGAGACTCCAAGACCCAGAAGATCATGCTAGCCACTCTTTTTGCGATAGTTTGGCTTGGATTTACTTGTGCGGTGGCTCTATCTGGCCAGGGGAAGGAAGCCGCAACAAGTTCTATTGACACACGGCGGTTGTGGGCGCAGTACTCGCCGTGGTTCGCTGTTGAAGAGTACAGGACGCCTCCGAGTGCTTGTCATATAACACAGGTGCGTGCATCCGAGAGATAATAGCATGATAAATAATAATGATTGGATGGAAGGTCAACATTGTGAGTGATCTACTGTAACGTTTCGAACTAGCTCAGCCAAATGCAAAAAAACTAGTTGCAAAGACATGGTGCTCGTTTTCCTACGACTAGTGCGGGCAGGCGAATTCAAACTGCCGTCGCGAAGCTGCAGGCAGCATCCGCGTTCGCAGATCCCCGTCTGTCATTCCTTAGAAACTATACGTATAATCTTGGGACAGAGGACTTGGTACCATTCGGTGCCGCTGAGTATGTTTCCAATACACGATCTCATATTCATTAACGTTTCAATACTCCAATCAGGTCATTCTCGGCAGGCAAAGCCGCGTTCAAGCGATACGCGCACCTGGTGAAACCCGGCCAGCTCCCATTCGTCCGTGCCTCTGGCTCTGAACGAGTCGTCCTTTCAGCGACGAACTGGACGGCAGGCTTTTCGCTCGCCAGCCATCACGTTTACTCTCCGAAGCTGTCTGTGATTCTTTCGGAAGAAGGGAACGACACACTCGACGATTCCATGTGTCCCTCTGCTGGGAGTTCTGACGTGCAAACGATGCAGTGGCTGGATACGTTCTACCCCGCTGTCACCGCGCGTTTGAACAGGGCGGCTCAGGGGGCGAACCTGACCGACACAGACACTTTCAACCTCATTTCACTGTGCCCTTTTGATACAGCTGCTGGCAATGGCCGCGAGAGTCCATTTTGCGAGATATTCGACACGGAGGACTTTCGAGGGTTTGAGTATTCCGGCGACCTCGACAAGTTCTACAACACGGGCTACGGCCAGGAGCTGGGCCCTGTGCAAGGCGTTGGGTATATCAACGAGCTCATAGCGCGGCTGAAACGCACACCGGTGGTCGATCATACGCAGACGAACACGACGCTGGACGGGGATGCAGCCACGTTCCCTCTGGATCGTGCTATTTATGCGGATTTCTCTCACGACAACCAGATGATCGCGATATACGCAGCCATGGGTCTTTTCAAGCAGCAACGTTCGCTGGATCCTCTGGAGATGGATGGTCGCCCCTCTAGAACGTGGGTAGCTTCTCGGCTGGTGCCTTTTGGAGCTAGGATGGTGGTGGAGAAGCTCGCGTGCGGCAAGAGCGGCGAAGAGTTTGTTAGGATCTTGGTGAATGATGCAGTTCAGCCTTTGGACTTCTGCGGAGGTGGAGAGACGTGCGGGTTGGATGCTTTTGTAGGCAGTCAAGCTTTTGCCAGGAACGACGGCAATGGTGATTTCGAGAAGTGCTTCCAGTGAGCTCACTCGAGGAGCTAAAGGTCACGATCCAGCAAGTGAGTTACCTCTGAACGTGCTTCGGCTCCAGTATAATTGATATTGAGAAAGGTTGACTGTGCAGCCGAGGCCCTGAAATTGATACACGCCGTAGCCAAGTACGCACACTCGACGAGAATAAGCTACTAATATAGTGATTCCGCGTTTCTTTACCTTCTCTATATGACGGTGCTGCATGAGTTTGTTTGCTACGTTTCCATCGCCAACCTTGTGCTCTTGGATTGCGTTCCCGATGGCTCCGATGGCGACACCTTCATAATAGTATACACATGCGCCGCTGGCGCCACAAGCGCAATCGTTTGGGCATGACATCGAGTAATTGAGCCGACCTCACAAACAGACAATTTACTTACCCTCGACTTCGTCGGCCACTAATTCAGCGCCGTCGGCTACTTGTAATGAACGTGCCAAGTTGACCGCCCTTCCCGACACATTCATCACGTATGCTCCGTACGGTCAAGTGGTTTCCATTATAACCAAGATCCGGAGAAGCGCCCCAGGTAAGGTTGAGTTAACACACCGTTCTCTGCACCTTGCCAGCGTTTTAAAAAATTAGCCTTCGGTCACGGACCCTCCTCGACCCTGCCTCTCTGCCGACTGGGGAACATCCAGAAGGGCTGTTACCCATTTGCCCAAGGGTGGATGCTGCATGGACCAGTGGACTGCCCCGCATGATTGCTTCTCTGCCAAGCATTCGGACGAACCTTCTGTTTTTGGATAGTTTGATGCCTTTTTGGTGTTCTTTCATTCTTGGAGAAGATCCGTGAGCTTGAACGCTGCGACAGTAAAAATTATGCCGGGGTAGGGACGATGGTGCCAGGTCTCGCGTTGTTGGGGACGAAGTGCACGTAATATTAAACCAGTCCTTGTATATATATACCCCGGATCCCAAGTGCCGTGCCTCCCCACAATTCCTCGACCCTCCGAGTTCCCCTTCATACAATGGTGGCTACGAGTTCCCGCAGGAGAAGACACGTCCCCAACCTCGAGCCGGAGTTATGGCTGGAGATATTTCGCTACGCAACCGCCTCCCCAATTCTCGCTGAGATCTCGGATTATGGATACAGACCATTCGACGCCGTTTTGTGGGAGGAAAGAAATTGGTTCGAACACGAGGTTTCCCTGTTCACCAAACGTTCAATATGTACGTATGCCACTCAATGTGATGATAGTGTACACGTGAATCGACGTTGATTTATGTGTCTAGCAACGGTATGCAAATATTGGAATTTGCTTGTCGCGGAATTCCTCTTTGAGGATCTGCACGTTCGGCGGGGTACCAACGCGCTGAAGCGCGCACTTAATTCACCTACCTATTACTCTTCATCCGGATGCGGCAAAGGCCGCTGGGTAAAACGGGTCGAGCTGTGCTCCTCGTTGGGTGACTTCGACCCATTCCGGCCTAGCGTTCTCGTAGAAATCCTGCGATCATGTCCCAGAGCCCAAACACTGGTCAGGAAATTCAGCCCGGGCGGGGGGGATCCGCTTTCGCGCTGTCGGGGCTTGGAGAACGATTTCCCCATGCTGTATTCCCTCAGACGCATCGATTGGTGGTTTCCATCGGGACGCACTCCGGGAGAGAGCTTAGGTTTTCTGACGGACGTTCTCCACCATTCCCCTGAGCTGCGCTATCTTTCGCTGGGGAATTACGTGTCTAAGCCATCGGGAGTACGCATGCTATCGACGGATCGGGTGTCGCTTCCCCAACTTTCCGTGCTTCGACTCGAATCCATACATCCCCAGCTTCTGTCGTTCGTCCGTCAGTGGCACCTACCCAAGCTAACACACTTGGTACTCGACCCTTCTGCGTTGGCCGGGCAATTTAGCGTCCTCCATATCATCGGCTCCCGTATCCTATCGCTCGAATTGATGCACCATCCCGCCTTTATGGAAAAGGACTATATTTCGCACATCCTCTACGAATGCCCGAACTTGCAAGAGCTTAACTACCACGTCGACATCACCCAGCCAATGGACACGCACATGAAGACTAGTGTCACATCGCATGCCTCCCTGCAGCGCATTCGCATCCACCTTTCCTCTGGCAGTGGTAGTACAGCGAACCGACACTTCCGTAGGCGACTGGATGGAAGGAGTCTGGCAGATCACATCTACCGACATTTTATGATGATATCAGTGTTGGACGCCCCGCGCTTGGAGCAAGTATCATTAATAGGACAATGGTCTAGGGTGAACTTCGGAATTATGGGGAGCGTTGACGAGGCGTTGTCGAAACAAGGATACGGACAGAGAGCATGGCGTTTGATCCTCGCCCACTCTGACTCATATTACTGAGACAGTTTATGTCTCCTTAAAAAAGTACCTACTGTATTACTCTACATTATATCCATTAAGACATGAGACGAAGGTTGCTTGAAGCTTGAGTGAAGCCCGATCGACCTACAAGGGGCTTGACAGGGGAACTCGCACGTGCTAATTTCCTGTTATCACGCGCAAGTCGACTGATTCCGCATGCATGTGGGGTAGCCGGTAACCACGACCTCCTGGAAAGCTTTTCTTGGTTCGTTCTCTTCCAGCACCCTCACGGATGGACGACCATTTCTCCTGGTCAGACACTGCGTACGCAGCCTTCGGATCGTGTCTGGCATGCTTCCACGCCAGACAGTCGCCTCGTTCCAACGAGACGTCGTCCAATGGAGACAATCAAACCCATAACCACATAGTTCGGAGTATCAGATCTGACGAACTCGAAGGCCTCCTTGTCGACTCGGGCGACGATGCTGAGACCCTTTCTTTGCACTCAAACCCAGGGCGACCTCAGAGAAGGAGGAAAGCGAAGACTCATCCGACAAGAAATATCACTCTGTTTGGGTGGAACCTATTCGGCAAGAGGAAACCACCCATCCAGCTACCTGAAGATGATGGAGAAGAGGGGATAGATGGTATCATACGGCCATCACGATTGGGCTCGCGGGGGACGTCAGGCTCGTCTTCGACTCTTGATTCCGACGCGCCACAACTGTCTCCTACTCTCATTGACTCGATCTCTCCAGAAGTGCTGCGAGAACGGGCGCTTGCTGCGGAAGCCGCTGAGGCAGAGGAGAGGCGGCAGAAGGAAGAGCGTAGACGACGGAGAAGAGAGAAAAGGGAGCTCAAACGTGCCGCTATGGCGCTTGCTGCGGGTGGTGATGGTGATTTCGAAGGATTTCAAGGCAGCGGGGCGGACTATTTCCACTCGCGTCCCCCCACCAGCCCATCATTGCCAGATTCAGCGTCAGACGGCTTCGGGCCCTTCGTCGGCAGCACCCACGCTCCGCGTCTCAGTCCATCCCACCCCGACCACGATGACGGTGATGAAACCGCAGATTTGGACGGAGGTGTATATACCCGCAAAGCTGTAGGAGGTTCACTGAGCGGCTCTGACTCCCGATCCCGGACGTCTGCTTCGCGCTCAGATGTGAGCCATCATATATACCAACCGATTAATCAACCTCCAATGCCTCACCCTCGTCCTCAACTTCACCTTCGCCCGCAAGACCATAACAGCATCGACCTCACCCCGTCCAGTAGTGATGGTGTCCCTCGCCAGAAACGATCCAAGAAATCTAAGTCATCTACGACCTCCGATTCCCAGACCCCGTCGATCCGCTCCCCAGCTTCGCCTCATTTCCCTTACAGCCATCCAGAGATTGCGCTTGCATCTCCCGGGCTTCGATACGATGGTCTGGAACCAGATCATCTACGACTGGAGCACCAGTCTGAGGACATCCGTGCCAGCTTCCCTAGCAGTGGACTCAATGTTGGACAACGAAAAGCAAATCCAGCGATGGGTGCTTTCCTGGCTAATACGGCCCGATAGATATATGACATGCACCCCATTTATTAACGATCTATTTATCAACAATCTATACCGGTTTGAAGCAATATATATTATCTGTCTCTTCTGGGACGATCGGCTTTTCCCATTATTAAGAGGGGAGTTTTCATCAACCATGGAGGTAATCTTGCCTCGCCGATTCCAGTGAGCGCTCGTGCACCGCGCCACACTGCGCTGACTAAACGCTGCGAAACCTCCCAACCTCATTCTAGGACGATGTCTAAAGTAATTGCAGTTAAAGGGCTCGCTGACATCCTAACTGCCCTCATCCTCGTGGTCAAGCCCGCCTTCATATACAACTCCGTTCCAACTCGTGCCGTCGCGTCGTTTACTGGCTTGGTTTGTACCATATACAATGTATAGTTGATGGATTATCTCATGCTGAATCACATACAGCACTTGTCGAATGCAGAGGTTGCACCAGGATTCAACCAGGCAATCGCGTGTATGGTTGCAGCAGTCGGCGTCGGGCATATCGTGGCATCGAGATGCAGTCCCAACGCCAGGGTTCCTATTTGTGAGTACCCAACTTCGCATTAGAATTGAATGTACGCTTAAGTGTTGAGGTAGTCGCGATGAATCTCACTTGGGCTACTCTTAATCTGCTCACTTGCGTCATGCCTCAGGCTTGGGGGATAGGAAGCGCGACTCAGCTTATGAGTGCACTCAACCATACTGCATTCTCGCTCGCCATGTACTTTACGGACCCGGTGTTCCGCGCAAAAAGTAAGGCTGAATAGATATCTTGATCAGTTTGACTGTCGCAATATTGGACCAGCTTTGGACCTCGGACAACCATATCAATCAGCGCGACACCATGCATTGGTTGAAGCACGCTCCCCCCAACGGTAGTCGGCGCTACATCATTTCATTGCGCGGATACGATCATAATGTCTCAGGACATGCGAACCCTTTCATTATGCTGAGAAGCATCATGTAGGGTTCTCTAGGGCCCTCCGCACATGGCGGTTCCTGTGACACCACCAATCCGATTGACCTCGATTTCGGAATTATCGATATCGTACCGGCACTGCTTTGCTCCTTCGTACCATGGATTGGGATATCCAGGATTCGGTGGCTGAGTCGGCCAGTCAACGTCGACTTGATGTATTGATGCCAGTGGTGCAATCGTTTCATCAGAAAGGTAGGAACATGTCCTCCTGATTTCGGGAAACCCAGAACCCTCAGGACCAGCCTGAGCGAGATGTATGACATAAAGTCACCGCGATACTCCTATGTCGATTCTCGATCTCAACATCATTCCACCCCACCTCGCCGGCCTTCGTCTCGCTCCGTCGCCGAGTGTATAGAGCCTTCATTCTTCCAGCCTCCGATCGAGTCTACTTCTGTATTTTTATTGTACACGGCATGTCGGCCTCCACACTGTTCTCCTTGGTTTCGAGTATGGCAGCTGTCCAGGTTGGCGTCCTGATCTCCAGCTTTCTGTTTGGCGTCGCAACTCTGCAAGCATTTTTCTACTATGTCACGTATAAACGCGACCCCTTGCCTTTGAAGCTCTTCGTAAGCAACCGCTCTCCCCGAATATCCTCCGCAAGTAACAATGCTGAAGATTCATCCTAGTCGGCTTTAGTATGGTGCGTTAGTTTCTACAGTCTTGGCTATGTTCGATGCAATGACTGATCCTGGCCGCTAGGTTACTAGAGCTCTCTGGGATGGTCTTCGCGGCGCATCTGCTGTATTCGGCTGCTATCACGCCGTATCGAGAGAACCCGTTACTCATGTTCTTGGATCCTCCGTACCAAATCCTTGCAACTATCCTAGCTAGTAATTGGTCAGGTTGCGCTGTACAGGTGAGCCCCTAATTCAGCAATAAACTCCTTTACCTACTCGCACTACCAGCTCTACTTCGTCGATCGCGTCACCAAATTCACCAAATTGCGCTGGCCAGCGGTCATCTGCTGGGCGCTCATACTGTACACCTTCGTCGCTACCCTAATCATCTTCACCGTCGCGCTGAAGCGAGGGCTGGTGGAGTATACCCTTCACTGGAGATGGCTGTCCATTAGCAGCTTGATCATTTCGGCGGTTGTCGATATCTTCATTGCTTTGATCATGTGCCGTAGTCTCTTCAAACAGCGGAGGACGTTTCTCCAGCAGTACGTATATATCCGCTAGACGAGTGTACTCGTTCGTTTTGATAATCTCGGTCACTAATCCTATCACTAGGTCAAAGAACGTAGTGGACAGAATTATCACGATAACTCTCAGTGAGTGCTGCGGTGCACCTATCCATGGATAAGGTCTGATTCCGAGTGTAGCGACTGGTTTCATGACTAGGTAATAACATTATTGCCACATACTCTTTGACTTATGCGCGCTTACTTATGATCAAAGTATCGTCGCCGTCGTGGCTGCAATCTTGGTATGTTCCTAACCCGACTCCCTGACACCGCACTCACCCTGTTCTCAGAATCTTGTCCTCCCTTATCATCGTACGTGTGGTCCTCGCCTATCCTCATTCTGTACGTCATGAATAATCGTTACACAGTGATATACCTTGGGGTCTACATATGTCTGGCAAGAAGTGCGTGCTTCGGAGCTTATCTATCCGTCTGTCCCTTATATGATCTCCCCAGTTTACGCCAACTCATTTTTTGCCTCGTACGCAACTGTTTTATCTGTCTGAAGCCTCCCAGTTAATCCCTTTTTTACTGTAGGTTGAATACGAGACGTACGATACGCGGGGATACGGGCATTGAGTCCTTCAAGGTCGCATCTCGTTCCACCCGAATGGACTCTTCAAATAACACTGCATGTAAGTTATACTGAACCCTTAGGTCTATTGAAGGCGTTGTATTTCTGATATTTACCTCGACTTAGATAACGCTTCAGCCCAGCACTCCAAACCCATGAGATATCCGGTCAAACTTCACTATATGGATGACGGCAGCGGCACTGTATTGGATATAAAGTAACTTATTGCCATTGAACTCTTCGTTTATTTTGTACTGTACCGATAGCAATTGTTACGCTTTGTACTTCCGGCTTTCGTATGCTTCAATGCCTGGCTCCTGAGCCCCCTGCCATGGTTCCCACGCTTTGGTGCGACGCACAAAGCTTCACGACGCGAAGAGGCAAGACAGCTTGCATTTAGATTCACGAAACTCTTCCTGATTACTTCGGCATCAACTACCCCCATGACAACGCGCACCAACAGAATGCGGACATGCTCTGAAACACCTGAGTGGTGACTCGTCGAAAGCGAGTTAGATTCGAGGATATCGTTCGCCCCGGTGGGAATATACCCTCGTTAGCCACCCAAACTCGTGAACCCCGCGTACACGAGACGAGAGTGTTCAAGTGAGGTGCTAGCTACCTTGACTCTGACTTTGCAACTCATGTCACCTCTTCCGCATCAGTAAATTGACCAAAGGGAGCCACTTATTTAATTAACGGTCCGTGGAATCAGATATCTAGCGTCGATTCGCCAGTTGATATTTGAACTTGTCCTGAAGACCCTTGCAAAGGTTCCTGTGGGTTTGGCAAGGGCACTTTCCAGCTACGATTGCTGAGGAAGGACACTAGGCAGTACTCTGCGCTGGTTGCGCGTAGAGGGCATTGACGATGCAAGATACGACATTGCACCCCCGCCTCGCCTAACTACCATGGCACCATCTAGGAATGGACATTGTGTCAAAGGGAGGATAGATAGGGGAGTCTTCTGGTTCGGGGACAATCTGTACCACAGGGGCTGTCCGAGTAAGCAGGGGGTGCCTATTGCGATCAAGCCGCATTACGATCGGGAAAGCCAGTTGGGACCATGCCAGCATGGCCTGGTGTGGCCTCTTGACGGGCTCTCAACAACCATCTGCCATCGAACCCTGAGAAGCCCTTCAGCCACTGCTGTATTCGTTTCGGTGAGTGTGTTTCATCGTCACCAAATAGCGTCGACATCATGATTTTCAGCATTCCTTTAGATTCTTCTTTTACATTGGCGGATACAGCCACCTTAATGAAAGGTACGCAATTCATATACAAAGCAAACTCGGACTTACTTTCCGCTCCTTAGCCCACACCCTCTATATACTCTCAAGCTAGTCTTCAGAGTCAGTTGGGCCAAGCGCCTTCCTGTCGAACATGTCTGCGACTGCACTCTTCTCTCTCATATCGAGCATGGGCGCCATCCAGATTGGCATCGTCATATCAAGCTTTCTCTTTGGAATCACGACTCTACAAGCGTTCTTCTACTACATCAATTACCCAAAGGATCCCCTGTATCTGAAATGCTTCGTGCGTGCCCTCCCCCCTGCGGTACCATAGCTTATGCTGACTCCTTGCTTCAGTCGGTTGTTGTATGGTAACCCCTTTCTCGGAGTCTTCCAAATCCACATCCAACTTCTCTGTGCAGGATCCTTGAGCTCGGCGGAATGATTTTTGCTGGTCATCTCCTCTACTCGGCAGCGATAACGCCGTACCGAGAGAATCCACTTCTCATGTTCTTAGATCCCCCATATCAGATTCTTGCGACCATACTAGCGAGCAACATGTCGGGATGTGTCGTCCAGGTGAGTGTTGCGATGGTTAATCGCCAAGACCACCTCTCACTTTCCTTCACCTTCGAACCCCGATAGCTGTACTTCGTCGAGCGGGTACGGAGGTTTACAAAGTTACTCTGGATAGCTATCATTTGCTGGACTCTCATATTATACACGTTCACCGGAACGCTCGTCATAGTCGTCGTCGCTTTCAAATCGGGCCTGGTCGAATATACACTGCACTGGAGATGGTTGACCATCAGTGGTTTAATTGTCTCTGCTGCGGTTGACATTTTTGTCGCTGTCATGATGTGCTGGAATTTGGGCCGCCAGAGAGGGTCGTTGTTTCGACAGTAAGATTTGTCTGTCCATTGGAGACGAACATCCTACTCAACTTACTTTTCTAGGTCGGCCACCCTGGTAGACAAGATAATTATGATGACTATCAGTGAGTAGTTTTTTGTTTCATTGCGTCTAGTTTGGGCACTTACACGACGGGATTAGCAACTGGGCTCATGACAAGGTATAGGGACAATGCCTCACTTAGAACTCGTGGATGCTGACAACTTTTTGTCAGCCTCGTAGCGGTGACAGCGGCGGTCCTGGTACGTCCGCGTCCTCTACTCTGGCTACTCAGTCTGACCTGCTTTACAGACCGTGACACTCCCCTATCATCGTAGGTCTTCACTCTCTAACGTGGGGCTACCCGACTTACAGTGCCCAGTGATTTATTTGGGAGTATACATATGTCTAGCGAGAGGTTTGTCCTGCTATTACTCCCAACGCCTCACAATTCTAACGCAATTTTCAGTCTACGCGAATTCCTATTTTGCTTCGTACGCATCTCGTATACTGAATCGCACCTCCCTGATATTTACTCTTGTTCTACAGATTAAACGCACGGCATAACTTGCGTGGAACCGACGCCATTGAGACCATCCAATTTACCCCTCGCTCTAATGCCTCCTCAAACGGCACCGCCGCCAGCGGTACGAATGTTTGATGCTTTTCACGCGTTATTTACTCATTCAACTATACTAGTAACGCTGCCGAAGCCACCCCATGCCACCTATCTCGGCCAGTACAAAATCGACTTAAATGGTAGTGAGCCCATTCTGAACATACATTAACCTTTTCCCATCGTCTTGTTGAACTCAATATCCGAACTTGTATTTGATAAACGCTAATTTATTGCTATCTTTTGATCAAAACATACTAGTTCAGGCGGCGAACTATTTCTGGGGCACCACTTTTGCTATACTGTGTCTTCGTCAACCTTTTCGAGCACACAAGGCGTTGTCATTGACCGAGTAGCCGATATCTTTTTACAGCTTTTGGTCTGCAGCCGCAGCACGTGACCAAATCACGGTAAGATCGGGCAAGCTGACCGAAGCGTTGACGACGACCTGAACGGCACAACGGTAACGTAAGTCGGACAGTCAGTCATGATCGATTTATCACTTCACTATGAATAGAGACTCGGACTACTGGAATACCGATGTTAGTTGCGATTGGCAAGGAGACTTGGCTTCCTTGACGAATCGGCCATGCCAGATGCATTTCACTGCGGCGTACCGCATAACCTTCTTGCAATTTTGCATCACCAAAATGCAAGTCATACTGACTCGCCCATACATCTAGAGCACATACTGTTCCGATGAGCCTGGCTTCGATGGCTTATATGCATCGGATTGCGGCTGGTCCGTGACTCAGCCAGGTTGAAGTAGGTAAGTCTTCATATGATCAATCCACAATTCACGCAATAACCTACAAGTACCGCGCCAGGTACCACAATGACATCATCTCTCTTCTTGTATTGCATCGCTTCGCCTTGATGAAGATGTGGTTTACGCGTCCATGCCATAGCTGACAAAGTGCACTTATCTCAACCACCCCCGCAGCGACATTCCTGCTCGCGCCCGGCCATGGTGGTTTTCAAACCGACGCGCAAGACTTCCGACATCATTTGCACTACCCGGCCGTCCGTAGTCACCTTGAATAGCGGGCTCGGGCACATACAAACCTGGAATGGCTGTATATAAGGTAGGATGTTGGTGGGGTACGAGCAGCAGCAATCAAACAAGACTCGAACATGGATACTACCAGTACCTTGATTCCAGAAATCCAGAAACTTCGCAAAGGCGAAGCTTGCATGTACTGCAGGTACGCCTTGTTTGATCTATATCGACGAAACAGTCGTTAATCCTCCTCTCTAGACGTCGCAAGATGGTGCGTGGTACGGTAGCGCCTCCTGACCATGGTCTCACTGTGTTCCTAGAAATGCGACGGTGCACGACCCATTTGCGGCCAATGCATGCGAGGCGACAGGGCCGAAGACTGCGAATACGCTGCCAATTCCAGTTACTCGAGAACACAAGGCCTCGAAGACACCATTGCTAGGATGGAAGCACGTATCCGCGAACTCGAGAATCCGGACAATGGGCAGGGTGCTAAGCTTGTCTTGCGCAACCCATATTTTGCAAATGAGTTCCAGCAGCTCCCTAGCAGCGACCTTCCCGTTAGTTCGCATGTTGCCCCAAGTAAGCATCAGCCGTCTAAGATGAGATTTCACTAATATTCCACGGTAGATGCGCAACAAGCAGCCTCGTCCAACCTCTGGTGGATCTTGGATGAACCGCCGATGCATATGAGAGATAATTTGTATGTGCCCCAATCTTTCCCTATACCTTTGCTCACGGCACCAACAGCATCGATAGATTCCTACAGTCTGCCGTAGAGATCGGCTTCTTCTTGAACACGAACAGATTCAGGCAAAGCTCACTCAGAGACCTACCACATGGGCATCATGAAAGACCCCATCCCGTTCTTCTGTCTGCAGCTTACCTTTGGGGCATACATCTGACCGGCGAACCTTATACACAGCATGAGGATGCTATACTTACCAGAGCGCTATCTCAGCTGACCGGGTCTTTATCAAGTACCCACCCCCAAAGGATCATGCATACCATCCAAGCCAAAGTTCTCCTTATCCATTACCTCTACGCGAACGGCCGTCTCTTGGAAGGCAAATACCATACTAGCTCGGTCGTCGGTCTCGCCCTAGCGGCTCGCCTGAACAAGGTCCGTAGCAGCGAAGTGATCGATGGGAATCCCCTTCCCGCTCCTGTTGATTCGGTTGAAGAAGGTGAACGGATCCGTGCGTGCTGGACCATTTTCTCCTTGGATAAATGTTGGGCCGTGGCCTTCGATTCCCCACCAAACACCCACTGCCCCGCTGAGATGGCGGGTCAACAACTTGATACACCATGGCCACTAGAAATGGCTGAATACGAACAAGTGAGTGCATTCTCGTAGCCTAATTAAGTAATTGATCCCGACCGTACGTGTCTTGAAGGGCTTGCTTTCCGAGCACGGAACTAGTAACAGAACAAGCTACACCTTGCAGAACTTCCTTAACGAAGTTCCAGCCTCCGACTCTGGTGACTCTGCGTTAGGGTTCCTGGCCAAAGGGGCAATTCTGTGGGAATTATCTACCAAGATTTTCCATCAGTTCAGAGGTAAAGCACTCTTCAGCAAAGTTTGGAACCGGCATACTGATTTGAATTTAGCCGCGTCTGGGCAAACACTTGCGACGCACATTGATACATTTAAACGTCTCGATCGTCTCATTGATCAAGTCATCGCCTCCATCGAAAGAGCGTCCTTGGGGCGCAAGGAATACATCTTGCCTCGCTGCATCGCGAGCGCTGCGGCCATTCGCCTGCATTCTGGCTTGGCGAACGCAAACCCCTTGTCTCGAGGCAAATGTTTAATAGCGGCCGAAGCGATTGTGCTGTCACTTAACTCCATTCCAGACTTAGACTCGGCGTACGCCAACCCAATCATAGCAGTGAGCTCCCTCCTCACACTCGCCCTCTTCGCACCGTTTCTCATTGCCGTTCTATCACATTTTTCTAGTCCGCGTGGACAGCGGCTTCGCAAGTCATCTCCAGCGAGGTCACTTTATGGCGTTCGGTAGTTGACACCGTTGGTACGCATGAAGTCGAGAGGGCTGAGCGTGACCTCAAGCGTATCTTTAACGCCGGCCTGAATGTAATGACCGTCTTGGCGGAGCGTTCTCAACTTATTCGTAAGCACTTGGGTTTACCTTCTTCTCTCTGCCAATGCATTCCGTGCCGATCACATCGCCTCCAGGTTACCAAGAGGAATTGACTCAACAGAGTTATATCGCACTATTTGGGTTGTAACGTAGAACCGTTCATCTAAGTTTCAATTTGAAATACGAGTACATATCCGATGAATCCTACTCCAGCCTATTCACGTAAAGAACAATGCATTTTGTGCTAACTGATATGTATGATATGCAAAACGAGCGATGTGATGGCAGATCAAAACGAATAAACACGAAAACAAATAGTAACACTGCTGTTAGCTCATCTCATCAAAACATAAACATATACACTCAGAATTCCTATTTCCGCGTCCACATCAATATTCATTTTTACCTTCGCTCATAATAGAGCCTCGTGAATCCTTAGCCTCTACGCACGCTCAAGAGCCGCACGATTCGCCTCCGCTTTGGCTTCTAAGCTAAAGTCGGAGAGAGCGACGGTTTCTGTGCCGACTCTGATGCCACTAATTGCATCTGAAGCAGGGTACTTGTCTTCTTCGCCTCGTTGAGTCTCTCCATAACTTTCGCGCTTGAACCGCGGGACGCTGACTGCGCTGACGCCTTGTCGACTATTAGAGTAGACGTAGACGGACTCTTGACCACCGATGTTGCGAAGCCGATTTCGAGAGTTGAGCATAGCTAGGAAGCTGTTGACATATACTAGATGGGGAAGCGACAATAGTAAGGCGAGGGGATATCGAGGTAGCGATGTGACACATACGCTGGGCGCTGATGAACTCTATGACCATTGCCCATATACTTTCGGGCTTCGCAATGAGCTGAACGGAGGAAACATAAATTCTCCTTCATCTCACAGATATGTTCAGACTTACGATGATTGTTTGGGCAATGACGACGATGCTATACACGTAATGTTAGCCAGTGAAGAGGGGATACAGACCACTATAGTTACGTCGTGAGAAGGAACCGATTCATCGAATATACCAGCAGTGTTTTGATCAGTTTCATCGACCTGAGTATATGTAAGACGTGGGTGGCGTATATTCCAGACAGACGAGCTCACTTGGTAAAGCCACGGGCGTCATACAGGATGATGCACAGGGTTGCTGAGACCGTTGCATCTAGCACAACCCTGAGGATGTAATACGGGACCATTGCAGTGAACTGACGCCATGAAAGCTATGAGAATAGATGGTGCTAGTAAATTGGATCGCACGTACAACAGCTTCGTGGAGACGAAGTAGGTCCCACAAGTGGAACCTACACGGGGTTGCGGTAAGGATTGGCGAAAGACGTCCACGCTGCAGAACCACTTACAAGCTGTAAGCGAAATCTGCACATCCAGGTCAAAGCGGGTAGAATCATGAATGTATGAGAGACGTACAAACACCGAATCCTAACGAGGAAATTTCAAAAAGAAAGTACTGAGAATAAGACAAATAGCACATACCCGTTTGCGCGGCGAGAAGGAGTATCTGAGGAAAAATTAGCTGGCCGTTAACGGGTACACGCACGAGAAAAGCTGACCATAGTGCCGGTTAGTAGTTTCCGCCAACGTTTCGTCACTTCACAACATAGCTCGTTAGGCAAAGGATATAAATGACTATGCGAATAAGCCATACTCAAGTAGATCATTCGAACAAAGAATCTAATAAGATGTGTCTTTAGGACGTCTTGGATGAATTGTAGGACGGCACTTACATTTGAAGGACGAAGCAAATGAAGATCTTAACAAAAGGGATCGCAATGAGGAGCGAGCCAGAGGGATGACAGATAACATGAGCGTACCCCGACTGTAACCCCAGCCTGACAAGGTACATCGAAAATCGTTAGAATTGATACATTAGTAAAGCTATAGGTGTACACACATAAACCGACCTATTGGTGGAAATGATTGGTGGGGTTGAGCAGGGAGGGTGAAAAGGAACGCACCATTCGCCATCGGGCAGGATTTCTGGACGAGTGTAGCTTTTGACCTAGTGCAAATAGATCATAAGTTCGATGCTTCGCGTCAGCGTTTGAGTGGTGCCAACTACTAACCGAATAATGCCAGACCGTATGAGAAACTACTAAGGTTAGCAAGCGCTCGGCTAGATGAAGATAATCCAGCATACGGAAGATTGCATGGAGGGTAGCGAGAACCCTAACGCATCGATTACTCAACAAGGGGTCTCATGATTACAGGAGACTATGCTCACCAAATAGAGCCAACCTACTCGTTCGCGCTAAGGGTTAAATACTACCTACCACAAATCAGTTCGTCAAAACGCACCAGTGTTTTCATTCGGAGGGAATCTTTGGGATAGCTTATATAGTACAAGTATGCCTGGACGGTAAATAACAGTAAGTGGACGTAGATTTACCAGCGGAAATCCGGACTTGCCTGAAGACTAGCGATTCCATACAGCGCCAACATGACCTGACATGAGACAAGGGAAGCACCTGTGGCAAGGCTTAACCCACTGCTCGGCCTGGTTCGAGGGAGCTGCTTACCATAGATTTCCTCGTACATGCTTTGAGGCATTGGCGTTGGGCGATCCGGGAGGCCAGACATGATGAGCGTTGAGGGAGGGATCGCGGGGGAAAGGATAACAAGAAAAGCGAGTGGAAGGGGCTTAAAGTCGTCAGCGATAACCAAATAGGGAATGCAGGGAACAAGTACACCCTGAAACCTTGAACAAAAGGGACGATGAGGTCTCCATGCAAAAAATCTTTGCCACCCCAGATTGGCACCGGTGCCATGTCAAGGTAATTGATCTTATAGGGCTCAGATTTGGAGCGAGTATCATATCATACCATTGCGAAAAGGATTCAAGCAAGGTACTTGCTTAGAACGGAAGCAACCGCGGGGGCGGTGTCGGCGCCCGCCCCAGCCGCCCGCTTAGGAATCGTAGACGCCCTTAGACGCTTCAAGGTACACGCATGATTCGGACGAGAATCTAGAAGTGAAACATAAACGTGGCTGGCAGTTGGGCTCCAGAGATTCGAGAAATTCGGCATAAGGGTCGATTTTAGGTTGTTGACATGGACCAAGTAGTGCTTATCTATCCCAGGGATTTACAATCCCGATTTTTTAGACTGCAATCGTCCACCTCCATGTACCAGCGACTCGTGTGCGTGAGATTTGCATCCGAACGGAATCATATTTTCCGTTTGATTTTCTGATGAGTGACAGTGTTGAATGAATCTTGGCCGCAAAAAATAGATAACACTTCGGATCCGGAGTTGCAATTTGACATCGACAGGGACCAGGGTTTCACATTCTAAACAGAACGGTGCCCGCTTCATACTGACCCATAGAGGACGTGATTGCGATTGTATTGAATACAAGGAGAGTTGGAGGAGAGGATATACACATACTGTGGATTATACAGGATGTCGCTGATTAATCGAGCAGACAACAGGCAGCCCAAGGATCGTTGAACTCCAGATGGAACGTTGCAATTAATCGTGCCGACAACGTTGTCAGGTGGCGTGTCGAGCGAAGAGTCGAGCAACTTTCGGCGTTTGAGACCCTTTCAAGCTCAACGAATCAAATCTTTCAAAGGTCACTGGAATAAAATTGACGACGTCCATCATGAAATGGTCCACAAAACGGACATGTAAGTAGCAAAGTACAACTACACAGTGAGAACGTAGGGAAGCTCAACATGTGGGACATTCTCGGTTTTCAAGTAGTCCAAGAAAGGATCAGAGTCGCTAACCCTTTGGCAAATGAGAGAAATCGGTGCGCTAGACTTAGTGGCTCGATAGCTTAGAGTTTGCGGGACTAAAGCTGCCGAATTGCTGTTGGAGGTTGTCCTACGCTGATCCTTCGCAACCACAATGATTTGTAAAGCGGGAAAAGATATTCCCGAGGTGTTACCGTCGGTGTTACGCATGAGAAAAAGTGCAACCATCAGAGAGGTCAGCCCGTTGCGAGGAAGCTGAATCTTTCTCAGATTCTCCAAATGACCGAAAGACAGAAGCCAGTCTTCAGCGGAGAACGATGATATGTCGCAGCAAAAGTATGATAGTTGAGGAATGGCCATAATTTCGGTGACTGGGACAAGGAGCGGGTACAATGGTCGATTCGCCAGTATCACGAGTTCGGCAGTGGGTACCTGGCAGCTGGAGCCTTGGAGTTGAACACGAAGACGACCAGGGCTTTCAATAAGGTGCATCTTGACTAGATCAGAAGACGATGCGGGGCCATACAGATCCGCAAGTCGTCGGGCGATAGCGAAGACGTGGGGCTGCGGGCTTTCGTTTGCGATAGCGGCAAGCGATAAATCGATAATCTTTGGGAGCTGGACGCTGCAGATGAATCGAGCAATTGCTTGCGCGGCGTCGCCTACACAGAGGTATTCGAGGCTTTCCAAGTTCGACGTTTGTTTCTGGGGATAATATAGATGACTAGCCGTTCGCGGTAATGATGTATTGACTTCGAGGTGGGTCAAATTTGGCATCTGGCCCAGAAGGTCGGCAAAGTCGCGAATGGAGCACATGATGGGTGAATGGATAATGTGGAGTTGCCGCAAGCTGTCGAAATTTGCACTAGGCCAGGTGATCTTGCAATGCATCAGCTTGAGCATCTGCAGTTCGGGGACGGTTTCCATAAAAAAGGTCAGAGCAGCCTCGACGTCGTAGAAACACTCCGCGCTGCAGATGCTTAGCATGCGAAGTCGAGGTGCGCGAAATGAAGCCTTTTGCATGTGTGCGACTGTGCTTGAGATCGTCCTAAAATCTACGTCCAACTTGAGTCCTTGTATATTCGTAGTCCCGCAGAAAAGACCAGTGGCCTCGATAAATCTGGACGAGAGTTGAGGAGTAGTCAAGGCGACGCGGAGAGGACTAGCGCGGGCCCGTTCAAGGAACACGAGAGTGCGTTGAGGCGAAGAAAAGTCAATATGAGTCCACAGAGATGAGTCATTAATTGCCGTAGCACGCCATAGAGCGCAGACGTGAGTAATATAAAGCAGAGTCGGGTCGCGGGCTTCCTTAGGGCGTTTTTTGCACTTGTGCTTGATATGAAGCTGGGGCATCGGACTTTCTATATGTCGATTTACGGCCAGCTTGAATATCAGGGAGAGTATTTCGACCGGGAGGCAGTGAATAGTTTTGGTTGGAGGATCCATCGAACAGCCGTCGATTTTTGGGAGAGGAATAGAAGTGTGATATGAAGGATTACAGAGTTTTAGTTGAGAGTGTGAATCGTCGCGGGAGAGACAGAACCAAGTCGGCCAGACAAACTCTTATACAGGCTGCCGGAGATCCAAAACCACAGGTGGCTCATTGTCATTGCCACGGATATCATTGACACTGGCCTCCAAATGGCCACCTCGTAAAGCAAATGGTGTGTCGTTCGCATGGCCAGAAACCTTCTGGGGCCCGGCGCCGCGTGAGAACGTGAGGCATAGTGTGCCGCTTTATTCGACTTGTACGGGCTCAACCCAGATGACAAAGAACAACTGAGCATAGATGGTCTCTTAGGATCGTTGTCGCAAGTCGCAGTGGATTGGACCAGGTCGTACTCGTGGGTGTGCTTTGGGTAGTGACAGGAGCAGCCGTGTGAAAATTTGAACCACTAAGTTCAATCCCAACTTTATCTCAGCTTCAGCCAGTCAGTACGTATAGCGGCGCCAACAAACCATCAGCGTATCAGGTCGGACGCCGTTACTCCTGCAACGCCGTGGTCCTCGAAGCTGTTGATATATCCGCGTCTTTGGTTTACGTAAAGAAGATGCCCAGCCACAGGAAGTTCATCTTCGCTCACGACTTCGTCATTGGAGGACGAATCACACCTCATCGCGGCATCTGGACGCGTCGGACGTTTCGAAGCGAAGTCGAAGAAAGTAGCCGCTAGGTTACTTGGGAAGTCTCGGTTGTTCCTCGAGGACCCAACGATAACGCCGCGAATGGTAATCGACGACACACACTTTTGCTTGGATCTCGGACGAACGACGCCCACGACTCCCAAGGCGGTCGGCGCCAGTATACCTCCTCTTCTGCGACATAGCCATCTCAAATTGATCCACCGAAGCTGGATCTAACTCTCATGAACCCCTCCGGCTTTCCGTTTGATTCGCACTTGCTGCTGCTCTTCGCCTCAGCCCTCTTCTCGTATGTTCGGCGAGGTACATCTCCAGTGACAATATTGAGTCGAAATGGGGAACCAATCCCGCCTGCTGTGCTGCTTCGAAATGATCCGCTTCTCCCTGGTTGCACTCAGGGGTATACTCAGCATTCGGGCGATGGAAGGACCACTATACACCTATTCTTGGGTCACTCCAAAAAGTTGATGCAATGTAACTGGTCGCCCTTCCTCCCTGCTGGAAAGCTCGAGGAAGCTGCCCAAGAGGCCCGCCTTATTCTCTGCGGATTTGCGAGGCTAGAAGAACACACGGGATAGGCTAATCTATTCAATCAACCATGCGCTCTCACCACAAGTTACTTCTAGCAGAACCTAGCCTTATATACTTCGTTCCTGCCCTCTACACTACCCGAGGGCAGCGTGAAGCAAAAGAGTGTAATGTGGCTATCGAGTCTAAGAGGCTTAGACCGCTATTGTAACGCCCTAAGCTGAATGGCGAAGAGGACCGAAGGCAAGTCGTAACTTCTCCCTGCCTTGGCTTACACTCCTATGCCGAACGCCAAATTGACACCTTTCTACAGTGTCCTATTCTACCCTTCCCGGTCAGTCCGCTCCTGTCCTTGCGTATGCCACAGTCATTCATTGGTGCTCGTACGATGCCTGATGTCATGGTGTCCGTCCCCACACTGATAGCTTCAGTCATCGACCCACCATCAGGCAGGGGAAAGCGATAGTGATCCATCGCTGCAGTCCGGCGCCCCGCGGGATTTCTGCTCCCTTGACACAGTCCAGTCGCTTCCCACCCGGGTTCAGCCCCTTACCAGCACGTCTTACACGGAGTTCGACGCGACTCTGGTGATAGGTTGGTGGACAGACAGGAGTCCCGGAGATGTTGGAATGGACGATTGGGTGGTGGCTGAACGCGGTGTGTGTTCGAAATGCGATTTCTCCGGAGTGTGCAGCTGATCTGTAGTGTTTATCGCCGTCTCAGACAGGCCGGTCGCAGTCCGTGCTGACCTCTGCATCGTGGGCGCCACAATCAAGACACTCGGTCACTATCGGGGCCCAATCAGCTCGGACTACGGTCCGCCGTGGTGAAATTAAGGTCTGTTCGGTATTTCAGTCAGGCGTTCATTTGGTCTTATTCAGCGGCTCCCGGGTAGCACCGTCTTGACTTGGAATATATTGCGTTCTGGTCTGCAAGTATCATTACTCATATGCTTTACGACAGACGAAGATGCTTTACTCCTTGCCTCGCGGCGTCTTGCACCGCCTACTTCTTTGGATGATACACAGAACCGTTACCGTGCGCTGCGATAACTGCCCAATAGCCAGTTTCGCAACACGATGTCCCTGTCATGATTGGGGATCAGGTTGTAGTGCTCGAATGGGAGAGCTGACCCACTCATCTAAGCGCATGCTCAGGAGGTCATCTGATTTGTTCGATACGGCGAGATCCAAGTGTGAGGGCATGCGATAGAGATCGTGGACAAACTTTTTAGCTCGCTGTCTCTGTCATTACATTATCTCGGGATGGTGCGTGATTGATTACTTGACCATTTCGGCTTTATTGCGGCAAGATGCAAGCAATAGTAGGTAGGCTCAACGTAGGTGAGCTCAATGGTCTTCAAAGATGTTCAATGTTGAATTGTCGATAACAGTTATTTAGAAGAGTCGACCGTGCATACTGCTTGGGTGATTAGGCACGCTTCGTGACTTGGTCATGCGAAGGTAAGTATGTACGTTATATAAATATCATACTTCTCTCTTACCACGCCCGTAAGAGCCGTCCAAGCTTCAAGGTTGCTTCTACATCAAAAGGTTGCGGGTTGAGCATGCCGAGACTAGCTTGAACTCATTCTGACATCCGGAATTTCGCTCGCATAGAGTTAATTGAACATGTCCCAAAGGCCGACCCATTTGTACAGAGAGATTATCGAACTGAGCGCCACCAGATTTCTCGATGCGAAAAGGCATAGTCAATCTTCTGTGGCGTTGCCCGGCTCAAAGAAAGTTTCCGGTCGCGTAATGGTGCTGGAATTGGTTCTTGAAGATATCGGGGGTGAGCTGCGAGTCTCGTTCGCGTCGTATCCATTTCCCCGGCTGAGTTCGAGAAGGGATATGGCGATATTACCTAGGTATGCCAGTCGGAGAAGGACTCCTGAGGTAGAGTCGCCGCGGCTACTCGGACGTGGGCGCCGCGTTGGAAATTCGGAAGCTGAGTGTCACGATTAGCAGACTGCGTGCTGACAGATTTTTGCCGGGCTTGTAGCGTCTAGACGGCGTCCAGCAATCTGAAGGAATGCAGTCATAGTGGACCCAGAGTCAATCTTGCCTGGCACTGAGGCGACTCCAAGATTAGCCTGGGAAAGGGCGCACGTGGAACAATACTTCTGCTGCAAAAGGAATCTGATTGCCCAAACAAGGTAATTAAGCCTCACCGATGAAAAGCGATTCGGGCGTCATAAACTCCCACGGGCTTTTAGCTCCCATGGTGTTGAGCAGTTTGCGTTCCGGACTATATGTATTTCAACTTACGGAGGGTCACAAAGTTCAAGATGCCTATTTGTCATCCAACTCCAGAATATATAAAGAGAGCACTAGCCATCGACATGCCCATCCCTCCTTTCTTCCCTTCCTCCACCATCTCTTCGCCTCTCTCGCGGCCTCCCTCTTCCTCCAGTTCCTGGCAGCGTCGCGCAGGTTCTCGCCTTCTTGGATTACACTCACCAAACGATAAGCGAATTCCTACCCCATTCATCTCAAGCAACCATGATTTCAGCGATCCTCTTCACCATCTCCCACAACCTCTTCTTCGCCGTCGCCACCGCCATCTCTTCCTGCCTCGTCGTTCGCGCCATCTACAACCTCTTCTACTCACCTCTTAGCGTCATTCCCGGCCCATGGTACGCTGCGGTCTCGGATCTCTGGATCACATATCACGTCTTGCGACTCGAACAATGCAAAACCATCCAGGCTCTCTTTGAACAATACGGCCCAGTCGTGCGCATTGGACCGAACAAAGTGGTTTTCCGCGACATTTCTACGATGCGTAGCGTGTACTCAATCCACAAGTTCGACAAAAGTGGTTACTACAAGAGCCTCCTCACGTACGTTTGAGCTTCTTGATTGCCTGTTGTCGCGCGGCTGACGTAGATGCCACATTTGACAGTAACGAAAATGATCATGCGTACGTATATCGCGCATATATGCTGCAAAAGACACTTATTATGTCTAGTATGACTACTTTGGGCCACGCCGAACACTCCATGCGTCGCAAGGCGTACGCTCCCCACTACACCCCTGCAAATCTCGCTAGATTCCAAACGGAGATGCAGGAAGCCACTCTTGAGTTGGTAAATGTAAGTTGAATCGCCGGCCCGGCACACAAATGCTTATTCAAAGTACCCCAGACACTCGAAGGTATTAAAGGCAAGAGCCCTTTGGAATGCTTGTCGACTTTCCGTCACTTCATGGTCGACTTGGTCGTCATGAACTCATATGGGTATCATCTCGGTGCTCTTAGAAGATGGGCAACAGGCGCGGAGGACCTACTTTGTAATGCCATCAGCGACTTCCCTAAACGTGGCATCCTCGTATGTGGACGGTTCTGCTTACAGGTGTATCAGGGAACTCAGCCTTACTACTTTAGCGCAGCGCCGTTTCAACCTGGGCATGGGACATGGTCTGCCGCATCCCAAACCGACGATGGAGGATGATGTGCAACTCTGATAAGATCATGGCCGAAGTAAGTCAATGTTAAATGGAGCTGTATACTCAGCCCTGACAGCTTTCATGTAACCTTTTTAGTTCGTTAGTCAGCGCGTGTATGATATGCGCGCTCAGGTAAATTCTGGAAGATTGGCGGAGAGCGAAAGGCCACCTATGCTTCAACGTTTACTCCAACACAAATATGCCTCTACTAACCAACTCATGCCCGATCTCGACATCATCTCCGAATGCATGGGTCACCTGTAAGTAATCCCAGTCAAGAACACTCATGCGTCCGCTGACGTTTAGTTTAACGGGTTCAGAATCGCCGGTTCTGACACGACATCTACTTCTCTTTCCTACTTTTTCTGGGAAGTGAGCCGTCGGTCGGACGTCATGAAGAGATTGCGCGCCGAGATCGACGAGGTTATGCAAGATGCCAAGGTCATACCAGACATTTCGGTCTTGCAATCGCTGCCTTATCTGAATGCATTCATCAAAGAAGGCAAGTTTGTTACCTTCCAAATTATACCTGCCGGTGTTTACAATCAAGCATGCAGGGCTTCGCCTCTACGGAGCTGCTCCAAGTCTCCTTGAACGCGTAGTTCCTGCATCTACGACCAAGAACGGTTCAGTGAGCGAAGCTTTCGACCTCCTGGGGTTCGCTTTGCCCGCCGGCACCATTGTCTCCACTCAGGCTTGGTCTATGCATCGGGACGACTCCATATTCCCATCCCCAGATACGTTCTTACCGGAGCGGTGGCTGGAGTCAAATACTTCCCCAGAAGAGCTGGCGTTGATGTCGCAGCACATGATGCCGTTCGGGACGGGCACACGTGTATGTGGCGGGCAGAACCTTGCCCAAATTGTCATGAGAATGGTGGTAGCGGCTGTTGTAAGAAACTTCGACATTGTGGCACCAAGTGAAACAAACGAAAGGACGATGGAAATGAAAGACAGCTTTGTGAGTGACCGAGCCATGGCCGTGTATCTCCTTTTTGACCGCGATTGGCCCGCAGGTCATCTTCCCTGCTTCCATGGAATGCAAACTCGCATTCATTCCCCGCAATTAACTTGCGAAACCCCATCCACCATATTTGCATGGCGTGCATGCATACCCCTTGATACTCTCACCCCACGAACCCTTCGCGACGGCCACTCTATTTATTAACCATTCACATTCCAATTGTTTTCTACCATGTTGTCCCGCTTTCGGTGCGTCTGATGTTGTTCGTTCCGTGGTCATATCACCCAATATCATGCTACATTGGCTCTGATTAATTCCCCATTCCCCACATCGCTTTCTGCTACCCATCCCCTTCGGAATCTTTCCCCTTGTGTCCTCGCCAGTAGGCACTGTTACCAATACCCCAGTTCATGTTTATCCCTACACCCACGCTCCTTCTCTTTACTGTATAGCTAGTATAATATTCGTCGCCCCGGCATGGCATGGGTTGGACTGGTAAATCACTTGTAACTCTTTCGATAGTGTACTAATGGCTCTCCAATACCTTTACCTCATTTTTGGTTTGCTTATTGCTGACGCGGATAGGTAATGCTGACCTTTCCATTCAGGTCACACCACTAGGTGTATAGGACTTCGTTCCGAGTCTGGCACTCATAAAAATGGATACCGTGGATGCGTCAGGGCCTTCACGGACTTCCAACCAGGCGCCACTGATTGCGTTAATGAGAATTTCCCAAAATCAGGGACAGCAGTGCGCTGCAGTGTATTGGGGGCGATCTTGTTCGTAAAATCGCTGTTTAATACAGCTGCGCTATTGGAGTTAAACAAGCTGCTCTAACGTGGTCGGTATATACCCTTGAAAACGCGTTGACCGCTACAAAGTAGCCGCAAGTGAAACTTTCAATATGACCCTACATCAATACAATATACAAATTTACGTCGGGGGGTTCATGAATGCTGAATAGCAGTTATTGTGGCGGCAGACCGAGGCTTTATTTCGCATTCAAAAGGTTCTGGATGACTGCAGAGATATGGGGGATATCAGCATAATCGTCTTTGAATGAACAAATCAGACTCACCTAATAGAACCATCCAAGAACTTTCCGGATGGTAGACGGGGTTTCCCGTCGACGCCGACTGGTGGGCGAATATCTAAGGCGGCGAGGACATTGGCACAGAGGAGCCACATTGAAGCATCAGCGAGATGGGAACCTGATCACCACATGAAAATCGTGTGGTCAAACAGAGTTTAGGAAACTATAACAGCGGAGAGACATACCAGGGCAGCTTCTATTTCATAGGAACCAGAATCGATCAGTTAAACTGACGGGGTTTGTTAGGCGGGTTACTCACCGTCGACCAAAACCATACACATAATCTCTGGGGTCCTTGTCCTTTGCTGGGTGGTCCAGTGTTTCAAGGAAACGTTCAGGCTTAAATACATCAGGGTCGGGATATGTACTTGGGTTATGGAAGAACCGCCTGAACAGGGAGCGACAACGCGGCATGAGATTGGGACAGAGACACACAAAGAGTTACGCACCAGACGTTGGAGAGGAGCATAGTGCCTTTAGGAATAAAATAACCGTCGTGGATATCGTCCTCACTGGCGACGTGCGGGAGACCTTCGCAGATGTTAGTGAAGATGGCATAGCATCAGAAGAAGTGCTCACCTAGCGGTGCGAATGTATAACACCTCATTGTCTCAATAAACAAAGCATCAACGTAGGGCAGCCGAGCCCTATCGGCTAACGTTGGCAGTACACCGTGGCCCAAGACGGTGTCGAGTTCTTCTTGCGCCCGGATTTGGTGGGAAGTGTGGTAGGTCATGGCCAGGAAGAAGCATTCAATTCCACCGACTGTCTATACTCGACAGCATCAGTGGGAAAAGTAAAACCCAGCATGGAAGCAGCGCACCGTGTCGGCGCCTCCGCTATATATACCAGCAGCAGCCCATTTGATGAGTTTCTCCTCTTCCGAGTCCGGGTTTCTATGGTCGAGCTGGGAGGTGAGGAAAGACTTTTGCGCTGTTCCTTGCGACTAAACCAACATTTATTGATGAGTGAACACGCGGATTGGAAAACAACGTACCATCTGCTTCTTCACCCATTGGTATGGCTGATCGAGCATTTGTTCAAGCGTATTGTGATACTTGGATGCTTTCCGCTTCCAGCCTGCCCCGGGGAACCATGAGGGCACGTACTGGACTGGTGGAACATTGGGCGATGAGCTTAAAATTTCCACCCGAAATGGCACGATTTAGACTCACGACTGGGGAAAACGTCGACCATGAAGGCACCGGTTACCGTTGTTTCTGAGAATTGGTCCATGGCTTCGTTGACAAGCTTGACGAGCCCATCATCCTGAGACGAGGCCTTATATCCGTACGTGAGAGTGAGGACGATCGAACCGGCGAATCTTGTCGAGACTTAGTCGAGGCTTTCTCCAGAGAAACGATCACTCACTTGAATGCATGCTCGACCCACTTCTCAGGCTTCCCCACAACACTCTTCAGAAATCTGTGCGTCTCTTCATTCAGAGTGTCGTCGAAGGCATCGACTTTGGCCCGAGTACCCATAAAACCGGCGAACAGCTTCCGGTATTCCGACCATCTCTTTCCAAAGGGAATTAACGCTGGGCCCGCGCCCCATCCGACTAAATCCCCGGCCATAATGAGTTGAGGCCTATCGGAATATATCTTGGACTTCTTGTCGAGCATATCAACGGCATATTTGGGGTCATTGAGGATCATAATATGCTTGCCCAGAACCGAGAGATGCGTGATTCCACCTGGAGTGACCTTAGTGAACACGACATAATTCGCATTGCGGAAGCTGATAGACGTACCGTACTTCTCCTCGAACTCGGCGAACCCTAACCATGGCTGGCTCTGCGGTAGATCTGCAACGTTGCCGACCAGCGGTAAACCTTTCGGACCAGGAGGAAGAGGCGCCGGAGCGCGCTTCGTTGAACTCATATGAGCCACGATCAGCGCTGTGAGTATAATGGCGGCCCCTCCAATGGTGTAGTTATCCATCGTGGTCATGTCGAAAATTTGCTGGAGGAAGATAGGCAGGAGGGCGAGCTGGAGCCCACCAACGGGTGCTGGACTTAATCTAGCCGGACGCAAAGGTACACAAAAGCAGGGACGCGTTCGAACCTGAATGATAGCAGGTTTTAGCGCAGCACGCGGCAGTTGTTGCACCTATCTAAGGCAAGGAATTTGTAGATGCAATTTGTGCACGTCATCAACATTTACGAAGACGATTGATGCAGCAGTTGGCACGACGAGTTCAGAGAGTGCCAAGTACACCCGTTCAGTCTCAAAACTATGCAAAATGTTCCATTTATGATAAACGACAGTGGGTTGGCTATCCAGTAGACCAACAGGGAGATACGTATATATGTACTGCAGACGGATGATCCATGTAATCTAAAAATGCAAGAATGTCAATGCTAACGCTACAACTAATGAGTAATAGATATAAAGGAAGGTGATAAGAAAAGGAGGGTCGTATGAGAAAAGATATCAGGCAAAGTCGAAGGCAACGTCAGCCTGCCACGAGTCTTCGTATACATTCCATAAGGCGACCAGAACCAGTCTGGGGAAAGTGGCGCTGCTGAGGGGCCAAGTAGGGTCAGAGGAGGTCGCATAAGCTGTGTGCTGAATTCCGCTATAAGCACAATGTCGGTTTTAAATATAAGAAGAGACATACCGAGATGTAGTTGACGTAATTGTCAGTAATAGCCCGAGCAAGTTGAAGGCGAGTCATCGGTCCACTGGAGGTTACAACTTCGACTGAACGAGTCCATTCGACGTGTTGGTAGCCAGGCCACTGAGATAAAAAGTAGGTTAGGCGGTTTACAAGCCATTATCACAGGCGAATACTTACGCAGATTCTGAATGTGATGCGCCGGACGTTGGCCGGGAAGACAATATCGTTGGCCCCAAACATCATAGAACCCAATGCCGGTGCGCCTCTGGCGGAGATCTCGTTCATTCGGATTCCTTGGCCATGATACCCGTTCATGTCGAATGTGATAGGTCTATTCTGGTTCGTGCGACCGAAAGAGGCACCCCACTTAGACGAAGGTGTGAAAAGGAGCTGGGGGACTCGCTTGCGCTTCGCCGACAAGAAAGGAGGGACGGCGCTGCCAAGGGAGGAGAACCCGGACTGCTGGCCAGATTGGATAGTAGGGTGGATAGGATTGTAGTAAGCCATTTGGAATATCAGTGTAGATTCGATGAGAGGCTGAGAGGTTGATTTGATGAGGAGAATCGCCAGCCATAGTCGAGCTTAAGTACTGGCATAATGTGGACGATGGTCCACCGTCAAAGGGTGTAGCCACAGTAGCTTTGAGCAGGAAAAGCGGCCAGCAGCCAAAGACTGGCCATAGACCACTTGAGGCAGAGAAAGCGGCCACAGTCAAAGCGCCGACAATCACCAGTCTTTCGTGGCATTTCCTACTTGACGATCGGGATTGAGTGCGGATCTGCGTCTTTGTTAGGGAATCACATATGTTGCTGGTACGAGGAGACGATGAAGTAAAGCCAATGACTGAAAGATAAATCGATAATGCGCAGGGGTGAATGATTGAACTTGGTGACTATAGAGAGTGGTACGCCCTTGGTTAATGTCACAAAGCAAAGCGATGTGATGTAATGGCCTCATGGCGCGCGGCCAAAGGCCATTGTCCACCATTATCCGTTTGCTTTGTGGGGCCCCAGGCCGAGAGTACAGTAGGGCGTGTGGCCCGTGGCTCCGTTTTTAGTTGAGACCCGAGTGAAGGCCGGTGGCTAGGCGCTGATTGAAGGGGACTTGAAGAGTTTTCAAGTTGAAAGTTGGATCAACGTTGTAGACGAAAAGCGCGCCTACGACCCTGGTGGGAAGTAGATCACGTGTGATATTTTGAGCCTCAGTTCGAAAGTCAGTCCGAATACCTCAGCGCGTAGGCCGGTGTCGGTTGAATACTTCCATGAAGCGGCCTACACAAATTGATCATGAGCCAAGAAAGCGCAAGAAGACGCACGAAGAAGCCCCCTGTGAGCCACCTCCTGCTCTCCTCGACCTTCTCGACTTCACGAGCGTTGAACTCGGCGAAAGCTCCGAGGTAGCGACGCGTTTTGATCGGATTGCGAAGGCCCTCCTACAAGAGTATCATATAGAACTGACGAACGAGGAGGGAACCACGCACGAGTACAATATCCTGGAACTGGAATTTTACTTGAAGGCGGATGGACATGGGGATCCCTTTACGCACGGGAGCGAGGAACAGAAAATTAGTGGGAATTGGTCAGTCGAAATTTCATGCACTAAGTTTGGGCTCACCTTCAACATCTGCGTTGACTAGGTATTTTCATCGCGCACCTAGGCGTTCCGCCAACCCTGACCACAGTGCGACGAGTTTGACTGGTTACAGAGGTGGCACGCGCAAGGGACTCGACCTTACCATCGGAAAACCACCAGTTTCAGCGACCACGTCTCCGTATTTCTCTTGCGCTGCGACCGCGGCCACTTCTAATAACATCGATATTCGGGGAGGTATCCTCCTTCGTACCATTCAACGACGCGATAACTCGTCGCAGGTGATCTCTGGGCCTTCCCTACTCGTGGATGAAATTCTTCGCGCGAGCTCTGTGCAAAAGATTCCTGAGTTAGTCGACCAGAAATGGGGTGGTGATCGGTCCGCATTCAGATCTTCGACCAAGTCAAGTACAGTGTTGCGCCTGACATGTTCGACATCGAACCGCGATCTCACAGTCTATCGTTCTCCAAGGATTGGCTTGGATCTCTCACATCCAGGTACCGCCGCCGCCCCTTCCGATAAACGCGTAACGTACCTCTCTAGAGCCTACCGTTACTTCGTGCAGCCTGCTCTCTTGACGGCGAATGGCCGCTGTCAGACACTATTGGGCGTGTACGAACAATCCGCTGATGACGGCCTTTCTGAGGAGAAGATGCACCGGAGAATATCAGAGCTAACTGGCATCAAACTTCAGACCGTAGAAAAGTATCTCCGAGACTATCAAACCGGTATTTCGGACGGTGATCTCACGATTTTCATTGGGCCATCTGGAAAGGGCGTTTGCTCGTCTCCGAGCAGGTACCTTCAGATGATGGGCGCTTTGCGAACGTTCCAGCAATCTTGAAGACTCTCCTCTCCCTTTGTATATATTGTCCTGCTACTCGCTTTGTTGGACTGAGGCGGATCCGCATTTCTCAAACTTCACCCCAACTTTCGACCAACGCCGTCGACCCTCACTCGTCCAATTAGGTTACTACAGCCCCAATATTGAGACGCGAATTGTCAATACCCTTAGTAATGCAGCTCCATAAAAGTCCTGAACGCGTAACCTTTGTAAGTGAATTCTTCGGCCAATGAAAGAACACAAACTCACGGACGTCAGCCCTTTAGGTACGCTGGCAGTTCTATGGTTAAAATTATCTGTTCTCACTGTCAAATAGTGGATGGATGGAGTTAATGATATGATCCACCGTTATTACTGTTCTACGGTCGTTCTATGCTATTCATTCGCATTCTGTAGACGAGATATAGAGGTGAGTCTCGTATCTTCCATCTTATCTTGCTTATACTCAGCACGTCATGCAGGGCAAATTTTCATTGGTCGTAGCTTGAATTGCATGCTGTAAGAATCATGATGCTGTAAGGTGCTCGGCATCCAAGGTTGACTATAACTGTCCCACAGTTCAGAACTTCGGTATCCAGGTATGTGGTCGCCCCTCCCTGCTCCAACATCAAGGATCTCTTGGAGTTCTCCTGCGGTCCGGGAGCACCACAGTCTCCGACCACGAGACTGATGTCTTCGCCTATGGATGGCACCAGAGTGCGAGCCAAATGGTCCCGCTCTCATTTTGGGCGATAAGGGTGTCGCCCTATAGCTTCCGGAGTGATCGACAACACGCATTCTCGACCTCATGCGAAAACATGACGCATGACGCATTTCATAGAAGCACTCGTGGGTGAAGGCTATTTACGATATTAAATTAGACTGCAGGGCCCAGAGACCTCCTTCCGAGCAATCGCCTAACAAAAGCATGATGGACGGAGGCTTCAGCTCCCAGCTCACTTAGAAAGAACTGCGGCTTGCTTATCTTTGTAAAATATTCAGCCGGCGTGAGTTCTGGATCGAATATAGCATGCTTTGTCTTTGGTCACAATGACGGTAGAAAAAGGCAAGGTCACCGCCAGTGCTATGAGTGTCCTTGGTCAGAAGATATCGGAGTGGCGTGTACTTGGGCACGTGGGCATCATGGAATGTTTGTGATATTGCCGTGTCAAGCGGTGAAGCGCTTCACCGAAAACCTTTTAGCTTTGTATCTCTCACTCTCGATAGCCTGGTGCTACCCCCGTCCTGTCCCTTTTCCCACTACAATGGTCTACAATCCGCAGAGCGTAAATGCCATCATCAAGGACCAACTCTATCTCGGAAAGTAAGTCAAAGACGTCAACCTTGTCGTTGTGTCGAGATACTTATGTCCTGGCTCTTTTACCAGCTTGGCGGCCGCGCAGTCTGTCGATCTCCGGAAGAAGATTGGTATCACGCACATAGTTTCCGTGTGTCCCGAATACCCATCAACGGGCCCGAACCATCTCGCCATCGCCGTGCACGATTCCGAGTATGAGAATTTGTTGATACACCTCCCCAATGCCTGTCGCTTCATCCAAGCCGCTATGGACAACGGTGGTAAAGTGCTTGTTCACTGCGTAATGGGTATTTCTCGGAGTACCACGGTCGTGTGCGCCTACCGTGAGTTCTCTTTCCACTCTTGGCTGTCAGATGCTCAAAAGCGCGCGGGAACCCAGTGATGAAGACCAGACGGATGTCCCCTTCGTCGGCGATTCGTTTTGTTAGACGATGTAAGAGTCTTGCAACCTATGGCCTTTGTTCGACGCACTTACCCTCTGGTAGGGCGGCCGTGCGTGCATCCAAACTACGGCTTTGTACGACAATTACATGCCTTTGCCGATTGCGGGTACGATCCTTCGCCGGAAAACAAAGCTTACATCGCTTGGAAGCGAAGCCAATCCCGCAATGTCACCAACTTCTTGAAGACCGTCGTCGACACCACGCCTGTTATTCCGGAGCAATTGTACTTAAGCAGGTCAGCCCCCTTCTCATGATCGTTGTCCCTTGGCTTACTCCCATCCTTCCTCTTTCAGCGACTTTCCCAAGGACCCAGAGCAGGCGGAAGCATTGCTTCTCGACCTGGGAATTACTCACTTCCTTACACTGTCGCCTGCCGAGTGTGCTACCAATATACCCTCTGTCAAATACCACCACAAGAACATCGGTCCCAGCAAAGACTCGCTACTTTTGGCGCTACCGGAGATCTGTGATTTCATTAACGAGGCCATAACGAACGACGGGGAGGTTCTGATATATTCGGTCGTGGAGTCTCGGGCGTGTACAGCTGCATGCGCGTACTGTGCGTTCATCATCCTTTCCACCGTCCCCACCTACTCACTTCTTTTAACCTCCTTCTCTTCGCTCAGTGATGTCCTCGCGGCGCATCCATCCAGACGCAGCCTATTCACTACTGCAGAATGGTAAAATAACCTCTACGGCCTTCCCTCTTTCCGCCTCCAAGTTTAGCTGATCCTCCGCGCGATATAGCTCTTCCTCTCTTCAACCCTACTGCGAACTTCTCTAAACATCTTGAGCTATTCAATGCTTGCCGCTACCATCCTACCGCCGACCATCCCCTTGTCCGGGCGTGGAGCGGCAACGACAAACTCAAGTCCAGAAAGGCTTCTTCACCTACTCGCAGCGGGGACCCTAAGGATCTGAATACCAATGCGTCGGCGCTCTCGGCCGCTGCTGCTTGCATGTTGAGCGAAACTGGCTTTGACATGGCTGCTTTCGGCGAGACACTGGCCAAGATTCAGCGGCAACATCTCGTCTGATATACGGACAGCCCTCAACCTCACCTGCCGGTCGGCGTTTTGCCGAACCCTAACGACACTACTGGGATGACACCAGCTCTCCCCTCTGGACTCTTACTCTCGTCGATCAACAATGTACACCTTCGGCAGAGTACAGACGGACGGCTCTCTTTAGAGCCTCTTCGTCATTAAATACAGCAACGTATTCTTGGGGTTCACCCTTATTATACTTACGAACGCCCCACTTACCCCGACTTAATTCCTTTACGTTTTCATGTACCTCCGATGTAGTCCTGGTGGCAATTGCATTATCTCAACAACGAAATCTATCTTTTCACGCGTCATCAGACGAAGCTTTTCGAAGGGAATGAGTGTATAGTATAGGTACAACAAGGGAGTACATTGGGTTCGATACAACAGGAGGTCAGAATTGGAGGATCAATGAGAGGTTGGGGATAGCATAGTCAATAATGCAGCACCTAGTCCAGCGAGGTGGTGCAGAGAGGTAGAGGCTGAGGCTGAGGCCTGAGGGTCGGCGGTAGATCAGACGTCCACGAGAACTTCGGCTTGCCAGGAGCCTTCGGAGATATGATGGAGGGCGACCAGCACGACGCGTTTAATAGTAATCTTCGCCGGGTGAAGCTGCCAGTCCTGATTGGCGCACGGTTCATAGGCTGAGTTCTGCATTAAAAGGTGGGTGCGGAGGTTCATGGTGATGGCCAGAGATAGCATACCATCACAAAGCAAGATATAATCTTCGCAATCTCAACAGCCAGTCCAGCGCGTGTAATAGGGCCGTTTTCGTTATAAATTTGGATTGATCTCGTCCAGTTAACGTTCTCATAACCAGGCCACTGCAGTAGGTAATGTATAAGAGGCTATCCCATCGCCTTGATACAAAATCAACGTACAACAAGCCGGAAGGTGATTCTCTGGAGGCCAGTGTGTGCAAGAACCTTATCGTACGCGCCATCCATAGAGGCAGACATTCCGTAGTAGCCGCGAGAGAGTAATTCCGACACCGGGATACCACGCCCATGGCTGCCAATGATATTGAAGTAGACGGGTCGATATTTACCAGGAGATCCTACAGTCGCAATCCATTTAGAGTCGTGCGCGTATCCTCCAGGGAGATTCTTCTTCCAGAAACGAGAGAGATCTTCAGGGGTCACAGCGCAGCCGAGGGACGAGTAGGCAGCAACGTCCCTAACTTGGGGATGAATTGTGTTTATGTAGGGCATTCGGTATTGCTCGGAGACGTAGGCTGTCGACGATCCTGAGTTGGTACAGCGCGACTTTGCAGAGAAGGGTGATCCAGAAAGCAGTGTGGTACATTGGTGGCCGTGGAGAGGAAATTTATACGAGAATCTAGAGAGCGAGCGCGAGCGTTGACCTTAAGATGCAGTCACCTGATGGAACCAAGTACTGGCAGAATAGCCTATCTAGTGCACAATGAGCGTGAGCTGCCCCAAAATGCCACCACAAATTGTGGCAGACAGACGTTGTCAGGCCAAGACGCGTTGACCATTGCCCCAGTACAGGTAAATCCAGAGGGTGGCCAAATGTCGACCACACTTGCCATTGTGCAAGTGGCCATCGCCCAGCGGCTGTTGAAGTTGGATACCATGGTCAAAGGCCATCGCGGCCACTGCGGTGGATAGCAACTTGTACAATTGTACTGGCGCGGATATTCGAGGATTCAAGCGTCAATCTGAGAGTCGTCCGTTATAACGCCGCCTCGAAAGCGAGGGTGAATATGGTTTAGGAACAAGAAGTAAGTGTCCGGTAACCGCCGGCGTTCTGTCGGTGCCGGCGGGATCCACTCTGACTCAACACCCTTGGGTACATAAGAGACTGGATTTCGAGCACAAACCCTTTGCTTGATCGTGCAACCCCTACGTAGTAATAGCTCAACCTTTACCTTTCGCAGTGATCACTGATCTCAACCCATATTACTCAGGGTTTCATCGGTCATTTCCAACCATGCAAGCAGCTACCCAGAAGCATCGGAATTTGAACGAGATTCCCGTTGAACTACTCATCCCCGTCTTTGTATACCTGGCTGCATCGCGAGAGCAACTGTCCTGCCTCAGGTCTGGTCGCCAACATCCCGATGGAATTGCACTGCTACATGTTTGCAAGAAATGGCGACAAATCGTCCTCAGCACGCCTCGAATATGGACATCAATCATGGAGGATATGAGCCCTCACCTAATCAATCTCGCATTGGACTGTTCGTTGGAAGGCTCCCTCCGGGTTTTTCTTCGTCTTGGAAATAATGTTTGGAAAGTCCCCGAATATCAATCAGCCATATCGAGGCTCTGCGCTCAAATGCATCGCATCAGTCTTCTCGATATTCAACTGCGCCACGATTCGTCGACGTCATTACCACAACTTTGCGAGAAGCAAGCACCGCTTCTCGAGCGTCTCCGAATCGAAAATCGCTTCTCTATGTGGCAGCCAGTTCCCATCCCTACGACCATATTTGGCGGGGTACGCCCTCCCCGACTTCGCCACCTATTCTTAAGGTTCTGTCAACTTCCCTGGGATTCGTCTCTATTCCAAAATCTGCAAACCCTTGTCCTTGAGCAGAAACTCCAGAGCCTCGATCCCGCGCAACTTCTGGATTTCCTTCGCGCTACTGCCAGCTCGCTTGAAATTTTGACGCTGAGCGAAGGGCTACCAACACGATGGCCAGCTAGCGTGATGGAGGACACAGTGGCCCTTCCTCTCCTGCGAGAGCTGCGCCTGTTGGGTAGCAATGTTGACGCATGCACTTGCTTATTACGCTCCGTTGCCTGCAGTCTTTCCTTCTTGTCCATCCGCGCTGGAGTCACGGAATCGGACTTTGCAGCGTTCTTCGACACCTCCGCCCACCGCCTTCGCGGCTCCATCGACACGTTGAAGATCGATGGTGATTATGTCGAAAACTTCCACTTGGAAGGCTACGTCACCACTGCTGGAGTGCGACATTCGGTATTCAATATCATCATAGTCCAGGCAGGTGACGGCTATCACGAAACGCCACCCTCAGAGTCCGTCGTAGCTGGGTTGAATCGTCTCCCTGTATCTGAGGCTCGTGTACTGTACCTGGCCGGCGGCCACCACGTGCTGGAGGATCATGTTGTATCCTCCCTGTACGCCAACCTATCCAAATTACGTATCCTCGATGCGGCGTATGTACTACCTGGCGACAACTTCATGAAGGCTTTCGGCGGGCCCGTACTGCCGCCCATCCCTTTCCCGTATTTAGAGAGGATCCAAGTCCCGCAGGAGAGTCTACCTCACGCTCAAGCCGTCGCGGATGCCCGAAAGTCGGCTGGAGTCCCCATCATCCTCGAAGCACGAGATCCATATGCAGCACCTCCCACTGACCTACACGATTACATAGCATGCTTGACATGCTCCCAAAGGGATTTGGGCTGGACCAATTGACCGGGGAGCCTGCTCTTCTGCTGGATGTTGTCCAGATGCTGAAGGATGTAACGTTGAGGATAATGGAAACGTGTTGGAATTGCGTCTGTACCCCGTTCTACCGTCAATTGTATACTAGCAAGCACCTTTGGCGCTTCGACTACCTTGTTTGAGGGCAGGATTGGTAGTGGACCTCATGCGAGGTTATTAGGATGAAGGGGAGCTTGGTTACACATTCGTGGTGCTATGCAGGAGTTGAAGCTTTCAAGAACGCGTGGAGCTCAGAAAGGCCGAAAGTTTTCTATCATCAATGACCTTGTGGCCTTGCAGGCGGGGTAACAAGCAAGGTAAGTTCTACTGGGATAATTTGGGGGGGGGGGTCCTCATCAAATAGCCCAAGTACGATGAAGAGGTATTGGTTGTGCGCCGCACAATCTACACAAGCGTGATACGCGTGCCTTTGCCAGACCATTCGCTTATCCAAGTTCCTATTCCTCCGCCTTGAAACAGCCCAATACGTCTGAACCTGCCATTGAAGTCCTGTGCCAGCATGATATACACGTTACTCCCCCCTCCGTAGCCCTCATACGATCCACATATAGGCATACACACGCCCTCCAGCTCTTTCACCCCTGCGAACCTTCGCATCAGATCCGTCGTGTCGAGGTGCAGGGGGTCTCTGTCTCTGCCTGCTCTATATGTCTGCTCGAAGACCCGCTGCGTCCTCGCCTCGTCGGTGTACACGGCGAGGTGACTCGATTCTCTGACCCAACGGTAATAGTATAGCATGCACTCAATGTCGAGCTCGGCCGAGCGGAGTGGCCCTGTGGAATCCTCGCCCGGAGGTTCTGTCACGATCCGCGCGTCGACAATACTTATGAGCGGCGCGGGGAGGCTACTGTACTTCCCCCTCAAGATGTTCAACGTCGTGTTCCCCCCAGCGACCGAAGCCCAGCTCCAGGTTGGAGCATACGACTCGCTGTAACGAACCTGAGCGCCTTCGCCTGTGTTTGTTATCCATGCGAGATCGGTGTAGATCATGCGCTTCCATAGCCCAGCCAAGTACGTGTCGCCATTGATTTCTCGGAAGGTCTTGGCGATGCCGGCCATAGCGATGAGTCTGTCCGACTCCTTTGTGAGAGCGCAGCTCGTGTAGATGCCGACGACGGAACCCCACTGAGAGTGGAACATTAGATCTGAGGACTGCCGCGCAGGGTGCAGATTCCCCGACAGCGCTACTTGCTTCTTGACAAGGTTGAGCCTTGCAGTCTTGTAAACTGTCGCAGTAGCTCTCAGTCCCCCCTCAGGATCTGCCTCGCACCACATGCCCTCAAGGCACTCCCAGTAGATCTGGGTCTCGGCGAAGTGGACAACGCGAGGGGCGAGGAATCGCTCCTGCACAACCCAGCCGCGAGTGCTGAGGGGTACGCCCTCGACCTCGTCAGTCCAGACGGATTCGTTCCAGAAGATATACGAGCCTTCGCTCACCCCTCCACTGCGTTCCAAAAGCTTCACATCCGCCTTGAAGGGAAACAGAAGCCGTGCGTCGAGCTTCCTGCTGCGGAAGAGGCCGCTGCTACCAGGGTCCGAGGACGCGGCGGCGGCAGAGATATTGCACAAAGAGTGCCGATACACATCCACCATTGCCTGGGCCTCCTGTTGCCACTCGTCAAGGGAGTCTTGGAAGATGCACAAGGAGTCAATCCAGATATATCTGTAGCCCAGACGGTGGACCAGCAGGACTGCATCGCGGAAAGTCGGTGACAGGTCGTCAATGCGTATGCCATTGCGGAACTGGTGCTCCGTGGTAGAGAGAAGCCGTACGATCAGCTCTGGGTCGCCCCAACGGTGGGAAAGTGTCCAGTAGACGGGATATGTCCCCGCGTGCTTGGCTTCGATTTGGCTCCTGTCGCGCAGATGAACGGTACCGAGCTCAGCCTTGTCGACGTCAAGGGCCCTGCTAGGGAAATAAGCCCCTTCCGAGCTGGGGGGACGGCAGTATTCGTGGTTCTTATTGCAGGAGGAGATCCATTGCTGGATTGTCTGTAGAGATTGGCTCGATCCTATGTTGGGGTCGAGAGTAGACCAAGGATGTGCATCGAGTTCGGTCCACGGGGGCTGCGGAGGCGAGCCTGCGCGGCCATAGGCGTGGGTCGGAAAATCCGCCTTCTTCCGCAGACGTACTGCACAGGTAGAGTATGAATCTCCTTCAGTTTGGCAGATATTTCGAGATCGGTAGCAACACACCAATGAGCCTGAAATCAGCTGCCCAGGGGCACACTACGTAGAAGAGTATCCTTTCCTCGTAGTAGTAGTGGCAGTATATCCGAAACCCATCGAGGGCAGCAGACTGGCTATCTACAGGTAGCACCTTAGTCCAAATCCAGGTGCAGATGAAGCAGCCATCTTCCTTGCTGGCCACGAAGTCACCGTAGCTCTGATGATGGTAGTTATCGAAAGGGACGCCTTTACCCAGCTCTACGAAGTAGTCCTCCTGTTTCTTGATCTTTTTCTTCCCGCTCAAGCTGGCTGTGCATGTATCGCATATTTTACCCTCGAGCTCGGCGAAGTCCATACTTTGTGGATTTGACAATAGGCCGTGATCTAATCGAGCCTAGGAGCGCTCAGCGTACTATAACCACAACCGAGAAGGAACTTAGGGTACCTTGTGGCAGTCAAGTCAGAGGTGAAGTTCGGGAGTCAATACGGAGGCGAATCTAACGCACAATCGTCGAATCGTGACACCGATTTTTTTGAATCTGTAACGTAGGAGGTACTAGATAGCCGCCGCTAGTGACTAAAAATACCTTGCATGACTATACAGCGGCTTTATCCGACCAAACAGTAGAACAATCGTGAAGGTTGATGCATTGATGATGCAAGCCAAACTCTACATGTTGCGTGCTGTCAGTGAGGTATATTAGGCTTACAACAAGCTATGATGTTACAGATGAAGCTAGATGCGTAACACAGGAGCGATCCTATGTATACAGAATGAGCGAGATTTGGCTGTGTTTGCGCAGTAGTTCCGAGTGGCGTCCAAAAGGGATGCAACGCGAGGCAGAGGGACGAGGGGAGGCTTTGAGGAAGCGCGGGGTGTCCAGGAAGAGTCGGTCATATAAGATTATTGCCACATTGTATGACCACACCAGTCCAGGACCCGCTTCCCTTGTGCTTGAAGAAGCCTAGCAGGTCTAGTGACCGTCAAAAAGGCCTTTCCATATCTCATCAACTGGTATATCCTGCTCATGACCTTCAGACACTGAAATCGCATCTGTGAAAGGCTAGGCTACTTACGGATGTTGGGGGACTTGTGTGAAAATCATCCGTATGGCCCGAACAAGCACGAACAAATAACTTGAAGTGAGTTATCATCAGTGTTGTACGGTCGGTGACCAGGAGTGACTAGTGACTAGTCAAGGCCAGAAGTACGGTCAAAGGTCGGGAAAAGTCACTGACCGTTTCTGACCTGACCTTAGATGAGTGTGGGAATCGGAGTTAGTGCCACATATTCTGAACCGCAAGCTTTCCCCTTTTTCCCCTGACACGACCTCCTAGCACCCTCTCCCAACGATTATACCACTACTGTAAATCATCGAGCCAATATTGTAGCGATGTAGGACTAATAGAAGCACCATACATACTACTCATCATCCCCCAGATAGAAATAAGGTACAATGATTCATGGTAAGAATTATAATTGACAGTTCCACCTATCAGTCCATCCATGCCTCCCAATCGTTCCTGGTAGCGAGAGCTCTTCATGGACCATTTCCGAGCGAAGTTGAAGTACGATGATACATTTCAGGGTGATAAACCCAAGGCAATAGTCCTCCAAACATTGGATATCTAGCTATCAGCGCAGCTCTTCCCGCAGCTTTGATGAGGAGCTCGAGTTGTATGACATGCTCAATTTGGATGCATATGGCGAGGTCGACAACCAGGTACTTGATACTACGTTAGATTCAATTTTATTATCATAATAATTACTGTTTAAACTACCCCCTGAAATCCCTGGCCTCCCTTGATCCCCTAACTGAGCTGCCTCCGACCGTGGAAAAGGTCAGGTCAAAGTTAGGTCGTAAGGTCACTGACCTTTCCGACCTTGCGACTTTTCCTGACTTTACCCTGACCTGCACAACACTGGTTATCATCACATCTACAGCTACAGCTGTAACATCCCACTAATCCATTTAAGGTACATTATATTCAAGACTTATTAGACGGCTCTAATAATCTACACTATCGACTTCTTACCAGGAACACTGTCTGAAAACTCGGCCATGAAAGTGGGCGCCAGTATACACGATCTTCCCGTCGAATTGCTGGTCTACATCCTAAAATATATGGTGGGAATGCCAGACAACCCACGGGTTGGAGGACCAGCATTTTTCCAAGCATGCTTTCTCACTCGCATTTGCAAGAAGTGGCGGGATATCGTCATCAATACCCCTGCTCTTTGGTCGACCTTCAATGGGAGTCTGACTACCCGCGCCATTAGTCGTGCGCTGGAACGATCCAAGAACGCCCCTCTACAACTTTTCCTTTGTTACCCTGTCCGATTCAACCCCGAACTCCAATATGCTATCTCAAAGCTCTACGCTCAGACAAATCGCATTGATATCCTAGAACTTTGTATCGACGAGCAAGTCTGGCCGTCATCATTAACCCAAGACCTTTGCAAGGAGGCGTTGTTGCTCGAGCGTATCTGCATGCACCGATTTATCCCCACTCTGCGACCTGTGGTTGTTCCATCTAGCCTCTTCGGCGGAGTCCGCCCTCCTAAACTTCGCCACCTTTCCTTGCGGTTCTGCCAGGTACTCTGGGATTCACCCTGGCTTCGTGATCTACAGGTGCTCGAGATAGAGCTTGGGGCCGCCCAGCAACGTGTAGGCTTTCCGCAGCTCCTGGACGTATTGCGCGCTATGGAATCCCTGGAGGTCTTGACGTTGAGCGGATGCCTGCCTGTTGAGGTACCCTCGAAAATCTTGGACAACGCGGTTACCCTTAGTCGACTACGCAAGCTGACCTTGCTGTCCGCTGAAGCGGATACATGTGCTGCGTTTCTGCACCTCGTGGATTGTGCACCATCCCTACTGCGTATACGCGCTGAAGCGTCACCTTCCAAACTCCAACCGTTCTTGGAAGCATGCACCCAGCGGCTTCGTTCGAACCGCGTCAATACGTTGAAGATCGATGGGACATACAGGCAAGGCGCCAACATCCAGCTACAAGGATTCTACGCTACAGATGTCGAGCGGCCGCGTCCTGTGTTCGATATCCACGTAACCATGGGTATCCGAGAGCCCCCTTTGCTGATCGTCTCGCTTGGAACAGATGTACTCCCAATTACCGACGTCCACACGCTGCACCTTTACACAAATGCAGTCTCGTTGGACGAGAGCTGCATGTCTTCCCTATCCAAAAACCTTCCCAACTTGCGAACGCTCGATATCTCGCACGACGCCGATCTTCATGCCTGGATCGCGTTCGTGCTGGCTGATGTGCCCTTTGCGAAATTGGGAAAGGTGCAGCAGCCAGCTCTGTGGATGCCTGATCCTGAGGTTGTTCTCGATCTTCAAAAGACGATAGAACAGGAAGTAGTGTTCGTAGAGCGGAGCTTGGATGCAGGTCCACCCCGAGATTACGACCATCGTTGGGCCATGGACTGGTAGTCTCATATTGCAGCTGGATTTATCATATATTGGAAGGCGATTAACGTGAATACAGGCGCAAACTCCCGTTGCTACGTAAAAAGTGTGGCATGTAGATACGACATTCTCTCTATATCGGCGACTGACCTCGCAGGAAGATGGATACCTCCCGAGCGATGATATTGTGCATCTTGGAAGTCGGGTGCAGGCCATCCACGAGAAACCCACTGACGCCTGACCCTCTTTTCTCTGCGCCGAATTCGTACTTGTCTGGGTTGTCCATAACGTCGTGAAAGAGGTCCCATGCAGAGAAGATCATGACAGTGGCCTCGGGATTGGCGGTGGCAAACGATGCCGCGCCATCCTCCAGGAGTTTATTCCACGTCTCGTAGTCCTTATTGGGTAAGTTCTTGCCTGGGCGCAGATGAGTAAGGGGAAAGTAGGCGATTCAGTTCCGATGTAGGGCTGATGTATGGATGCCATACCACGGAAGCGTCCGACAGGTGGCACATTGATTAACAGGAAGTTACGCCCGCCGGCGCTATAGATTGCATCTTGGGCTTCAAAGTAAATCTTCATGGACGCAACGAAGCGGTCGGCCCGGATCAGTCTGATTCTTGGATCATAGTTCAATAGGGTTATCTCTACACATTGATCAACTCACGCGCAGTCGTTGATTCCCACCCAGGTCACTTGAGTAGATGTTGTAGACATTCAAGGACGTCGGATAGGAGGGAGACGCACTGAAGATTGTATCGTTTGAGTTCCATCGTGCCCATTCAGGCTTCCACCCAGCAGACCCGACGCGCAAGAACCCATCATTAACCTGTTGCACCACTCCGTGTACAGTCGCCCCTCCCTTTGCGTAATCATACACGAGCACCGGAGACGGTCCACTAGCAGGATCCTGGGAGGCGCTCTGAGGGCCGTGCTCGGTGATGAGATGCCCTACCCAGTTCGCCTGCCCGTCTTCGGCGTACGTATACCCTGGGAAGGGCACCCCGAGTGGATGTTCCGAGGTCGGGTGAGGCGATTGATTGGAGTACCCAACGTCACAATACGATGCACCGCTGATAGATGAGTTGTGTTTATATATCGAAGGAGTATACGGACCGTTGCAAGGAGGGAGAACAATCAGCTTCTACTAAATTGCCATTGATTAATGATAGTGATGCAACAGGCGTACAATACGACGATGTGCTTGAGATCAGGACTGTATCCCGGCCAGTATTGAGCAATCCCAAAGACTGTCGAGGGAAATGATAGTCTAGAGGCTGGGGAGGCCATGCAGTAATTGGTTTGAAGGGGAATTCGCCCCTCTCTGGTGTTGTAATTTCAGATTCCGCGACGTAGGCGCTTACGCGCGGAATCGCAACGCGTTCAAGAACCAAAATGCTACGTTGCTGAGGGATAGATGACTTCGCAGGTGAGATTGGACTCAGAAGGACCCTTGATAAGATGATATGTTCATGGAACATTACCACAGCGCCGAGTGTCATCATTGCAGTCCCTGGCTCCTTGGAGTGACAAGTCGCCATGCGCTACTCCCGCGTTATCGACTCCCAAACCCGAGTCGAGACGTATCTCCAGTGCAGTAATCTTTTAGGCTAGTCCGCGTCTCGAACTAGCGGTGGCCGCTGCCACTGCCATAGCACGGGGAACGGGGAACGAGGGAACGAGAGCCCACATGGTGCTCCGACTGCGGCCTATGCTTAAACAAATCGCGAGCTGGTAAGTAAGGGGAGTAATGATGACCGTACTTTTTTGTTCCGTGCTTTTCGAGGAAATGACACGTTCATCTTGCTCTCATCAATGAAATGTTGATGTACAGATGTTGGCGCGCAATCGGTGCGGTATCGGTGAGAGAATATCGACCAATTGACTGGCCTGACCGAAAGGACATAGGCGATATCTCCCGGGACGGGTGCCTGCGAGTGAGTTCCTGAGTGCTTTTAATAGCCAACATGGCGCAACAATGTGTTAGTTCATGCAAAAAGACATGTGGTGAATAATAGGCGCGCGACATACCGTTGCTAGTAGCGGTTGAATATGATCGATTGATCATTCGTCTTGTGGACTATTCGCAAAGTTTGGAGGTCCTGAAAGGTGCAAATTAAATGCAACGTACGCGTGGGAGTGTCCGCTAAGGTGGGTCAAAACACTCGAGCGCAACTTGACCGCACGCGTCGGTTGAGATCCATTCCTTGGCCGAATCCATTCAAGTACAAGGTGCCATCAGCTCCCCGGCACCAATCTACGTTTGCAGAAGAGAATAATTGGCCACCATTCTCGGGGATTCGTAGCCTGGGTATGGCGTCAAACATGGCCTCCAAGTAGCTATTAATGGCGACTTGTGGGCGCCCACCGTTGGGTTTAAGACAAGTCTCCGCTTGGCAACGGTGTTGCATGAGGTGCAAATCGCGGAAGGTTTTCTGCATTGCATCACGTGACTGCGCCTTATGGACTGGTGCGCGCTCATCCTGCCGTCTGACAATTTTCATGCTACTACAGGATATTCGCGTGGCCGTTAATATGGTTTCTACGCGCCACCGAGTCTCGAGACTACGAAAATGCTCCATGTTTACCCGGCTCGAAGTTGACCAGATTCACCAATCATGAGGAGAACATATCATATCCCCACTTGGCCTCCGGCATCGGTGGATCTGGAGCAAGTGTTTTCAGATTCCACGAACCCATGGATTCTATTGCCAAGATCAAGTTACCGCATGGTTAGTCCCATGCCACCCCTCAAGCTTATCGACAGAAGCCCCATGTAGCAGAGAAGCAACCCAGTCTTATAAGAAATTCGTGGACCATTCCGGCTTTCTGTACGCTTCTTCCCCAGAAGACCGTCCTCTTGTTGCATCATGTCGTCTCCAGATGCCAAGGTTCACCCCACCGACAACAAGGTCTACCCCCATGACAAGGAGGTCGTCGACCAAGCCCTGGACCGCGTCTCCTCAATTGACGAGAAGAATATTGAGGGCGACGGGTCGAGCTACATCGATGGATCTGAGGGTGTCACCCAACATGATTTGGATACTTTGAGACACGTAGCGGATACTCTGCCCTACACGGCATGGTTGGTTCTCATCGTCGAATTTGCGGAAAGGTTAGCATCTTATCTTCGGGCGCTGAAGGAATTATTGACCGTTTGCTTTGCAGATGGAGTTACTACGGTACTACAAACATCTTCAACAACTACATTCGTGCACCTCTTCCAAGAGGCTCGAAGGATGGTCGTGTCATCTTTGATGTGGCCAACGGTGTCGCTGGTGCCCTCGGTCAAGGTGTTCAGAAGTCCTTTGCTCTCCGTAAGTATACGTACTCCTTACATGGTGGTATCCTCTGACGTTATATTTAGGTACTGTGAGCGCCCCACTGGACTTCATTCTCATCTGTTGCTGAACACCTATCTAGTTCAACAGCTTCTGGGTGTACGTTACCCCCTTCCTCGGTGGCATCCTTGCCGACACTCTGTGGGGGAGATACAAAACCATCATGATCTTTGCTTTGGTCTGCTTGTGAGCGCATTCCCTCGCCATGGCTTCTATCATTTATCATTCAATCAATTTCGAAGGTCTGGCCACATTATCTTGGTTGGATCCGCTTCCCCATCTGCACTGGCCCAGCCGAATGTATCCCTCGGCCTTTTGGTACTGTCGATCACCATTATGGTGGGTACATGTCCATCCTGGCAATAGTTCTTCCCGTTGACCTCCAATACGCTGTAGGGTCTCGGTGCTGGGTGCATCAAAGCCAACGTCTCTCCAATGATTGCCGAGCAGTACACAGGTCGCTTGCGCAAGGGTGGGTCATCAAGTCGATAACCGTGTGTTTAACATCCCTGACTGTGTTTCAGAAACTCTTCCTTCGGGCGAGGTTGTTATCAAGTCGCCCACTCTCACCATTCAGAGTATCTACCTCTGTGAGCATCAAGCGTTAGGTTGATTCATAGTTGTCTAACATACCACTCAAGGGTTCTACGCCGGTATTAACTTGGGCTCTTGTGGTGCCATCTCGGCTTCGTTCCTCGCTCGTGACAACGGTTACTGGACGGCGTTCTTGGTCCCCACATGTATCTTCGCTTTGGTGCCATTGGTTCTAATTGCTGGAAAGAACCAGTATGTGAAGACCCCTCCCCGCGGCTCCGTTATCCTTGAGGTTCGTATCCCGGTTGAATATGTCGAGCAAGCGGCTAATTTTCAATTACAGAGTGTTCGTGTCATCACAATGTGCATGTCCCACCGCTGGTCCATCAACCCCATCCGCACCATTCAGAACTTCCGCTCTGAAGGATTCTGGGATACTGCTAAGCCTTGTATGTCTTGTCTGGTACTAAATTGGTAACATAGCCTGACATGATTACACTAGCATTCTACGAGCAGGGCAAAGCGCCTGTTAGAATTACTTGGGACGACGACTTCGTGGGCGAGGTTCACCGAACAGTCAAGGCTTGCCAAGTTTTCCTGTTCTTCCCCTTCTTCTGGCTTTGTGAGTTCTTCTTTGCGTCGCTCAGCCACCGCCGTATTTATCCCTTCTAGGCTACTCTCAGATCGACGGAAATCTTGGAACAATGGCCGCTGGAATGACGCTGCACGGCACACCCAACGATCTTATTCAGTGCGTTCTTCATTGTTCTACGTGGGGTGACTTTCTAACCATCCATGTAGGAATTTGAACCCCATCAGTATCATCGTTATGATTCCCATCTTCGACAAGATCATCTACCCGTTCCTCCGCCGCCGTCACATTAACTTCTCCCCCATCAAGCGTATCTACGCCGGTTTCCTCGTCGCTGGCCTCGGTGAGCTTCTTTTCATCAACGCCATCAGACCCCTTGCTAACCGGCCATGCGCTTGTCAGCCATGCTTTACGCTGCTATCCTCCAGAAATTCCTCTACGAGAAATCCCCCTGCCACGACAACGAGCCCTCCGCATGTGTCAATGCTGATGGTGACCCATGGCCAGCTCCAGTCAACGTCTGGGTTGTCTCTGGACCATATATTCTTGTCGGCATGGCTGAAATCTTCGCTTCTATCACCTCCCTCGAATATGCCTTCACCAAGGTAAATTCCCTTCCTATGGTACAAGACGTTGTACTGAGCAAACCACCATTAGGCACCCAAGAGCATGAAGTCGGTGGTCATGGCTTTCTCCCAGTTCCAGACCGCCCTTTCGTCCGCTCTCAACTTCGCTCTCACTGCAGTCAATGTCGAACAGAAGTTCACATGGCTCTTTGGTGCGTTCGCGGTGACTGCCTGGGTCATCGGCACGATCTTCATGATTAGGTGTGTATATTCGTGTCCATTGACTATCGCTTGTATTGATAACCCTTCCTATCAAGCTTCCGACAACTGGACCGCATGGAAGAGCAACTGAATGCCATCGGTACAGGACAACGCGACGGCTTCAAGGAAGAGGAGCACTAAACTCGTCATTACCTCACGTTCTTGCTATATCTTGGGCCCATCTTGTCATTTGCTTTCGGGCTACTCACGACTCGTGCTCGCTACATCCATGCTCATATTATAATAGTTTCCCTGATAGTGTACAACAATATACAATTGGAACACCCTTTCGTAGGATCAAGGTCGTGTAAGGTACACACATAAGAGACGCAAGAGGATAATAAATAGAGAAGGCGAGGTAAGTATCAATCTATCTACGAGACAGAACCACTGCTGTCGATAACACGCCCACGAGTCCTGCAAGAAGGCCAACGACCGTCCAGCTTGTGTAGACGTCGAAGTGCTCGGCGACGGTCGATGTATTCGTGAGTTTGAATCCTCGAAACGAGTATAGTACAATTCCTATCACGAAGGAAGTGACGCCATAAACCAAGAGGACGAGCGGTAGGGACATGATGATGTTACGGCTCTGTGATGCGAGTTAGACCACGCCCTAATTTCACCTGCTACGCAAGACTCACCGAAAGCGCCACCATGCCCTCGCCACCACCTACTGCAATCGATATTGGGCGCTCCAGATCTGCCTTGTATCTGAATAGCGCAACAACTGAGGCAGCCATGCTAGTTGTGGAGCAAAGGATCGCCACAAGCGCCGTAACCCGCGCGATACTATCCAACCCTGGTAAAGAAAGGAAGGTTACAGATGCACTTAGGACAATCGCAGCCTTCCATCAAGAGATTGTGGGTCATGCGAGTAAAAAAGCATATCGCTTGTGCTCACCACAAGACAAGTGCAGGCCCCCACCACAATGATTGGAGCTCCATTTCGGATGCCGCTCTCTTCGTCGAGGCGATGGTGCTGGGAGCGATTGAAAAAGAAGTAAGGGATGCCCAGGCAAAGGCAACTCAGTACGAAGTCGGAAAGAGCCTGTCGGAAAGGAGTCTTCCTCCTTGCCTTGGCCAGACCGTCTTTTGCAGCGTCCTGTGGCAAAGGCCTATCCGGCCGGAAGTACTCTTGGCGGGATTGAGCTGAAGGGACGTTAGGTCAAAGCAAAAGTAAGGGTAGTCGGACTTACCGACGCGAAGGAGAATGCGAGACACAATGCGAGTGTGAACGGTATTTTGGAGGGCCTGATCGCTGGGGTTGTCTTAAATGGATTTAGGAGGGAACCTCAGGTTTCAATCCATCTAAAGCTCACCTCCGAAGGAGCGAAGAAGGTTGGTCAGTTCGTTGCATTCCTCTTGAGAGAATGGAGGAGGAGGTCCCTGCGAGCGAGGAAGAAGACGGTCTAGCATGCCCAACAATCAATATCGGACTTGGAATCGACATTTCGTACATTGCTTACCTGTATAAGACCAGGTCAAAACCTCGACGGCCTCCGTCTTCGCGTTGGGGGGAAGGGTGACATGGGCCGGATGGGCTTCCATGAACGACCAGTACCTGTATTCTACATCAAGGCCTGAATGGATCGTTGAGACTTGACTTTCAGCTAAGGAAAGGCTACATACGGTCTTCATCTTCGATGCGGCTCCCGTCACGGCCATCGGGAGAGTTATACGTCAAGATCCTCCGCTTGTGGTCGATCCAGCATTTGACGAAGTCGTCCTTGCCACCTTTCTTCTTGGACTTGACGCCGCTTTCTCTCAGCCAAATCTCCCATCCGTTGGAGGCGACGGTCCCGTATCCGTAGCTCGAGCCTCCGTCTTTGCGCTCCAAGTACTTGTTGACGACGTCGAGGTTTTGGATGTTGCGGAGGTCGATGTCCGTGGTGACTCGAAGTGTAGGGTGAACATAATAGAAAGACGAATCGGGCAATATATATTCGATCCAACCGAATTGGTGGAGAAGAGGGTGGGTAGTGTTCCGACTGGAGACGTCGGCCACTGGCATTGGAGATATACCAGCCATAGAAAGTGGCTGTGGAGAATGGGCACGGGAAGAGAGCAACGGTCTCGTTTCGCTACATCCGTGTTAGCACGGGAAGCATAAGTGATTGAAGAGGACGTACTCCATCTCATGTTCGAAGTGCCCACGAGCGCTTGGTACCAAACTGTTTGTCGATTGATTTGGGATAACTTCGTGTACTGCAGGTAGCGGCATGACCAAAGTTCCGAAGACATCGTTGTGAGACTCTGCGGGGAGCACGCGAGGCTGCTCTGCAACGTATGGACTGTGGAACTTATGAGACCGGATGTCACACGACATAGAGAAAGGAAGAGGACAAACTTGGGCATGACAGCAGCCTGAGGCATATGGGGAGGGTCGGCGAAAGGATCCTCTGCGGTCTCGGATGGTGCCCTTTGAACGATCCATCTTAAGATGAAATGTATTCTCAAAATAAGAATGCAGACGTACTTCGAGCTCACGCTCACTGATCGACTCCTTCTGCCTTCAGTCGGACTCTCGACGTAGGTTCGAATTGGGGTATGGACATCACCGTTGGTACTGGGTGCTCTGGAGCCAATGTCCACTACGATAGGCGTGTTGACGATCTTGACGTGTTTCTCTTCTGCTGGGGCATCTGTGTGAATAGCTAGGGATGCTCGGCTTGACTTGGCGGTGAGGCGGCCTTGCGTAGGTTGACGCATCGAGGAACGGCTAGATGGCCTTGTGACGCGACCATTGCCTTCATGTGCAGGTACTGGCATTGGCATGTACGCCGTTGCCGGGTCTCGCGGAGCGCCCCATGGATTCTCGTGAACATCAGCAGCGATTTCTTCCATCATGGGACTATGGATGTTGTGGATGTCTCTTTCGGGATCGGGGGAAGGATCCAGAGGAATGGCGACTGGTGCTTCGGTAGTGCTGCGTTCCGCGGTGATGGGCAACGCGAAGTAAGACGACGATCCCGCTTTGGATTCATCGACGATGGAGAGAGGTGGTTCTGCAGCGGGCAAGATGATTGGCGTGTCATCGGTACCGATGGCCTCCTCGATGTGGTCGTCCTCTTTGTGAAGGACTGGGGTGTCTGCTTCTGGTGCGAGTAAGGGTTCATGTGCAGTCGGTGCGGTCGGTTCTGCGACCTTCTGTTCATTGGTCATCGTTGACATATCTTCTGGTTCATCGGTGAAAGCGCCTGGGCCAGCCGCTGCCGAGGAAGGGAGAATGGAGGGAGGTACGTATTCTGATTCTGGCTTTGCGACCTCGTCCTCAACTGGAGGCGTACTTCCTGCTGTCACGGCGGATTGAGCTAACGGCGATGGCCCGACTGGTGCTTTTGACGCTGCTTCTTCCTCAGATGCGGCGGCCTCCCGAGCAGGGCTCTCTGCGATAGGGCTCGGTACATGGGACTGCTCTGCAGTATGTACAGGCGGTGCCTCCAAAGAGGTGCGGCCTTCTGAGAGATTTGATTGGGGAGGGGGAGAGCTGGATGCGCCGGTATCGATCCGATGCAGAGAGTTGTTATCTCCTTCAGACGATGCACGGGAAGGCGTACCAGGGCGCGAGATCGACAGAAGTGTGGACGAACGTCGCACGGCGGCGCCCATGCGGCTGCGCAGGGATTTGCTCATGATGGATTATTGAGACCAGTACTTGGGTGTACTTTGAGTTTCGATGGTAGCAAACGAGGGCTAGGAAAACGAGTGCTAGTGGACTGCAATGCCTAAGTGGCGGGGAGTTGTGAGGCATCGACTGCGCTAGCAGGAGGGTATTATCTACTTTGCCAGGTGGTTTCATCGAGGCAGACATGTTGTTCGCTCCGATGGTAAGATGAATTGGGGTCACCGTGAAGAGGCGTGGGGGATCCCTTTCCCTGAGATAACTAACCTCTTACACGTTCCACAGCCGCACTTATCGTGCTGCCTCGTTATTATCAGACAATGAATGTGTGATGCACGAGGCGATTATGATCGCTTAAGTCTTCGGGAGCCAGGAATGGATAATCTAGGCAACAAAAGGAATGCAATCAGCGAATTCTAGCTGGAACGGTGATCAACGCACCTCATATTGCAGGTCAAACCTGTGCTACCACGGGTAGGACACAACCGCAGAAACATGAGGCTGCTGAGAACATCTCCATTATGCAAGAACGATGCCGACTCAAGAGCGTATATTTGAGGGGCTATCAGAGCGGCGATCGTGAGTTGACGTTGATCAATTTGTCTCTTTTTGTTGAACCGTTGTCGTTGTCGAAGGCAGCAGAACTTCGCAACCCCCTGTGTGAGTCCTGTGATCGAATCAGGTCCTCTACAGGAGCCCCTGAATGCGCGAATAAAATAGGTTCACGATATATTGAATTACAAGATGATAGGGCGAGGATATTACAGCAAGATAAAGCGAAGAGATGGGAAATACAACGACAGGAGAGTACACGATATAACAGATTGATGAAAGAGGATACGGCAAGTTCAACTGGAACAATATGCTGGTGTGCAGCAAATGCAAATTATGTTCGAGGTCTTTCAGGACCATGAGCGGGACCATCCCCACTCCCAACAGATAGCAAATCATCGTCATCGAACGATCCGAAACTGCTCAAATGATCGCTGGCGTGCGTAAAAGAAAGCTCCGATGGACCCGAAGAAGCAGTCTGCAAGTCGGAAAGGAATGACATCGAGGAGGATGGACGCGAAACCAAGTCGCCCTCGTCTGAAGAAGGAGCGCGAGCAGTAAATGAGAGGGACGGTATCGTTGGGGAGAACGCCAAAGGTGCGATAGGCGAGTTCGGAGAAGATATGTTGAGCTGAGGCTGAACGGGGGAGGTAAAGGTAGATATGCTTTGCATTGGTGAATCGTTGGGCGAGGAAGTTCCAGACGAGGGTTCACGACCATATGATAAAACAGGGGGAGGGGAAGCTGCCCCAACGATAGGGGATGGTTGATGTGTTATATTACTCGGTTCCCGTGCTGGGACATTTGAGTAATAGGATGCGTGAGAGAAGGGTGTCGAAGACCGGGACCAGCTCCCAACGCTGTGGGCGTCAGCGTTCAGATCCTGAGTAATAGTGCCTTGATTTTCGAAGCGCTTAGCCAGGTCGATCTGCTGCGCAACCCACGGACCAGCGCTGAAAGAAGGCGTGTCGGATGATGCTGAAGTGTGGGATTCTGCAAGAAATGTGGGGCCCGTGCTAGGCGATGCTGTGCGCAGCGTCGATTGGGACGGCTTGCGGGGGAGCGCTGTAGTGAATGACTGACCGACATTGCGACCGATTGAGGATGTCGGGGTGGACGGCTCGGAGTCGCCAAAGAGAACGTGTGTGGGGGTTATTGTAGAATAGGGGATAGAGATGTTGGACTAGGCAAAGCGTTAGCCACAGTTCGTTGTACCTCTGATATCAAAACGTGAACCAACCTCGTCTAATGTATTGAACGACGTCGACGCAGCAGGCTTCCTTTGCCTGAGTACGTTTGATCCCGTTTCGCTGCGCCATTCTTGCAGCTCTTTAGCGACAAGATTCTCGAGCTCGAATGAGGATCGGCGGCCCCCTCTCTTCTTATCCCAGCCATCATCGTTGTCAGAGCCCTCGTCGCTGGAATCGTTTGGCTTGTTCCTGCGGGTCCTACTCTCAGGGTGCTGAGGGGCGGAGACTGGCCCCTGTTTCCTTAGTCTACCGGCCTTGCGGCGTGCGATGAACTCCTCTGCCCAGAGCTCTATCTTCGGAGCGATATGGGGCTCGTATACGAACTATACAGCCATCTCGTTAGTATCGCGATGTTACTAGGAATGATGAAATATCTAGGCACCTCATGGAAGGCGTATCCAACGGCTGCTACGCCAACGAAGGCAAGGATGTAGACACCTGGAGCTGGCATGATGATGGACCTCGCAATGTACTGGTATAATTGCAAGGTAGTAGCTGGTAAGTAGCAAAGGGGCGCTCGCCCAGATGCACAGCAATTCGATTTGGTAATAGATGTCCGGGATATACTGAGGCCGCCGTAAAGCCGGTCCGCATCCATCCCATTCCCCGACATCCCGCCGGGCGCTGCATCCTCCTTATGACACGACATTATTTATTTCTTCAATGCCATCCAACGTTTTGTACGACTTATAGTGTTCAGGATGGTATACGAAAAAAAAGAATAATAAGCAAGGTCGACTGGGGAACATGGGAAGTAGAAGAAGCGATGCACGCTGCCAAATTACGTCTTTGATTGACTCAACTGCGCGTTCGAGATGGAAATGGGGTGACTGCGCGGCAGCGGCTAAATGGCCCCCTCGAATATGTCTGCCTTGTTTCCCAAGTAGAATACAGGAATTTGGTCAAGAGGCGCGTCTACGACAATCCTTCTACCGCCCTCGCCCATGGGCGTATCTGTCCACCTGCGCCGGTGAGGAGTTTGTATGAGCTTACGACCACCCGCTAATTAAGTAACGAGGATAATACGTACCAGTGGGTCCAGCTAAGCCCCTCCTCGATCATCTCAGAAGTCAGGCGAGGGAGGTAAACCTCTTGCACCAAGGCACCTTCCGTCCCTACTGGCGCAACCAGAATCCGAGGCCCTATGAGAACTTCAGTAAACAGAGGGATGAAGGGAGCATCGAGAGTACAGGGTCCTTACCAAACATGAATTCATGAACGATCAGAGGGTCGTTGACCGCAGTACCGTTGACTACGTTTTCGTCTGACAAAGTGAAATCGTAGTACAACGGCCTCATGATTGTTCTCCCTGTGTCTTGGAGCATTTCGAATAGTTGTTTCACGTATGGTATCAGTTGATATCGAAGGGAGATATACTTGATTTGGCGTTAGACTACAATGACGGGTACAATTTATATTTATTTGCTTACATTTTTAATGATCGCGAAGTTGGCATCGCCGTATGACCAGGGCTATAGAGTACGAGTCGCAGCATTGTTAGATCGACGAGATATGATAGGCGAGAGGCTCACTTCATTGGGACAAGGGTTGGCGTGTGGTGGTGATGAACTACGCGCCAGGCTACATGTCCTCGTTCTATCTATGCCTGAGATCCTGAATGATGCAGAAAGTTGCAAGATCATACCCATGGACGCGTGTCTGAAGATTGTCTTAGTATCTTGAAAGTCAGATGCACACTAAACATACAAACGGTAGGAATACTCCCATTGAGAACCATCTCACAAATAACTCTCTCCCCTGAGAAGATACGTTATCAGTTGCCCGCTAGGAGGATAATAAAGTGTCACACTCACGGAATCGGTATCAATATCCATACCTGCGAAGCCACCAATATCTAGTGTCCAAGCAGATATACCGGACGCAGCGACAGAAACGCCCGAAGTAATCTGTTGCAACAATACGTCAAACCGGCTATCTGTATCACCGCTCCAGAGATATGAGCAGAATCGTTGGCCGCCAGCAAAGGTGCTCCTTGTTAAGGACATAAATTGGCAAGAAGCTGGCGTTGGACCAGTATTGCTGTTCTCTGTGAGGTTTTGGAGACCTTCGTCGATGGCTTGTTGGTGGAACCATGGGTACATTTTGCCTGTGCCTTCCTGTGTGCCTATGAAATATTGTGCAAAGGATCTGGGGTAAGGGATGGCGCTGATGTTTTGTCCGTCTAAATAATAAATAAAAAGGCGGAACCTGAGTGAAACGGCTGTGACTACTCACTATTTTCGAAGGGCTCGCCCAATGTGCCACCTGTAATACCGCAAATGCCTATGAGCGCGTGAAGCGGTCGGCAGCTACTACTCACCATCCGCCTGATCAATCCAAAAGTTGTGTATTCCCTTCGAGAAGTAGCTCTCATTTAATTGCCTCCCTGTGTATGATGAGACCAGAGACACTTCTCATCAATTAGTAGTGAAGACCTCACATAGAAATTCGCGAGCAGCCGGATTGGTGGAGTCAATCAACCGTGTGTATACGCCCTCGAATGAATCCTGCACGCCAGGCCCATCCCTGGCGGTAGCCAAAAGGCCTTCCTCTTGCAAAGTATTGTAATTTACGGAGAGGTCTTCGACACTTGGCCACAGCGAAACCATGAGCTCTGCACCAGTAAGTCGCTTGACTTCGTTCACCATGCTCTGGGGGTCTGGCCAAAATTCTGGATCGAACGACCTGTTATCGCATTATCATATGACGCTTCCGACTCTTTGAACCACGAGAGGGAGAAGATGCGTACCAATCGCCTTGAAACTTCCAGTTAAAGAAATCTGTAGAAACCGTTAATACCTTCGGACTTCAAACGTTGCTAAGATGTACGTGCCGATAACGATCAACGAGACATTGACTTGCTCGTCATGGAACCGCTGCGCCAAATCAATAACTTGAGATTGGTTGTAGTATCGCAATTTGGATTGTTGATAGCCGAGGAGAAAGTCCGGGGGCGTAGGCTGTCGACCTGCGGGAAATGGGGCTAAGTTGAGGGACTGCGAATGAGTGGAGATAAAGTGGTCGAACCCGTTACCGCAGTATATTGTTGCTGAAGGGAGTCGTAATCTCCCGGGAGTGCAGTCGTTCTGGAGGTTTTATGGCCGGTTAGTACAGTTTAAACCAATGTCAACAACGTTCTCACATCCAGTAGTCTACGACGTTTGCTTCGCTTGCCACAAACCGAGTGCGAATCGGGCTAAATTCTGGTCACGCTTAGAGAAGGGCAAGCTTCGCGAAGAGCGCCGCGTACCGATTTGCCCCTGGCTGGGCATGTTAAAGAAGTGGAGATATCCCTGCGGAAAAAATTTCGATGAGATGTTGAGTCCGTAAGTCAGGGTTTCCCTACCTTGTTTGACATGTATACGGGCAACCGCACGTTGGAGTTGAAGTTGACAAAGTCAATGACCTGACCTTTCTTGTTGACAGAGTGATCTTTACAGCAGGCTTGCTGACCGACACCATAGAATTGCTCGTCCGGCGTGGACGTAAACGAGAACTGGGCCTCAAAACTCGCAGCACGGAAGTCCTGACGATAATACCGAGCCTGGAGCGCCTTGGTGTCCGTATACTCTGAAATCAGCAGAGTTCTTGACCCGTTCTGCTCCACGCGAAAGAATGAGATGACGCCGTGGAGGATGTCCGCGACGAGATCGCCATTGCGAATAGTTGCACTTCCCATGAAAGGGACTTTCACGTCGTGCGCTGCGCCCTGCCCCCCTCCTGGACCTTCAATAGGTGGATCTAGGAGCGCAGAGAGCTCTTTTCCGGAAGGGTCACGCATGAGGCTTGCCCGAACTCGAAAGGCATGATTGCCATAAGGCTATGATATACATTAGAGAGCACTTGTATGGTCGAGAACAACTTACCTGGATGAGAACACGTTCAAACCCGTTTTGTAAACGTATACCTGTCGAATTAGGCTGGAAATATGGGCTCGTACTGGCAGAGGCGCTATTCGTCGCGGCCCCCAGAAGAACTGCTAACAGAAGAGTGATCATGGGTGAAGAGGCAGGGCGTATAATAGCTTCGTTTTAATACGGTAGCTCCCTTCCAGGGTTGGTTGCTTGGAGACAATTTCGAAGACATCGTGAGTTCAACTTGCTGAGGTAGCGTGTGCTCACGCCGACAGGTTAACAATGGTAGAAGAACGCACACCTTAGTTGTCATAATGAGCAACGTCTGACGCCAATAACCGGTGAAATCCGGCGGGAAAGTTCTGAAAATGTCGCACAAAGTGTCCGAAGGTTAAGATTTGTATGCCTCTGAAGATAGCTAGCGTGACAATTTGACCTTCTCGGTGACCTGGTAGTGGTAGACGCTGATAGGACGGCTATAGATGGCAGGAGACGGCCTGAAAACGGCCCTTGGCGGCCCGTTGCTTATTTTCCTCAGACCGCCAGGATCAATCGAAGCGTACCTCCCGTCGAACTGGGAGGCTGTAGCAAGGCCAAAGTCAAAGTCTGAGTATACTGAGACGAAGTTTGCACAAATTGAGATAATGTATCAGGAATAGCAGTGTTTTACAGCCTTGTGTACGGATGATTCCGGTAAACGTGCTATGAGTGAGAGATCCGATGATACAAGTGATATTACAGGAGGAAGTGTTCAGTAACAAGTAACTAGGGACAGAAAATACAACATATGAGCCTGAAATTCATCAAAGGGACGGGATTTGAATGCGAGAGACTGAGGAATCCGAACTTGTGATCAACGGTGCCGAGGCCATTTATCCGCTGCTCGTGGACGTGTAATTTTCTCCCAGCTCTTCGACAACGACTGGCATGCAAAGTTCTGACGAGTCGGGAAACTGAACAGTCAAACGCCCAGCATCGAACGTCACTCGGACCTCTTCAGCCTACCTCAACAGGTGAGCTCCTCATTTACCCGGGAATTGGATGGAGAAAAGACGTACCTGGAGACCCACAGGGAGCTCTATCTTTGCTTCCATGTAATTACTGAGCTGGGATGGGCATTGGACCTCATTCTCCCTACTCTTTCCCTTGTCAACCCTTTCACCACGAATTAACAGATCACCCGCGAGAAATATTGTCTGGATATCGGAAGGAGTGAACCCTGGGACGTCGACAATGATGTTGTCGCCCTCTAGAATTGCTGATCCGCTTTGACTCATGTTCAATCTCGTATCGAACCACTCAATTATGTAAGACCATCTAAGAGACACCATGGAACTTACCTGTTCGATGCGTATATCGGTGTGGCATGAATGGAAGGTTGCTGGGAGTGGGTGGTGGAGGGCGACATGGCTTGAGTTGCACCCAGTACCTCTGGCTTGGTATTTGGCCCTACTTCCAGTTTGCGCAAGTTTCAAGTTTGTTAATACGAAGGGTACTTACCATCAATGTTCCCGTCGTCCCCTTGGCTGATGTCGGCGAGGCTGGAGCTTCGACTCATTGACTGGCTAGTTGAGCCACGGCGTACTCTGGGGGCGGACTTGGGCAGTACTGAAGCAAGTTCATGATATATAAGTATAAAGTAAGGGATAACCTACATCCTCGGTAGATATTCTTTCGGCGCATGTTGTAGTAATAGTTTCTAAGCTTCTGTTAATGGCTCTTGTGAGTCTGTTCCGTGCCAAGTAAGCGTCAAGGCACACCTGCTCTATCTTACGATCTAATTCCCATACTGATGACCAATCCCTCAGTAAGGACTTCCAGAATTTCGCCCTCTTATCTCGGTCGCCGATAGTATTGTTGAAATCATTGTATCGATCAGTGATGAAGTGGAATTGGGCCGGAGTAGACCACTTGAGCAGCTTGGCTCTCCCTTTGGCGGGTTGGTTGTGCCACATTGGTGTCGGTGTTCGCGAATCGTGATACGTGTTGAGAACTACCCAAGTCTTACAGGAGGAGAACAGGGGTGAGATTGAAATAAGCGCTGATCCTGCTTGGTCAACGAATCAATACAGTATCTCCTTTCGACTTTTTGTTTGCCAATTAGCGCACTATAATCCACGTCGCGAAGACTGAAGTGCATGGCGCGACCGCGAATTCGTCCCGCGTCGAACGGTATGATCGATGGATAAGCCACTATTTTTCAGATATTTCCCAGTGTCCCAAGAACATGTTTGGCAGAGTACAGTGGGTGGATGTTGTGGGAAGTCATACTTCGTAGAAACTAGTGCTGGTGCAATACCGGTGGTTGGATTCGGGCCCTCCAAGGCACAGCAAACTTGACCTTCTCGGAGGGTTCCACATGCCTTGAGGCTCACATTTGCCTACCGTTTCGCAATGTCTCTGAGTTTGCGCTTTGTAGCCCACACGGCTGTTTCATACATTTTTGATGTCGTTCTGCCCGCCGCGTTGCCAACACTCAGAGGTAGCTTTCACTGCATAAACTATGCCGTTACTCATGGAGCCTACTCAGAACTTTTTCGCACCTGGGATACTCATGCGACGATGTTAAAAGCGTGTTGAATGCCCTGGCGGACGCTCCTGTCCCGTGGGTAGAGCTTGTACATGAAATGTGTGGCTGGAAGCTGTAGATAGCACACTTCAGCGCTGGTGACCTTGAGATTAACACAGTCGTTGTGGATTCTTGATATATATTGTAACACTAAGCTACGACGGGCCTTGAGTTTGAGCAGCGGCAAAATTCCAATAACCTCCTGATCTTGGATGTCGCTACTTCGATGGCTCTTGGAGTGGTACATCTGCTGGATACGAGGGGCCGGTACATGGCTTTTGTTACAACAGGGAGGTAATTGAGAGAATGAATCTGTATGCTACGATCAGAAGGTATTGTACAGTGCTCTGAATTGTGATGTAATGCAACATGTAGTGATGCACGAAAAGAGACACCGAAACTTGCTCAAAAAAGCTTTCAGTCTCTGCAGCTAATCACAAGGGATGAGGTGGCTCACCTTTCTGTTTAGTATTGCAGTCTTGGTTCAGGACGAAGGATTTCAATTTCCCGGGGTGTCCTGTCTTCCGTTGGACAGGTTATTGTCAACAGTCCGTTCCCCATCCATGCGCGAACATCGTCTGCCTTTTCACCACCAAAAATCAATTATATACATGGGAAGTAAGGCTCACCGGAATCACCTTCGCGAGCATCGTTGTATATTCTAGCCTAACAACCTTTTGCTTGTACGAGACTGGTCCATCTTCTGCTTTGACTAGCGCATCTTTGACGACGATGCAGAGGAATCCTGCGGAGAGGAAGACATTCACCTCATCAGCATGGTTCCCTGGGAGCACAACGGTTAGCCGTAGTGTCTTTGGAAGTAAATTCGTAGACGCTAGAATGAATAGCCTTGAGTGGGCGCTTGCTATATCTCGAGTACTATGATGAGGCGCACGTAGGTACGTGGACACTTCGTTCGCGTTCGACGGGTAGATTTTGCGGAGGCTTATGTGTATTCTTGTGTCTTCTAGTCTCCACGTTTGAACTGGTGCTATTCTCGTCGCTGTTGATCTCCACCTTGCTGCCCTCGACGCGTACATGACCCGGGAGGGACGGCGTAGATGACGTACTCCCTTAGCGACGCCAGCATGATGTCGGAAGGATTGCCCTTGGTGACCTTGTGTGATTTCTGGTTCTCCTTCTTTGCTCTAGCGAAACGAAAATATCCTTTCATTGACTACAGATATTATCAGTGATGGTCGTCATGAGAGGACCTATATCAGGAGTTCTTACCGTCTTGACATCCGAGTTTAATGTCCACTGTCGCTTCCAGGTGTCGTACACTGGTGCCAGTTGGCTCTCATTCGAATTCGGGGCTGTCGCATCGTACGCGTCCACGTATTGTGACAAGAAAGTACGTTGCTCATGGGTCCAGCGCATATCTCTCAGTAGTGAAGTTGCCGACGGTCAGGGCTTCAGCTGGGTGACTAGTTGACTCCTGGCTGGCAAGTGAGCGTTGCTTGTCACGATTATTGGGGAAAAGGGGAAGTATATAGGGGGAATAGGGAATATTCCCAGGGTGCCAAGTGCTGGACTTGCAGCGTAACCGGCTCACGGTTTCACTTCCTTCCCGATGTCATTAGAACCATGTCCCCCGACCACAACCCAAAGCCTATCAACCTCCTTCGATACCATCGTCCAAAGATTAGCCTCAGCGATGTCAAACAAATTCCTCCTTTGAGCCAGCTCTCGAAACAGTTGAGTTTTTGCAGACTTAAACGGACAGTAGCTAACAATGCAACATCTCCCGCTCGGTTTTTCGTAGATGTCTACGGAACTTAGTTTCGTATCGATTGCCGAAGCCTAAATTTGCATTCCCTCGATCGCGTTGTGCCGCTGTGCTCGTTGCTCTATTTGTTGGCCGTCACGGGGACTTGTACGTGCTGCTGAGCAGAAGGTCGGCCACGCTCAGGTCGTATGCGGGGGATACGTCTTTGCCGGGTGGAAAGGTCGATCTAGGGGACAGGACGTTCGAAGACACTGCTGTGAGTTGCTGCAGGCCATCATCTTCTCGCTAAACGAACGCAAAACAGCGGCGCGAAGCATTCGAAGAGGTATGCAAGACGGTGACCCCTCGCGTTTTATTCACCCCCGTGCAATAGATTGGCCTACCGCGCGATCGAGCGAAAGTACCACTTCTCTGCGTCCTCGAGCCCTTCTTAGCTTCTGATCAACTTCTCGTAACTCCGTGAGTGAGTTTATCCCCGTGATAGTCAGCCTAACCCCCCGGACATGCAGAGTGGTTGTCCTCATCCTCGACAACACCCTTCGAGTGAGTGAATCTGCGCTAAAATCTGTCTCCACGATCCCAACTTTGTATCTAGCCAATCCTCAACAAGGCGGAAGTCGCGTCGCTGTTTTCCCATCCTCTGCACTCGTTCCTTTCGTCTAAATCCCCCTTTCCTCACGAACCCGAATCCTTCGAACTCTCTTCTCCCCACGCATCTGACGCAGAGGGCTATCACACATCTTTCGACATCGAATGGACTGGGAGCGGTGTGAACGAAGGGTACGCCCAAAGATACGTCCGCATCCACAGCTTCTTGACAGGTAGAGAGGCTGGCGGGACGAAGCCCGTCTTCGGCCTTACTGCGTATGTCACTACGTCCCACTCTGGCACACTCTCCTTAACCCTACGACAGCTGGATGCTCATTCACGCTGCTGCCATCGGATATAATCAACGCCCGTCGTTCGAGTTGAACCCACCATCTGGCGCGCCGAGTACGGAAGCGCGAATAGCATATGCCATGCTCACAGGAGCGGCTTTGCAAGAATCCTGTCGACTCGAAGGCATCAAAGTAGACCGCGCGTTCCTTTGGTCGATCGTCGAAAAGAATCGTGTCAAGAGACGCGCCGACCAGAAGGAAGACAGAAGAATAAGTACGAGTAGCATCCGAGAGGGGTTTTTGCGACATGGACTAATGAAGGAAGGACACCCACCTCGGTGGAAGAGCAAGTTATAACATTTATGAATATTCATATGTCGCTTAAGAGCATAAATTGACCGAATACAATACACAGATGCGCTATTTGTTACACGTTGAATCCGCTGAGCACGCGACGCAGCCAGGCTACGTGTACACCCTAAGGGAAGCAAAATCGAAGAAGGCATTACTGAAACTTCCTGGGTTCTTGTTGACGAAGTCTAGAATTTATTTATTCAGAAAAGCCACAAATGACACCGCGGTCAAAGGCACAACGTTGGGGGGGACTCACCAACACAACCCGAAGGGCATCCCGATGATGAATAGGCCGAACCCGCCCAGTCTCCACCTAACGAAGAAAAAGCAGTCAAGGAGAGAAACTCTCCGAGGTAGGTGTACACTCACAGAACGTCAGGTTAATGATAATATTGTGCGCTTTGAAATGGGACGCGATATCGCATTGCGTATTCGGGAAATACGCGGAAGGAGTACCCTGACGAAACGTCAATTCAGGACCCCCACTAAGCCCAGCGCTGACCGAGTACATACCCAAGAGCCAGTGTTGACGACAGTCTGTCCGTTCTTCACATCTGCCGGTACGTTCCCTGCATTTCTGGGCCAGAACCACGCCTTGATAAAGGTGCTTGTTCGTTCCACAGCGAACCTGCGAGCGCAAATATCGCAAACGGCGATTATTGATTATTGTGGCATGGTAATATCGGGGACGTACCATCCTCCGCCGTTGCTGTTGAAGGCAGGGCCGTAGCTTCGCGAGTCGGTCATCTTCACGCCGCATCCGGCATTGCTGTTGACCGCAACGTTGCAATCATTCTGCGCGGGCGTCCTATGTAATATGTAATAGTAAGCGCCATCTGTCTTATAGGGCCGTCGAGTTACTCACCCAGTCTGGGAACGCGAAGCCGGCATCGAGCATCCTGGGTGCGTATTCCATGTAAGCCTATCGTCGCCGACACTTGTACACGCTCACTCACCAGCGCTTGTATGTAGAGTAACTTGGTTTGGACCTTTGTCATTGACGCCTTCAAGGACATCTACTTCTCCCTTCAAGAGATTTCAGTGTTTTCAAATAGGTAGAGACAATTAGACGCTTCTTACTCCATTGGGCCAGTTAGGACCGTTTTCCCATACCTGAAAGGATGGATAAGGTCTGCTCCTCAATGACACGCTAAGCCTCCACCTACCGCTGGCCAAGTTCCGCATCCTTGGGGCATATGACGAATGTTATAGCTGCGAAGGGATATATTCTTAGATACCAGCGGGGAACGAACGGGTCGTATAAGTATGGTGACTTACACCGATACGTGGGTAGTGTACGTCTTCTTGGACTGGATACGCACGGAATTCCGTCCGGGACCATTGGGGTCGAGCACTGTCTTGGAATCGGCACGCAAGATGAAGGTATCGCCCGCAGCGTAGGTGAGATTCAACCTCTGCGCCGTACTGGCATCAACGTAGTTCCTGATAAGGCGAGTTCATCATCAGCATTAACGTCCGGAATGCGACAAGTGACTGGCACTGACACTCTTCCATGTGTAGGATCCGATATAGCCTGGAAATTGAAAGTCGTCAAGAAGGCGGTGCCCAGGATGTTGTCGACGAGATTGTAGGTTGCCGCAAGTGCAAAACGAGCAGGGAGAGCGAGGATCAGGAGATTCAAAAACTTCATGGTGAGCTGGGGGGGCTGAGGACCTACTGACAATGCACGCAGTGTGCCATCGTCTTATGTATTCCACCGTCGTCTGCTATTTTTACGACACCGGCGCAAGCGAGGAGTTTGTATCCATCGTGGCGAACAATTTCGGCATCGCTCTCAGCTTCAACGGGGTCTCGTGCGTAGCAGTAGCATGCGGTCCGAGGTGCTGCTTATTGGAAATCCTGCCTTCCAGCAACACTGTGAACATGGCGCCCGACCCCTCAAAACGGATAAGTGAGTGGCATATCTCTAATGCACGGATGAATGTACACATGGAGAGCGTGCTAATAATACGCCTTTTGAATTCCTCAGACGCATCTGGCAAACGCATGATGGTTCGGAAGATTGACGAGGACATGCCAAGCTTCGTGTCGCTGCAACGCGAAAAGCCAGGAGGCCCAAAGGACGCGCGATATTCCTTGTGGAGCTGAAGAAAGATTAAGGGGGACACGGTACGTCGCTGGCACCAGCACTCGCAGCCAATGAATGCACCGGGGCACATTTTCGCCAAGGGAGCAACTCGATAGCAAGCCTCGGGCAAGACACTTTACATGAAGCTGGAGTCACGTCAGCCAAGAGCGACGGTGCCTGCATATACATGCGCTGGCATCGACTATGCAGAGAAACATGGATTAGGAAACATACACCGGCCCATCGTACGTACAGCCGGCAACAAGGCTGACCATCGGCCATTTCGGAAACATGGGAGTCGTCTTCCCGGTATTTCAGCCTCGTGCACTCGAGAAGAAGCGGAAAACGGATAAATGAACAGGTCAAATGGTAAGAAGCAACGACGTCGCGTCCGGCTCCGAGCACGATGAATGAGGCAAGAAGGATGGGTTATCGATTTATATCAGGATCGGATCAAACACAGAAAACGTTAGGGCATCTGTCAAACCCGGCGATGGGTCGAAGGAAGAGGAGACAGGATAAGAGAACTCGCACAAGAAGTCATGATTCAGAGGATTTGGGGCTACCGTAGTCATAATTTTAGACAACACAGCAAGTACTCATGAAACGGGACTTGGTTTATAACTCCTAAACACCGTAATCTAGTAAACTGAATAGTCGGAAAGTTTATGTACAAGATCAAACCAGAAGCCAGCTGCGCGGCAGGCCTCCAAAACGTACTTGACGCTGTGACTGAATCCAGCGGAAAAATCACACGAAATCTGCTTTACTCTAGGAAATGGTACCTCTACCTTCCGTGTGTAAACGTCCCGATCCCCGTGCTCTGTCTTGAAGAACGTCTCCAGGGCAGTGAAGAGCGAGTGCACGACCCCGTTGCCGAGAACAAGTCTCGAGAGTCTCGGAAAAGCAGCAGGGAAGACGTCCATCCAGAACGCGTACGACAAAGTCAAATATGGCGGCACGTCAAAGTGAAGCACTGTGACATGGCCGAGAGGCAGGTGCTTCATGACGCCGGCGACGCAATGTTCGAGGGCTGCTAGGTCGTCTTCTTCGCTGGTCTGGAGCAGGATGTCGATGTGGACCTCTTCCCAGGGATCTTCGAGCGAAGGAAGGTAACCAAACACCTGTAGATATCGTACAGCTTTATCTTGAAAGGGTCCGAAGGTACATTCGGGGCGACGCGGGTCCGACTAGAGAAGGCCTGGAAGAGAGCCTCCGAGCCACCTTTCCTCCCGAGACTTGTGGTGGACAGCTTGAGTTTCATATATACCGGCGAAGACTTGACGTATCGCAAAAACGCGAGACACGCGATTAACGCGTCTTCGCAAATGAATTCCCGCAAATGCGGAAGAATGACTACATCGTGCCTTGGCTTGCATTGTACATCGGACGGAAGAGAGTGCCAGAGTGCCAGTTTTTGGAGAGATCCCATGCTCTGGGGGATATCGATGAACACTGTGTACGATGGGCGGTTCTCGGCGTCCAAAGACAAGGTCGTGAGGTTGTAGAACAGGAACGAATGGTGACTCCAATCCAGCTGAAACCCTTGGAGGCGAAGTTTGCGCAATCGCGACGAATGCACCCCACCAAAGATTTTTTTTGGCAAGAAATACGACGCTGATATAGGTCCTACGGAAAGATCGAACGATTCAAGCAGAGGCGCGCTTGAGCAGAGCTGGGCTTGCAGGATGTGCCAATCACGCATACGCGGTCGGCTGCTGAACGACGCGAAGCGATGGAATTGACGATAAAGCTTCCATGAGGCGTTGCTCGTTGTCAATGCGTTAAGCTCGAGGTAGAGTATCAGCGGGGCGCGCGCAGCCCGAAGGAGCGATAGCTCCAGAACTTCCTCAGGATAGTGAGCGTCGATTACGGACCATAGAACCGGGTTACTGAGCACGAGATTCCTCCAGCTTTTGCAGACGAGGCTCAATGTGTGGGCAATGTCGAATGTCGGCGTGCGGTGCTCCTCTTCTTCGTCTTCGAATTCCAAGACGACTTGTTGGAAGATGAGTTGGAGAAGTTCGAGGGGGAGGTGGTGGATGCGGAGGGGTCGTGGGGGGCGGGGGCCTGCACGACCTGATAGTAACGGGAAGTAGCTGAAAATCAGAGATTGGTGCATCTCGATGCTGGGGCTTTATGATAAGTAGTCTGTAAATCGCGTCGCGTCGCAAAAAGTCCAAGGCGCTTTCATTCTTCGTGAAGACTGTGTGACGCCACACGGCATATCCCGATCGTACTTCAAGCTTCAAGCTTCAATATCATCGCATTGTTGTGCGTACGTCTTTAACTCATACACATACATAAAGAGTTTTGGTTCCGTCGTCCGCGTCACACTCATAGCGTACAACAAGTGAATTTAAATTATATAAACTTTATCTTGAACGACCGTGTCACTACTGGTGTTCTAGACTTGGATTCAATATGAATGGTCGACATCTTCCTTGGGTCGAGGGAAGGTGCATAGAATGCACGATACTTCGTAGCGTAGAGATAGAATGCCTATCGGCGACGCTCTCGAAAGACAGCATTGAGAGGACTTTCCCGTCTTGTGAAGTTCGTGACGCGGGTGGGTTTGCGTCGAAGCTGGAAGAGGGCCTCGAAGCCAGTCCATTTGCAACACTGAGCGATCATTGACAACGGGAAGAGGTGGCACTTGTGTAGCAAATCCATGGACGTTGTGCGGGGGCTGAGAAGACTTCTGAGGATGTATGTGGATGGAGCCGAGGGTACGTTGCACGCCGGCGCTTAGTGATGCTCAAGAAAGCATTGAGGGAACTCTCGAGTCCCGTCCTGTGAAGCTGGTAGGTAGGTTTGCGTCGAAGTAGGTAGCGAACCCATCGACGTAGTGGGGGACTGGGAGGACTTTCGAGGATGTAGATGAGGGCGCGCCGGAGCCAGCAGTGCCATTATTGCCAGCAGTACTATGACTGAATCGTGGTCATCCTTGATGAAGCACAGGGTACGCACGGGAGGTTTGGAGGGAGTGAATAATTCCTTCCCAACAACAGTCAATATTCTTCACGCAGTGTCTCCACCACGCTACCGAGTATAGAAGGATGGTGTTGGTTGGGCGAAGGGAGGTTGACTGCCTTGACGTCGCCTCGCGCACCGTGCGTAAATTGCCTACGCCATCTGCAGCAGACTCAATAACGGCCCCTGAGGTCCCCGCGCTCCCATCCGAGTCTCAGGACCGAGTCTTCAATCGGGACCATAAGGTCAATATACGACAGCGGAGGGGATAGAGCATGTGCTGGCGTCATCGGGTCCTTCCATTAGCGTCCAACGAGGGTTACTCGTCGGAGGCCTCAGTGCATTTGTTGGATGGGGTGGGTCGAGTGCCTTCATGAAGCGTATTGTAACATCAGAATGCAGGAGCGATATGTCCGGTCGTAAGGTGCGGAAGGTAGTAGTAGTTTGGATGAATCCAGAAGTCCGATGGAGAGGTGAAGAGAGTAGACTACCTCGGGTAGAGCTCTAGAGTGCGAGCGTCTTCGATTGCAAAGCTGCGGCGGATGAAGCTTGTCAGGTGGATGATTGTGGATGAGGATGAGGGTGTGAAGATGGCGCCTAGGATGTCGATCCACGAGCCTGCAACTGATATGATGACGAGGGATAGGGAGAATGAAGCTTCCTCTGAGGACGCCTTAATAAGAGAGGAGGAAGAGGGGGGAAGAAAATCGCTCACGGTTTGTTGGATCAGCAGCGCTCAGGCTCCAGAGCTCCAACACCTAGTGGGCTGGCTCGGTCTCTTTCTCTTGCAATTCCATTGAGGAGTCACACAACGTCACTCCTGTCCCGAAACGTCGCATTGCCCCTGGATTTTCAGGAACAAAACCCTCGACGCGTGCGCGTGAGCAGTGATCGTCGTGACTCCGATTTGCCCACCAACAACCACCATGGCCACAGACGAATTAGCAGAAATCGAAGGAATCAAGCCGAACATATGGCTCAACGACGGCGAAGAAAAGGAAGTCGGCTCTCAGACCAGGTGCGCTCAACCTCAACCACGACATGGACTCTGAACAGCGTTAACGGACTACTACTCGTCCTATAGCAAATCGGTGTACAAGTGCAAGAGAACGTTCGACCATTACTACTGGTTCGTTTTTGCATCAACACGTCCGTATTTGGCTGATACACGCGTTATTCTAGTACTTGCCCGGTATGTGTCCCCCCTGTCCAGCCATAGTCGTCTCTCACATTCCACCTCGCACCGTGAAGGCGTGGAGAAATCAGGTTCGTTGCCCCGTTCTGAACTCCACAAGACGTATCTAATCGCTTTCCGCTAGTCTCGCGTTCCCGTGAATGCTCGTTCGTGTAAACACCTCAAGTCATTGCTGGGGGACAGCTACGAAGAGGCCCGCATTAGACTCAAGAATCCTGACGCGCCCCCACCTAAGGGCAAACCTGCTTCCAAGGCTAAAAAGCCTGCTTCGACCTCCAAGTCCTCCGCGAGCAACTCGAAGGCCGCGCAGAAGCCTGCTTCCAAACGCAAGCGCGCTGTCGAGGATGATGTCGAAGAAGAGGACGCCGAGGAGGATAAACAGCCCGTCAAGAAACGCACCCGCAGTAAACCTGAATCGACGGCGTCGAATGCTACGACTAAAGATGCTGCTAAAGTAGCGTCCTCAAAGGAAGAAGACGACGTCAAGATGGATGCCATTCAAGAAGAAGTTAAAGGAGGTGACGGTGACGACGCGGCGGAAGACGAACTTGCGTCAATCAACGGCGTTAAACCCAAGATCCTCATGGCTGACGGCGAGGAAAAGGAGGTCAGCTCCTTGACTAGGTTGGTTTCCTCGGTACCATCGGCGCGGGTTGGAGTTCTCATCGGTGGTTAGCAACTCCAAGTACAAAATCAAACGAACCTGGGATCATTACTACTGGTGCGTCTATCTTTCCAACTCAGTATCGCCGCGTAATTAAGATCTGCTTCAAGCTCATGCCCCGTAAGTGCGTTCCTCTCACGGAGGGCGAGTATGGTTGATCAATGGTATTAACACCACCAGGCTTGGCGAAATCAGGTAATGTTATATCCTCCGAGCCTCGCTCACCGTGTTCTCACTTTCTCTCGTAGGGCGGCATGCCCGTGAATGCGCGGACGTGCAAGCACCTTAAGGAGCTCCTAGGCGATAAATATGAGATAGCTCGCCTCAAATACAAGAACCCCGACGGGCCTGACCCAACTGGCAAGAGCAAGCCAGCGTCCAAGGCCAAGGCGGCGAAAGGTAAACAGCGCGCCAAAGCTGACGACGATGCCGAAGACGACGATGACGAGGCTGGGGACGGCAATGGTGGTGGGGCAAAGAACATCCCCGAGCTGCTCCTTGCCGTCAAGTGGGATCTTGAAACTGGCCCAGACCCCACCGGTTGGTGGATTTCAGAGAAGTTGGATGGGGTTCGGTAGGTCTTGTCTCCCTTTCCCTCTTTCTCCGCGGGAGCGACAACGCTGATCATCCTCATTCGCTACTCGCTGATCGTGCCTCGAAATCAGCGCTTTTTATGACGGCACTAGGATGATTAGCCGGCTCGGCAATCCATTTACGCCACCTGCGTGGTTCTTGGATGGTAGTTGTCAAGATCTACCTCTCGGCAATCGTGCTGCTGTCTGACCACTATCTTCCAGCTCTGCCGAAGGACGTCACCCTAGATGGGGAATTGTTCGGTGGGCGAGGTGAATTTCAGTCCACCGTATCGGTTGTGAAGACCATCAATTCGCCTCATTGGAAGGGTATCTCTTTTCAAGTAAGTGCTCCGAGCACTGCCGTCCACGGTTTCTCAATTATCGCCGCACTCGTGTGTTGTTATCGTATACAGGTATTCGACGTGCCTTCAAAGGCCGACCTGCCGTTCGAGGAACGGCTTTCATACCTCGAGGCCACGTTTGGCGAGAACGGTACCCATGCCTCCAAGCATGTGGTAGTGGTTGCCCATGACGAAGCCAAAGATCGTGAACACGTCTTAGAAAAACTCAAAGAAATCGAGGGCTTAGGAGGTGAAGGGCTGATGCTCCGTAAGCCTCGGAGTCCATACGAGGGTAGGCGGTCAAACACCCTGCTGAAAATCAAGGTCAGCAGCTCGTTCTCGAGCACTACGCGAGAACCTTTCAGATGTCCCCCGACCCTTCTTAATTGCTCCTATTGATCCTTTCGCTTCGTGCAGACGTTCTATGATGCGGAGGCCATCGTTACCGGCTACGAGCCCGGTAAAGGGCGGAACAAGGGCGTGGCTGGCGCACTTAAGTGCAAGATGGCGTCGGGAAAGGTCGGTGCTCCCGAATTGATTGATCGATAATGCCAAGTTTGCTGACATTGACGTCTCCAAATCTTCCACCATCTCCAGACGTTTAGTGTAGGGACCGGCTTGAGCGATAAGCAGCGTCGGGATCCGCCTAAGATTGGAGCAATCATCACGTACCGCTTCTTCGAGCTCACGAGAGACGGCGTACCTAGGTCAGTTCAGTTCTGCTGTGACGCTTTGCCGGTCTGTGAGCTTTGGAATCTGCAGATTTCCTTCGTATATTGGTGAGGCGGTCGATAAGGACGAACCCAAGGATGCCGAGATCTCGAAAGGAGGGAAATTTGGTGCGGACAAAGATGCGGGAGATTGACTGTAGATTCTTTCATCTGGACCCCTCATTGGCCTCACTGGAGATTGGTCAACAAGAACATCCACCGGACATGAGCACCGTGACTCCATATTCTTATTGATCAACATATTTTGATACATCGAATGCGAGGTGCATACGTAGTATACATAAACTTCTATAATATTTACAGGCTCAGGTGTGTGGTTACTGCTGGCTCCGTAGCAAGCTGGATTATACATCGTTTGGCAACGAATCCCGTGGGCCGTACTATTTTGTAGTTGTGGGGAAGAAAGACGAGTGCCTTATTTTCGCTTTTCCCCTAAGCGGCCTCCTAGCCCTACGCCAAGCAAGAACGACATCCTCATACTAGCACCAACGTAAACAAACCCAATGCTCCCCCACAGCATCGCATTCCACTCCCAGACATGCCAGAACGCCTGTAATCCCAGCGGTGACATCGTGAGAAGGTGCCCAAAGTCCGCGATGAGAAGGCAAAAGAGAAGACGGCGCCAGGTAGCGATCGACGATGTGGATGAGAGGACGAGATGTTCGTTTAGGGCGAATAGTAGGTAAAGATTGGCTAGCTGCCAGAGCGACATCATCTGGGCCACCCCGAGTGGCTCCCGCACTTCAGCTGATCGACGCTGCGCTGGCGTCAGAGAAAGGTCCGCGAGGTAGTGCTCGGGGACGAGCGCGGCGTAGAGGGCACCCGCTACGGCAGAGAGCGGCTCGATGTATATGAAGAATAGGCGGTAGAACGCTGGGATACGAGGTGTTCTCATGTTAGTTTGGAAGCTGTGTTTGTGGGAAAGGCTGTCACACAGCGCTAAGCACCCCACAGAACATCACGTTGTTCGCTGTATCCGTAGATGGATAGAGGCTGCACCTCAACGAGCCTTAGGACGAACATCTTATGCTACTTGCTACTGTCAGTCGGTCTTACTCGGGACAATACGCTCGACGCTCGAGTTCAAGACTATGACGAATCGGAAATCCATTACTTACTTCCTTGGATATAACTCCAGTCTGGATATTTTATAGATATGGCCGTGCATCTCGTCGTGCGTATTGCCAATAGCGTGGGTGGACATGAGTAATCCTTCCGCCTCGAGGCCGGGGTGCGAACATCATGGCATCCAACAATCTGAGACCAGCACCACTCATGCGGGCAGCGCCCAGGACAGGCTCCTAGAACCAGCCACTCGTACGATTTTTTCAAGCACGTGACGCGCGCTAAGGCGCGATGTAAACAAGTACATCGTCAAGCGAGCTTGAAACTCTCGACAGAGCGGCTGGCAAAATATGTCGCCGAGACCTCCGAATCTCTTCCCATGCCTCTCGTCTGGAGTGACATCAGTTGATGTTTATTTGCTTATTTAATTAAACTTCCCACAATCAATAAAACCTGAAGTAGTAATTTTACTGAGACCGAAATTAATTAAATTATATGGTACATGTCCGACTCGCGACGCGTCTGGAGTATCGAAGCCGTACGCGAGCTCACGTCGAGGTACTTTAACAAGCGGGCATGCTTGTTTCAAATCCAAGTAGCAATGGCCATCTACTGTGACCGGAAAGACGTCGTTGCCTGCGCACCAACAGGGTCTGGAAAGACTCTGTCCTTCTGGATTCCTCTGATCATGGCGCAGGCGGATGGATTGAAGAAGATTATGATCGTCGTTACTCCGTTGAACTTGCTAGGCCAGCAGAATGTGAACGAGCTGGCATTAGCTCATATCCGAGCTGTGTCAGTCAATAGCGAGAACAATTCAGCTTCATTATGGAAGGTGAGGGATTTATTACTTACTATTTTCTCATTTGACTTTGATGACAGCTCGACAACTTCACTCTTGCATTGGTCTATCACCAACTCGCTCGCATGTCGAGCGTACAACGTTGACAGCCTCGGATGTCGTCGCATTGCTGCAAGGATTGCTGGGAAATGCTCCTGCATGTCATCGAGGACCTGGTGCCTGTGGTGCGCGGCACTGTTCAGAAGTGACAATAATAGTTGTCCTGGCGTTGCACGAAGGTTTGTTAGTGCATTTAGCGCAGTGTTTATCTGGGAAGTTGTCAAAGACATCAATAATACACTACTACTGTTTCTCGACCATATTATAAAGATAACAATAGCTCGCCAGCAGAAGTACCCTAATAGAGCTAGGAGAGGCTAGGAGGCATATGCTAACAACGCGTGATTTATCCCAACAAGGACATAAACTGTCTGCCGTAGTCTGCCGAGGCATAGCTGTCACAAGTGACTCAGGTTCTCGGCAAAGGGCATGGGAAGAGATTCGGAGGTCTCGGCGACATATTTTGCCAGCCGCTCTGTCGAGAGTTTCAAGCTCGCTTGACGATGTACTTGTTTACATCGCGCCTTAGCGCGCGTCACGTGCTTGAAAAAATCGTACGAGTGGCTGGTTCTAGGAGCCTGCGCCCAGGAGTGCCACAGACTGGATGGTTCCACGTGGAAATATCGAGTAACCCACTAGTAGTATAGTAGTAGCGGAGATATTGATCACGGTGGTCGACATACTGCGGGGGTTTGCAGCGCTAGCTACGCTCTTCGAGTCGGGGTCTTTACGAAAAGTGGAGTAGCATGGATCGCTGCCGGCTCACAATATTGGTTTGGTATGTACGACAAACTGCAGGTTGGATGCCGGGGCCCTGTATTCCGAGAGAGAAGCACGAAACCCGCTGGACGCTGGGCGAGCAGATATCGGACTCGACGGCGAATCTTCCAAATTTCGGTGTTTCAAGGCAGAGCGGTTGCTTGGCACCTTTAAGCTTTACTTCATTTTCGCTGCAAACTTCGAGGCCTGGCCCTGTACATACGTGATTAGCTAATTCCATCGGTCATTCCCGATTTCCCTCCTGGTCTTCATCTGCAACTTTTTCGTTGACACCGGACTGCACAAGCTTCCACCCTATCGGCCTACTTGGACAGCCGCAGCGCATAGGACGGATATTCGAAACTGGCCCTGCTGCCTCTGTGCTATATCCTCAACTTCGCGCCTTGTTCTCCCGTTCGGTTTCGTAAATCAGAAGGAACCACTTCTTTGTCTCCATCTACGCTTCTACGGAATCAGGCATCCTGTATGGCGAGTTCTGTGAGACATCGGCCTGTTTCTGGTCCCTCCCCGCTCGCGTCGCCCACTCGAAGTCGGCCTGACCATCTGATCGGCCGATCAGACAAAATTAGGAAGCTCAACCGGTGCGGTAATGTGGCAAGGAACTGGGGCGACGATGGATTCCTATCGCGACCTCTTTATATCGTGATGGCTCCCATGCTCCTTTCCCAAGAGCAGGCAAGAAGATGCCCCAGGCTCGAGATTCGAGAACGAACGCATGCTTGGCGGTCGAAACTTGCACCATGCCGTGCTTTGCAATTCGATGTTCCCCTTACACTCCACCGGCCGATATCTTTGCTCCTTCGAGCCCGGAGCCGGCCTTTCTACTTGGAAGCCTCGCACCCATTAGGCCTTGACGGAACGAACTTATTGACCTTCAGAGCCGGGTTGATGTCCAATGGACTCCCGATCTTGAAGATCGCTTGGGCGCTGGTCAGGGCCCTGCTCAGGATTTTCCTTCGTTCTTGCGGCTTTGAACATTCGTATGCATACTCTATTATGGCGGGGCTCCTGGACGAACGGATCGATAAGCTTGCTGGATAGGAACGAGAAACTGGTATCGTTGATGAACTGCTGTGAATACTCCTACTCGCTAAGATTACTGATTCGAGTGCCCGTCATTCTTAGAACCCGCATTATGAAATCCAACAGATCCAACGGTCTGCAAGCGTCTGGTCGCTGCGCGCATCAAGTCTTCTAGGTTGAACTTGGGCATGCTGCGGCGTCATAGATCTGCCAAACCAACGGTATTTGTCATATATCTGTGGCGTCGATGGTGGAAATGATACTGCATGCAAGAACATAGAATCCCAGAAGTTTGGATAGCTACCGTGGGCGCTCGGTCGTGCATTCGAAGTGGATTCGCCGGCAAGCGAAATCAAGTATGATTGGATGGCCGAGGGACACTCCCATATCTCTGTCTCTGTCGGAATGTTCAACTCTCCATTGCATGCTACGATAAGATATTGCTTCTTTGCCTTATCAGCAACGAGCTGTTGCTGACTACTTACGTCCCTCGTCATCAGATATCTATAGCGTCCGGTCATTCAACAAGACTCCCTGATAATTCCAGCCCAACTCAACGGAAGATATTTCCAGCTCGTCAACGAAATTCCAACTATTTTTGATATTATTCGCCGGTGAAACTAACGATTCTCGACAAGGCTTACTGACCGCAGCTCCCGACCGAGGCCGAATCCTCGAATGATTTCTAAGGACGTGGCACTAATGAGGTGCTCATTATACCTTTTGGCTAGTCCTTTCTTCCAGCTTGCCAGCTTTGATATTTGATGCAGAACCCCGTATGTCCTATCCTAGTCTTGTACCAAGGTTGCGTATGGTGCACAATCAGCAACGCGTGGGTATTGAATTGCTCCAGTTATGCACGAGGCATCGTAGGCGCTTCGCCATCAGTAATACCCTCTCGGCAGTCACTAACGTTATTCGACGCATTGGGCGGCATGGCCGTAAGCTCGGCAACCGCGTCAAACTTGATGGCTCCGAAGACAAATAACATAGACTTGTATTCAGTGGGTCCGCGACTTTTATGACATACGGAGTACTTCTTGATGATCTATCTCCTGTAAAAGCCATTTAGGATGACAGGCCTGTGGACAGAAGGCGGGATGACCTATCTGTTTAAACGTAGCACACTCAGCCGTTATCGAAAGTAGACAGTTTCAGCCAGGATATCTCGGAGCGTCAAGTCAACGTCAGAAGTCTGTTATACGAAGGATGATTCTGTCAAGTTCTGTATTCCAAGGCGCTCATTCCGCCCGCGGCGCGACACGGGCATGATGTACACTGCATGACGTACATGGACAGCACATCACTTCTAATGGTCCATGGGGATCTTTGTATACTCACAGGCCTCAGGATGTCGTGAAGGGAACCCTACACGACGTCATTATCATTATAAGGGCGTGTTTCCGTCGAATCAGTCCTCCCGAGCCCTTTTTAGGGAACTTATGTTTTGCATTCGCATGCGAGAGATCAACAATGCGCCATGCAGAGGAAGGAATGGAGTAGAATATGAGGTACGAATACTTCTTGGGTCTTCACGGCTTTGATCTCCGCGATGTAATTTCAACCTAGGATTCTTGGCTCTGTGGGTTGGCATAGATTAGATTCATATTATCAGATTACATTTAGCTTTCGACACAAAACAAAACCAATGAACTTCTATCAGACGTAGCTTCTCATCCTCAAGACGAGCCCTATATTAAATAAAGGTACTGGGGAAAGAAGCAATGTTCGTGGACCACGCTTGGGGCAAAACATTTCGGCAGAGCCCTCTCAAGCGAGGCGAATGAAATTAGGTCGAAAGAGCCGAATCGAGTCAAGCCCCTCACCTCTGATCACTGCGAACCGGCTCCCAGAGGCGAAGTGATGCTTCTGTGCCGACTGGTCCTTCAGCAGGCCATTATGCGGGAAGGCGAAGTGGAAGTTTTCCAGGAGCGTCAATCCGAGTGGTCGGCACCGTCCCCATCAAAGACTCTCCATCAAAGACGACCCAAGGGAGCAAAAAAAGTAACAGACCAATAGGTACTCGAGCGGTCGCCTGGATTCGGGGGACGCCTACCGACACGGACGAAGGAAGAGTACATCACAGGCAAGTCGAGACCAAATGCTGCGCTACGGAAGTGTGAAGGAGACTTGGCCGTAAACGCCACGGATTCTCGTGCGGTTGGGCCGTACTTACAACAGTGGAGGTCTAACCCTGTCTAAACGTTGGCCAGTCAGTTGGCGCCGGGGGACTAACAGGGGACTACAGCCTGCAGAATCCACACGATCAAACACCCCTTCAATAACGCCGACTGTAAGACTCCAACGTAACGTTGACTTCTACAACTTATCGTGCACATACCGATCTATCCGTAGAGGTCCACAGCCAGACGGAAAATCTACGAGAGCAGCCCTTCAAAGCTTCAAGACCCAACGAGCACGTAATGTCTACTTCAGGTGAGCGTTTACATGTCAGACGTACGTTCGAATTGCGGAGGTAGCGGCGACCTTGGTCCGCATACCAGTCACAAATCCTTTCAGCCCGAGTTCGCGATGGAGCGGACACCGATAACAGATAACCAGCTTCTCCATCGTTGACCTCTAGGCCTCGTATACATTCCCGTGGAGGTGGCAACTTTTCCCTACTCCGAACTGTAAAGCCACGCCTCGTATCGTCGGTGCGCAGTCCCAGTAAAAACACCGTATCGTCATATTCAACGCCGAATCTACCTGTAGACATTACTGTACACCACTAACACCAAATGGTACTACGATATGATCGCCCCAGTGATGCGACAACAGGTTGCGTCGTACCTCCGAGTCCGTAGTTGCCTTGTGTCAATTCCGTCAAGGCAGTACTGTTAGCAACGCTGAGACAAGCCTTTAGTCGTTTGTCGATGGCTGCGTAGCGCGCGATCAACCCGTTATATATTGGGTGCCCCACGCATGCGTTTCCAAGAATCACAGCAAAATCCCAGCGCGAATTCACTAGACGGCGCACTCATAGCATGTGCCGGCGCCTGCGGCAAGAGATGCCCTGAGCAGCTGCGAGCACCCTGCTAGGTGCTGAAGTTACTACCAGGGTGCGAATGCGATCTAGATCGACGCTACTGCGTCATTTCCACATGTATACTACTCTCCCTCCCTAGACCTATGTACTACTAGCGAATGCAAATACGGGCATCGGCCCTCCTTTGTTTCAAACCATATCCGGAGTTATTCAGCGTGTATACGGTCGTAAGGAAGAAGATTATCCATGACTTCCCTATCTAATTGTAAGTAAATTGGCACAGCATAGCACTCCTCCGTCGCTCGGTAATTTGCTGAAACCCGACGTCGACACACCAGCGCGCATTGTCCTCCATAATAGTAGCACCCAAGAACTCCCCAAGGACGCACATTTCTGATTTTGATCCCGTCATTGTCGGTCATCGGTTATGCTCGCTTAGGTCAGCTGCGGTGTTTGCTTCCGAACGAACCGATCCAGCGTCCATCTCCATCCATTGACTGGTTCAGTAACTTATCCGCAAAGATCTCGATAGTTGACTGAGAACGTTTCCACATCAATTCGCTTCAGTCGGGGATCTAATTGAGTTCTCTGTTGCGGTTGGCTTTCTCCACACTGGAAGCATAAAAGCCAATTGACTTTGACCATGGCTTCATACTACCTACCAACGTACTCACCTGTGTTGACCATTGCACTTCCTGATGCAAAATCAACCATTCTACGACGCCATGCTTGGTATTTCCTCTCAGCAACCTTCTCAGAGAGTGCGAGCCTCAGGAGGCGATTTTGGCCTCTTGCCAGTCACTCCTGGCGCGTCGAGCAGCACATTGCATGATATGGAATTGGCCTATGGTAAGCACCGTCCTGACAATCGCTCATTCTCACTTAACCTCACCTTTGCATGTCTAGGTACCGCATCTTACCCTGGATCAGGTCGAAACCAGCGATACCAAGATGCTTCGTCGCTCTCGAATAATATGTCTGAATACGACATGATGCACCTTCTGCAAAACGTTCCTCAAAGAACTACGTGCCGGTGCGGAGGATCAACAATGTCACCGCAGTATCCCGTCAATTCTACGTCGGCGATGGGACCTTCTCACTACAACTCGTTTATGCCTCCTAGCATGGATGCTGCAGCTATGGCAGCGACCCAAAGCGAGCGCGTTCACAACGCATACTACTCCTCAGGCGCCCCGTCGATTACGAATAAACCAGGTGCTCATGACGCCCAGTATTTCCTACCAGAATTTACCTCCGTCCAAGACGTACCTTTCGATGCTATGGACAACTGGAACGATATGAGCGCCGAGCTCATGGCGTCCATGAATCAATTTATTCCTCATGCCGGACTACCATCCCTCATGCCGCCCTCCCCATACTACGAAACATCCCCCGATACCTCTCCGTCACCTTCAGACTCCCCCAGATCAGATCACGAGTATTTCAACCGCCTTTACGACTCGTCAGAGCCCTCATCGTCCCACCGTTCCTCCCCAAAACCCTCTTCAGCCAAACAATGCTCACATTGTAGGGCGACGTCAACTCCTCTATGGCGACGAGAGCCGACCACTCTCAAACCGCTCTGCAACGCTTGTGGGCTATACCTTCAGCAGAGGAACAAACTACGGCCGCAAGAACTCATCGACGCAGATGATGACGAAGAGGGTCCTGTTGATCCATCTGGAGACATGTCAGGGCCTGAATGCAGCCATTGCCATACTCGGCAGACATCCGTTTGGAGGAGAAGTAAGACGGGAGCACAGCTCTGTAACGCCTGCGGGGTTTACTCGCGGCTAAGGGGCAAAGATAGGCCACTGTCCCTGAAGAGAAACAAGATCAAGCCTCGGTCCAAGCACCCCTCGAAATGATCGGATTGACTTATCTGCTTCCTTCTTTTCTTGGGATATGTTATGCTAGGTACAAAATCTCCTTTTGTACTATTGTACAGTTGTTGGACATTTAGATGTATACATAAACGATTGATCATTCTCATATCCCAACCATATAGAGTCATACTACGTGCAACACTATGTATTTTTTATCCATGAGATTTCCTAATAATATCAACCATCTTGTGTTCGAAGTACGTTTCTCTTCTTGCCGACCACCACCGAACAATCACTTCGTTGATGGTGATATATATATCCGAATGGGATCGCTTCTGTATAATCAAACCAACAAGTCGGAAGAATTGAATGGCACGTAACATACTTTCTTCAACGACCGACATCATTTACTCGCCTTAAGTGAGTTTTACACCGATTCATTTATTCTCTATGGCGAGCTGGAAGTTTGGGAGTCTCTTGGTATGCGCGGGATACATTTCAGCGCTGGAGCACTGATCCTTCCGCTTATCGTAGCTACTAGGAAGTCCTCGTCGATCATTCCCGTTTAAGCGATGTCGCGCACAAGCGAGTACGGTATATTCCATCAGTATATAGCTAAAAGCACTATATGGGCGGCCATGCTAATAAAGCAACGGGGGTGACCTCAGGAGTCAGATTACATTCGCCGCACTTACGAATGCAACGTGGTATTGACAAGAGTTTCTTTGCAAGCACTCTCTTACCACTGGCATCAACGCATCACTTCCCAATTCGATCTCAGCGGATAACTATGTGCCGAGTCGACTATTGCGCTTTGGCCCGTCTAATTGTCAGGAACTCATTGACCAACGACGCTTTGGTCTCAAAGCATGGTGGCTAATAACAAGACTTGTCTCAGTCGCCCAACATGAATGATAATCCGTATAAAGACGGAGGAGCAACGCAAAAACGCACCATCCTTTCATCATCGCAGAAGCGCCGCCTGTAAGTCCACGGCGTTGTATCAACTTTGTGGGGGGGACCATTGTCGCTGACCGTCAGCTGCTAGATAAACATCTTCAACAACATGTCAACCATATCCTACGGGTTACCGACACCATTACCGACGCCTGGCGTAACGCCACCCACTACCCCCAAGCCATGCCCATCACCCCCTCTCCCTATGCCCGAGACTGCCCCAACCCCAGTCTTCGTGCCCAGTTCGCTCCCCGGATCTCCTCGTTAGTGATTCGTGATCTTGAGACAATCAGTCTAGATACTCCATCGTTGCTGGGCCAACGGACTTTGTAGCATTACTGCACCATTCATACCCTCTGTTTCCGTACATGGCGGAAATCGAATCGTCTAACCACGTATGGGACCCTCGACGATCCGTTAAGTATGACTAGCATAATCCAAGTGTCTTCTTGAAGGATCTCAGTGATGCGCCGAGATGATTTTCTCATGAGATGCCCGAGAGCAAGTGGTGCATCTCAATGAATAGCTGAGTTGGAAAGAGTTGGTGATTAGTGAAACGGATTACACTCCACGTGCACCGCGTGGTTCCCTAGATGGCACGCAACTATTCGATACTCTTTGGTAATAACAATGGCAATACAGCGCTGCGGAAATTGCCTGGCTGTTGAGGTTTCATTCGCCATGTAGCTGGCAAGACCCAGACAGTGAGATGTACGATGCGAATTAGTCTACTATCACACCTATGCCCTGAAAAGATGATTTGGTCCGTAGAAGATGCGAAAGAGATCGACCGAACGCAGATGTCCGGAGTAAGGATGGTAACCTATCGTAATTGGTGCACAAAGGGGATAGAAATCCACGATTGCTGAAGGGCAGAAACGGGGGGTAAGTCGAGCAAGTAGTCCATTCGCTGCTTTGTCCATAGTAGTAAAGAACGAAAGGATTGTCCGAATTAATGGCGCTGGGGCGGACATCGCTGCTTGTTTGGGACAATGCAAATCACAACCCCTCAAGGTGGAAAGTCTACTCCCCATTTGTGTTGAGCGATCGGCGCATTCGGGTATGCAAGGTAAGAGACGTACCACAGCGGAAGACGGTGTATTTGCATGTTCGGCGTTCCAGGCACCGAGATCTCCAACGAAGAATATCTGGTTGTTTCGAATGTTGTACGCGAAGATGGTTGGAGGCTTGCTCCCATCGGGGTTGATGAATTGAGCTGTAACACAATGTTAAGCAAGCCCAGAGTACGCATGCTTCAACGACGATTAAATCACCTGTGATTTCCTTCGTTTCCCGGTCAAAGAACCAAATAGAAGACTCTACATACGCCGAGACTGTACTGCTGAGGATGGGCGGCGATCCGGGTGGAGCTGAAGGAATGCTTAATCTACGGCCAACCAGATAGGTGCCCTGCGGGCGCAGCAAAAGACCTACTCTGTGGAACATTGGTGAAGGCTATGGTGCTACATGGCGGAGGGTTAAAATTTACGCGCTATGGGAAAAGATTACCCGCACTTCGATCTCTGAGCGGCGAGGCTTCCAGGAGTTGATCCGGTCGAGACACCGGCATAGTGAGGCTTCTCGAAGTTGGGGTTCTAATTGGTGCATGGTCAGCACGAGGTCTAGGGCACACTCCTATCACAATTCATTTCAGGAGAACGTACCGTCACTAAAATATCGAAAGGACCATTCGTCCCAGGCGGAAGGGTGAAGGAAACATGAAGGTCTTCTTCTTCGCTCCCAAAGTTCACGCCATTGCTGGATGTCACGGCGTAAGAGAAAAAGAATGAGGGACGGGTGCATGAATGACTAACATTGGCGATACGCTTGCCCAATTCTTGAGGTATCCAACACTTCTGCCCTCACTGTTGCGCACTTGTATCATACCAGAGTACCTGGGTACACGAGTCCAGTGATTACTTGCCCTTGAACACATTGATTAACCTACGTATTCGGGGGAGAAGGCGGTTGTGGCGATACAGCACTCCGCTTGGCGCCTGAAAGCATACACCAATAAGTTGATTGAGAGCGTTCAATAAGCCCACTAACCATACGACCGAGTAGGCAGAAAACCTGGCAATATCGAGCGGAATCTCGGTGGCAACGGCGTCAGTCCTCGGGCCAACCGTTCGGCATTTGTTTCCTGCCTGGCGACAACAGTCGATATGCATACGAGGGCAAGAACGGTAGCAAATAGTAGTTGCATGGTGAAGAGGTTCGCGCGACCCAGCTTTGAGCTTCAACCTTCAGAAGGTCCTTTATACCCCCCTCGTGCAGCACCTCGGACGACTGGACTAGGGTGGCAATCTCGATTTCGTGCCTCAAGGCGTCCAGGTTCCTTGTTCGCCCTTTGAGGCGCACCTTTGACGTGATAGCTCTTCATTCTCAAGATAGAATGCGCAACTGTCCAGCAAGCTCTATGAGATGTCACAACTATCAGTGTTGAAAGACATGTGCGTCGTCTACGAGTGGAGAAAGTCGATATCATCAGCATACCATCAGCGTGGATAAAGCAAGAATACCACCAGACCTTCGGTGATTTGACCCCGTAGAGGGATACCCCCCCATCGATGCAGGTGAAATGACGCGAACATGGCATACAGCCAAGTCTACATGAGGCCCATGGATGAAAGCCTATACCGTTTCTAGCCCGAAGCCTGACAGCTCAAGGGGACATGAGCCCGTGTCAGAAGCCCAGAACTGCGAGGAGGCCAGATTGCTAATTGATAATGAATGGTGTACACGATATCGTTTGTCGTGGATCAGCTACATGTGGGACTTCGGTTATTCAAATGATTGAAGAGTGTATCGCGGTCGTCTGAGGGATGGAGCGAAGATAGAGATAAACATGGGCAAATAACAGCTCAAAACATTGGAAATAATGGCCTGTTACTCCGCAAGTATAACTTATGGTCAACCCGCACCCGAAGGAAACGCCTTCAAAGTTATACTTGGACGTAGTAGCCAGGATTTTCCAATTACGGAACGCGCCACCAATACAAATCTCTATTCATTAGTCCAGCGTTCAGTGTTCCCAGAGTTCGTGTTGCCCGGGAGACAGAATTCGGGCGAGGTTGTAGTGCAAGGTTTGAGTTTGCTACGCAATGGGGCGTAAGGCCTAGTGGCTTGTGGGCCGGTGCTTTCTTTTGAGTCGACATCTCCGTTTGTGCCGGACGAAGGTCACCGGTCACCAAGATGCCAGCCGGACAAAGAGGCAATAGGCCCGACTATTTTTGCGTTCAGCCGCTTGCTGTCAACATGTCGTACCAAGAACCATTCATCCCCACTTCATCCTCTCCCGTGCCTCAAAAGAAAGTGCGACAACGGCCGGATGGGTGGCCCGTGTGCTATTATTGTCGAAAAGTTCTGGATATCGAAAGGCTATATCAGCTTCGAGCGTCCATTCATCTTGTATACAGTCAGCATACCTTATACCCAGGGTAAGAAGGCCTACATTCATCAGATTGCTATTTCTATGCCGGTGGATTTTACAATTCCCTTCCGCATAAAGATTCAAAGCCAAGGGTTTTCGGCGCTGACGCTCATGGCGCTGAGCGCTGATCGATCATCCGTTCATTAGAAATCCTGAATTTGGAACTTGCTGAAAAACTGACGATGAGTACATAACGTCAGTCTATGCAGAGTGATCACCGGCTCACCGCCACATGGCCCTGGTATCAACGAACTGGTGCGAGAAGAGAGTCCAGGTGTTTACCACCGAAAGGAACTATGCAGGGGGCGAAGAAGCACAAGGGTTTGCCAACCGAAAGCTCAGTAGATGCTGTTAACCTGCCGTTCTACCAGAGCGCGTGTTACGAGCGTATCCTACATGGTATATTAGGCAAGCCCTCAAACGTACAGTGGGACAGGAACGGAGCACCGACAATCAGCACCCAGTCTGTATCAGAAACTGGCGCATCCAGGAGTTTAATGTTGCTGTGTATACTTGGCGCCAGGGTGAGTCGACGGGCATAAGCAGGGTTGACTTCGAGCGTGTAGCTGATAGTTGGATGGCCTTTTGTCGGCGCTCTTCGCACGTACTGGTCAACCGTCGTGTAATCTTACTGAGCGCACAGGGTGGAAATCTAAGCCGCATCAGCTCCCAATCGACCCCACTGTAGTGGCCGTTGGTACAAGCGTGCGGGGCTTCATGTTGTGCATTACGGCTGTCGATTTGTGATTATACATATATTCGTGCGAACGTAACTACCTCCACCATGGTAGAATGTTGATGATCGAATAAGGATGCTTAGAAAAGTCGCACAGGCTTCCCCATGGTAGTCTTGATATGGAGAGACTTTACGTTTTGCCAGTTCTTCTTGAGTAGGGAGACGAGGAAGTTGATACCTGGATAAATTGGAATAAGGATTAGAGACGCATCACGGGGCATAGGGAATAGGAAGGCAGGTGAGAAACAGGGAAAGAACATACTCATCATGACGTTAGTCAAGACCTGGTCATCCGTCATGTCGACATGGCCAACAGCGACACCCAAGCACAGGACCTTCTTGAGCTGGAACTTGATGGTCGAACGAACTTCGTTGAGCTTGGTAGCAAGGTCTTCACCGTGCGAGACGGGTGTTGGGAACTTGCCAGCTAGAGGGGGTAATGCAGCATGAGCAAGCGCACCGAACAGGAGCAAGACAAGCACACACCTTTGGACAGGCCGGGACCAAGCAAACGAGGGATTTGCTTGATGAGAGCTTCAGACGCAAGGAAAGCATCGTACTTCTTGGCGAGCTTCTTGACCAGCTTCTTGTTCTTGTTTAGCCTTGATAAAGAAGAGTACAATATGATGAGAAAGATGAATAATTGTCAGTAGTCAGGGTACGCACTTCTTCAAGTCATCGACGGACATATACTCAAGTTCAATCTGCTTAGCACGATCGATATCGTTGGCATCAGCAAGAATGCACATCGACATGCGCGGGCGGGGGACATTAGGGAGCCTATACACGATATCATATCAGCCACCGCCAATTTGTAGTCATATGTCACTCACTTGACGGTGCCCGAGAAACGCTTATCTCTCTGGGGGTCGTAGTTCTTGAGGCCGATTTGGAGTTCGATGGTCTCCACGAATTTGCGCTTTTTCTCGCCGTTGGCTTCGGCAAGGAGTTCCTTGATGGAGCCCCGCACACTTGACACTGAGAGCTTGCTTCCGCTCATGCTGGAATTTTTGGTTTGGTGGTGGTAAGTGGTGGCGCTTCCAGACCCGTATTCAGCAAGCATGCACGCCAGGGGCTTGGGAAAGGATTAGTCAGAACTATACAGAACTCGAATTATCTTATCTTATCAGAAGTTTGAAGTTCTGAGCTGATCTCAATAGCAGTTCTAGATGTGACCTTCGTGTATTTTTGCGATCGTCGAGGTGTACGCTTCGTCCTCTGATGGTCGATATTTATCAGACATACACGCACTCTCTTTCGCCCCTCGGATTCGAGGACGCTGGCGATCACAGTCATTCTGAAGTCCTGGCTACAGTGTACCAGAGCTCATGGGTATCAGGTCGTTAACGCCAAAATGGTAGCAGAAGAACCTCCTCCGGGCCGCATCCATGTTCCTGAAGTTCATGTACGTCGATACCGCTGACCCTCCCTCTCTCATTCACCTTAGGGCATGTGATCCAATCGCATATCGACCGAGGATCAACATCGCTCGGCCTCTTGTATCTGTTCAAGTCTGTGATGACGCCAACCTGACCTAGGGGATATGCGGAATAGGTCTTGCGAAAGCATCAAGCAGCCATCGCGGAGAGTTAGTTGCGTATAGGAGTTACGCCTATACGCAACTGTCTTTACCTCTGACGTACTCGGAAACCAGTTCACTTTTCGCTTAAGGCCGACAAATTCTTGCAACGAACCAAATTAAAGCTTGCCGAGTCTCGCTCAGGGTGTCTGGGGAAACTGGCCTACGACCCCTCGGTGTTTAACCGGCTACGGGCTATGATATGTTTGTTTTGATGGAGATATGTTCGCATGATCTCATCTTTGTATCGTGTCAAAACCCAACTCGCAAGCCCGTTGCCTTTCCGCAGTACCGCCGTCTTCAAGCCGACTTATCGCGTTCGGGGGCACGAGTCGCTAACTACTGACCGTAGAACTATGAGCCCCGTCGAGGTGTGGCGTTACAATTTTTGAAGTCCCATCGCTAGGCTAATAGCAACAACGCTTCCTGTCATGTCGCCAACTCATTTAATAAACGAAGCGAGGTTATGCGCCGAGTTTCAGGCAAACGGATCACAATGCCCCTACGTGACATTATTATAGCTCACCGGGTTTGAGAGTATTTTTGGAGGTAAGTGGCGATCATTCATATGTCCTACAGGAAGTCTGCTCCACGTAATTCTAGAGTATGCAGGTTAGTAGCAGTGAGGGAATAAAGAAAACAGTCCCCGACTTCGCAGCTTTGTACTCCCAACGGTGGAAAAAAATACGATATTCTTGCTTGCTTTGTGAAAATCCGTTGCGTTACTTACTGCAGTATGGTCGATGTGTGACGTAGCCCAGTGGGCCTCGCAATATGTTGTGATTCGGTCAGGTTTACGATTTCACAAACTCCACCCCGTCTCCTAATTACGCCCGGCGTAGGACATTATACATGGATGGGAACAGGCTTGCTCAACATGGTGTAGTGCAGCTGCGTGATACGACGTAGATCGCCAGAGCTAATGTTTGCGTCGTTTTCAATGCTGGAGGATGGCTTAGTATCAGCCACGTCATCCAGAAGAGCCATCGGGCCGCCACTCTATTAGTGCTCACCGTGCTTGGAAGATAGTAATTGTTTGATTTTGTGCAGGAGCAGCACGGATGCGGAATTTCAGTGACCTTGTTATTATGAATTGCCCAGCTACCATGCCAGTCACCTGTACACGTCCTGACTTCAGTAATCTAACTTAGGAGAGCGATATCGATCCTGACCAAATCAGAGTCATCTATGCCCTGGTTTGGCACTTCAATCAAGTCCTTCCATTCTACCTGGATGTGCGTAGCAGCGGAGGCCGATGATATAATCCTCTCCTTCAGACCGTCCCTAGAGACCTCCTCGCCATTGATGGTAATCCGTATGTTCGAAGCAAAGACTGCATCAAAACCAGCACTAAAGTCTTCTAACCCGGTTGGACCACCTTCATTCTGAAGCAATGAGATGTCGTAGATCTTTGAAAATCTATCTTGAAGCCAAGGGATTAGATTGGACATGGTGGTCGCACTGTGAGTTGTCAAGAGCGGCTTCGATAGGCTATGGGAGATTTAGTATACACGTTCTGGCGCCCGTTTACTTCCGAACGACGACGACGACGACGACGATGTCGACTACTATCGGCACTATCGTTCCTACGCCATCACGCTCAAATCATCTTATCGCTCGACCCCCATCGCGATTTGAGATTGTTGGAAAGTCTGTCTTTCTTGCTGGCAGCACGGAACCCAATATCGCTCCAGATTGGCAATCACAAATCTCTTCTCTTCTCTCAACACGCTTGCCCAATCAGCCTCTCACTATTCTAAATCCTCGAAGAGATGACTGGGATTCTTCATGGAAAGAATCAATCCAAGATGAGCGGTTTCGGGAGCAGGTTAATTGGGAGTTGGACGCCCAGGATGCAGCGACATTCATTGCAATGTACCTACATCCAGGGACAAAAGGAGTGGTTAGCCTACTAGAATTAGGACTCCATGCAAAGGATTCGGGAAAAGTCGTCGTATGCTGTCCTGATGGATACTGGCGGAAGGGAAATGTGGAGGTTGTTTGCCAGAGGTACGGGATCAAATTATGCGAGCAGTTCGAGCAGTTCGAAGAGGAGGTGGTGAAAATGCTACGGATGGACAATTGACTGCCAGGCCCTGACGAGTTAATGTTCGTCGAGAACGCGATGTCATTCCATTACCCCTGTCGTTGCCTTACTGTAAAGTTTTGCCGGTGGGAGCGGTGCCGGTGACCGTAGGTGGCCGTGTGCGTGCAACATGCGTATGCGTCTCTTCCTTATTCTGAAGCTCAAACCAGTTCAACAATGAGGTCTAGCTGGAACAAGTTTTCTCCGTCTCGTCTTTGGGGATTCAACAGCAGGCACACCTTTTCACACCCACGTCAGTTCAGCCAGGCAGCGACATCTAACTTCCTACCTCGCCGGACGATCCCATGGCTCCTTACTGCTTCTCTGGTGACAGGTATCACTGGATTTTATATAGGAAGCTCGCCACGTATGGCGGCTGATGTACCTGGCTTTGGCACATCGAACGAATTTGGATTAGCTATTCGTGAATTGCGGGAAGCATTACCAGGGGACGATAGCGTTTCGACTGACGCGGATGAATTGGAACGACACGGCTTCTCTTTGTATGATTATCATCCAGGTGACTGTCATCATATGCACTCGGCGTCGGGCTATGTTGTATTTATGACACTTCGCAGGTGTATTGCATTCTGTTGTCGTATACCCCTTGACGACGGACGATGTCGTGAAGATCGTAAATATCTCTCGTAAGTATCGCATGCCTATCGTGCCTTATTCTGGAGGTACGAGTCTTGAGGGTCACAATCGTGGTGTAAGTCCCGCTATTTCTCATGCATCAAGAACTGTCTTTGAAAACGGTCACAAGCACCCGTCGGGCGGAATATGCGTCGATATGTCGGGAATGGATCGTATCATCGAGATTCACGGCAAGGATACTGATTCTATGGCTGTTTTGACCACTCACTTCGAGCCGGCTCCTGCGTAGAGGCGGATTCCGACCTTGTTTGTCAACCAGGCTGCCTTTGGGTCGATATAAATGAAACATTGCGACAGAAAGGTACATGGCTTTGTCACGTAACTGCCGTCGAGTCTTGGGACTAATCTGCTTTAGGGATAAAGCTTTTCTTTCCGGTACGAAATGACGAAGGCCCCTCTGATTCGGGTCGCTGATGCTGGCCGTCCACAGCTAGACCCCGCACCTGGAGCTACGATCGGTGGTATGCTCAGCACCGGCTGCTCAGGAAGTACGTATTGAGTTTGGATATATTCCCTAAAGTCACTCACCTCGTTCATCAGCAAACGCTGTTCGGTACGGGACAGCTAAAGGGGAATGGTTCTTGAACGCGGTTCGTTGTTGCCGGATCTCGCGCGATCCACCTTGTGGATATCTTTATAGACAGTTGTGCTCCCTTCCGGAGAAGTAATCAAGACTCGAAGTCGGGCAAGAAAGTCGTCTGCTGGATTTGATTTAACAAAATTGTTCATCGGTGCTGAAGGGACGCTGGGCATTGTAACTGAAGGTAGATCGCATCTATAGTCCAGTGCCCGAGACAAGTAGCTGAGAAGATTTTCAATTCAAGTTACTATCCGTCTTGCACCAGTCTTGCCCACCACGGTTGCCGTTGTTCACTTTCCAGACGTAAAGAAAGCCACGGAAGCCGTCATTGAAGTCCTCAATCAAGGTGTTGGCATTCGTAAGCGCTTTCTTCCTCCTGATACTCCGTTTGAAATCAACTCTTAGAATGTGTCGAGCTTCTTGACGACTTATTCATGGCGGCTACGAATAAGTACGGGATGTCCATGCGCAAGTGGCCGGAGAAGGATAGCCTCTTCTTTAAATTTCAGGGACATTCGGCCAAATCGTTGGATGAGACGGCTGCCGTTGTGAAGAGTGTAGTCGAAAGGCATGGGGGCTTCGGCTTCACACTTGCTAAAGACGATCAAGAAGCGACGTCTCTGTGGGCAGACAGAAAGAATGCTCTTTTCTCTGGGCTTGCGTTGCTGGAAGGTGATGATGGGAAAGGATGGAGTACAGATGTTTGGTATGTTTTGACAGCACTTAGCGTGATGACGTTTTTTGAAGTATGCCTTCATAGTGTGCCACCGTCAAATCTACCACAACTTGTCTACGAGACAAAGCAGGACCTCTCGGAAATAGGTTTGATTTCGACAATAGTTGGTCATGTCGGCGACGGAAACTTTCATGCTCTTCTGCTATTCAAAACAGACGAAGAGTTGGAGATCGCGAGGCACGCTGTTCATAGAATGGTAAAGCGGGCAATCGCTCTCGATGGGACATGTGAGACCTCTACATCCATTGTTTCAGGTCTAACCTACTAAGTGTCATCTAGGTACCGGAGAACACGGTGTTGGTATAGGAAAGAAAGAGTACTTGTACGAAGAGCTTGGCTACGGAACGGTTGAGTTGATGAAGACCATCAAGCGGTCTATCGACCCACTCGGCCTTTTCAATCCAGGAAAGGTGTGTGACTTCAAACCCTTGACCCACGTAGGACTGACGATGGAATGCATATAGCTTTACCCCGATGCACCAGGTGTTGCAACGAAGGCTGACCCGCGCTCCACATAGCTCACTCAAATGTGTTGATTCGTCTAGAGCCATGTAAACTACAAACACTCGTTCTGTGGATCAAATTTAGGAATATGAAAACAGATTCATATTGACTACCAATAATTCCACACTCTATCTACCAGTTCGAACGCATGACCAACTCTCCACGATGACTCCAGAACGTACTTTATCTTGGCGGGAAATTGAGCTGTGAAATCACAAGATACCTTGCGCAAACGCTTATACGGCACCGTAATCCGTGGCCCCGCATCGGTGACAGGATGGGTCTTGAAGAATCGGGCATGGGCAGAGAAGATTGATGGCATTGTCCCCTTGCCAGGTTTGAGCGAGTAAAGTCTCGGGGCGGCTGAGGGCATCCATCCAAAACGTGGAGGATAGAGGCGCGTCGTCGACACGTCAAGGGCAAGTTCATGTACGGGGCCCAAAGGCAGGTGTTTTATGGCCGAGGAAACACATCATTCGACGGCTAGGTCATTACCACGATTGGCCTGGAGTGTGATATCAAGCCAAACTTCCTTGTCGGGATCCTCAAGCCACGGAAGGGGGCCATCCATTTTGAAGGTTCTGCCGAAGTAAAGACCGGCGTCCGAAACTGATATGCTCAAACATTCCGAAGGCATTTCGGGGGCGACATGGATCAGGGTTGAGATTGCAAATGAAGTTTGACGGTGGTCAGCGATGCCATGATGTTTTGGAAGAACGAGGGGTACAAGCTCAAATGGCATCATCTATTTCGATGACGCGTAGACACGGGAGGTCTACAATGTCAAGTGAGTCGACAAGTATAGTTCGTGGAAGGGCATCGAAAAGCTTCAATTCTTGGAGTGATGTGGCGTTTTGGAGGATGTGGTGGAACACTATTTGCGTTGGTGGACTTGAAGGGGCCAAGTCAAGGCCCTGAGGTCGCGGAACAAGTATGCATCAAAAGATGCCCCCAATCGACGGACATCCCTTCAAGCGCAAGTTCACGAAGACGGAGGTTGAACTCCACTAAGAATGTTCCTCGGTAAGGAGCAATGGCACCATCCGAAAGATCCTAACGAAAGCTTGAAAGCCCGGAGCTGGGGGCCGGGCGGCCGAGCAGAGCTGCCCTTGCAAGATATGCCAATCAGCCAAGTAGGGTACACTGCTGAACGAAGCGAAGAGATGGAGTCGACGATGAAGTTTGCATGAAGCATCGAGGGATATTGGGTGGCCATGCTCGGGTGATATGTAGAGTGTCAGTGGGGCTCGTGCCGCTCGAAGTAGGGACAGATCCAGGGTTTCAGAAGGATGATGACCGTCAACAATAGACCATAGAATGGGGGTATTAAGCACAATGGCTCTCCAACTTCTGCAAACGAAGCTCAATGTGTATGCGTCGCTGAATGTCGGGGTGCGGTCACCATCGTCATCGAATCCTGTAACAACCTCTTCGAAGATGAGTTGTATTATTTAAAGAGAGAGGTGATGGAAACGGAGAGGGCGGGGCCTACGCGGGGTCGTTCGGCCAGACAGCAACGGGAAAAAACTGAAAATCAGAGTCTGCTGCATCCGAGGTAGAAGAAAAAGTCGCGTCGCGATCTTAAGCTTATAGGGTGATCGTGAGAACTCCTTGCTTCAACTTCTTCAATTTCTTTCAACCGCTATGTAGGATAACTACAACTTTAACACCAAAGGCCAGGCCTGAAGCTCGTAAAGAAAATCGAGATGAAATGAACGGTTCAGAAGGCAGCATGGATGAGCGCAGACGAGTGAATCGCCGAAGGCCTGACGGCCCGACTCGAAAGCCGTTTGTGGTAGATGGTGTCGAGGAGGAATGCCTGGTCCTGTACCCTCCGTTCAGTTTTAACCGTGCAAACACTCGTTTAGTGTCAAGACTAGTTACTTCATCACTCAGGCCTCATCGCCGTCAAACAGATGAAGGGGTGATCTGGTTCACGCAACGCTGGATCGAAGAAGCCATGCAAGCGTGAGTGTACCTCCATTCTCCAAATTCCAAAACACGGACGTCACAAAGTAGTTTCTCAAACAATCCTGACAGACATCCACGGATTGCTCACAGAACAAACTCGACATTACTTGTCTGTATCAATCTCTCGCTCGAGCGACTTCAAGTCTCCGTACATCCAACATCGCGTGCAAGTCGGGCTTATCGCGCTTCGTCGACAGTGGAGCGGAAATACGTCTCTGATTCGACGGGCATTTGAGAACATTGTATTCGACGGTTTATGTATTGCCGAGAATCAGGACGTTCTCTTCTCCCCGTGTCCAACTTCTGCGTCGGGCTCAAGATGGTCGTTCCATATTGGGCCTTTGGCTCCGACTGCTTCGATTTCGTAGGTTATCGGACGTCGAACGGCCTCTCATTCGCTGACGCTTGCCCCACGGACTACCTTCCCATTTCTTCGGGGCCCAACGTCACTCTCGAGAAAACGCCGGAGAACGTTTCTCTGACACTACGAAACTCTCTGTCGGTGATTACTGCTCCTTGAAGCATGATGGATCCCCCAATGGTTATGCCTTCCTAGAAAGGGTGAAGGCCGCTTGGATGTTCAAGGAGCGGAAGAGACCGAGGCGCGAGCGGGACACCTCTTTACCTACCACCTCGTGCCCCCCTTCTCCCCTTTACGACTCAGATCTTGACGCCTGGGACTTTCCTGGGACCGTTTACTGTCAAACTGCATGGTCAAAGGTACGCGACCTCCCGTATCCCACATCATGGCTGTTTCTGAATGACCATAAATCCCCTCAGAATCACATGTTGTCAGATGTGGATGATGAAATCCTCGTTGTTGAAGATTCCTGACACACTGCATGCCCCTCGCGCCAGCCCTTCGACTGGCCTTCGTCACTTTAGCCTCCGGATAACTGCAGGGTCTGTCGATGTCACCCTACCTACGTAGATGGATGGTCACGGGAGGTGTGATGAAATGGAGCGCACGAGTGCAAGATGGATTGCTAGGCAATGGACGGAGACGACTAAAGATGAGCGAAATCGCAGAGAGGAGGTCGGGAAAGGAATGGGGGCTGGAAGGCAGTGTTCTCTCAAAGTAACAACGGGTTGGATCCGTCCGTGCGATTCGCTTACCAGTCGATCCTATGTTCTAGCATCGCTAGTCCCTCACTCGGGGCTCATCCCAATCTCTCTATGCTGTTTCTTACCTAAATATTCGGGCCGCCTCTTCGAACATCCGCGCATAACGCATCGTTCTGCGAACCGCATACACGAGCCCACCTGATTCGTGCCGCAACGAAGGCACGGACGCTACGTGCTTTCCTCACCGAATAAGCAGCTTTCTAAGTAACGATGTTATCGACGGTTTGACGTCGTCAACGCCCATCGTTCTTTCCGGCCGAGACGTACCTTGCTCTATATCCAATCGAACTGGGTGCATTCATGGGGAGTGTGTACACCTTGGACGCGAGAAGTGTCGCCTCTGAACTTGGAGTGGGAAGCTTCAGAGAGGGGAACACAGACACAGTGAGAGGGACAATTTGGAGTCATACGCAGATTCAAAGGGCAAACTCACCAATCGTGGCCCTCGCCTCGGTCTCTTGCGCTGAGCGCTGCCGACTTCGACTCGTCGTCGTTCGTGATTTTGGCTCGTACCGCAAGGAGGAAAAGCGCATATACCTCGCTCTGTCCATAACAATCAAGTCTCCGACTCTGCGATGAGCACCTCTGGTCTCCCTGGGTCCTGGAGATGATATGGAGGGGATACGATGGATGCCAATACGGCGCGAATATCGACACCGCGATGTAGTATGCTGCGACAATCACCAAGAACGATGCAGACTCACCACCAGTGGCCCTTGGCCTCGAAGATCGTTGGCGCTGAGCGCCGAGCACTTCCCATTCTTGATCAGAGGTCCGCTCACCTGGGCTCCTCAGTTCGATAATTGCGCATATATTTGCCTTTTAGCCATTTCTCAGCGTCCAACCGCTTAATTATGGGTAGAAATGCGTTGGTCGTACCAGCCATGCACGAGCCACGGTAGACAATTGCACGATGGCGTACGTTCGGGATATCGGGGTCGACGTCCAGCGAAGATAGCCCGATGCACCCCGGTTAGTACGAGCAGCGACAAGAGGGTATTGCACCATTCCGTGGTTTGGGGGATTTCCGGCGGGGTTGGTCGGGATGGCGGTACAAACGTCGAGGAAGGGGGGAAGATGGGGGTTTGAAAGAAAGAGAGAAGCAGGCTGGATCGCGAGGACGCGTCACGACTGAGATTTTCGCACGTCACCTTGGTGGACGACGATCCCTACCCATGTATAATCCCACAGGACTATCGGCTCGCCTTCCTTAACGAGGTACCTCCTTGCCAGAATTGTCCCTGTGTCCCCCACCTGGCGGGATTAGCGCTGAGGCCTGAGGTATGTACGTCCGCTGCCTATCACAGCAGCGTCCTAAGACATGTGGTTGGCGGTGTCATGACTAACTGGACGGGTCCGACCCAAACATTTCTCAACTGCCCTATCGGCCTTCGATGCCACCCGCTTGACGATAGGACCACTCTCGCGCATCTTTTGACCGTCCAATTCTCCGCTGGAGGTGTACATACTACAAGGAACAAATCCTCTTGACCACTCGACCAACCGCCGAAATGCTACGGTGCCTCATGAGGTTGGGCTGTGCCGGGTACATTTATGTAGCTTGCCCCCGTGTCGTTATGAGCGAATCTTTACAGTATACCACGCATTTCCGACGATATTTAAAGGCTTCGTCTCCGCCGGCCCCTTGGGAAGGACCTGTGGCATCCCCAGAGCTGTTGTCCCCAGATTATGGGAATCGCAGATGGGCCTCGTTCAGGAACAACACCAACCGGTATTCGGCTCAGTCCTCTGGGATGGAAATCGGCCCTGTTCATGTATAAGCACCTAGGTAGCGAACAGCTGTGCTGATAAAGGCCTACGAGTTCTAACATAGCTTGCTGCCTTTTCTCGGATGCACCGATTTTTCAGTCGTGTGCCTCTACCGAAAATCACTCTATAATTCGTAGCCCACCCAAATCCACGAGCAGGTAGTTTACAAATTTTACAATCTCAGTACAGTGCATATGTGTAAGCGTGCATCCATCCATACAAATATCTGGTGCCGGCACTCCAAGAAAAAGAGTCCAAATATACACGCTAATGGGGATGGGAAAGTGTACATTGAAGCGTAGCTGGTAGAAGGCGAATAGAAAAGCAGGATTGCCATTAAGTGGATACCCTCGCTGGCTGGAATAGTTGTTGAGATATAAAAAGATGTAGGCGTCTTGACGAAACATGAAATGCGAGAGGTGTTGAGTTTCTTTCCTTTTTGTCGAAGTCGTAAAATCATTTGGGTGTTAACTTGACGATGCGTGTGAAAGCGAAGTGCAGGTCAAATCGTCTAGTGTCTCCCTCGCGTCCTTTCCCTTCCCTCTGTACTACCACGATATGCAGGCGGCTCCACGCTATGCCCGCCCGTTCCCCTACTACTCAGCGTTCCGTCCCCAAATCCTGTAAATCCTGTCCCCAAACTAGACAACGTCGTGGTTGCAGGCGGCAGGGGTACGCAGCCAAACTCCCGCTGCGCATCGCTATTCTCCCCAGGAGAAGCGCCAAACGCCGAAGAAGGTGATAGAGATGGAGCAGCCGTGTGCCAGCTCTGCGGCGAACTCATTCCAATGCTCACGGGACTGCCCAGGAACGGACTAGCCTCGGTGATGGTGGAGAGCGTATTTATGGTATACCGTGGGTGAGTGTGGGGGTAATTGTTGTACTGCTGATACATTGCCCACTGAGCATATTGCGATTGCAGAGCGGCCATTTCCTGGGGGCTGATGGTGGCGGTGGGGTCAAACGTGAAGTTCGGCGGGAGAGTGGATGGGTCGAAACCTGGCGGGAAGTAGGATTGGGGGAGATTGGGAAGCGAAGAATTGGCCGTCCCCGTTGTTGGATCCAACTTGGTGGTGGAACTCGTCTTCGAGTCCGTCGAACCTTTTTTCCCGCGACCGTGGTAGCCTGGAATCAGCGAAGGTCAGTGTTGGATATTGGGCAGGTGTTGAGGGGAGCACTCACTACCGCCAACCAAGCCCTTGACCATCAACTCCCTTTCTATCTTCGCTCGCTGCCGTCTCCTGCAATAGACGAACAAGAAGACGAGTAGCCCGAGGGCGAGGGGGATACATATGGATAGAGTAGTTGCCAAGATTATGGTCCTCTGATGGGAGTTCAAGTTCGAGGAGGGGGACGCGGCTGCGGTATCTTGGGGGTCGGCCATGGCGATGGGCAAGAAAGAGGGTAGGTACCTTGCGAGGATGAGGTGGTGATGGAAGCAAAAACCCCACTGAACGTGACCACTGCCCACGAAGACAATTCCACATTCGAAGGCGAGCACATGGGAAAAGGCACGAACTGGAGCTGGTTAGAGTTGCCTTGTTCAGCCTAGTGTTCCTGCATTCCTGCCTCGTTCATGATGATCGATGTTGTCCGGTTTATCCGAGAGCCGAGGCACCCCATTTCCATTCCGAAGGGCCATTCCGAGACCAGCGCTTAAAGATATAATAAAGCCTTAGCCCGGAATGTATTTATTATTGATTTGCTAGCACCATATTCCCTGGACTATGTGTTTTTCGCCAAAGCTAAAGCTGCAGCGAAATTTGTAGCTTGTCAAGCCCACCGGTCACAGACCCCCGCTCTCTGTGTACAGTGTCGAAGTATCGATGCTCTGGAAGCTTCATTTGGCGACGGTAGCACTCACGTCCACGTTTACCCATATATTGGACGTAAACTTCATGGGCAGTGCGGAGATGCTGGTTGCGCCAGGTTATGCCCTATTATGCCACGCCCACGCCACGGATACGATTCGAACAATTGGAGAGTCCGGATCCGCATTCTGACAGAAGTTCTAGGAGCACCTGGGGGGAACATCAGCGAACATCGCAGCTGTCGGTACGTCACGATGACAGACGATGCTTCCTGACTGAACCAAACAGTACCACTGTTCTGACCTTTCACCGCATCCTCTCCATTTCACGGAATCCCGATCTACGTTTAGACTTGAGCTTGAACGTTGTCGCTGATCTGCTACTGGTGATCGACGAGGAACTATCTAGCAGTCTGCTTGGTGTTCCTTCGGATCGCAAACCCGGTGTATTCACTTTGAACTCATATTCATCACTGGCCTCAAGCAAGCCAGTTGCCAGAACATCTTGCGCTCGTTTGTTCGCTACGCTAATGCATCTCTCCCCACCAACGTGGCCAATCCACCCATAACCCGAACTACCAACTCTCTTTGACGGTTTCCTACGGCAATGTATTCTTTCGCCATCAGGCAGCGGATTCCGCTTCGCTTCCCAGACTTCCTCCGCCAGAGTGTATGCATTCGCTTAGCAGTGCATCCGTCTCGGATTTACCTCAAGTTGACCAAGCCTAGAATTATTCCGCGGGTTGTGTTGGGCACGCGACTAGGTTGCTCCCCATTCTACCCATCGCTTGAAGCCACGTTCAAATCTGCTAGCCTCGTGTAGCAAGACGTTAGCAACGGCCGATTTCAATGTTGGCACCATCACCTCTCGTGCGCTACAGTCTGTACTAACATGTACTGCCTCTGGAACGGCGTTGAGTCGTAATCGCTTGGCTGGAGGCTGTAGTTCACCAGGGTGAATGATTGAGGTGGCGAAAATGGTATGTAGATTGGGCACGCGTGACCGAGTCGACCGTCGCATCGAACGGGAGAAGGATGTATGCACGATCTGCGAAATGCAAACACTAAATCCTCAAATGTATCACCATTGAACGCGCTTCTACGGGGGTTGGTTACCCAAGTGCTTGTGTCCTCATACTCATTGCAACGATGGGAATCCCGGTCTCGCAAGTACTCTATCGCCCTACATACTCCGAGGAGGAAGCTGAGGCGCTTACAGCAAGACTACACAGGCGCCGAGGTTGTTCAAACTTTTCCGCCGTTGGCGCGTTGGCAGTCGTTATTTGTACTTGGGGACACAGTAAAGTAATTACCTCTTCAATCCTTCATAAACATACGGATGACCCAGTGCGCACAACGATTCCACTGTTCATGATCAGTGGCAAGTACCGCACAACACCCCAGGCCGGTTCGGTCACTCTTATCATGTCTCCTCGACCGTCCACTTTCGTGAACTGAGGCTTCTCTGCGGACCAGCCTTTTGTCTGCGTACCGACCCCAACCTTCAATCTATTAACGCGTACTATAGTACTTCGTGGCATTCCTCTAGATTGGCTCTTTTTGCGGTTCAAGAAAGGAGTAAGACCTCGCATAATATTTGATTCGTCCTATCATCTGAGCTCACCAGGACTCAAGAATAGTGCAGCTTCCCCCATACTACCACAGGCTTACTCCTTACTCTCAATTCACATGCAATAGACTATGCCCGTACAATGCAAGCGTCACGTCTCGGTCTTTCCTCAAACGACTTTGCCAAAACTACCATTTATCGGGATAACCAAGCTGATGAACAAAATCTCTCTCGGACGGTCATTACCATCCCAGATATCCCTATTCTCCAAGCTCCTGGGGAACTCGTCCGTAAGGTCGCTCGCTTTATGGAGCTTGCATCGTCCCCGAGCCCGCGCTGATTCCCATCCGGGAGCGGAAGAGTGTATTAGCCAATGAAGGGGAGGATATGTTATGACGCAAGCTTCATTCTCAATACGATAGACCTGGGGCCTTCATGAAGTCAGTCGTCCCTCAGTTGAGGTCCGCATACTCACTTTTGTCTGGCAGCATGACGAGGTCCACGGGATCTTGCTGCCCGACATCTCTGATTACTATTGGCGGTCCATAGATGGTCTCTCTAGGCGCAATCTTGACACACAAATATGTCGTGCAACGGTTCATCAGCCAATCATTCTTGCTCGTCGTGGATTTGAAGCCGGCGTATATCAGGCGTCGCGCGACAGAGAGACTTGATGTAGCCTGGGGAGAAGTCTTAATGCCAAGGTATTGGGCGGAGAGACTGGCTGTTTTGAATCTATAATACTTAGATGCAGTGTTGTCGGATTGAAGCAGAACTGTAGATAGTTAAAATGAGGCTCAAGGTGCACACTATTCCATGGCTCGTCCCGCAATCCCGGGCAGGCCCAGCGAAAAGAGCGAGATTAGTTGCTTGAGGCTCAACCCTCAGCATCGCGGCTGCAGAGTTTCTGAAATGATGATCAAGTAGCTCATTGATGCATGATGCACGGCGTAATGGTACATGAAGTGAGCTGACGGTTCACGATGAATGTATGCCCATTCCAAGCCGGCAGTAGGCAACATGGATATCCCTTCAGTTGAATATTCATAATCATGGAATATAACTCACCGCCTCCCCAACTGTATGCCACCTAACATAAGCGCAGTTCTGCAACATCAACCCGGTTCAACTATTCATCAATCTTTGCCATCTGCCACGATAGGTGATGTCCGTCGTCGTCGAAGCATGTTCACATCCGCTTGGCGAACTCGTGTACAAAAGAGCGTGAGCTGGAGTGTTCGCATTCGGAGCTTGTCATTCGCTTGGTCTACCAGTGGCTGATTCCGCAGCAGAAAGCGTGTAGACTAGCGAAATTTTGGGAGGTTCGCGTTCCCAGAGCAGTGTCGTATCAAAGGAAATAAGCTGCGCAGGCATAGCATGTCGGATGGCCGTCCGCCAGATCGGAGGTTTTCGAAGACGCCCAACACCGCCACGAGGTTCGATGACGGTCCTTCTCGATTACAAGACAGGGCTGTATCCACGCAACAGCGAACCGACGGCCTATATAAAGACCTGCCTGGCGCTGGGTTCCCTTTTCCATTCCCCCATATCGCCAGGCGCTTCAACGATACCCGTTTACTCATTTCCTGGACATTGACCTCAACGCACAGTCATGAGCAACTCCTCGCCGGCGAAGGTTGATTTTTACGATCATTTCCATACAGTGAACGTACCCTCTCTTTCGAGAAGCAATCCCTACCAACCACTCCCGACCGACGAGAAGCGTCCTCCGTCCTACTCTCAGGACGAGTTTGTCGAGCAGCATGACCATGACTCTCAACACCAATGCCGACACCAACGAAAATGCCATAGCGCACGTTTACGGCGCATTCTTCTGCCCGTGATCCTCGCGTTTACGCTGCTGATCGGGATCATCACAATGCATGCCGTCTGCTTTAGCAATGGCGGGATGGTCGACTCGTGGGGAGCAGACGGCGGTGTAGCGGGAATTTGGAGAGGTGTGGGGAGCGATGGGATGCCCGATGTCGCGCCACCAACGGAAAACCTCAACAAACGCATCGTCGATTTCTCAAAGCTTCACATCGGAACTGTGACCTCTGTCGATGATCTAGCGAAGCGCGTTTCTTCTGCACCAATCACGAAGCGTCAGTCGGGCGGCGCGGCGCCTGGCAACGGCAATAACGAAGAGAGTGCCTTCACTCGCAACAAGCTGTACCTCATTGTCATCTTCGTTGGTCTGTTGGTAGTTGTTATACTAGCTATCATGCTGTCTGCTTGGTGTTGCAAAAGTGAGCTGCTTTCCTACCTCCCAAGAGATTGTTGGAAGCTAAAGTTGCATCCCCAGGTTCGTTTGAGAACCCGTTGTGCTGTCCTTGCTATCTCTGTGCCTGCTGTGGTGGCCTTGGTGCGTTCTTTTCGATTCCCTTGGCGTCACTCTTCTCACGAGAAGCTCATTTTCAGCGTGTCTCGAGTGTATTGGCTGCGGTCTCTGCTGCGAAGGTGTTAGCGAACTCACAGAGTAAACGACGCCCCACTTCCATACGTACGCCCCTTCTAGTACCTCTACTGTAAATATTGCGCAGATACGGACAATTCTGTATTTTCTTGATGGACATTGTTACCATTGTTTGCACCCAATCCTTCCCGCGAAAGGGCTTTGGCAGCGTTGACGTACATTTGAGGTCGATTGCGGTACGGAGAGAGCACAAGATGTTGTGTGTTTGGGCAGACTCGGCGGAAGCATCTCATGTATGTTTCTCGTTCCGTGGATGAATAGGGCTGACGTTGATGGGTCGCAGTTCGTGTGTGCTATCTTTTCCTTCAACCCTCCCCCACGGCACCCAGATCTGAAGCTCCATGTCTGCAACCAGTATCCTTCTCGAGGCTCAGCCCTATACTAACGTTTTACACATAGTCACAAGGGTGTTACGCACGATCGTTCTATGATGTTGTCTACACGATTGTGGATGTTGGTGACACGCGTGGCAATCATGCTCATACCCTTGTCGCCACTTCGTCTAAATCGCAACCATCGTGTTGAACCCCGAAACAATCATGGTCAACGTTACACCTTTCAGTCCTTCCCCTTCGACGTACGCCAAGGTAGGATATTTCATCTTTTCTGAGTACTTGTCGCCGCCCCTCGTTTTCAAAGCTTACACGTTGCCTTAGATGCATTCACGTCCGGGTGGCTAAATTCTGCTTTGCCCTAAGGACCGAGCGCACGTTCAACCTTCTATTAGCCACCATTGACCAAGACGGCCACTTCTCGAATTGGCATAAAGTGCCCCGCGCAGAGAGGCACTCTTCACTTCGAAATGGCTGCACCTCCCCGACTCACCGATCTCGCGCCTTCTCCCGCTAGCCTGGCTTTGACCCCAATCAATTCCGCCCCACCAGAGGTCCTTGAACAAATCTTGAAATACGCCGTTCAGTCCCTTCTTACCCGTCATGACCAACCTCGGACGAATCATCGCGATCTTCACTCGTTCAGCCTTGTTTGCAAGAAATGGTACCGTCTTATCCACGGTACGTCCTCGTTCTGGACGGACATCAACTCTCTCCACCCGCCGTGGGTCTTGAACATCCTTCTATCCCGGGCTGGAGCTTTTGTGCCCCTCGATATCCACGGCTACTCTGTTAAACCCGGGAGGACCCTCTATAGCTATCGCCGGCTTTCTCAAGAACTCCACCGCACTCGGTCCCTTCATCAGCATCTTGACGCAGAAGAGTGGACGAGTATGCAAGCTATCCTTTTTCACGAGCTCCCTTTGCTGGAGGCGCTCTCGATAACTTTGTCACGATCCAGAGTCGTACAACCTACCGTCTGCCAAGCCACGAAGCGAAACGCTCGGGTTCCATCTAGGAAAGGCAACTTCGGCTTGGAGATCTACCCATGGTAAGTACAATAATACGGTCGCCCACGTTCCCGTCGTTTGCATGACTGAATGTGTGACGCCTCTAGACGGCCGTCGCCAGCCGTGAACTTGAAGAAACAATAGGCACCTATGTCATACAGCAACTAGAGCAAAGCTAGCTCCACCCCGTACGGCTGCCCATCACCCACGTCGACCGTATAAGGCACAGCTTTCCCCAACGCTCCTTATGCGGGCTATGGCAGAAAGCACGCCGGAGACACGATTTGGGGTGAAATGGAAACTCTTCGCATCCCGACCATACATATACATATGGGTAGAGATTAAGTAAATGTCCGTGATGATATATACAGAAACCCCAGTCTGTAGTTTCGGTAATCATTAGTGGAATGTGGCATGGTGAGGTGTGTGTGACCGACCGTGACTACGTGACGACCAACTTCCAAGCCAACTTCAACTCGTCGAACGCAATGTCGACATCGTGGATCGATAGTTCCAGGATATTGGCGTTGCCCGTGGATTTGGCATGGAGGCTAATGACTGCCGTCCTCAAGATTCCGCGATGGATTCCCCTTCGTGTGTCTCATACGGGCTTGCTGCGAAGCGTCCAGGCGTTGTTCTGGCAGCGGCCAAAGTCTCTGGAAGACATGCCTTTTGACGTGATTTTTGGCTTGTCTTACCACCTTTCTGTGCAAGATATCTGTAGTCTTCGAGCGGTAAGCATTTTCGCTCGACTCTCCAGTACTTTTGCTGAGCACAGAAGCCAGACATCCCGACAACTTCGACATCTGGTGCAAAGCAAGTCGTTGTGGTTGCTCGTGCTTCGCGACATACTGGAAATCCGGCCGATTCCCCGGCTCCGTTTCGCGCTGGACGACATGTCACTCGAAGAACTGATGAAAGCAACGATTCGACTGAATGCTCTAGATAAAAAAATCAGGGGACTGGATCCCGACGTTAAATTGACACAAGTCGGCGGTTTTGACGCCGACCTCGCCGCCATCTTGGTCCCGGGTGGCCGCCACTTCGTGACCATCGCTGAGCCGAAGCTTGATTTCTTCATACACGACTTTCGGGCGAAGGATCTTTCTGCAGGACGACCGTTCCTTCCTCATTTCAAACATCGCGTCATGTCGTGGCGCATGGTGCCAGTTGGCGCGACCATAGTCAATCTTGCTGTTGTTACGCTGGACATGGAAAGATATGTTGTAGATCACAACAGATACCGCCTGTACGCATCATGCTTCTCATTGTTGGAATATGGCGTGCTGACCCTCGCTTCGCAGGCCACGCTCTTATGTTCATGTGTTCCGCTGCGATGTTGTTACAAATAGCTGGGAGCAGATCGACTACTTTTACATCGATGCCAGATTCGAAGAATTCTATTTCGATTCGCAATTCATCGCCATGATGTGGCGAAACATCGGCAGTGACCACTCGCAGGCCAACATTCGTGCTTACGTTCGGCGTGAAAGCACACCTATACTAAACTTAGTAGATATTGGTGTAAGTTTGCCGTCCGTCAATTCGTATTTCAGCTAATGGCTTCGTGTAGCACGAGTGCTCAACGGGCTCGATCGTCATAATTGACCTGTGTCACTTCGTGGTGGCTTCCAACAATGTTGCTCGCCTCTTTCGTTTACCGACTTTCTATCCTATTGTGGGTACCAGCGCGGCCAAAACCGCCATCGATCATCGGACCGTTTGGCGGAGCCATCACCGACCATTTATGACATCAGTCCAAGCACCATTTGTCGCAGACCTGCTACCTTGTCGGGTCGAATCTCCAAGCTTGTCACCACCAGCAAAATGGGTGTTCTGGAGCGGAGATTATTGGTACATTGCCACACGAGTCGGCAATGCCTTTGAGTATGATGTCGAATGCCGCAGGCTTCTCCCGGGTCGCGGTAGAGACACGATGTGTTGTCACTCAGTCGGCAAGTTCTCCGCAATGGCTACTACGTTGAATGAGGAATTTTTCACATTTCCTCTCCCTATTAATTACAATCCTTCGAGTCGAGGATTCACACGTCTCGATGCACCACTCGAATTTGATGATGAGATACGCCTCAAGGAGGTTGCTTTTCCTCAATATCAGCAGAAGGAGATGTGGTCGGTGCTCTCGCACGATGAAGAGTCTGGGCATATACTTTTTCTGGTTCAAGCCTCGGATGATTCATGGCGGATGATAACTGCCATCCTTGCTTAATCCAGTGTGCCCATTGTTTCCAACCATGACTAGTCGACTTTGACTTCTTCATCTTGCCGGCAACGGGTTGCAGCGTCTTTGGCGGCATGTCGTGCGGCAGTGGTGAGATGGTGGGGATACGATTTCATCCTGAGTATTTATACAGCAGGATACCATGAGGCCCATGCATGCGCTGTTGAGATAGTGGGCCCATGATCTGGGAATCGTCATGATAGTGGGTGCTGCTGTTAGCATCCTCTGGCGTCGCGTGGGCTCACTATGGCTGCTGCTCTCTCTCATGTGTCCCATGAAGTTTGTGATGCTTGAGAACGGCGACCGGCGATACGTACGCAATTCCTCGTATGAATACTTCGTAAAGCAACTGAATATGTTCTTCCAGAAACTCCTACCACCCATATCAAATTCGACTTCTGCACTTAAGTTCACTAACGCTTGACAACCTCCATCCCTTGGTGTCTCGATCCCACCACCATAATCTCGTCTCGTAACCCCTTCCCAAATTTCCACGCTCTTCGTCCTCAAGAGAATTTTATACTTGGATCTGTCCGACATAAGTACCGATCTCAACATGAGGTACGAACCTGAGATGGAGTTCCGTAGATTGAAGGTGCTGATAGTCGCGTCATCTCCCCTCCTGACGCCTGCGCGTTTCTGACTTTCGTCCTGCGGAAGAGGTGCACACTCGATTACACGTTTGATGACTGTTATATAACCAAGGAAGAGAAACGAAGACCGGGAAGCCGTGTATACGCTTGCTGCAGAGGACTAGGATGTATGTCAGTGAATGATTATGGGGAGCGAAACTTGGAACGTTCATTGCCTCGCGTCAATTCAACGAAGTTCAAGTGATCTTCTGGCTTACCATTTAGTGTAGCACTGGTTAACTATATTCATTACCACCATGGATCCCAGATCTTCCCGGGCCTCAGAGCCAAGTCCCGTTCAATTCGCGCTCATCCGCGTCATCTCAATCACGCGGTCCCCACGTGGGCGCGTTATACAGGACCCTGAAAATGAACCTCCTTCACCCCGCTTCCATGTTTGTCTCCAATGATGGAAGAAGCCCTCGGTCTGCCCCAAGGCCCCAACGAAACACTTGTCGTCGATTCCTCTCCTTCTAGTTCAATGCCTGCCAAGAAAACGCCGCTCAAATAGCTGGTCGCAAAAGGCTCATCACTGCGCGTGAACTGACTACGGTTGTCGGTGTATGGTCAAGAAAGATTCTTGAGCGTTCCTTGGGCTCCATGTTTGCTGCGCTCTCAAATCTATCGACTATGGATTCTGCAAATAGGCGTTGGCGGCGATAAATGCAATCCGTGTTCTTAATCTAGAACCTGAATGCGTCCGCAAGCAATACAGCTTCTTTCATTGTGAGGCCGTGTCGACTGATGACTTCAACGCAGGTCATATATCAAATGTAAGTGACTTTTGTGCCTAGTCTCCATGCCCTAGGTTATGTGTCGTACATCTGTTGCAGTGAGGTCCTCCGTTGCGTGTGTCAGTGCTCATTCGTCCCATCTAGAACCAAGTTTTTCACACTCGATGAAATTTCGTAAAACGAAAGGTCCAGATGTCACGCCAAAGATCTATGGGCGTTCAGTGCACGAGAACAGATCACAATCGCTCCATGCTCTGGCCAAGACGCTGACGGCAGGACTAGTATGGTCTTAGCCACCCCGAACCTTGTTATATATAATGACAAACACTCTATCTTGTCTAGGTCCAGCATCGGAATACCTAATCTTCCACATTGAGAGGGCCTCACGGTAATCTATACACCCGGTCCGCAGAGCTGTGCCTGTTGCGCTACATCACGGCAATGGTTGATGTTTGCCAGGTGGGATGCCGTGTGGAGCAAGCTCTCAGAATAGCCTTCAGGTTATGTCGCTTTTTCGCAGCGCGGCTTCCTGTGGAACTTTGTTTCGACGCTTGGGATCTTGTATAGTTCCCGCAATACCGCGGAGGCACAAAGAGCCCACTCTGAGTAGGTGTGTCTTTCTTTTGTCGACTTGCTTGAGGCCAACGCCACTCCCAAGGTCTCATTTTCAACGTCGTGCAAGACTGACATACCGACGACTTCATCTTTCTGGCGTCAACGTTTGACATTATTTTCCAAACCTCCGGAACTCGTAACCGATCTTTTGTGTGCATATGGGCGAAATCGCTTCGGCCTCTCACACAAGCCCCGGCGGCAGGCTACTAGGACGGCCATCATGATCTCAACGACAGCCCGTTGCGGCATTCTAGTCGATGGGAATCGATGTTCAACGGGTGGGATCTTATATCTTTCATTCTACTCATGTCTTCTAACCCCGACCATTCCATTATTCCGTCTGAAGTTGTACCCAAGATGTATCCGTGCTCTCATCTTGTCTTTACCGATCACGATTACTGTGAGCACTGCATTTGACTGGTCTCCGAGTCCGTGGTTTCACCGCTGCGAGTGCCGAAACTTACAGTGGCGATAACGGAGGGACCTCTTCCGAACGATGACAACGTGTTGGACTTTGACAATACTTTTCATCGATGTCTACCCACAAATTGGGTGGAGTCGGTCATGGGGTCCCTACTATCTGAACCCGTAAACCTAGATGTTTACCTTCCAACAGGGTCCGAAGGTGTTAATCTATGATCGAGTCGCACGAGATACGCGACGATATTGACCACCGTTCGGACACCGCGCCACCTTTTTACCGCCGGGACGGATCAGTCGGTACGAAAGTCCTGAATAATAGCTCATTGCTATCCATCGAGCTCCACGTTTAGAACCCAAAACGCCTCAAGTACGATATATCAACGAGTCTATGCTACCACGGAATGAAGAAGAGTATTCACGCAGTGAGGGATGCCCTGTTTCAGCCCCAATTAACTCAGCAATAGACGTAGTACTCAACGGTACCTAGCCCACGACCAACTTTTCGCTTGGATAACCTCCCTGGGCACTCCGACGTCTCCTGTACTCCTTTCGTCGTCCAATGCAATCAGATCTAACGGTTACATTCTTCTACACTGGTGGACTTATCAATTCCGGGGTAATCCGAGCAACCATCCGGGACCACCGATTGCTCAAACTTGGCGTTTAGCATTCGGATCACCGTATCGTAACCGCAGAGTCAAGGACATGAAGCAGGACAGCAATGTAAGTGGGGTGGTTTGCTATGTTCGTGTGAAGCTTACTTTTCCCATAAGCTTTGTGGTAAGCCCTTGATAAGTCCACACTACCGCCGGTATGGTCAATCTTCCCTTGATCGCCGTGCATGCACCGGCATCGCATCCTAGGTGATCAGACAGTTTGGCCTATGTATTTATGGGCATGCATCTCAACGCACTGCGTTCCCAAGAGGACCCTGTGGAGCAAGTTCAGACTTCCCGCCGGCGCCCTGCATAATCAATACCTTACAGACGTATCCAGGAACGTGCTCCTTGATCATATCTGGGCAACATCCTCGCTTGGGCACTGCGCCACGGGTATGCACATACCTCCTCGATTTCAGTGGCCCGAATTCAGTTGACAGATATCCTAACACGAAGTTATCACACACGTAACTCCTGCTTCATCGGCATTCGTTGTCATCAATTGTGTTCACACATTGTCCCGCCCAAGATAGCGTATCAGTAGTCCCCTCTAACTCAAAGAGGAGATGACGTTAGCCCACGAAGCTTGTAGGTGCTACTATCGGCAATGACAGATGGTGTGATATCTTACTCAGATTCGGACCGTATCGTCGTTTGGAGAGGGCGAAACAAGAGGATAACTGTGTTGCGAAAACCGTGTCGACGGTCGACCTCGGAACGACTACGTTCCCGCGAACAATGCACATCGATGTCAGAACACGTATTCGGAAGGTCGAACGGTAATTGCTTCTCCCCTTTAGTTATGTGACACCTTGCCGAATGGAAGACAGTCTATCTTTCCGCTCGCACCACCATTTGCGAGAATCCCGTCGAACGATGACATGTAATTGGAGATCGGTACCTACGGCACACCATTATTTTCCATGTCGTTACACTCACACAAGTGTGCCACCAGCCGCCGGTGCTGGATCACACTGATGAACGCTTTGGTACCTTCGGCAAGGTTCCGTTCAGGTTAAGGTTTAAGTAGGTGAATGAGATATATTGAGAGAGAAGACCGGCGGTCGATGTGAAAGTGAAATGTTGGAGTCTTTGGGAGCACGAATGAATACTGATTCAACGTGTTGAGATATTCTCGAAGCTGTACTTATTGGAACTTCACATGCAACCGTAAATGTGACCTAGGTTCGCTTCCATCCTTTCGCAGAGTGACAAGGGCATGTCGACCACATGTGAACCTCTGTCCTCTTTTGGCAATGCATATCAGTATCAGATCTTTTGCAACGGAGAACTCAAGAGGTGCTGCGAACGTTCCTCATCGAGGTGTGAACCGGCGGCATCGAGCGATACTCAAGATCATCATGTGGCGCGGGTGTGGGGAGAGAGAGGACGTCAATGAACCTCGGCGACACGAGTCTATACATATGCGTGGAATGAACCTTGATTACTTCGGCAGGCAAGAAGGCCGAGCAGGGAGAAGTGTGCCTTGCGAGTCGCCCAAACGTATTTACCCAGCCCCAGTTTCGGCACCTATCCGTATTACGAAAACCGTCGACATTTGAGGCCCGCCTGGCCTGGGTGGTGGTCTGTAGTGGCGTGCCGTGTGTAGAGGCCAGAAAAAGGATTATACGCATTGAAGGGATGAAGTGCCCAACAATACCCAGAGGTGTAGCTATCCGTATGAATTTCTATACATTGACGGAGGAACATAGGGACGGCAACTACCACTGGATGACGCACAGGGAGTTCATTGAAATTTACCGCCAGTCCATGCAGCGCGAGCCTGAATGAGGGTCGGTCCTAGACACAGGCTACGATCCTGTGGAAAAGTCCCTAATGAACACATTATCAACGAGAGCAGTACGCAAATCTTTACCACATGCACAATTGTCGCCTAGCCCCCAAACAACGAACACGGCTGCCAATACGGTACGCCCAGTAAGTGCCGATTCACCAAAGCACGCACCTTTTCTTCTCGTTCCGTTCTTCTCGTCAAGTTTTCGGACACTGGATGTGTGAACGAACGTCCCCACAAGGAACATTCCAAAGCATGTTCGCCACCACGCCACCACGTCACCTACACCTTGTTGTGGGTCGGGTACAGAGGATTGTAGAGGGCCGCCAAAGACCCCGCCAGATTGACCTTAATTTATGAGAGTGGAGCATTCCTTGGAAGGCGTCGACAAGTTTGCCCCGAAGTCCTGCGAGCTTTCGGGATGAGCTAGCATCTATAGGGGTGTGCGGCGTTACCAACCGTTCGAGGCACTGTGTGGAGCTGGTGTTCTCTTGTAGGCTCTTGGTATGTCAAGTTCTTGAGATCGTTGTTGTTGTGAGTACGCCTGTCATGAAACGCAGTGATTGGTGCTTCCCAACTCCCACGTGACGAAATGTCATGCATATGCTGTCGATCATAATGTCTGCATCATCCTCAATATGTGCGCGTGAAGCGGTAGGGTTGTCTGTCAAAACGATTAGTCCTGAGACTGTCACTGTTTCAGGAGGTGCTATTGTGGACGCGTCACTCCTTTTCCCGATGATAATCCAACTTGAATTCGAGGTGCAAAGGATCAACTTGAGAGATGGCTCGAATGGGACTAAAGGCGGCTCCCAACGGCACCTTTGAACCTCAAGCCTCAGGCCTCAATATTCAGCTCTCCATCACGCTTGGGTGCTCGGACATCCCATAACTTGTTGAGCAAAATCGTTTTCTCAAGTACCGTCGATCTGCAGCTGAAACATACTTACCATGGTATTCAGAGGGTCTTATCGTGATGCTTTCTGCCGTTAGTATGGGTTCTACCATGTACAATTAGTGGGACACGAAGTTGTTCTCAAGTATTGGTATATTCACCAAGGCGGAATCACAATGAATTATTAGCGAAGTGACAGGACTCCGCTAGCGATCCAAATAACTGCTTCCGCATCCGCAGTACTCTTCACAGTTTGCTAATAGGCTTTTGAAAACTATAACTCGTACAAGGCAAGTGTCTAGTCTTATCCGTACACGGCTCACCAGCATCTGTAGCTGTCTTGACTCTCGTCATTCATTTGACTTGTGTTCATGTATTGAGTATGTATGTTTTACCTGCACCCCGGCATCACGAGTTGTCTATGGGGCTTTTGTATGTATGTAAGTAGATCAACGTATCCACATGCGCAACCGCGGTGGAATTTCGTGTCCTCATGTAGTCCTGTAGTTCTATTCCTCTTATCATAACTCGTTCCGAAAATATATTGCTAGCTTACATTGACGTAATTCGACGTTGATGCCTCTCGATAAGGTGGGCACTGTTAAGCCTGATCAAGACAAACTCCAATCTACTGGGCCTTCGAGGAGGCAATTCAACAAGAAACATGGCATGCGCGAGGGTTATCGAAGCCTCACTATGACTCGTAGATTGCCGAACCCCTCGTGGAGATGGGTCTTGTTTATCTGATGTCGTCTTCTCTTATATCCTTTCAAATTGAATCGGCGTAGATGTATTGCCATAGTGCTTCATTAAAGTGTACACATGATTATTGATTCCTCCAACTCCAGTCGGCATCGAGTCTATAAAAAAGTAACCGAAGTCCGATCCCTCGACTAGTGAAACATTTTGAAGAGTGTCCCAAACCTGGAGGTAACCGAAGATCAGGGTCTGAATTCCTGATTATTGAACCCAAGCTTCAGGAGGATGCTCACCGTCAGCCTCATCCAAAATCTGCGCATATCATCTCGGTGAACCACCTCAGCTGACTCTCGAAGTCTACGCCGGGCGGGGCTTGCTTGTGGTTCGGAAATCGAATCAACCTATTGTGCTTCGTTGCAGTTTCAACGCTCCTTGCTTGTTATCTCGTGCGAACCTTCCACTCCCATTATGATACGTCCACTTTACCGCCGGGAGACTGACTTCCCCTGATTCACAGTGTGCGTTTATCCGTTTATCACTCTTCTACTCGTACTAACACTTGCTGCCGGTGAGGATCTATAGAGTTGATGACTAGGAAAGACTTGCCACCGGCCACTTGCGTTAGGTGTAGTGTAGTATAGTTGCGTGCAGATCGTCTGAAACGCGCTGAAGCCACGCAGAAACGTTTCAGTGGGGAGACCTGGTAGGTAAGTCCTTATTTCACAGCCCGTCTGACAAAAGGGATTCCTCGCACATGTGCTGAGTATATCCATATAATGAATGACACCTAGCAATCATTCCATTTAGCGATAGGAACACTTAATTAACTAAGGCAGCGGTGAATTCTTCGCCCCTAAGGCTTAAGGCCTCAACCCTTACCAAATGGCACCCACCACTGAATGCATGTATCCGTGCTCCCGCTTGTACGGTCATAAATTACTTCATGTTATCGTACTGCTCGGCGTTCCAGAAGGATATTCATTGTAGGTAGCAGGAGCCACTGAGAACAATCAAGTCTGATCAAACATCAATATGGAAGCTGTAGACTTAGCGAACTCGCAAGTTACAGCCCCGGAATGTAAGAAAATGGAAAGTCGACCTATATCATCGGAATCGATCAGACACGTCAAGATGAATATCCGCACGTTTGGAATGTTTGGACTCCTTATTGTTTGCATAGTAGGAACACCTTAGGTATGTCCATCAATCGGCCAAGATACACATGTCCGAACTTCTCCAAAGCCTGCAAAATAGTCACGACCATCAAATTAAGACGGCATCACAAGGACATGGCAGTAAATTTTACTTGCTTCGTGAACCGGCGGCATTCGATGATGTTCTTCGTACAACCATCAAAGTGGCGTCAGTGTGAGAGTCGAAGGAGAAAACAGCGAGGGATACTCATTGATGCGTTGGAGAACCGCGTTCAGAGACGGAGACGTGTGACGACTTTAAGGAGAGCAGGGCTGATCGATGACATCTTGGGGGTGAGGATGAGACAGATGTGAGGTAGCAAGTCTATGAGATTACCAAGTCATACCTCTATCTTGAAGTCGGAGCGATTTCCGCGAACCGTTGAATATAGTTGTATAGCATGCTGGCAATTGTTCCCTGGCCTCGATGCATCCTGTAGATTTTTTGAGGCGTTTCTCGCTTACGCTGGGCGCTGGCATCTGGAACGAGGATCGCTTGTGTTTCACCACATAGCGATCACGATCACCGTAAATCGAAAGAGCAGGGACAATGCCGCACAGGAAGTTCGCAGAAGCTGCCGTCGGCTCGTAGAGAGTGAGCCTGAAAGGCTGGGAACAGGGCCTAGCACGGCCAAATGTGAGCAAGTTGCAACCTCGAAGGATTCAAGATTAAGACTACCAAGAACAAAATGCCTGCGGTCCTCCGTTGACCATGCATCCAAGGCATGTCCAGCGTTGGGGGCGTAGCCTCGCTTCTTCCAAGTTGAAGATATACCTGTTATGATCTGCTTCCGACTTTCTCGAGGGTTCCTACGCCGTACGTGTGAACGGCTGGACAGAATTGGACGTAGCTTTTCATCTTGATAGTTCAAGCCAAGCTCAAGCAACCATGTCGCCCTTGGCGGACCCTGGTAGAGTCGTCGCAGCGCACCCTGTCCAGATCACGAAGTAGATATGAAGTTCGTGCCAGATTGGGAAGGTTCTGAAGTCAGCCAGAGCAAGTCGCAGGAATAACAAAAGTACGTTTGCTCGTTCTGGGAGGCGCGGTTAGAATCCAAGGTAAGTGGATAGTGAGTGGCGCATCAATTCGCACAAAGTAAAGTAAAGGCCCCGAAGCCTTGCTAAGTACTTAGCAGTGGAGGTAGCAGACGTAGCATCGCCCTCGTTTATCGTTTCATCTCCGTCGAGACCATTGCCAAAAACTTACCTATGGTCAGTTGATGGCCAGAGGACAATCTATGGGGATGGTGTCATTTAGTCCATTCGATTGTACGCATGACAGGTACAAGCACCAGGGTCCAGACCACTCGAAAGCCGCGAACATGTTCCGATAACCGAAACAAAACAATCCTTCACCGTGCAGACACCTAGGTAGTTGTCGGTATCTTTGGAAAGAGCTCTTGAGGCCAAAGGGCTGGTAGATACTTTGCGCAGAAAGTACTATCCACTAGAGTCAAGTTTGACTGTAAGTTACGGTGAACCACGAGCGCTGGAGTTCCGGCTATACTAGAGTCGATTGTAACATGCTCCAGAAGTTGCATGTAATGCCTACTTACCTAAATCTCATAATGGGCCCCAAACACCAACACCACCCTTCGCTGAGTTGCCTGGGTGATCGGGGGTGTAATCACTAATGCCCTTCGGCAATATGAAATTGCACCAGAGCAAGTCATACGTCCCATTCAGTAGGCCTGCAGATGTTCATCCCGTAGCTCCAATGGAGAGATCCCGCTCTCATTGCAAGCGGCCATCATCTGTATTCTATGCCACGAGCCCGTGTCGATTGAACATACGTTTCCTAGAATATGATGTCAAAGCTGTACATTAAGCCCCATTCAACGGCGAGGAGTGTTGACCGTCGATTAGAAGGTCACCGCGACCACGTATCCTCGCCGTAGTTCTAAACGTAGACGTTGTTTGTGAAAGACACTACTAGTAGCACACTGAAACGTACCCATAGAGCGCAGTAAAATGCTGCGATGGATTAGAGGCGTATGCCGTTCTTCGCTCTACCTGAGGCCACACCCAGGAGGCCTGCCAACACACCGAAGGTCCGAACTATCTGTGGGGGGCGCCACGTGTCGGGGATGTGGCACCACAAGAGTAGACATTCCTTCGGAAGCATCGGACGGGATCAGAACCATTTGGGTGTCAGCATTCATTGCACTAGGCAGTTGACGTTGAACGTCGAAGTTCAAAACGCAGGTAGACGCCCAAGCTGGCCGGCGTACGTAAGACTCCAAATCTGGGCTCCAAGAATAGATCTTCAAATTTTTGGGCGCCTGATCAATAATTTATCTTTCTCTAATCGCTCCTCGACCTTAGACTACTACCATCGATATGGCACCTTCAGCTTCAAAACAAAAACGGCTTGCAGAGAAGGCAGCAAAGAGGAGTGCTGGTGTGGCCAATGGATCGAGCACTGCTGATGGGTCGTCCACACCGTCTGGATCGAGGAATGGGAGCTCGGTGAACACGCCGATGACTAGCCTGAGCGCTGCTACTAGTACGGACGATTTGTCGGCAATGGCGAAGTTGTCACTTGCAACGGATCGGTGCGAATCACTTCACCTTGTAATTTCCATCTGAGCTAACCCTTGGTGTAGGAGTGCGACTGGTGTATTGGTCTCTGACCCAAAGGGCCGTGATATCAAGATTGATTCATATACTCTGTCGTTCCATGGCAGACTCCTCATTGAAAACGCTGAGATTGCTCTCAATTATGGTCAAAGATACGGTCTGCTGGGCGAGAATGGTTCGGGAAAGGTAAAGCATCTTGTTGGCACGATAACGGCCTTCGTTCCCGTCAATGATATGTAATCGCTGACATTTTGATCATTAGTCGACCTTCCTGCAATCCATGGCCGAACGCGACATCGAAATTCCACAACACATCGATATATACCTGGTGCGCGGAGAGGCGGAACCATCGGAGGTAAATGCAGTCGAGTTCATCGTAGCTTCGGCGAAGGAGAAAGTAGCCAAGCTAGAGGCGTACATAGAGGAGCTCTCCGTATCCGATGAACCGAACGATATGGCTCTTGACCAAGCTTACGAGGAACTAGAAGAGCTTGATCCCGCCACTTTCGAGACGAAAGCAGGGTCGATCCTTCACGGTCTCGGTTTCACGCAAACGATGATGAAGAAGCCCACGAAGGATATGAGTGGTGGTTGGCGTATGCGTGTCGCCCTTGCTCGGGCGCTCTTCATCAAACCCCATCTTCTGCTCCTCGACGAACCCACCAATCACTTAGACCTCGGCGCCGTCGTCTGGTTAGAAGCATACCTGAGTACTTACAACCACATCCTCGTCATAACGTCGCACTCGCAAGATTTCATGGACTCGGTGTGTACGAACATCATGGATCTGACGATGTCGAAGAAGCTGGTCTATTACACGGGTAATTACACCACGTACGTGAGGACAAAGAAGGAGAACGAGGTGAACCAGATGAAGGCGTACCATAAACAGCAAGAGGAAATAGCTCATATTAAAAAGTGCGTTGATCTGTTTATGAACATTTATCGGCGCTTACGTTCATGGCAGGTTCATTGCGTCGGCTGGTACCTACGCCAATCTCGTGAGGCAGGCGAAATCCAAGCAAAAGATTATCGACAAGATGGAAGCTGCAGGGCTGATCGAGAAGGTCGAGACACCCAAGCCTCTCCGCTTCAACTTCGAGGATATCCGCAAGCTACCACCACCGATCATCGCGTTCGACCGAGTCGCGTTCTCGTACTCCGGCAAAAAGGAAGATTTCCTCTATCAGAATCTTTCCTTTGGTATCGAGTAAGTTCAACCGTCCATTGCTTGACTACTGTTGATTGACCGTTTCTCCTTCAGCATGGACTCACGTGTGGCCATCCTTGGTGCCAATGGAGCTGGGAAGTCCACTCTGCTCCACTTGATCACTGGCGCCCTACAACCTGTGGAAGGGAGCGTTTCCAAGCATTCACAATTGAAACTAGCCAAGTATTCTCAGCACTCTGCTGACCAACTCCCATACGAGAAATCACCCATTGAATACTTCCAATCGTTGTTCAGTGAGAAGTATCCCGAAAAAGACATAATGGTGAGCCGCTCTGCACGCTTCGTAGCTTGTTGTTCGCCTTTTCGAGTACTTTCCCCCGTTGTCTACCTTGATCAGTTTTGCCGCGTTCCGTTCTGCATTCCGTCATGGCAGTTCTTACCATTATTTGTTATGGCGTTCTATATATCAACTAGTCTACGGAGTTGTGGCGTTGATTACTGACTTCTCCGTTTCATAGGCCTGGCGATCTCAGTTGGGTCGATTCGGTCTCTCCGGTCACCATCAGACTTCACCCATCAAGCAACTTTCAGATGGTCTGCGCAACAGGTATGGTTCGAGCGACTGCTGCTTGGAGCCTGTCGTAACTGAGCGCCACCCCTTTAGAGTCGTCTTTGCACAACTTGCCATGGAACACCCACATATCTTGCTGCTTGGTACGGTGATAACCTCGTCATCTCAAACAAAGCCTGACTGCTATATGTTTACCCTAGATGAACCCACTAATCATTTAGACATGGAGTCCATCGATGCTTTGGCTCGTGCTATCAAGGAATTTGAGGGGGGTGTTGTGATTGTTTCGCACGATTTCCGTGAGTGCAGCTTCCACCGGTGTGGTGGATTCTCCGCCACATGACCATTCGCTGATGACTTGAACTGCTCTTAGGTCTGATCTCCCAGGTCGCGGAGGAGCTGTGGGAGGTGGCGGATAAAACCATTCGTAATCTCACGAAAGAGGATATCAGTATCGTCGATTACAAGAAGAATCTTATCAAAGCTAGTACGTCCATTAGCTGTCTGTCATTGAAGACACTACTCACGTGTGTCGTAGGTAATGCCGCCATCGAAAAGGCGAAACTATTCAGCAAGACTGCGCCGAAGGGCAGGACATAACCGCCTGGATTCCCTCAACTTTCTGACCGACCATTCTCCAATATCTCTCATGATCATTTCCCTACACTTACATGTAATTCGCATCGCAAACCAATGTAGCCATCTCACCAGGTGCACTGTGCTTGTACCCCAGTCTCACTATATACATTTAGTAGTACTACTCCGATTCATATACACTGTACGTACCGCCTTCCCGTGTATGTTACGAAAGGACTTTGTCCAATAGATTGACTTGATGCATTTATCGTCACCGTTCTAAGGATCCGCCCCAATGTTTCAGGGATCCTCACATCAACGGTTGACGAGGATTCTCATCCCATGTAATGAAACAAGCAACGTTGACATCGGCTAGCAGGTCAGAGAAGCTTCAACTGACTAGAAGCTACCATACTCGTCAAGAAATGATGGATTGGCTGGATCGTGAATTCAATGATGGGCGGGAATTGTAGGATAGATTGGGGGTGGCGATGTATACAGGCACCGAAAGCTTCTTGACACAAAGGATCGCACGAACTCAGTAAAGGCTAGTTAAACGAGAAGATTGTCGTGATGTTATTGGCGGACATAGAATATGTACTTTCGAGGCCACAGCTAGCGGAGAAGAATTAACAAGCGTAGTCTATGCTGCATGCGGTAGGCGATAAGAAGCCCGTCGAATGTAGGAACCACCAGCGTGGATACTCATATGTACTTACTCATACTCCACCCAGATCAAGGCACGGAAGATAGACACCCAGCAACGAATGGGAAGTGTCCAGCAGACGTGAAAGTCGGCGCACATTAAAAGCATATACACATGCATACAGCATAAAACGAATACAAAGATGGTAATTGATGGCGGCAACAGCAAAGGGAGATAGGAGGAGCTAACAACACGACAATGAAAGAAAGGCGGAGACGTTCTATGAGAAAAGACTACCCAATATTACAGTTGCCATCCGTCTTAACTGCGGTCGATGAATCACAGAGGGGACGAAACGCGGGCGTTCCATCAAATCAAAGTCTAGTATACAACATCATCCAGAGCAGAACCTCCAAGCGTAGACACCCCTGCGCCACCAACTTAGGATCTAATGATGAATTTCCGCCGGCAAGGAGGACATTGGATGAGATATCAGCACAAGGTGTAGGACGATTCGGGAAGACGTGTCGTGGATCGTGGATCATGATCTCTAGAGAATTAATTGGCGGGGCGTTAGTAATGTATTTTGGTGTGGGTCCAGTCTGGAGTCTGGAGCTGCAGAAATGAAAGATGACGGCGAATATATCCCCCATGTGAGCCTAGCTAGAGGGGGCCTAGCTAGCTAGCATTCTGTTCATGAGAATTTTGACAACGGTGACGGCGGTTTTATTGGACGCCCCGACTTAGCGAGGGAAACGCGGGAACCGGAAGATGTAGGTGTATGTGTAAAGTCTAGACGGACGGAATATTTACTCACCGCTACCGAAGACACGTTGGCCAGACATACATATGAGGTAGGAAGGACAGACGCCGACGGGATGACGGGATGCTCCGTCTTGCGCTGAGAGGTTGTAGGGTTAGAGGAAATAGTCCGAGGGAGGGCGCTTCGCCGGAATGGACCGTACGTCCTACCATGCAGAGCAAAGCAGGCGTCAGCACATGTGGGCTTAAACATTGAGCTATGATCGGATAATAAAAATAAAAATAAGGAATAAAGGAACGATCGAAGAAAGGATAGGAAAAGGATTGGACGCCCATATGCACCGTGCAACGAGGCGGCGACCGTCATCAAGCCACAAAGCATAGCCACGGGCCCGTTGAGGTAATGACCCAGCACCTAGCCAGAGGCAGCAAAAAACGCCTAGTGCGCAGATTCCGCACGGCGATGGATTCCGGTATCAAGAATGTCCTAACTCGTGTTGCTGCCTGTCTGTTGCTCTGCTGCCAAAGTCCACCGCCGTCTGATGCATTGTGCACAGGACCGAATCAAATTGCGAGGATAGGCTGACATCCAGACAGGGGGGCAGCGAATCAGGAGGAAGAAGAACGTCTGCGCAGAACGAACGGAGGGCCTCGTGAAAGTGACATCGATCATCGGGAGCGGTGCACATGTAAAAGTTGAACAGGCCAACGTGTACCGCAACCAGCCAGTTGGGAGGCAGACAGAGAGGCAAGGGGAAAGAGCTGGAAAGGGAAAGGGGAAGCGACATAAGACAAGACAGGCAGCTTGATGAATAGCCGAAGCCGAAGCACGAGATGTGAGTGAATAAATGTTCGGAAAGGAAGGTAAAGAGGCGAAGCGAAGTCAGTCAAAACAAAAGGCAAGAGGATAAGTCAACGAGGCGACGAAGACCATTTATCATCAGCCAAGCAAGGCCGGGAAGGCAAGGAAAGCGGAATGGGGAGAACGAGGAGGATAAGTCAACGAGGATGGATCAAAAACACGCGTGATAGTGTTTATGTTAGATGATGTAAGTGAACATGAACACGGACGCGAATGCGAAAATGAAAGCGACTGCCCATACGCAAAGATGAGTAGAAGTAGATTGAAAGCGAGGCATTGGCGACTGATGTCCGATAACCGAGACAATAGAACATCGACATAAAACGTCAAAGAGGAACGTGAACCACAAACCACGATGAGAACATGAAGCAAGAACACGGGCACGAAGAACACGAACGCCACGAACCAAAGATGGGCAAATGAAGATGATAACGAATATGAAATAAAGACGATAGTGGGATTGGCGGTGGGTATGAGGAGCTTACCGAGGGCGCATGCGAGAATACCTTGTACTCCTGGCCTAGGTGTTCGTCTAGCTCCAGGATAGACGCGACGTTTCCACATCTAGTTTGCATTCAGTGTTAGCAGCGCAACAAAAACCCGCATATCCGACATCCGTGAGTCCAAGATAGCCGCCGCATGCCGAATCACCGACGATACACATCGCATGCCGTAAAATTCGTACGGGGAGGTGGGGTACGATCATAGCATGCCATACCATGCGTTGGTTGGGGTGATGTTGATGATGAATAATTGATTGATAGGTCCCGAGAGAAGGCGTGGGGTGTGTCCGATTATGTGCGCACCACAGTCGAGTTGAGTGTACGCCGGTGGTACGTGGGTACGTGGAGATATTCGATTTGATATGATGTGTACGTCCGTCCGGCGAGTGTATTGTACGGGTGTGTGCGTTGATGTGTATGTGTATTCGGGGGCAATTGCCGTTGGTGGGATAGGTGCCGCGTGGGTGACGAACGATGGATGATGGAAGCCGTACGAAAGCCAAGGATATAGATAGAGACATAGATGAAAAAGAATACGGTTAGTTAGCGTACGTCCGGGCGACAGATTGATTGAATTCAAAGATAGAGGTCAACGTAATAAGATAAACGCAATAGAATGCGAAATGAGCGAAGACCACATGTAGTGAAATCACAAGAAATAGAGGGAGTAGCAGAGATGCTGAGGAGGTAGGACGGAGGTCGGTCGGGAAGCATGCATATTTGCGGGTGCGTAGGCACGGGGTCTGAGAACATTCCCGATGTCCGAGTCCGAGACCGAGGGCGAAAGTGATTTAATCAATCAAAAGCCCAGAAAGCACACTACGCCCGTACAGCACAGCGCACCACATGAGCACGGGCGTGGAGAAGAGCAGATCACCGAAAATAAAAAAGAGAAAATAGAGGAGAAAGGAAAGGAATAGAAGGGAGAAGAAAGATAGGGGCCTCCGAGTCCCCGAGTCCCCGTTCATCGACTCGAGCAGCCGCAGGAGACGCTCTACCCAGATTATCAACTCCTGACAAGCATCGAACGAGCTGCCAATTGGCCATCGGCGCGTGGCATGGAAAAGTGCCAAAGTCTGAGAACGAAAATGGCAGAACACCGAAAACGCCAAAAAACGCAACCACGAGACGCGCGAGTTCGCCGCGTCGCGTCATAGCCCAATAAACCCATGCGGAGTAGTGTATGCAGCGACGGCATTCCCAGGGGCCACGCTGGGTATGGGCTGTCTCACAACGCCGAACAGGCGCGAAGGAAGGAAGAAACGCAAAAGAAGTGAAGAAGTGGTGATCTGATAGATGATAGAAGGTGCGAGAGAAGAGATAAGCCCGCGAGACGTGAAATGATTAAAAATACGCAAGAACGCAAGAACGCAAGAACGCGAGAAGTGAGGATAGTATGAAATCGAAGAGAGGAAATGAGGGTGGGGATAAGAGGACGTGATAGGAAAGCGCAGCCCACGCAGAGGGATAGGTGGGATAGCAGAGGGCGCTATCTGGGGTAATCGGTAACCGGTGACGAAGAAGCAGAGTGTAGACGCCGGCATCTGCATCAATGGCTGGAACATAGTGGCAGGAGGCGAGCCGCGTATACGTTTCTCCACGCCCGGGAACGAGATGCAAGGAGAAGCAAAACTAGACGAGCACGAGGAGAGGAGAAGATGGGGACGCTGGCATCGTGCATCATTGCAGAGTGCATACCGCGCATAGCACTCGCTCGCATACACCGACATCGTGCACAGTTGCGTCTAAGCAGTCGCGTAGGCTATACGCCCACAGCCGACTGATCGCTCTCCCTCGCCGGACATGTCCAATCGTGCAGCGTCTCCACATCCGGAGTAAGATGCAAGACTTCGGCATCATAGATGGTCGCCTGGAGTCCAAGCGATGGACGAACACCAAATACGCGAGACGCGACGAGTTGCGCTTCTCTGCGTCCGGAAACGAGGAAACAGGAGACGATGCAAGGAGAAAGAGGTGCGCGGAAGCGAGAACGAGCACTAGAACGCGAGCCAGAACGCAGGCCACGACCGAGCACATCCCACTCCACCCACTCTCATCAGATAGAAATATAAAATTTCAGACAACATCCGGAAATTAAATGCCCGGACTAGAACGCACACCAAGTTCGAGAACGCGCCGCATAGCGAAGCGAGATATCCAGGGAAACATGAAGAAAATGAAACACGAAAAGGCGGAAAAAAAGAGAATGATAAGACGAAAAATAAGAGAAATGAAAAGATGGAAAAACAAACGAGAAAACGACCGTATCATAGCATGAAGCTATACCGGGAGTAGCACCAGTACCGAGGGTAACGCCCAGGCCGTGCGACCTGGAGCGCTACCGACGCGCCTGCCCAAAGGGTAACGAGAACGAGCTCGAAGCATCCTCGAGAAGCAAGAAGTAGCGCCCCTCGGTATCCCTGAAAGAACCCCTGGGATCCCTAGGGACCTCCATAAGTGGGGACAGGGAAGCGTAGACTGCGGTGCAGGGTGCGGGGTGTGGGGTGCTTAAACTTTAAGCTGTACGGCGCAAGACGCAACCGCACAGTGCGTTGCTGTGAAGTGATGCGGGTCCGAGCAAGGGCCGTCCCGCTCCCTCCCCCATCCCGACGCACTCCCAAGGTAGATGAAAAGAACGCGACGCGTGGTACTCACCGATAGCAATAATTCGGCGCGCTCCACACCGTCACGATCGTCCGATCAAACATCAATTTATAGCCCTCCATCGCCAATTGATGGGCACGGGCGATGAGGTCGATAGCGTTGGCATGGGCGAAGGCCTTGGTGATGTCGGCTCCGAAGAGGAAGCCGGCACCGCGCGGGGAGAGGCCCCACCCTTTGATGTCGTCCGGATCCGACCACAGCAAGTCGCACATGGGCCCGTCGTGCGGGACTTCCTGTTTTCTGTCGATCGCTCGAATCTGCCCAAATATCAGCGCTCAGCATCAAGACTAATCTCCTCAGCTCAGCTCGGGCACACCCACCTGATCGACACTCTGCAAACTCGGACTCAGCCCGCCGTGCACGCAGAACACCCGGCCGTCGACTACGGCTCCCAGCGCCAGGTAGTCGAACACCTCGCAGCACCACCGCCAGACATTCGCGGAGCCCCCGAATTTCCGCTGGCATTCGTCGTAGAAGCCGTAGACTTGGGTGATCTGCCGCGACTCGTGGTTGCCGCGGATGAGGGTGATGCGCTCGGGATAGCGGACTTTGAGGGCGAGGAGGAGGAGGAAGGTCTCGACGGAGTAGAAGCCGCGGTCGACGAAGTCGCCCATGAAGAGATAGTTCGTCTCGGGGCAGAATCCGCCGACTTTGAACAGCTCCATCAAGTCGAAGAATTGCCCATGGATGTCGCCACATATCTACGACCATACAACTCATCAATTCCGCGTATGATATACAAATACGGAGGAAACTGACGGTGACGGGTGAATCAACAGCCTGGACATTGCCCTCCTCGATGAGGATCTCGCGGGCTTTGAGACAGAGGCGTTTGACCTGTTCTTCGGAGATGGGCTCGCATCGGGATAGCTGTTCGATTTGTCTGTTATCAAGCCCATTCGGGGTTTGGAGCGCGTTTTCGGACGTTGGGGTTCGGTGGAGGTGTTTGTTGGAGATGAGATTCGGTGGAGACGTAGACGGGATTGCAAAGCAAGGAGGAAATGAGATCGGGATAAGTAAGTAACGGAACCAAAAAGCAAAAGCAAACGAAGGGACGCACCTATCTAAGTCACTCGGCATCGTGTATCGGTTTGGGTTTCTGGCTCTCGCGCGCTAACAAGCCCTCACTTCTGTTAACCTAAGATACGCTCGGGACGTTGGCGTCGGTCTTCCCAATCCAATCAACTCGCGATAGCACACCGAGCAGGTCGCGCTGATACAGTTCGTGATTGCGCTATGTGTGTTCCAAGGTCGCGATTATACAGACCGCGACGCGGATACGTCGGTCAATTATACAGAGCAAGGGTACAAGGGCGCAAGGAACGATCGGGCTCCACCGACAACGCGGTGGACGCGCCACAGTGGCCAGCGTCTACTGTGGGAGGATACTGCTGCTTCTAGTGGGAGCCCCTGACTCTACCCTCAGCATGTCTGCCATGACAGCGAGCGGTGCAGGTCGCAGTGCAAGGACTCTGCCATCCCTCGGGCTGCTAACGCGTTGGAGCATCGCGGTCCAGACGGTGTAGTGTGCTAGTTAATAGCCTCGACACCTCGCAAGCGCCAAACACCGGTAACGCGGTAGTCCGGGGGCGCATACCACCGGAATAAATTCAATAAAATACTCGTCATCGACATCGTCATTCATTTCATTGTCAGACAAAGACCAAGTACCCGGCCTTTCTACACCGAAGGCCTCTGCTTCCAGATTCCGAATTCCAATCAGAACGTCCGCCCAAACTAAAACTAATACTAAAACTAAAACTAAAAACTTCCAGCGTTGTCCAGCTTGTCAATTGTCAACGAACATATGATCATATGATCAGTCTGGGCCAGATCGCCAGTCACTCGAAGATCCAAATATTCAATATTCATAAATGCAAATTTCGCCCGTGTTTGACGCTAGGCACAGCCGCTGCACGCTGCACGAGCACCGCGCAGGTCCCGCCAGATATCGCACACTTATCGCATGATGGCGTCCTAATCCGAGCGTACTTAGTTGCGACGGGGACGCTGGGCAGGTGGACGAGGCTAAGGCTGGAGACACAGGATGATCGATATCTATGAGGGCAGGTAAAACGCGGTTACATCGCCATCGTGCCACCATCGCACCGTGTCATTAGCTCGGTAACATAGCGTTGCGCCTCCGAGCAGCACATCAATGCATCACATCCAAAACATAACCAACGGCTCAACCCATCATCCCACCCCCGCATCAAGACGCAAGACGCAAGACGCAGCGCCTCCATCAAAACATCAAAACATCACTACCACAGCCAACACAGCGCGCTACGTGCCGCTATCTCGACGCATCAAAAGCCTAACCTAACCCATCAATGCCAATGCCACACCGATCCTGCTACCGCATCAATACACAACACACATCAGCACACGGCACCATCAGGACATAGCGTCAATCAAAACATACCCCAAACACACACACGCACATACGTAGCAAGGAACGCAGGCGATATGATATTCCATTACATTACATTACACTGATAGCGCCAGTCTCAGCGACATGGCGCGATAGGCTATAGCCTATCTCTCGAGAGTTCCACTATCGCATCAAAACGATAGGGTGAAACGTTGACGCTATGTCTGGTTGCCCAACCCCGCAGTCGCACGACGTCGCAGACTCGCAGTGTTGTATGTTGTATGTATGTAATCGCGTCAACTGACTGCTCAGTGATCGCTTGGCACATCGGTTAGACACGCCATCGGAGAAGCGGGGGAGGTCGCATGCTTAGCTCAGTTAGCTATAGTACTCTCAAGTTAATTGATTGGCTGGTCACTCACTCACTCGATCGCATGCATCGCCAGTTGCTCACTCCACAGCAGAGGACGCAGGTATGCAAGTATGCAGGTAGACGCAGTGAGGTATTCCGTATACTGTATAAACACGTTATATGTACATACGATACGATACTTATATCAGAGTACAAGATTGTATGTAGGCAGATCGAGAAGCGAGAAGCGCGCGCGCGCGAGAGAGAGAGAGAGAGAGTAGCGAGAGAGAGAGAGAGAGAGAAAGGGAAGAGTGAGGAGAGAGGAAGAGAGAAAGGGAAGAGAGAAGGAAAAGAGAGAAAGGGAGGAAAGGGAAAGGGAAAGTAACCAAGAAATGAAGCGCTGAAGATAATATATTCGAGCAAGCATAAATGGTAGGTGGTACGCGCCGGGGGAGGGGATGGGGGGGATGGGATGGGAAATGGGGGATGGTAGATGGTGGGGAATGGTGGAATGGGGAATGGTGGACAGTGGCTTGGTATAACGTATAACAAAAACTCCGCACATCGCACATCGCAGCGCACATCGCACAGAAACCAGGAACTCAGCAAATCACGAACTCACTCGCCCACACCACACCACGCCGCACGCCGCGCCGCACCTCTACTGGATCAGCGCGCCGACGCCCTTCATCCTCATATCCCTCATATCCCTCATATCCCGCATATCCGCCTTCCACGCGCCCGGCCCGAGCCCGAGGCCCATGCCCCCCAGCCCGCCCATCGAGCCCATGGACGACGGGTACTCGAGCTGGTGCGCGTGGTACGGCGAGTGCGGCGACGTCGGGGAGTGGCCCTGCTGCTGGCTCTGGTTATGTTGTTGTTGTTGGGAGTGTTGTTGTTGTTGGGAGTGTTGTTGTTGAGAGTGTTGTTGGGAGTGTTGTTGTTGAGAGTGTTGTTGGGGGTGGTGCTGCGAGTAGTGCGAGCCCGTCGAGTGGCCGCTCCCCGGCCGCCCGTCCATGCCCCCGCCAATCACCGACCCGCGCCGCGACTGCGCCGACGACACCATCCCCTCCTGGATCGGCGCCAGCACCGGGGGCGGGGAGTCGAACCGCCCAAACGCACCCCCGCCCACGCCTCCACCATATCCACCCATCGAGCTCATCGAGTTCATCGAGCCCATGCTCAGATTATGCTGCTCCATCAGCCCGCCCTCGTACACGCCCCCGCCGCCCGCGAGCCCGAGCGGCCCGCTGCCCATGCTGATCCCGACGGTGTCGTCCTGGAACGGCGGCGTCGGCGTGTACGGCGAGGCGGTCGAGTTCGCGGAGGACGACGACGAGGGGGAGGGCGGCTGGCTCGTCGGCCCGCCATTAGCGTTGTTGGTGTTGGTGTTGTTGCCCGAGTTGGTGCTGGTGTTGGTGTTGGTGTTGGTGGGGGGGAGGCCGTGCGGGGGGAGGCTCGGCGAGCCGTTGGGCGACTCGGAGCCGCCGCGGCTGCCTCTGTGGTGCGACTGCTGCGAATGGTGGGGGTATACGCCCGTCGTGGGCGTCGGCGGGCCCGAGAGGGACGGGGACGGGTGCGAGTGCGAGGACGTGGGCGAGCCGGGGTCGTAGCTATTCTGGCTGTGGTGGTTCTGATTGTGGTTGTGGTTATGGTTATGGTGCGCGTAATGCGCCGGATTCGGGTGCGAGATGTGCGAGATCGAGTGGCGCGAGGAGAGCGACTGGGGCAGGACCGGCGAGCCGGGGAGCGAGCCCTCGTCGCCCGCGCTGCTGTTCCCGCGCGTGGCGTTGTTGTTGTTGTTGTTGTTCGCGTGGTGGTACGCCGCGGGGGGCGGGGGGTACGTGAAGTGCTGGTTCTGGTTCTGGTTCTGGTTTTGCGCGCTGTTGTTTGAGTGCGGGAGGGGCGGGGAGTGCGGGTGCGGGTGCGTGATGGGGGTGGTGTGTACGTACGTGTAGCACTGGCCGCCGCCCGCGCCGCCCGTGCCCTGGGACTGCTCCTGGTACGTCGTCGTGCCGCTGCGGTACGAGTACCCGTTCGCATGCGGCGCGTGGTGCAGCGTGTACGGCGAGCCCGACGGTATCTCGGGCGAGCTCGACCCGCGCCCGTACTGGTGCGGGTGCGGGTGCTGGTGCTGCGAGGACGACGGGAAGTGCGAGGAGGAGGCGGGGAAGTGCTGCGCCTGCGCGGACGCGTGCGGGGAGGACGAGAAGTGGGTGTGCGCGTGCGGGTGGTGCGCGTGCATCGTCGCGGGGAGCGTCGCCTGTGCGAGGGGGGGCGGGGAGTCGGGGGGCGGGGAGAGCGAGCCGTTCCCGGTGCTCAGGTGCGAGGGGTGGTATAATCGCGCGGGTTCCAGGGCCGGGGGTGCGCTGAGGGGCGGGGGGATGAGGTTCGGGTTGGGGGAGTGGTGCAGGGCGTGGGGGGAGGAGGAGGAGGAGGAGAGGGCGGGCGAGAGGTGGGGGGGTCCGCCGTGGAGCTGGTGCTGGGAGGAGGAGAGGTGGTGCGGGTCGAGGCCGGCTGCTTGGGCTGCCGCCGCCTGGGCCTGCTGAAGTGCAAGAGCGGCCGAGCCGCGTTTTCCGCCGTTCATAGCGCGTGCGATCGCCGAGCGCGAAGACGAGCGGCGGGAGCCCGGGGACAGATGGATACGATAGCTATTTCACCATACGCATTAATTTCAGACATTACATACAGCGACCGCAAGGGGCGCAAAGGGAATGGAATACGCACTGCTGCTGGAGGTTATCCTGGCGCGAACAGCGAGTCTCGCAGCCGGGGAAGGGGCATTTGTGGTTGCGCTCGCCGGTGTGGACGCGCGAGTGGCGCGCGAGGTGGCCGCTGGTGGTGAAGGCGCGCTCGCAGGTGGGGCAGACGTGTTTCTTCTTCTGGGCAGGCGACGAGGCGCTGGTGCTGGAGGCGGCGGGGGACTGGGACGAGGATGTCGAGGAAGAGGAGGCGGGCATCGTCTCCTGCGGCGTTGGCGATGGGCTCGATGACGTGTTGATGGGCTCGAGTAGGGCGAAGGCGGGGTAGGGGACGAGGAGTGCAACACGAAAAAAAGGGAATGGATAACGGGACCCTCGGTGGAGGAGGACAGGGATGCAAGTGCGCCTTATTATAAGAAGGGATCGACGTCCTATCCATACCGGCCTTATTTTCACTTGTATTTCCTCGCCTTTTCCCCTTCTCAGCCCAATCCCTGCCAAACTATTATTTTCACCTATTATTTTCGCGCGCATTATCATTTGTGATTAATTATCGATTATGCATTTACGAGGGCATGTGAATTGTGGACCCAGCAGAGTGGCGCGTGATGGATATATTGGGACTAGTCCGCTGGGGATGGAATATCTCCTTATACAGACGACAAATGACTGTTTTACATCGAGATCAACCAAGGAGCCCTCCCAGATCTGCATCTTGCGCACAGACTCCCGGCTTTGCAATGCGAAGTGTTTTGGGCTCCTAATCTCCCGGACTCGTCAATCGTGCATCTGCTGCCACTCATGTCCAACGCACGCCAGTCGCCGTCCGTCAACATATCTTCCCATCATCTCCCCATCTGCCCACCCGCGTCTCCCCCCTCCCTCCCTCCACGCATTCCTTTTCCTTTTCGCATCCTCACATCCCCTATCGTCCAATATCCAGTCACACAGATCCAAATATTCACAATCCACCGATCTCTCTCTCGGGGAGTGCGCGAGGCCTCGAGGCACCCCGCAAACCAGCCAAACCCAAACCAAATATTCGCAAATGCGATTATCGCACCGGCGCTAAGCACCTTTAGGCCCAAATGGAGCGTTGACGCGTTGACGTGGTTTCATCGGGCCTCGCCCGATGCTCCGAGTCCGGAACGGATGAGACGATACTTGTTGAATATATTCAATTTGATTCAATTTTGGGTTTTCTATTTTGATTTTCGATTTCGATTTCGGTGTCGGGTTCGGTGTCGGTGTCGGTGTCGTTACATAAAATAAAATACTTTAGTGTGAGCGTGGAGGACGTGGAGGACGCGCTCCGGCGACATCGCATCGACATACCGTTCTGCGTAGCACATCAACAACATCAACATCTTCCATCTCCACTACACATACATACACATGCGCCTAAAAACCAGCCCCCGCCTCCCGCCTCCCGCCTCCTGCCTCCTGCCTCCTGCCTCATCCCGACTCTAGTGTAACACGATCGATCAATCGAACGAACGAACGAACAGCATCACTCCGATCCTAACATCCTTGAAGAATGATCCGTTCTGCGCTTAATCAAGTTCACTCACACTCGCACTCACACTCACACTCACACACCCTATCCCTATCCCTGTCCTCGTACCCGTACCCGTACCCGTACTCGTAACCCATCGCATCAGTCGTAGCCTGACTTACCCCTTGCCCATCCCATCATACTCACCCATCGTACCGTATCATACCGTACCATCATATGATCGCCTCCTCACTCACCTCCTCACACTCACGCAATCCTACCATACCACCCTACCCCACGGATAACCGTCATACTTACATAGATACACAGCCCCCCGTACCTCGATGCGATCCCTCTCCTGATCGTCCCATAGGCGATGTGTTGATTCTACAGCTATAGCCAGTGTGTAACGATAACGACATGATCCACCAGCACCAGCACCAGTGAAACAAAACAAAACACGAAACGCGAAACACGACTGTCGAACTCTCGAGTATTCGTATTGCGTATCGCGACACGGTGCAACGTTCCTCGCCGAGTCGCAGGAGTCTGGACGTGTCCGGTCGTCTACGAGTATGGGTGGTGTATTCTAACCATTTTAGCCATCTGACGAGACTGCCTTGCGGCACCGGTATGGCGGCATAGCGCGTATACGTGCGTTGTAAGTAGTACGTAGTACGCGCGCGCGTGTCTGTGCATGACACAATGACGCAATGACACAGCGACACTAATTGCTTTCCTCCTATCCGCACCTGCATTGCTCCCGATACCAACACACCGACCTACCAACGGCAAACACTGCCTTACACGCTCACCACGCCCAACATGCACCAGCGTAACAGCGTAACAGTGCAACAGTGCAGGACACCGTAAAAGCGGGCTGTGCACTCCGCACTCCGCACTCGGTTGGACGCGTCTCGCGATGCGTGCGTGCGTGCCACATAGCGCATAGCGCATAGCGCGTCGTGGTGCACGAACGCACGAGAGTTCGACGCTACGCTGCACGCTACAAGCCACGCTTGCGTTTGCGTCGGAGTACAAGACCAGTGCAAGCTTAAGACCGTCGCCCCGGATTCGTTGTTCAGTACTGAGTGTACATGTATAATCGTACGAATGCGAGTATACGATTATACGACCATACGACCATACTCCTATACGATTATAGGATTATACTCCTATACGATGCGATGATGCCACGAAGAAGGCACTGCCATAATGCACAACGCATACTGCACACCGCCTCATCGTTGAATCATTGGATCATTGAATCAGTGGATGAGCGCGCGATTAGATACGATACGTACATATATACCTATGTACGTCCGGAGATCATTCTCGACGGACCCTGGCTGTAGGCCTGCGGCTCCGTGGGCGGGAAATGATGATCGATGGAGGCTGTGCTGCTATGTAGTTTGTAGTAGTATGTAGTTTGTAGTAGGATGGAGGGATGGGGGGATGGAGGGATGGAGGGATGGAGGGATGGTGAAAAGGGGATGGGCAAGGGAGGGGGAAGATGAAAGGATGAAAGGGGCACCTAGGGGACGCGGGGAAGCATTATAGCATTATAGCATTGTGCATTATGCATTATTGTTCGTTCTGCTGATCCTCGTTGTGCGCATATATTGGGTTATTGGGCGCTGAGCCGAATAGAAGAGTAGAAGAATAGAAGAGGAGAAGAGGAGAGAAGGCACGCGCATATTGGTGAGGTACTGAGGTACGCGAAGAAGAAGAAGAGGAGGAGGTGAGGAGGTGAGAAGATTCGACTAGTGCGCAGCGGAGCTAATCTGTCGCCTAGTCAACTAACCCTAACTGGTGCTCCTCAAGTGGCTAATGTTAATGTTAATGTTACTGTTACTGTTACTGTCTATGTACGGAATACGAAGGTTGCGTATGAAGCATGAAGGTTGTGTATGAAGGTTGTGTATGAAGGTTGAAATTTCGAAGGCTAATATTGATGCAGCGTCGAATGGGCGGCCTTCGCGCCCGATGCAGGTATACGTATACGTATACGCCCTGGGTGTTATGTTGTATGCTGACGTTGCGGTAAGCCAGGAGCGAGTAAATATAAGCAAGTGCCTGTGCGCGTTCGAAGGCAATCTTCGCATGTGGTCCGAGGGTGAGATTCGCAGATTCGCAGATTCGCCGCCCAAACCCCTGCAGATCCGAGTACCCCTCCGCCCGTAGCATACTTATGGTAGTAGCAGACAGGTGACGGCATTGCAAGTGTAAGTGATTAATAGGTAGAAGTGTATCAACGATGATGATAACATGGCATAACATAATATAATATAATATAGCGAGAAGACGTGCAAATGTAAATGTATGTACAGGGCCATAGCCTGAGCTTGTTGTCCGGGTGCACGTCGATTATGCGGTGCGAATATACTGACGAGTATGGGCATGACGCACGAATAGCGGGATGTTCGGATGTTTGTTCACCCGCTCGACTGCTAATGCATGATGGAGGATATCATAGCATCATCGCCAGAATTCATAGTCGGCGCCCTGCAGAACCTTAGCCAGAGCCACCCTGCCTGTTAAGTGATACCTCTGCGGTGACTGCTAAGTCTCGTAGTTCGTAGTCCTGTCTTAGCGCAGTCGCCCGGCATGACATGTACATACATAGTCCGATCTGGTATGTATGGTATGTATGGTATGTATGGTATGGTATGTATGGTATGGTATGGGGTAGTATGGTATGGGGTGGTATGTCACGGCGGTGGTAGCTTCGCGGGTCACCGCCACATCACTCGCTACCCCTCGTGCGGCGTACCTCGCGCTGGCGCTAAGGCGCTAGCAGCTAGCTCCCCGGAACCCCGAACCTGCTGTTGCGTCGTCGTCGTCGGAGCTAGCGTCGCCGCCGATGCCAGTGACGTCCGCCGGCGAGAGCTAGTGCGCTAGACCGGTTCGCGGAAGGCCACGCAGACGCAGACGCAGGGGCAGGCTGGCGTCTGCGCGATATCGGAATATCGGAATATCGGAATGTTCACGCTGGACGTTGAGATTTCATTGAGTGCGGGGCGTGGGCGTGGGCGTGGACGTAGACGCAGCCATCTATGCGTATGCTGCGGTGTCTGCTTTCGCATCGCCTTGTCTTCGTTTACGCGGACTCTCTCGGACGCCTGCGAGTATGTTAGTGGGTAACGCCCCCGCCGCCTACGTAGCACAGTTCGCGGGATGGCGAGTCGTGGTCGCATGCGAGGTGCGAGGAACGCTGTTGCGTAGCGAATAGCGCATGAATGAACGGGTGAATGGGTGAATGGGGTGTGGGCGCCCGTCGATGTTAGGCGGCACCAGTAGTCGCTACTCGATACTCGTTATTCGTTAGCCGTCACAAAGTAGTGGACGTCCGACATAGTCGCATAGTCGCATAGTCGCTCCCAGCCGCCCCCACCGAACAGCTAGGGTATTATAGGGTGTTTGCATGTTTTTAGTTGTTAGTCTTGGTCGGAACGAGAAAGAGGATCATATGGAATTTGCGGACAGACTTGAGATGCTACCTTACGACTGCTGGCAGCCTGCGAAGGCTATACTGAGTGAGGATATCTCGTATGTCATAACTCGCAGGTATTTTGGGGGTCGGCTTGCGGCTGGCTCAAAGCTTGGAGGGTGGGAGAGCGTACATCGTTGACGGAGGCACGAGGGGCAAGCATTCACTCAACGGCGGGCGGCGAGCGTACACAGCTTAGGCTCCCGTGAAGAATCGTCTACCGGGCTATGCAACGTCGTAGCATCGGAGGGTCTCGGATACTGCTATCAACCA